TACAGTCGTGTGTAGCCGTGGTTTTGGTGGGGTCTTGGCAAAAGCCGGCCACTCGCTTGTCCCGGCCACTCGCTATGCACCTACGTTAATACTAATATTTCTATAAAATTTAAGTTAGAAGTCTTTCTTACAATTTACAAATATTCTAAAAACAGTAAAAGGTGTCTTCTTTATGGATTTATATGCGATCCACCAATCTAGTCAGCTTGTGGAAATTTAAGCATGAACATGCTCGCGGCCGGGCATTTCATGCTTTCGAAGACATATTCAGCGCTGCTTCAGATATGATCCTCGCGGCAGCTATTGCAGTGAACGATAAAAACGGCGCTATCGTTCAACAGCTGAGATATCTAGAGTCGTTCGATGGAGAACTTCCGTTGCAATTCGACGAGAAATCTAACAGCGTTGTTTTCCCACACTTACCGAACCTTGCTCACATCAAGGGCCTGGAGAGATTGTCTCATCACATCGGCGAACAGGTTCTTAGTGCGTTTCCGAACACAATGCACTATTATTGTCTATTCAAAGATAAGGTATTGCGTCAATCCTACGCTTGGGTGAAAAGATTCAAGGCGATGGAGATACAGAAATCTGTTTCCCATTTGGAAAACAAGACTATAACATCTGTCCTGGATCATATGGTGCAGCGCGAGAGAAAAGCGGCGGATAGTAAGGGTATCAAACCGGATTACTTCAGGAACGGTATCTTCGACGAGGTCGGTTTCTGGCTTCTTGAAACCCATGAAACTTAGCACGTTTTGCTAACTTTTCCCGTGGTCAACTGGTTACTACCAAGCCGGGCATGAAACTAGCGCGACGACTATAACCTGGACCCTGAAGTTTCTTGCTCAGAATCAAGATGCTCAAGACAAATTGTGCAGCAACCTGCGTCAATACCATGCAGAAGCCTAGCAGGTAGGTGGTCAACCAACGAAGGAAGAGATTGCAGGTGCCGACATTCCATACCTCCCCGCGGTTATTGAGAAAACACTTCGAATGCGACCGCCTTTTCCTGCTTTCCTGCGCTCTACTTTAGTTGATACTGAGATAATAGGGTACAGATTTTCGAAAGGAACTACCATTCTCATGCCGTCGAGTGGACCTGGATTGGATGGGCCGGCCATACCTGTTCCGGAGGATTTACGAACCAAGTCCAATATCACTAAAAGACGTCCTGACTGGTCGCCAGAAGACGTACATCTGTACAACCCAGATAGATGGTTGAAATGGGACGAGGTATCTGGGAAGATGAAATTTGATCCTTCAGCTGGGCCTATGCAGTCCTTTGGATTTGGGCCCAGGCAATGTTTTGGAAAGAGGTTGGCATACATACAGCTACGAACGCTTGTCACACTACTTTTCTGGAATTTCAAGTTTGTAGAGCTTGATGGGGAAATCTCATCACTTGAAGGTCATGAGTCGACTACACTTATTCCAAACTACTGCTACGTTAAACTAGAGGAGTTAGCAGCCTAGTTCTGAAGAAAAAAAGATTAGGTATGCTTAATAACAGCGCTGTATTTGATTTGTTTAGGTAACATCTAGAATTCTTTCCCAGTCCTGCTTTCGGCACCACTCTTCTACAGACATTAGGTGCGATTCAACGCCAAGATCCTTGGGTTGTATCACACTCTTGTCAACCTTGCTGCCGTCGTAGTTGAACTCTATATACCACCCCATCATGTCTGCAAAATTCTGTCCCAGCTCTGGATCACTTATGTTGAAGCTCGGCTGTTCGTTGGTAAATTCAATGTCCTTACTAAGAACATTGGCTAGTGTCCTTGCAAAATCTTGGAAAGTGAGCCATGTGTTACTAGCAATGACCTTCTGGCCAGCTGCCTCGCGGATAAGGGCGTGGACAATAGGCCCGGTATTAGCCTTTGCCGAGAACATGGGAAGATGTACCGTGCCAACGGCTGCCAAAGACAGTGTATTTTTAGTATTGTCCTAACAACAAGTTAGTGCACTTTTCTGTCAGAAACAGGACTTGCGTTGTTATCATACCAGCTTTGGACGATATGCGCTTGCATCAGGCTTGAGGTAGTTCTCCAGGAAGAAGCCCGCATAGAGCACACTCGTCTTCTTTCAGAGCTCCAAATAGGTTGTTTTCCCATACTCTTGAGCGATAGCTTTTCCGTCAAATTGATGTACGTGGGAGTATTTTCCTCCACTGAGTTTCTCGGTGTTGGGCAGACTAGAAAAGATAAACCTTTCTAGGGTCTCAACTTTGGCAGCAGCATCAATGATGTTCTTGTTCTGTTGAATTTCCTTTTCCTTCGCGAGAAGCATCGTGCTTTGACCGTTGGCGGAAGACTGCTGCCGTGCCAAAAGGGATCCGTAAAGAATCCAATAGTCCGTCACGCTAAAGATGGCCGATGCCCCTTTGAACGCAGCGTCGAGTGAGGCGGGCTCGTCGAAGTTTCCTGCTACCATCTCGACTCCGCGTTCTGACTGACACCGCGAAATACGTATGGGGAAGGCGTGAGGGAAAGAAAGTGCGAAAGGACTGATTCTCCTTGGTTGCCAGTGGCACCTAAAACTACGAGAGTGGGCTTGTTGCTCGACATAGTGAATGAATAGATGAGACACAATTAGTTGGTAGGCTTGCTTCGGTCTGTTGCGACCGGAAATGGGTGAAGATGTGGACGTTATATATCGTGTCTCCGCACATAGTAACAGACGAAGCGCGAGTTATGCAAATGAGTACGACCAGACTCGGGGCAACAATTGGTCCGATGGAAGTAGAATATACGACTCAAGCAAATAACAGAGCAGAGGCGGTAGCTTAGGACGCGAAGGAGTGGGACAAGACTAGTCATTGTAGTTGATGAACCCCAGCGCTAGGACGAGAACGAAATGGATCGGGGATGGCAAGCTCCGATTACCGACCTTTACCAGCGCTTGAGAGATCTTGCTTTGTAAGGCTCGGTCATACCTCGTATTTTCTGCGCTTGTTGGTAACTACCTCAACCCTAATCTTAGTTACGCGCAAGTGCACAGCGTCTAGTGGTACGCGTCTAGACAACTCTAAATTGAACCTTCAAACTCTAGTTCAGCAAGAATTGGAGATAGGTGTTTTCTGCTATCGTTCTAGAAAATGTTCATGCAAAGGTAAGATAGAGGTGTGAGAGGGAAACATTGCTGTTGTTGCTAACTTTTTGATGCAGCGCGATAGACTTGCCACTAGAACCAAATAGATGAGGAAAGTGCAAACGGAAAGTGCAAGCGTACATAAACATCGTTATTGTTGCGAAGTGAGCGTTGCTCTGTTTTCGTCCCTACCTCTGCAGCTGATCAAGACAAGTTCATCATAATTGTACAGCCTTTACGCATTTCCTTTTCCGTTTTTTTTCCTAGAAGAGAAGATTTCGCATGCATCCAAGAAGCAAAGGAAGTGTGCTCGATTATAGCTACCACCGTGGCCATGAACATTGGACCGGACTGACCGACCCATAGTTCTCCTGCTATAATAATGAGTACCTAGGAAAGACCTTGTCTTACGCCTGATTTGTCATTCAGACCCCATGCTTGGCTACTATTATCGTGTACTGTGACTCTTCTCATATCCCTGCGATATTTGTATGCAAAAGGTCCTCCCATCGCACGGTGCATAGTGCAAGTGTTATCCCAGATGACTAGATCGCCGACATCATGCCAGTCCACAGTCACTCTATACTTCTCCTGGGTAGCATGCTCGAATAGCATATTGAATAGTTCCTCGCTCTTCTCTGGCTTCAAACCCTCAATGTGGTGGATGTGCATCGCCAGATACAAATTCGTACGTCCAGATACTTCATGACGCTGCACAAGCTTATGACGACCCATAGGATGATCAGCAGGTTCTATACCCGCAAAGTGCTCAGGGGCAGCTAGCTTCTTTGAATGCAGAATCGAGTGGCAAGCAACTAGGTCTTTAGCCAATAACTCACTCTGTACATTACGAGGAAGGTCATCCCAAGCCGCCCTCGTATCGCAGAATTCTGTCGCACCGCCTGTGCCAGTGGGAGGTAACTCGTGAGCCAGTAGCAAGGAGTAGCCTGCTCGGCGTGGGTTGAAGCTACTGTCAACGTGGAAGTAGCTGTTGCCTTTGTTTGCCTGCGCGCGTGGGCTAGTCGGAGAGACAAGGGTGTTGTCCGCTTCGATGTTGCCGACATCGAAGAGTTCGTCATAATCAAGACGATTCCTACGGCCGGCCTTATTGTAGGGCCTCACATCGTCTAGTTCGCCGAATTTACGGCCCAAGGCGATGTGGGCCGAGTCGGTCAAGTTTGTCTGGCGTAAGACGATCACACCATACTGCACATATAGTAAGTAAGAAGCCATGAAAATGTTTTCGGGGCGCTCACCTTCGTCAAGAGGTCTTGAAGAAGGCGGTAAGTCTCATCAGAGGCACCATCTTTAAGGTCAAGCCCTCGAACCTCAACACCGAAGCCGTTCTTAAGCTCTCGAATTTGAAGGGTCGGGACAGAGATAGTCTTTTCGGTAATCGTGGCTGACATGTTGAAAGCTGATGAACTTGATGTGTTGTCTAGTCTTGAATGATACTTTGTTTCGTTTTACAGGTGTTAGATCTTATATTTGTGAGGCTTCAGTCTCTTTAGCAACGGTTGCTTGACGCCTGCCATTGCCGATCAACTGTATCCACCACATGTTTGATCCATAACCGATTATAGATATGCACAACATGTGCTGGTGTTCGCTCGTGCACACAGCTCTCATATGCAGGCGAAGTGCCGTGAATTTGTCCATGAAACCTCCGTCGATCCCCAAAGCCGAAGGCTATCTATGAGGGGACGAATGGTGCTCTTGTGAGATTGTGTTCGGACATTTAGCGACGGCGCACGTCGAACGGTAAGGGCAGCAGAAACGCACTAGTCTCATAGCGACGTAACCGACCATAGCCGAGAGCCGGTGCAGCCAATCTCGTACCCTCATCCTCATCGTCGCTCCTGCCATCACATTATTCAGTGCCAACAAGCAACAGATAGCGATGACCACATCGACTGGTAAACGATCCTTCCGTGCATGTCTACGCTGCCGTCACCGCAAGACAAAGTGTGACCTTGACGGCTCAAGTGGCCGAAAGGAGCCGCCCTGCAGATCATGTCACCTTTCTGGCAACGATTGTGTCCTCGTCCAGTCGAGACGAGGCCAAAGACGGAATAAAGCTACGCGAACTGCTCGCGGTGATGCAACAGACATCTCAGAAGCGCTGGTGCACGAGAATGAGAGTACTGCTACAAGCTCTGGACCATCTCCGACGCTTCTGGACACCGACCAATCTACGATATGTGCACGAAGCTTGCCAAAACCGTTTGAGTCAAGCAAAGAGATAGAAGTTGAATTAAGGAACCCGTCTGACGCGCTCGAGATACTGGCACGTTCAAACGAGCGTTTACTGTTGGCTTCGACCCCTACTTTAGCCGACGATGCAACGTCATCGGCGCCCAGCATGCAAGCGACTAAAAATGGGTCGATTACGCTCGACGATTTCGAGTTGCTAACAACGGGGATACTGCAGATGGGCGTAATCCTTGAGCTATTGCAAAAGTCAGTTACTCTTGAAAGCCTATCCTGTTGTTTTGATTGACTGATGTGGAATCAGATATACAAAGACCTATCATCCTCATTATCCTATAGTTCCAGCATGGCTCCACTCACCGATGGTCATAGAAAAGATTAGGAAATCCGAACACTTTCTTCTCACAGTGCTGTTGACTGTTGCATCGCGAGATTCGACGCAGCATGTACTCGTACATCGATACTGTTGGGAACATGCTCAGAAACTGCTACTGGAGGTACTTTTAGCCCGTCCCTCAACTCAAACACCCCGCACGGTCGAAGGCCTCTTGGTTCTAGCGGAGTGGCTACCTCACATTGAATCTAAGCTCAAGACTAAAGAAGCGCCTGGCAATCTTTTCACCGAAGACAGGCGTGCGTGGTCACTTGTAGGCCTCGCCATACGACAAGGTTATATGCTTCGGTTAGACAGAGGGGCTTTCCGCAAATCTCGCGATTACACCACACAAGAGCAGAGCGAACAGGAGCGACTAGTTTGGCATTGTAAGTATGTCATCTCCGTACCAGAAAGCCGCTGATGTGGTCCTAGTTGTGTATCTCGCAGACCGCCATATATCAGTCCGCCTGGGGCAATCGTTCTGGTCTCGTGGGCCATCTCTGTCCTCCCAATTTACTGCGGATGACTTCCCCAGTCTGAAACCTAGATCTGGAGATTTATATGATCATTCCGCGATCTTGCAAGCCAATCTGGACCTTGTACAGATCTTGTACAACGCCCATCTGATCTTGTACGCTTCCGCAGAACGGACTCAGGCTCTTATCAAAGATGGCGATTACGCTCGGTACCTAGACGACTTTCTGGGTGCTGCAGCAATGTGGATGACTACGTGGCGACGACTGGACAATTCGTCAGTGGTACCAAACTCAGTCTTTATAACTTATGAGTACGTCTGTCTGTACGTAAACGCATTTTCATTCCAGGCCGTTGTCGCACGATCAGTCAAGGACCCAAGGTCGCATCCCAAAACACATGCCACCAATGAAATATCCTTGGAAGAAGGATTCCATCGAAGCACCCTATCTTTGCCTGATGGGCTCTACATCAACGGTGCGATTCGCGCGGCGACAAAGTTGCTCGAAAGATTGACAAGTTTGGACCCGCACAGCGAAGTGCAATACCTTCCATCGCGTTTTTTTCTGTAAGTTGTCCGACCTCGTTACATTACCATACCTCACTGAACAAACTGTTAGCTACGCAGTCTACGCAGCTGTGTTTCTGCACAAGGTAGTAAACCTCAACGTGAGCAACGTTAAGACACTGCTGAACGCAATCAATGGCCTCGTTTCACGTCTGACTTCAACCATGAAGGAAGCGTCCACGACCGGCACTCACGTCTGCCATATCTATAGTGAGATGTTGGAAAGACTTTGGCACTGCCGCAATCCAATACAAGAATCGTCACGGAGGTTATTTTTGAACACAGAACTCGATCTCGATCATACCCTACATGGACCATTTGTGCATCAACCCTCCCTTACTCAGCCTCTGAACGGTAGTGTATTTGAAGATCAATTGGCAGGCGACGCTTTACTCCATGCTGAGGCTGGTTCATCGAACATCTTGTCACCGACTTGGCAATACCCCTGGATAAGCTATGATGTTTCTACATTACCGTCATGGGAAGATCTAACGATGGATCATTGCTGGCCAGGAGTCACCGACTTCTCGCAGCTGATAGACCCTACAATTAATGCTTAGCCGTAGCGATCAGTATACGATTCGCCTCGGTCTCTATTGCTTTAATGCTGTCTTAGTCACTTTACTGAGATGCGGAGCCCAACGCAACATCGTGAGGTCAAATAAGCCAAATAAAAAAACGTTCTCGCTTGATAGGATATTTTCAATGATATCAATTTACCAAAAAGAAAGGCTGGTAATGGTCACTACGAGGGTCGAACTCGCGACCTTGGCGTTATTAGCACCACGCTCTAACCAACTGAGCTAAGCGACCGATGTTGTCTTGTGATTGGATGACGATAATCTCGATAGCAACATATCTATAGCACATACAAAACAGATCATACAGAAACTAGTAAGACATTCGTCTTGTAGAGCAACGCGGCTTTCAAGAGGACGACGATGCAGGAATACATAAGTGGGGTGGATCTTAGCACGTTGCTACTCCACTCGACGCCAAGACAAAAGCTGCAAATTCTTTAGCACCTGTAACACAGAATACCCCCAGAACATAGCACCTGTTTTGTGAACGTGAATTCAGGAGAGTAGCCAAGTTTGAATCACTACGCGATTCTAATTTCTGATTCGAAGAAGGTCTTAAGAGAGTTTGTGAATAGCAGAGATAACTTATAAGAAGCCGCAGCAAATATAAAACAAGCGCAGGCAATATACAAAACTCATGTACACCATACTGAACAGTGCTTGCGTATTGCGGTACCAAGCAACAGCTTGCTTCGTGGTAGCTAAGCTTTCTCACCTCGTTCGCTTCTCGATCTTACGGCCGTAATTACCCGCAGATAAGGTCTAACCAAGAGATCATCAGGACGGATATCGGTCGGTGCGTCTACATGATCACTTAATACATGACAAATGCAGTATGAGGCTAAGAATTGAGTGCGACTTCCCATAGGCCTGAGGCAGTGATTTCGAGGCAGCAATAACTAATCTCAAGCATGTGTGCAACCTTTGGAAACTCGAGCTGTGTGTATATAGAGTGCAAGGGTTGTCGCACAAACTCAAGATGCACTCTTCGAAGCAGCTATCGTTGCCACGTTTATCAATCGATCGAAACGAAAGACTCAAGGAAGACAAAGGACGTTGATACAATCTCTCTGTATTTGGACATGGCTACCTACCGTAATGTGTTGCTTATTGGTGTAAGTTCGATCACCTGTGAAACCAAGGCTATAGACTGACATCACGAAAGGGGTCTGGAACTCTAGGGAGTGTCGTTTTGAAGATTCTTCTGGACTCACCATACAACACGACTGTTCTTTCGCGGCAGAACTCATCATCTCAGTTCCCTGAGGGCGTACACGTCATCCGCGCAGACTACGACGACCTAGATTCATTAAAATCTGCGATGCAAGGCCAGGATGTGGTGATCAGCACGGTTGGCGGTGCCGCGACAGGGGATCAGAACAGGTTCATCGACGCTGCTGTCGCGGCTGGCGTGAAGAGATTTCTCCCCAGCGAGTATGGTCCGAATACACAGGATCCTCGCGTTGTTGAATTCATCCCGATACTTCCTTTCAAGGTGCAGACGGTCGACTATCTCCGGTCGAAAGAAGATAGGATGGAATGGACGAGCCTTGTGACTGGGCTGTGGTTTGACTGGGCTCTAAGAGATGGTCATCTTGGTTTTGACCTTGTTACAAAGACTGCGACGCTGACAGACGAGGGTACGACTGAATTCACAGTTTCGACACTGGAGAGCGTGGGGAAAGCTATAATCAAGATTCTGGAGCACCCCGAGGAGACTAGAAATAATTACGTCTACACGTCGTCATTCAACCTCAGTCAGAACAATCTTCTTACTGTTCTCCAGAAGATAGACGGCCAGGATTGGACAGTCAAGCGGCGCGCTTCGAAAGACTTCGTTGAAGAAGGGCACAGAAGGGTCCAAAAAGGCGATTATAGTGGTATTCCATTATTGGTAAGAGCGTTGGCGACTGGTCCGGTCAATCTGGGAGATTCGAGACCGGGAGGGCTTTGGGACGAGAGGCTGGGTCTTGAACGTGAGGATCTAGAGCAAGTTGTGAGGCGCGTCGTTGCTGAAAAGCGAACTGGTACAGCTATCGCATGATTCGTCGACCGTCCTATTGTATCCAACTATCGTGCACAGGAAGGCTATCTATGCGTACCCCCGAACTACAATATGGAGTGGTTTTGTCATGTGTCGCGTTGCTGTATCCTTTAAGCTGCGGGTGTAGATATTGGAAGAACAGTGATGATCAAGGGATGGTCGTTCGCAAACCCTATTCTGTACACTGATTGTCGGCGATTTTCAAGAAGTCTTTATCGTAGCGGAGCTAAGACACTCAACATCCAAGTCTTCGAAGACGTCTCCCCCGCCTGAAATCTGCAACGCGGTCTAAGACGAATAAAGATACATGTTCATAACAGGAAGAGAACGATTTTCAAGGTAACAAAGGTGAGGAGGAGTATGCTAGCGAGGTGAAGGACTTGAGACGTAGAACGACAACTGAAGTATACAAGAAAGACAATGTAAGGTTGCAGAACGCAGGAGAACTCTGAATTACCACTATAAGCTAGGCCGCTACCCTCAGCAGATCTCAAGCAAGTCGACGGGCCACAGCAGAAGCGAGTCACGATGAACAATGTAAAACCTGTATTAGACGACTTTCTAAACGCACGCACTCAGTTGGAAACTCTCGATTACATATCATACGCACCAAGATATCCAATGGTCCACCCCCAAAAAGATCAAGCCAGCAAACATGGTATCGTCCAGAGCGCAGAGAGGAAACAGAAAATACAAACTCAGCCACCAAAGTACGTGTGAACAAAAACATTATGCAGTATTGCCGCCCCAGCCAAAAGAATACGTAGGCGACTTTTTTGGTAGCCGGTATGCTTACAACGCAAACGGCGAAGCATATGTGTACCGCCAGACCAAGGTATAAACATCCAAGAACGCCAATAGGTATAGTACAATAGGTTGTTAACCCCAAAGGGTTACTCAATAAGTGATGTGATGATACGTCCCTCGTATCTTATGCGCTCTTTGGAGCTTCTTCGTAGATCTGCGACGGGAAGGGATGTATGGAAGTGCATTCGCTCTGGTCGGCACTCTTGTCGAAGCGGTCCAAGCATGCATATCGGAGCTCATGGCCGAAAGCGGACTGGATACTCAGGATATGTTTGTCCAGCAAAGTCGATAGGCGTCGATGACACAGAGCTCGGCTGTGTCATGGGCAACAACACAATATCGGCTTCGTGCATGGAGTCGGTCCATTGCACTTCCATTTTACGTTGCGTCTGCTTCTCCCGACCCGTCTCTACTAGTCACCTCTGCTGTCTCGCATATGAACTCTCTTGCGAGGGCGAGATACGCGCCGAGTCGTGGTATCCCGGCGAGAATTGCGTCGGAGGTGTGCGCCGCAGCGTCGGCGAGTTTCGCATGGGATCGGCGGCTGCGCTTTGAGTTAGCGGCGTCGATGCACTTCCCGCGACGGGTGTTCCTTTTGAGGAGCCGCCGCTGCCTGAGATTCGGTGCGCGGTTCGGACCGTGGATGGGGTGGCGGGAGAGCGACCGCCGGCTCCCTGGGGTGCCCGAGGTGTTGTGCTCGCACCGCTTTCGACACTGACGTGCCGATTACGTGGTGTGGTGTCGCGACTATTGTTTTCGGTATGCCGCCGCGGTGGTGACTTGGGAGTGTCCTCGTGGCTTTGGCTTTCATTTTGTCGAGGCACAGACTTGCTTGCCGTGTTTGCTCGACTGCGTACAGCACTTGCTGGGGGTGTCTGCATAGAAGAGTCCGTGAGCGGCGATGTCTCGGCTGCTCTCCTGCTACTTGGCTGAGGGCGTTGTGTAGGGGACGTGACCGGCATGCTTGATTGTGGTATCGTACTTCCAGCTGTTTGCGAAGCGTTCTGTGGGACAGGCTCGGGACTCGCCATGCCTCCGACGCGTGGGGTACCTTCCCAGCTCTTGCGCTTCATCATGCGACCCAGAATACCTACGAGTTCAGCAGCATCTTCGAACTCCGTGTCGTCCATAGCCTCTTGTGCGCGGTACACGTCCTTGATTGCACGTCGGGCGACGCGCCGGGACGCGTCATGATCATGTAGACAGTCCCACAGGAATGCGCTGTGCTCGAGCGCAACCGACAGCCGTAGTGGATGCGAACCAGGAAGAAACGAGGTAGCATACTGTGTGGCGGTCGTGAAGTAGCCACTGGCTAAGGGAACGAAGTTGAGGGGTGGAAGTATGAAGGAGGAGGGCTGTGGGATGGGCACTGGGTTGAGGCCTGGAGGCGCGTTGATTGTAGGTCCCGGTGATGGTGTGCCGACTGGTCCTCCTGCTGCATATGGGTTCGTGATGAAGGAACTTTCGGATTGGATGGAGTCGATTGGCTCCCGTAATGCTGGTTGTTTTCCAGAGCGCTTCGAAGGGGGTGACAGTCCTGAGGGATCTGCCCTACGACCATGTCCGTTGCCATGCTTTGGTGGTGAGAGATGCAAAGGGAGTGAAGCAGGGTTTCGAGGGTCGGTGCTTGTCATGTTCATTGTCGTGACTGGTGGTTGATTGTGGAAGAGACAGAAGATGTGGTAGAAGCTCGCCCGCAACTTGACGCTCAACACCCTGCACTCTGGTCCATGCTGATTGTCTTGAGCATATGGGAGTACATAGAGCTCGAGTATAGATAGTCCCTCGCGAGACATCCATAGTATGTGCTGATAAGTCGAGAGAGAAGGTGTATCTCGGCTAGTGTCCAGCTTGCGAAGCTTCCTGGCGCGAATGAGTCTCCGGGCCAGAAGGACCGACAGACCCAGAATCTGATAAAGAGCGCTGGACAGGAAAGGACTCGTGTCTTCAGTCTGCTTGGCTATCCGACCAAGGAACTTCTGGTCAAAGTCCAGAGATGCCATGGTTTAGTGATTAGTCTGGTATGCTTCGTAAGTCGCAGTCGAGGTAGAACAGGAGAGACGGCGAAAGAGGAGAGATGAGATGACGACGGAGGGTCTGAATTGACGCTGTCGAGCCACGATGTGGTGATAGCGAAGTGATGATGGTATAGACGGAAGGCGCGATTGATGAACCCACTAACCTTAACCGCCAACCCGGACCGTTGCGCTGTATCTTCTAGAAGACAGACACAGTGCAGCCCGGCCCAGGCTGACCGATGACACCTTGCGATGATGTCCGCTTGGAGATGAGGCTCTGGCACCGAAGCAACAAGTGCTGGCCAATTGATATGTTTCGGCAAGCGACCGGATGTCCGTGCACGTCCCTTGTACGGGTGAAAGTCGATTCTCGTGATGGACCAAGTCGGGAAGCGCTACTCGGAGATTTGTTGAATTAGGCGATGACGATGGAAGCGACGATCATGACACAACGTATATAAGGTGGTGTACAGTGCTGGGGCAGGAATGAAGGTGAAGCGGTCGAGCGCCGAGTGATGAACTGTCTGGACAGCTGTCAGCGACGATTCCAATTGATGAAGGCGAGCAACGGCTCACATTGATCGGGATATCTCGAAACGGATAGGGCGAGACGGTGTCGTTGTTTAGGGCCAGTGCCTTGCTCTTATTCGACGACTGGGGTGATGGCGGAGCCAATGGAAACGCGCAAGAGGTGAGGCGCTGCAAGACCCTTTTGCGACAGGCTAACAGACGTCAGACGTCGATTGCGAGATGGCTGGAGGCTGGGAGAGGTGGATCCGAGGCCTTGGACAGCGCATTGCGATGTTGGCCAGCTTCAATCCTCCTGCGCGCACGAGGTAATGCGACCGTCTTAAGGGCCGTGACGTCGGCAGGCGGTGTGGCAGCGGTCAGTGCAGCTGTTTTGGACGCCGAGGAAGCGAAACTTGGCCGCGCACACTCCTACAGACGCCAGATTCGCAGATGCGCGCGAGGATAACCGTTCGATCGCGCTCAGGGCAGCGGGTGGGGATGTTCCTTTTTAGGTGTTGCGAAGACCCTTACGCTTGGCCTGGTGTTGAGGGAACGAGCGGCAGTCCCGCGATGGTTGCGCGCGACGATGAGAAAATGACAACTACACCAAGACGACGACAACGGCGCAAAAGGAAATAGCAGGGCGAACGCAAAGGAAACGCATGCTAGTATTAACCCGCACACTCTATCCGGCTCTCTGGAGACGCAGGTGCAGCTCCTGCGTCAATCTGCAGACAGGCGAGCTATGGTGGGCTACGTGTCAAGCGTCCAACTCCTCCGCTAAACTGCACACGTCTGCTGCATGTCCTTTTTGCCGTTAGTCGTTCGAGCGAGGCGTTGCCAGCTGGCATTGAGGCTAGAACGACTATAACATATTCTCCTACTCGACGTCAATGTCTCTCCAACACGGCTGCTTTCAAGGCTCGCCTACGAGCGCATGCAGGGCTGTGCCTCAGCTGCCGTCTCAGATGAACCACACCGTTTGCCAGCGCATCGTCCCACGGCTTGGTGGGGTACAGTACGCCATCATTCTACTTGTCCATCTGCCGCAAGAGACGCTTTGAAGACGCTTCGACAGCCCTAATCAAGGCGCTCCCAAATCAGCCCCAGACAGCACGCGCTTGCGTTGTCATTCTGGCCTCCTACCCCACGGTGAGGACTAGCACGATGCACGCTGACGAGACGCTGATGTAGACATATGTTCCTGGCATGTCAACATGTAGCCTGCAGGCTTAGCAATATGGCCCGCGGTGGAGCAATCTGCACCTCCCAGCCTCGAATGCGAACATAGAACCGACAACTATATTCGGAGCCCCTACACCTCATCCTCACACTCCAGAGAACTAGTATCGCTTGATAAACTCGAGCTATCGTCTCGTCATCTGCAGGATCTGGCGGCGTATCTGCATCGAAAAGTCTCCACACGGATTGGCGGTGTGGCCGAGTGCTGATTGGCTGGAATTTCGAAAATGCTGGCCGAATGTCATCGGCAGCTAAAAGCCACTATTGATAGCCAGCCTTCTTGATTACACCCCGGATGACGCCGCTATAATGTTTATTACAGGTCCTCCGCAGCGAGTGGGCTGCAGTGCGCCTGGGATTCCAGTACCGTGTGACCGGGCCATACCGACGAAGAACGGCCGGAAATGACGACAAGCATTGCGCAAACATCGCAACACCAAGCGTCGCATCGCTTGAAAGATGCGAGCCGGCGGCAAGGTGGGTCGAGGAAAACCCGGACGTACATGGCCAGCGATAAGATTCATCAACCAAACATACTACCATGATGGCTTTCATGGTGCTGCCTGCTTTGAGAAAGCAAATCTCGGGTCACCGTGTTTGAATTATGGCCATAGTTCTGTATGCACAACGCCTCCCAACAAGCACGCGTTTGTGGAACTTGACCGACCCAGACTGTCTCTTCTTCCTCACCTACCCGGAGCCGCTCGTTCCACCTGTACATCAACAATGAGCCAGTATCGCCAGAATAGATGTTGATGGTAATCTTCAAACACTCATATCTTGATGTACGACTTCATCTACCGTGACCGGTGGTAAGCTGAGGACCGTTCCTGACATCTCCCGTCCCGTGACGAACGTCCGCTTATCCATACAAAACGGTGTGTTGTGCTTGTCTGACCGGGCGGATAAGCTTGTAATTGCTCGGTTGCTCACGGATATCAAACTGTGCAACTTGAGCAACAGCAGGCAATCATGCATCGAGTGAGATGTACTTGATGCTATAAAGAGCTTGGGTTTGTGACGGAGACATCATAGCATCATCTGTAATCTGGCTTCCTCCTGGGCGTTGTTATCCAACACTTTCATTCATCACCGTTTTGTCGCAATTTGCTCCCGCGTACGTTCACTCATTTCGATCAAGATCCAATCTTGCCCAGCTTCAAGGTAAAAGATGCGGCAGAAGCATATCGGCGTCGCAGTGTGCTCCATATATTTTAGTGTCTAACAAGCTATCAGACTCGGGGCTCGCATCACAGCCCTATCGATCCCAAAAGACCATACCAAAGATCTAATCGAGCGGTCTTCCAGTCATTACCAAACGTTGCGCCACCGCCATGTGTTTCTATCATGCCTACTCCCACAAGTGCGGACACACACAGATGGTCTTCCAGCAAATGTGCCCTAAAGGCCAAATCGCGCAGCGAAAGTGCGCGCGCGGTCATGAAGGCGTGATTCTCGCCACTGTCAAGGTCGAGACTGCTTGCGGTACGTGCCCAGGTTAGGTACGGCTCGTCTTTACATAAGACCAGCGTGGATGCAGCTAGTGGCACATCTTATGGATTACCTGGCATCACCGTCAGTAGGAAGTTCCGCATGCCGATATCATGTAGGAGAAGTTAGATTATAGAAGGAGGATGTTTGCGCTGTTCTAGTATCCTTACATTGTACATTTTCAACCACTTGTTCAAGCTTGGCAGCATATATTACAGTTACTACATGCATAAAAACCATGCTTTTCCCTCGCCGTCTTGACCTTCTCACCCAGCATGGCTCTCTTCTGTGGTACATCTACGGGAACGAGACGGCCCGCTGCGCAATCTGTCCGCTGCCCAGTTTGTCAAGGATGAAGCTTGAAGCACCAGCTCTTACAAAAGGAAAGCCCTAGCTACCCCACCACCCGGCTAATCATGTCCCCCATGATACCCACAGGGATCTGCGTTCGCGAACACACGACCAACAGGGGTTCTCATTCGCTGTCCCTGCTCGCGTTCGGGTTCGACGATGCGATTGATTTCCACCTCGGGTACGGTCACCAGATGCGCAAATCGTCGACGGTGGTTTGTGGAGAAGTTTCAAGACCGCATCTTCTTCCACAACGACGAACTCTTCTTTCTCTGTTGGTCGCGATAGTGACCAATTGTTTACGGTCATCAGTGTCGACATGGGATGCATTGCGTCTCAAGTGCCTTGCTACGTACGATGGAACAGACGTCGCATGCATGACCGCGCTCAACAACGCCCAAATTCATAAACGATGTTGATTGTATACCCAGACCCAAGTTCCGACGATTACTACCGTTGCAAGGATGTATCCTGCGCAATTCCTCATTGGTTGCTTGAGCTCGGCAACCCAACGTCCCGCGCCCACTGCACCTCTTCTCGGTTCCAGATGCCCGTTAGACATGTCGCTTGGCTAACGAACGCCGTAAAGAATACGGTCATCGCTCCAAACGATCACTTTTTGATTACGGCGCGTGACTGAAGACTCTATAGAGAATGACGGTCCGCCCTGCTGCTTCTTTCGATGCATTTCCTGCGTTTGCCTCGTTTTACCGGAGTTTGCTTCCTGGGTAAACCAGCTTTCCGCTTTCAGCGAGATTGTTTGTCGGTCCACAAGATACCCGTTGACAGGTCTCACACAGTTTGCAGAGGCCCGTAGAAGGCTTGTTTTGGTTGTTTTGAGCTAGACCCGCAGCCGTTATGCAGGCAACCGATTCTACTCAAGAGACAGTCGGCACAGACACGACTCTTCCCCATGCCGAAGACACACGAACATCTGGAGACGATGATTCAAAAGTGGAACAGCCGAAGAAAAGCCTCGAGAGCAAGTCTGCGCCCAACGAAACACAAGACCAAGCCCACACCCCCTCGCCACCAACAAACACAGATACCAAACCCCCACCCAACGAAAAGACCCCAACCGAAGCCATCGCGACTTCAGACGACAAAGATGAATCCGCCGCACCCGACGACGATTCCAAGTACCTCAGCGGCTTCAAACTCGCCATCCTCTCCGTCGGCCTCTGTCTAACAACCTTCGTCATCGCCCTCGACAACACCATCATCGCCACCGCAATCCCCAAAATCACAACCGTCTTCAACAGCCTCGAAGACGTCGGATGGTACGGTTCTTCCTACCTGTTAACAACAACCTCGCTGCAACCCTCCTTCGGCAAGATATACACCTACTTCGACGTCAAATACACGTATCTCTTGGCGCTCGTAATATTCGAGGTTGGCAGCATTATATGCGCTGCGGCGACGAGTTCGCCCATGTTTATTGTCGGCAGGGCAGTCGCGGGCGCGGGAGCTGCAGCGTTGTATTCAGGTGGCATGACCATCATTGGGTTTTCGGTGCCGTTGAGGAAACGGGCGATTTACATTGCCGCGCTCTCCTCCATGTTTGGCATCGCATCCGTCGTGGGACCTATCCTTGGAGGTGCGCTCACTGACCGCGCGTCATGGCGATGGTGTTTTTGGATTAATCTTCCGTTTGGCGCCGTGTCGCTGGCTGTCGTCTTTTTTTTCTTTACTAATCCCAAGAGGACGTACTCGCATCTTCCTGTCAGGGAGAGGCTGAAGAAGATTGATATCGTGGGAGCTGTGTTCTTGATTTGTGCTATTGTTTGCTTGCTTTTGTGCTTGCAGTGGGGTGGGTTTAGTTATGCGTGGAGTAATTCGAAGGTCTGGGGTACGTTGCTGGGTTTTGGTCTACTTATCTCCGTTTTCATCGGCATACAGTTGCGCCAGGAGGACCGAGCGACAATCCCTGTAAGAGTCTTTACCCAGCGGACTGTGTTGGTTAGCTGTTTGTACTCGACTTTACTGTCCATGGCTTTGTACACGTAAGTCCTTGTCAAACCTTCTAGTCCCCAGCTCGCAGTCTAACAATCATTAGGCATATCTTCTACCTTCCCTTCTACTTCCAGGCTATAAAAGGGACCACGGCTGAGGAATCCGGTATCCGCACCATCGCTTACCTCGTCAGCATCACCTGCTCATCCATTGTGATCGGCGGCCTCATCACTGTTGTCGGTTGGTACGCGCCTTTCATGTGGTTCGGCAGCGCCATCTTCGCCATCGGCGCAGGCATGCTGTACACGCTCAAAGTCTCTTCCCCACCAGGTCAATGGATCGGCTACCAGATACTCGCCGGTATCGGCGCAGGAGCTGGTGTACAAATCCCCTTTGTCGCAGTACAAGTCGTGACGAACGAGAAGGATATGCCTACAGCCAATGCCTGCGTCATGTTCTTCAACTCTCTCGGTGGTGCGCTGAGCATCTCTATCGCGCAGAATATCTTTGTCAATACGCTGGGTAAAGAGGTACCCAAGTATGCGCCGGGATTTGACGCGAGGATTGTGGCAAATGCTGGGGCGACGAACCTGAGGGGTGTTGTGCCGCCGGAGATTCTGCCAGGCGTGCTGCATGGGTATAACAATGCGATTGTTACGGCATTCATACTTGCGATTGCGACGAGTAGTATCGCGTTCTTTGTCAGTCTAGGCATGGAACAAAAGAGTGTCAAGGGGAAGAAGATCATGGCAGGTGGCGGAGCGTAGACATGCTCGGCGGTGTTTAGATCGATTTGTAATTCGGTCGGTAAGTAGACTACCATAGCTGCTTGTCATGTGCTGATAAGGCACCTTGAAGAGTTTCCATATCTTGACCTCCTACTCATCTGCAAGTCCCACAATTGCTGTATCGTGATACATGGTCAAGAATCTCAATACCTACCAAGACGTCCGAGAAGATGCTTGCGAAGAGCCTTCTTCTCATCCAAGCTCAAAGTCGCCAGCATCTCAGCCGTGATGATCGCATCGCCTTCCCCATGCTTGACCTCCGCACACACTCGCTCCATCGTCGCCATCTGATAGCCAAGCAGTTTCTCTTCTCCACCTCTAGTGTCTCTGTCGCGGCTATCAGCTGACATATCCTCAGCCTTGTCTGTCTTCAACGCCGTCATACCCTTCAAATTCAAGAACAAATTCCGCCTCTCTTCCTTTTTATTCTCCGTGTTTGTAGCCTCGGCCAACGCCGCCTCAGCCTTTTGCCAATTTCTGTAATTCAGTTCAGAATTGGTCTCTACCCAACGACGGTAGGTATTTTGCCTCAGCCTCGCTAGCTGTCCGATCTTGGCTGCTTCGGTGCGGATCCATTTTTCGCGGACGGGTTCCTGTGCTTTTAGGCGTGCGCGCGCTTCTGGGGTGTGATGATACTTGCCCTGGATACTAGAAAGAGGAGGTGGTAGGATAAGGGAGGTGGATCTTGTGGGTGGACGATCTTGTGTAACTGGTCCCGATACAGAACTAAAGAATGCTGGAGTAGGTGGCATGGCACGCACAGAGGTCGCAGAAACGGGTAATGTGACTAGCGTGGGCGGATGAGCGGACGGAACATTTTTCGGAGCTGACTTGGGGCATAATGCAGTAGTCGGAGTGAGAGTCCGGCGCATGGATGGCTGCGACGGCAGCTGGAACTGTGTCGAAGGTCTAGCTATGGGAAACCTGGCAGACTGTGAGCCGTACAAAACCAGCTTAGAGTCTACAAACGGATCAGTGTGCTTTCGTACATGTCCTGGGCCATTGATGAAGATGTTTCCTTCGTCGTCGATTTGTGCGCTGCGTGGTGTGATGTCGAAGGCTGGTAAGATCGATCCAGTGGATGCGTAGCGCTGTACGGTGGGCGACGAGGGACCTCGCTGTCTGTGCTTTGATCTCTTCATATCTGTACCATGTTCCGCTGATCTTCGCCATGCCATCTCGTAGTCTCGTAGAATAGTTCCGTTCGGGACTGAGCAGAGTGGTATACCGTTAGTCTCGTGGAGTTGCTTCCCCGTACTACCAGGGCGTGAAGGAGATGGAATACCCGATAGACCTGAAATCCAGTCACCTTCCATACGGTCGTAAAAATCTGATCGGTCCGGCGTGTGAAGGGTTCTCGGTGATCCTCGTGGGTTGGAGAGGTTCGCCGGGTGAGGGTCATCCTGGAGACCGAGTGCGCTGGAGTGGGCAGTAGAGCGCAGCGGTCTTTGCGAGTGTTTTTCTTGCTTATGAAGCCAGCCAGAAGACGTACTAAAAGTGGCCAGCTTCGCGTAAGCATGATCAGAACCGCCGAAGTAAGGTTGACGTGGTGACTCAGTCGAGATTCTGAGAAGCGTATGACTACGGTGTGAGAGTGGGGTCGCTAGGCCAGTGGTGTTCAAATCTCGATCGAAACTTCCTTCTGGTACGATACTGGCAGGTTTAGGAACCGAAGCTTGCACATAGCCGTTATGGCGACCTTTGTAGCTGTTGCTCAGCTTCACTCGGGTGTCAGTCAAAGGAGATTGGACAACGCCTCTATCTCCACCGTTTCCCGCAGTGCCGCCAGACGAGTCCTGAAGTCCCGGGATATCAATGTTCCAGATTGATGCGGTGTTGGTAGAGAGCCGTCGGTAGGCGGGTGAGTGCATCGATTCTTTGAGCGCGCGCTGCGAATTCTCTAATGCGTTGCTCCACTTCTGCGACTCAATATCCTGGGGGGAAGGGTACAACTCGTCGAATTCGCGCATCGAAGTCGGAGGCTTGGAGTGACTCTGGCAGCCGCCCACGCTGGTCATGGTAATAGTGTTGCGTTAACGAGTGGTGAGTGTAGCAATTGTTGCGACAACGAGGGTATTTCAAGGTAGGAATATCTACGCAGTCTTAGCGCAGTAGGAAGCGCAGTGAGTGAAGATTCATTTGAGCGTGGCCGCGCATCTTTTTCGGCTGCAAGTTGGGGTGAAGGCGACTCGATGCGGTCACGCAAAGTGGTGAACGTGGAAGGCAGCTTCTTGCAGCGAAGAAACGTGACATCTTTCTGCGCAAGTGAATTAGGCTGGGACCTTGTATCACTACACTGACCTACTATATGCAACATTGGGACGCTTATGACTAACCGAAACGAGGAAGCTGCTTATCCTATCAGCGTGCGCAAATATCTTCGGGAAGAGCTTTAGCCAGGTGTCGTCGCCGTACATGACTAGCTTGCCTTTCTCGCTACCATAGTCCTTTGTCTTGATTTACGCAAGCCATGTGTCTTGCGTAGCAAGTGTGATCGTGAATTGAGATGCTGTCCGTGATTCTAGGTCTGGTGTGACTAGAAGCCTATGGTAACCAATGAAGTACGATACTGGCTGAGTGTAAATAACACTACAATACCCTACCAGCCGAAGGGCTCTGAGCCAAGTCAAATGGATGTTCAACCAGCGATAGCGTACCGTGCAATTGTGACTCATCTGCAACACTCTCTCGTGCGCCCATGCTCATGTGTACATGACTTCCGAGATCCTTCTCTAAGCCGTCGCAACCTTCTAGCACACACGCTTCCTCCCACCCGCCACCTACTTCCTTCTCCTAACGCAACACGCAAAGAAGCGATCACCGTTGGCCCTCCGCGCTCTCGCCCTCTCCAACGTACCAAAGTCCTGTACGAGTCCCTACTCCCCACATTAGCCAAACTATCACTAGAATAGCGAAACGGGTCGCACATACACTGTTCTCCGGAACCTGCCTCTCCAATGTACCGACACCTCTCACCAGTCCCTATGCATTCTTGTCAGCTTCAATCGCTACTAGACTGCAAGTCAAGCTAGTACAGGGATGCTTACACTATCCTCAGGCACAGGCACAACTCGGATATCAGCCTGAACTCTAGTTGCAGAAGAACAACTCCGTCGCAAAAAAAGTGCCTTGCTTCCACCCTGGTCTCCGATATCAGTTTCTGTGGTCGTAGAGCTCTTCAGTGATGGAGGTGTGGGAGCTCGGCCGCGCGTTGGTGTAGAGGATTGTTGCGTGACCATTTGTGGAAGATCTGGGTTGCGGACTGTTAGGGGCGGAGGAGGGGGAGCGTGAAGTGGTGGTGGTAGAGGCAGTCTGGAGAATCCTTCGCCAGCGACTGAGGGTTGGGGCTCGGCGAGAACAGGGATATCATCCTTGGAGCTGGTTGAGCCTGACGTGTGTTGGGAATCGGCCTTTACGTTTTGCGGCTCGGCGACTTCAACCTTCGACTTGCCTTTCAGCTTCATCTTCTTCTGGAAATCCAGCAGGCTAAGTGCGCGGTTCCGAATAGGTACGCGTGAAGCATGCTGCTCTTCCTTTTTCTGTTGCTTCTCTTCCGTCTCATTGACATTGAGCTTCTTCCTCTCTTCTTGCAAACTCTCCCTCTCTACCTCCAGCTGCTTCCACTGTTCCTCACGGATCATTCTCCTGTTTTCCAAGCTGTTACCTCTGATTTCTTCGCTCATATCCTGTCTCAAGTCAGCCGATGCGATCGTCAAATTGCGGGAAGTATACTCACTACTTCCCCCCCAAGCCTCCACTCACCCTCCTCCCTCATCAATGCCCTCTCCCTGGCCTTCTCCCTCTGGTCTCTAGCAGCTACTCTATCCATCTCCTTCCCATCATCATCAAGGTCTATAACCGCGACTTCGTCCTCATGGGGTGCCATATCATTCTTCGCCCTCCTTCTCACTCCCTCTTTGAAGTCCGCAGCACCGTACGCTTCTTCGAACCAGTATGGTTGAATGTCCCCCGTTCTCTCTCGCGCGTATCTGTATTCTGGGTCGCTAACGTGGCAGCGGTAGCCTGTAAGGTAGATTGTTGGTGCTGGTGGAGATGATGTACGGCGAGGTGATTTTTTGATTGAACGGAGTGTGGGGTAGATTGTTAGGGATGGTGAGCTTGAGATATCATGGTCTAGAAGAGGGGATTCGAAGGGTTTTGAGCCTGAGATGTGTGCTGGTAAGTCCGCCATCTCGAAGTTATCCAGTAGAACAACGGGTAGATGACAGTGTGGCAGATCGGCTTATGCAGGGAGATAGTAGCTGAATGGGATGATATGTTCTTTCGAGGAAAAGGCTTCCAAACAGTGTGCAAGTTAATCGGATACCCTAAACGATATTATGCATCGTACTGCCCCAGCAACATCTTGGTTCATTGTGAGGCAGATTTACGTGCAAATTATGACTGCTGGGACATTATGGACGATTATTGGATAGGCATTTCCCAGCGCGACGCTGTGGCTGGCTGAGTGATGACTAAATGGATATGGTGGTGTAATTTCTCGCGACCAGGAACAAATCACACTCGGCTACTGGTACGTTAGCAAGAGCCCCACGAGTGTACCAGAGTAGTAGTATTGCGGTGATGTAGAAACTGCTTCATGCGATGTAACAGGGTCTATGCCACTCCATCCCTTTAGACAATCTGTCCACATCCTATGCCAGTTTTCCTGGCACAAACGGCAATCCCCCGCTCAACCCCCCATCCACCGCCCAAGCCTGCGCATTAACATAGCTAGCCTCATCACTTGCCAAGAACAGCACCGCCCTCGCGATCTCATCCGGCTGCCCTCCCCTCTGAAGCGGGTTCAGCTGCCCAATCTTCTTCTCACTGCCCCTCTTCCTCGCCGCGTCGTATGTCACCCTAGTCATACCAGTTTCGATGAGGCCTGGGCAAACAGCATTACATCTTATACCCGAGCCAGCAAGTTGATACGCGCACGTCTGCATCAGACTGATCACTGCAGCCTTTGAGGCGGAGTAATCCGTAGGACCGGCGTTAGATCGGAGACCTGCTACACTCGCCGTGGCGATAATGCTTCCGCTGGGGTATGGTTTCTGATCCGACGTCTTGAGCATAGCGCGAGATGCGTGTTTCGCAGCGAGGAAGACGGAGAGAGCGTTTGTGCGCAACACGTTCATGAAGCCTTCTACCGACTCCTCCCAGAACACCTTGCCGGATGATATTCCCGCGTTGGCGAAGAAGACATCAAGACGGCCGTAGGTGTCTAGAGCTTCTTGGCAGACCTTTTGTACTGAAGCTTCATCTGCGGCGTCGAATTGCCGAGTGTGGATCTCGGTCGACGGGTATAGCGTGTTGAGCTCGCGCTTGTGTGTCTCGAGGTTGGAATCGGCGAAGTCGCAAACGTAGATTGCGCGAGCGCCATTGCGCGCGAATTGGTGTGCGCTTGCGCGGCCGATGCCTATTTCGGAGTTTGCACCTGGAAGCGATGTTAGACGTAGATGTTGTGCGGGATGTGCTGGGAGTGGTAGGCATACCAGTAACGATGATTACTTTGTCTTTGACGCGTCTACGTACAGTCAGTATTCGCTCGTCCAGCTACAGGCCCGTGCCACGATTCCTTACTCACTGGCTGCCAAGGTCCCCAGCGAGGCTTCTGATTCCCTTCAGACCCTCGAATGGTTTCGGCTCAGGTAAAGGTTCGGAGAGCTCCTTGCTCACCCCTTGCCGTTCGACCTTGAGTTGTACGCTCGGCATGTTGTAATCGTCCTCGTGATTCGAAAAATCCAGTTATGCAAGAGGTCGCAAGATGATTAGTATGAAATCCACAGTCGAGTGAGTTGTCAGCGCTTTGCACGGGTATCAGAGCTGCGGAGTTCAATGCGGAGGTCGCAGAATCTGGGGAAGATACCGAGCCGAGGCAAAGCTATATCTGGATTAGCGTGACAGCATACGTCATCGATACCGCGGCCACTGGTGATGTTAATGCTACATGCATGTCTGCACTCAAGCATCCGTAACAATGTCTGTCGTCAACAGTCCAGCATCAATCGAGCGGCAGTGAAGATTGTGTTTATGGTGTCATGCAACCAAGTGAACACCACCTGGGCATCCTTCGCAATATCAGGACTTCCGGGATCTATAGATGCAGCTTGAGTCATCAAATCAATACGTGGAAATGCCGACCAATCAACAAAGAGTAGCTGAGCATACTTACAGTGAGTAGTGGGATGGAGCCGGCACCTTATCTCAATCTACTGGAGATAAAAGAGAGCATTGGTGAAAAGACGGATTCCTATGAGAGCGAGAATGTTTGGATGATCGTCGCGCATGATGTGTAGGTGTTTTAGGAGTTGTGGATTTTATTCCCAAAGTAGCTAAGATATAAGAAAAGGGCGCTTGAAAGACAGGGGCAGGATGGGGATTTCGTGGAGATTTCCCGTATGTGGCGAAGGGAAAGTAGAGCATGATCGGAAGCTCAGTTCCGCAAAAGAGTAGATGCAATGCTTTTTGAGTATTCGTCCGTACTGGCCTCCGATAAGCCTTGAATAGCATCTGCCAGCTCGACTCATATGTCACTCATCAGGTCAGCAATAGCCTCCTTTCCGTTCCACATCTGACGTAGAACAAGGTTTTCTGGGCCTCGTTAGTGTTTCTCATCTTTCGAGTCAATGTTTTGATCTCGACTTACGCGTCACTTCTCCAACCTGCTCTTGCAGCTTGCAGTAAAGGTTCTCTACCGCCTCCCATGTCGAGTCGCCGAGTTCGCTCTCGGCTAGTAGCTTCCATTCCGCAAATGAGTCAGGCTTGGTGTAAACGATAGCTTGGGCCGTGTAGAACACAATTGGCTTCCTGATGGATGATCCGGGGGGTGGAAGGGTGGGCGGGAGTGCGGAGGTCAATACTGAAAAGGTGTAGTGTTTGGTCGGGTATGAATGGCCATGAATCGCGCGAACCTGGTCTTGATAGCACATCAGTCGGGCACGAGGTGGATTGCGTGGATCTCATTACCGATAATCAGAACCTTCAAAGCTTCAATCGTTTTGATAGAGTTCACGAGCGACGTTGGCGGATTGGCTGGTGCCATTATGCGCATGGTGTAGTGATCATCGCTCGAGGTAGAGTTAGATTGTTCTTCGGAACGTTCCGAATCGGAATAGGAACGTTCCTAAGAACAGGAACATGAACATCAACGTCTCAAAACCATCACAACAGCAATACCATATCAATCCTTGACTTTTGAAACTGATGAAAGTAGACTTGGCTAGATTGTAGCCGAGAATCAAATCATGCATCTTGATCGAATACCTAGGTAGTCACCGGGAAGCTGTTTATCATGATAGGATCATCCTCTCTGCTCTCTAATCTCTATCATGAGTCATTCCGGTCCTTGTCTCGCTTTTTGTAGTGTGCAGTAGAGGTTCTCTACCACCTCTAATGCCGAGTTGCCGTCATCGCCCTCAGCGAGTAGCATCCATTGCGCAAATAAGTCAGGCTTGGTGTGGACGATAGCTTGGGCTGTGTAGACCGGATTTGACTTCTTCGGTAAGACGGAGCGTGGGATGGCGGAGGCCAATCCCTCTTCTTGTTCTTCTTCTCCTCCCCTTGAGACGCTTTAACGTAATCAGAAACTCCATTTCTACGTACGTTCAGAGTTTTCCGCCTGAAAGAGATGCCAATCCGCAAGTAATTGCAAAGTATAAGTCTTTGCACGCTCCACGAAATCGTCGGCTGTACCAGTGCGTTTCTCCCCAGGAACCTCAGCGCAACTAGAGTACGGCTCCCCACAAAAATCGACATTAATGAGTTCAAGGACCCTTTCTTCCAGTCTCTTTGCATTGTCTCCAGAGAGAATATATGCGAAACCACCTGCCAGATGTACTAGGATGTCATCAACCCCAAACCACATCATGAAAGCAGTCATTTCAAGATCATTCGGTAGAAGCTCTGGGGGAAACCATACTTTTCCGACAATCTGGAAATACTTGCTTGCCTCACTGACCTGACGGAGGACAAAGCCGTAACTGTACGCTGTAGGCACGATCCAATCATTGACATTTATTGTCGCGCTTGCAAGTGCGCAACAGGTGTCAGATCGATCCACGGCGTGAATGTACACATACGTGGAATCTGTGGCCCGTTCTATCCTCCACACACTTTCTGATGTGATCTGGAAGCCACCTTCCACGATTTGTAACTGCTCCTGTTCTGACTGGTTTGCTAGATGAACTAGGTCCTGGTCCGCAATTTGTGCTGTGGTAACGGTTCTCTGACGGCGAGAGTCAATCCCTGATATTACTTCCTCCGCATCCGAGCCAACCCGAAGCATGTAGAGGACTAGCTTAACAAGCTCGCCTATCTCGTTGAAGTTCAGCATAACCTCTTTCGCTAGATCATAGCTAGACTTCTTATAGTCCGGGCGAAGAACACCATCGATGGTGGCAGCTGCCTCAATCAAAACTCCATCCAGCGTGAATGTCGTACCTTCACCCCAGTTCGTTAAGGAGAGGGTGCCGTACACAGTATCCCGCGGATCCTGACAATGTCGGTCTTCGCACATGGTAAGCATCTTTGCTAAGAACAATTGCTGTCGTTCGGACGTCTCATGAAGAGTAACTGCTCGCTCGCGGAGCATGTCTTCAAATCCAGCACCGAGACCTGAGCCTCCGTCATCAAGAAAGCTGAGCACATCAGTCCATCGCGCTCTACTCAAGTAATCTTTGCCAGCTTCTAACGCCGTGAGTTTGCGCAGTAGGATAGGTGGCTCTTTGCCTGCCGCAATGTCATCTCGATGCCGGAAAACCCATTGTGTTTTTGCATCGACCCACCAGAAAAGGATTGTGGGAAGCGAAAGCTCGTCAAGATCGCATAGGATGACTATTTGACGAGCAACAAACAATTCCTGCAGGATCCAGATCCGCCAGAAATACGGCCGTCGAGCGAAAGCATCAAGAGCCTCATAAAGTCGTACTATGTCCTCGTCTGCGAGGGCCTCCAGCCAGTGCTCACTATGCCAGATTGTCCAGCCTTTCTCATCTGTCCAATCACGACCTCCGTCGCTGAAGACTGCAGATGATTTTCCGTGTGAAGCCAAGTATGTATCGAAACTCCTGAGGGTGTCGGCCATGAACTTGCTGTCATCTTCATGCATGCCAACACAAGATAGTACGCAATCCGCACGACTGAAAATCTCCCCCATCATTGCGACTTGATAACTCTTCTCGGTATCATTAGTTTGATCGATACAAATTGCGTCCACCCAGTAGTACTTTGCCGTCTTAAAATGGGCTAATTGTCGCAGCACATTTGCACAATTCTTGCGTACCGTCACCCGTCTACGGTCATTGCTTCTGTCCTTCGCATCCCCGTTATCGCCGTTACATATTGTAATATTTTCTTCGGACGCGGAATCGCCCCATGTATACGAAACCGCATGATAGGCTGGTGCGTCAAGGAATGGAACAGAGATAAGTGAAATTTGAATGTCAGCGACGCCTGCCTCACCACAAGCGAAGACGATAAGCAGCCGAATGTGCGTCGCAGGGTTGGGAAGGATAGGGAGGAAGCCCTCGTTTCCGGTATTGATCTGCATGTGATTGGGTTTGGGTTGTATATCATCGGTGCCGCGTGTTTAGAATACTACGTTTACATAGATCATTGAACTTGATGTTTGGTGATGACAAATTCAAGCCCCTCGATGAGCAGATCCATCACTGCGCTTGACCAACGAAAATAAGCGAAGCGACAAGGCGGCCAACGGCTCGGAGAATGCGATTCCCCGAGCCTTCAATTTCCCGCAAGCCAATAAACTACGCCCATTAACATCATATCCTAAGGCGATGACAGAAGGAAGAAGTAAGCTTCAGTTCGGAGTGCTTCAGGATCTTAACAATACCCAGCCTTCCCCTAGGTAAGTTACTTTTAAAACTGTAAGCCCAGGAGATCTTGCACGGTCACGTGGATACTCCTCTAGCCAATCATTCCACTTAGGATCCATTAGTTTAGAGGAGGCGAGCGTTTCTAGAAATCCATCCTGGGAACTCTCGATAGTGGGACGTAACGGTATCACACCAAGAAACAAGCGTCTACGCTCGTCATAAGAACGGAGTGGAAATCTCAAAGAGCCATCAACCAAATATATGCTTTCGAGTACCGAAATGTTCTTGAGTGCCGACATGATTGAGTGAGTTTCGTCGATATGAAATGGCTTCAGTACAGGGGGATAGAGTTCCAGTAAGTGTCTGATTGCATGCACACGGCCGTTTTACTTTATATCTTAGTTGATCGACTGTATTTGATTATGAGGAGACAGTCCTACTTAGGAGTCTTGGAGGTCAGCATTACCGGCCGTACTCTCTAAAAAGGTCCATACAATCCCTTCCGATAGCTTGTTTCCAGTCCTTCCTAGCTTTTGTAGCCCGTTCTGTGCATTGATCACTATAGGACGAAGAGTCCACCAGTCCAACATTTGCATAACGTAGCCTCCTTTTGGTACTGGGGTGATAGTAATTTGTCTCCAACTACTATTCTCCTCTGCCGTGCACTTAAGTCTTCCATCACCACCATGGCATATGAACTTAGATGAGACGCAGTTTCGGAATCCAAACCAGCCTTGAGTTTCTATACACGTCCACAGGATAGATCCACGACCGCTAGGCGGAGCTAGTACGATGTTCCCATCAAGCAATGTAAGTACATTGCCGCATGAGATAGAGCGAATGATGACGGTGGATCCATGTGAAGGTACCCAACTTGGCGAGGCGTGATCTTCCACGAGGTCCAAAGTAACGTTTTCGGTAGTCGTGGTAGGTGTATAGATGCTAGAATCGTCTAAGTCTGAGACAGACACAGCATTGGGCTGATCAGTGTCCTGAGAGACCATGTTCGACGATTAAAGAGCCGTCTTAACTGCAGCGTTGACAGATAGAGCGAACGCGCTCAGGTCTGCGCAAAGTCAAGGAATGAGTACTCTGTTTCACAACCAAATTATACCAGGTACTTACCCAGTTACAAAACTGGCCCGCTTATCTTAGTCGTCGTCGTCGTTGTTGTGAATCGATACCGGTGCTGCCGCGGGGCACCGGTACCTAGGTGGGGCACTTTGCGGTAGTTCCTGCTGGCAGTGTGGCGCATGCTTTGTTACAACTGCGCAGGAGGGGAAGCCAATTTCGCTAAGCGCTGTAGCTTAAAAGAGCTAGGAAGCGCTATTAGAAACGTTCAACCACTGCATGCGGACCCTTGAGCAGCATCCCGCTACCCGTGTGTCTTGTTGTTCCTTCGTCTTTGCTGTAAGATAGCGAGGAAGTATCCTTTCACGATCTGTAGTAGCCAAGAGTGTCCGCCCTCTCCCGACCACGTACACCCTTTATACGTATTATCTAGATTGCATTAGCGTCTCTTGCCTCTTGGGCGGAAGGAGTCCTTTCACTTATGTGTGACTCTCCCGAACTTGTCTCATGACAGGAATTACTTCTTTTTTTAAGCGGTTCTGGAGTTCCAACCTGATAGAGATATCTTCGAGCTTTGTAGCATGCTCCAGAAGCGCTTTCACTTCGAGTTCCGACAGGCTGAGTCGGTATGATACTGTTGTCAAAAGCAGCGACTTCAGGACTGTGACGTTCTTCTGTTCCATAGCAATACCAATCGGCTTGCCCCAAAGACCCAAGTCCTTCGCTCCTGCGCGCTCGTTGACATCTATCAGGTTATCGTTCAACAGACGCTGAGCAACAGCATCCTGGGACTTCGCAATAGCATAAGACAACGGTGTAGGCCCGATGAAAGTCTCCAAAAGCTCATCGCGATATGGTTCACGTAACCACTTGAGACAGCAAAAGGTCTTCACGACTGGATGAATAGGATTTCCGGTCCCATGCATAGTGAGATACCAGTTCGAAAAAGCTGGACGGTACGTATCTAGCAGATATCGGACTGCACCAACACGGCCAAGTTCGATGGCTCTATCGAACAGTTTGCAGAAGCTGGCTCCCAAAACATCGATCGCTGACTCCGGAGTTACATATCCAAATCGCCGGGCGGTTGGAGCATGATCCAGAGCTGACCAATGAGATGATCCGGAGATTCGTTGCAGACTTTGCCCTGTTTGATTAATCTGAGTAAGTTATTCGAAATAGGGAACTGCATGACTGGAAGTTCCGCTAAGTGTGTCAAGACGTGTGATTTCGCGTAGTGTTGGAAATAGAGGTCATCCATATTTGGAAGGACATGCCGCTTGACCCTGTTTGAGAGGGTCTTGGGAACATTGAAGTCAGGCTTCCTTTTGGATCTTACGCGTTTCAAGATTATGGCTTGAACGACTTTGTTGGAATTCGTCATGGACTTGATGATGTGAGAAGGCGCAGACCCTACGTCAAGTGTAGGCAGACGAACGGCAACCTCATTTCCAAAGATACCGTACCCGAGGTAAGTAACGATGATCGATGAAATCATTTCTTTCGCATCATCCATTGTGAAGTGAACCCATTCTGAGATGGTTGGAGATTTGGAGCTCTCTTGAAGCAAGAACTGATTTACACTTAGGTGTATTGTACGTATTGTCTGTTCCTCCTCGTCAACAGTAATGAGACAGCCGCATGTAGCTAGTGTTGGGTGAACGCTGTTGAAGACTTTGGAAGGATCCCATGCTGTATCGCCGGGTGTCACGCTAAGAGCTTCCCGCATCTCGTGTGCTGTGAGTGGCCGTCTCGCAGCTATGATGAGCTTGAATGTATTTGACTGTAACGATCGCCCTGGTGCTTTCGCTTGCTGTAGTATCTTATCGTAGATCTCAAAGAGATCTCGCGGGAGATCGACAAGAGCTTCTCGGATGTCGTGATCTGTTTGCATCGCACAAAGCGACTGGATTTGCAGAGCTGCCCAGAGGAACATGTGCTCTGAACCTTGTGATAGTGCGTCTTTGATTTCGTCGATGATGTCGGGATCGCCTACACGCAAGGACTCGTTTAAAACAGCGGCTTCCAATTGCGCTGTGATAAATGCCTCGATGTCCGGAGTATTATCAGGAAGTCTAACAGTCTTCGCTCTTGGGAACTCGATGACGAAAGACTGAAGGTTTGCTTCAAGCTCTAGGCGGCGAGAGAGACAGGTGCGTATGTCGAATTGTGTTCTCATAAGTTCCAGTTGCTCGGTGATTTTCTTCCTTTCAGAGGAGGAGCACAAATCCAGGCCGTCAAGTACGATGTACATCCTGTGTCTGGGAGGAACAACACGATGCATCAGATTGATTAGTCGAGAATAATCATCGGTACCAATAGCTTCCGTCTCGACTAGGCGTTGTGGAAATAGGCTGATGATCTGGCGTATGAGGGCACCAATCACTGTCCTTGCAGCCAGACTTTCAGGGAGATCATGTCGGCAGAAGAAGTATGCCAGTCCAGAAACTTCAGGATCGGCGCGTAAGTTGAGATCATCAACCATGTTTGCAAGTATGACAGACTTCCCATATCCAAGCTTGCCAACCAAGATGAGTGTCTCGGGGCCCGACCCTTTTGCCCACTCAATGTACTCAGGCATCTGCGCGTACAAGGACGTGTTGCCAGCTTTCCGGATTTGTCTCCAGGTGGTCTCGTAATCATGAGTCGAACACCGATCCAACGTGTTCCGAAGAACAATTTGCTTCTGTTGCTGAGAAGCGCTCTTCGAACTCAGGTTCATCATGGCTCTGAATCTCGAATTAAGGTCGGCTTCCGTTTCGATTGTTCCCGCGATAAGTGTCGTAATTTCTGCTTGAATTGCTTTCGACCAGATCAGAAGATTAGATCGCGCTTCCTTGATATCAGAATCATCCAGTGATGATGTGAATTTCCCTAACGCAGACTTCTGGGCGTACTGGTGGTGTCAGAGACATATCTGAACAACGACGATAAAGAATTCGATAATGAAAGTTTGTAGTGTTTCTGAACGGGGATACAGCAATGCCAAATCTGAGTGCTGTCTTGTCGATTGGCCGGCTTCCATGAGAAGGAGTGACAAGCTCTCCAGGTACGATGCACGATTGGTAGTCGCCTGGAGGTAGCACGAAGTCAGAGTGAGTACAATAGAACAAGATGACCTCACCATATGGTCTCTTAGGTTTCAACAATAAACCGTAATTTGGATGAACACAATCATGGAAGGACGTACCAACAGACACGTGCGCACCACTGTCCATACACCACAGGCGATCAAATTTTGAGAGCCGCCTACAAGAATATCGCCGAGCGCAGCAAATTGTTGCACACCGTGGAGAAACTTGGTAAAACGGGGTCCGAAGCAACGTCCTCCCGCTTTCTGTGAGACATCAATCTCTGCTGTGATCCGCATGACATCCTTTGTACTTGGAGGAGAGCTAAGCGACTGTGCGCGCTGGTTTCGAAATGCGACTTTCTGGGTATCTGAAAGGCTGGCCTCGAACTGGGAAACAGCTTGAGCCAACCGAATCTCAGGCTTCAGAGAACCAGCCCTGGAAGAAACCAACGCCATGAAGGGCACGAGACATGAGCAAAAGTTGGACGCAAGAAGGCTACGAGGGAATTCCAGGGAGGAGAGTGAATGTCGTGTATTGTGGAGTGCCTTCACGGAGCAGAGGAAGCTGAGCGACCGTATAGCTACAGGTGAAGTCTGCCTCGTGCGGCTGAGGGGTGTATGGTCACGCTGCATAATACTGACGATGGGCCGCGGTAAACACATGCTTCCGTAATATGTTCCACCATGCTCACTGGCTAAGTTGTCCACACTTACCTGAATATCCAAACCCTACATGCGTGTGATGAAAGATTCAAGAATCTGTGATTTGACAAATTCAGGAATAGTTGAGGCAGGCTGCGAATAGGATTCCTCTTTCTAATTTAATGCGCGGATGATCCTTGAACTCTGCAAGATAGCTGTGGAAAGTCTGCCTGTGACTCAGCCTTGGGTTAGGACAATGGTGGCGTCCCATAGATGTGTCTCGATCAGGCTCCAAGGTACATTATCGATAAGCTCTGAGCACGTGCCATATTTGTCTTCCCGAAGACGCTTTGGGCCTCAAGCGCAGACCAGCTCTCGTCTCTACAAAGGAACATCAATCACCGCGCTAAGTCAGTCGTCCTCTATCAAAGCGCAATAACACGCATCTCCAACATCTGCATCACCTACCATCCACGAGGTCCCAATACCAAACTCCTCCGCACCCGCGTCCGCACTCTCCAACCCATCAACCACAAGCTCTACACGCTCTTCTTCATCCTCACCATCACCGTCGTCAACACCCAGCATACCACCGTCAACGCGTTCATGTCTGACCTTCCCCTTGTTCGATACTTTAATCCTCTGCATGCGAAACGCAAGCACAAACGGATCCTTATCGCCAATGTCCTGTGTCACGTTCCGACCCTTCTCAACACCTATATCTGGACCAGCTTGAACCGGCGCAAAAGCTGATGTCGCATCAACACCGAGATGAAGATGTATGCCTTTGCTCCGTGCATGTCTGATCGTTCCCTTGGCCCCGTATGCGATCTTTATTCCCGTGATCATGTACAGCTTTGTATCCCATAGCCAATTCTTGTTGTCCTGGATATATCGTTTGACATTTGTAGAATCAAGACTTTGCTCGATGTACTCGGTGGTAGGTTTGAAAGACACAGTCTCAATCCTTTCGCAGTTCCAAGTTTCTGTAGTTCCTTTAGAGATTTGAGTGTTGATGTCTCCGCCGATGCCGAGGATTTGCATAAGGAAAGAGGTCCAGATGCCGATGGTGTATGTTTTTATGTTGTCAAATTCGAATACATGGTTTCCTCGGGTGGAAGGGGGTGTCGATTGAGTGGTCGGTCTGCGAAGCGTGGTTGTTCGATGATGTTGCCTAGCCTTATGAACGTCTCTGGTGGCGTGTCGCGGGTTGGCGCAAGGAAGTACTGTAACATGTTTTGATGGATGTGAAGTCCTGGATATCAATGGCTCCATGATGTTACCCGCAATATATACTTGTCGCTTCTTGGGCTGTAGATTATTTTAGTAACAGTGTAGCGAACGTGAAGGTGGGCAGGCTGAGCGCGGCTGAGATACAGGCAGGCTGCAGCCACCACCACCAAAAGCCTCAATCGGACTGCGGACTAGCCTGCGATTCGTTCGACCCGAAATATCGCCGCCATCTTTGCAAGCCATTTTGGTTCGACAAATGAGCATTCTGATTCATTCGCTTACATCGCCGGATTGGTAGATATGAGAGGCTATCAATAGCGCAACGATAAAACAACCAGGCTGTATCAGATCATATCGGTTGCGGCTCTCCAGAGGGCTTTCGCACTCCTCTTTTGGCAGTCGATCGATATATTAGATCCAACATGAAGGCCATCCGACTCGTACTTTAGATACCCTGGCACTTAGTAAAGCATCACTATCGTTAGCCTCATTTTTTGACTATTTTTTTCTTTCCTTCATAATGACGGGTTCAGCCAGATCCATGGGCCACCAAATGTACAACATCCGTACGTTGATCGCTCAAGTATCTCTGCAGCATGAGAATACCACCTACACATCTCCAACCCACGCGGGCTCCGGACACGATCACTTTTCATACTCTCATTGGCATGATATCGTTGAGCGTGCTTGGTGGAAGCGGTGGGAATACCAAAGCTCTGAAACGCAGCGAAGCGACCAAAGAAAGCACAGATGTATCCCGTTCGAGGATGATTCTTCCTCATCGCCGAATAGGCAGGCCACATTCCGCGAAACGTTCCAAAATGAGTTTTTGGGTAGGCAGCGAACATTTCAGTTAGTGTACCATGATGTCTACTAGGAATCTCAGCTAACGTATAGATAGCATCGCGGATGAATGGTTTGAGAAGCTTGAGGCCAAAACGCTACCTCTTTTCAAGAAGAATAAAGACACTCGTGTTACGACTCGTTCCCGTCCTAAGCCGGTTCGTGTTGCAGTCTTAGACACCGGCATAGACCCAGAGTGCTCTTTCAGAACTCGTATTAGGGGCGGCAGGAACTTTTGCGAGGGAGAAAAGCGAGGAAATTTCTGGGAAGATGAGTCGGGCCATGGCACAGCAGTCGCATATCAAGTTGCCCGCATATGTCCGAATGCCGAAATTTACATCGCCCGAATAGCTCAACGTACGGAAGAAGGCGACACAATGGTACCCGATAGGAACGCCATAGTCCAGGCGCTAAAAGTAGCCAGCGAGGAGTGGAAGGTCGATATAATCAACATGTCTTTTGGTTGGGAGTTACAAGACGACGACGACGGAGTGGAAGAAGCACTGAACGCAGTAGGAAACTTGGGACATATTCTGGTCTTTGCCCCCTCAACCAACGGCGGAGCGCTAACTGACATCCTCTTCCCGGCTCGACACCGCGACGTCATTGCAGTGGATGCTGTGGATGGCTTAGGAAAACCATTTTCGAATACTGGATCCACAGAATGTGGTCGCAAGCAAGAACGTTTCTCAGCCCCTGGTCTTAACGTTGCAGCGCCGTATAACACTAGAGTGACTGGCAGTTCTTTTGCGTCCCCAATCGTTGCTAGCGTCGCAGGCCTAGTCCTAGAAATGTTTCGAAAGGAAATTCCGGATCTGAATGCAAGTATCTACAAGCGCCTTGGGACGAAGGGGGTCATGGAAAGCATTTTGAAGCTATTATCAAAAGAGGTGGAGGGTTTTAATTTCCTGCAGCCTTGGATCGAGCTCCAAACGGGGCACAGTAGGAGGTATTTCTGTGAGCGCATTATCAATAGCGTTATAAGACCTACGTATAAGAGGATAGGTATGTCGTATATGGGAACGGTAGATACACATGGGTGGAGTCCGACGATAGAAGCAGACTAGGAGGATAACGTGATAGGATGGAGGAATACTAGTGCATGGTTGTTGAAAGAGCTGAAGGATTCGGCTTCTTATACATGACACCCACACGATGTCAAGGTTATGGTCTTTGTGATGAGTAAGATGCATTCTGACGCGCAAGTGGAAAAATGACCACTATCGATAAGCCTCGCGCACGTACCACCGCGGCCCTTGTTTTCCATCAAGATTCCAGCACCCGGCCCGGGCGCAAACCATCATCGCATCCTCTGCAACTTGCGCACCCTCACCCTCACCCTCACCACCCACACACACACATACACACCCACACCTCAAACACCGCAACCTCCCCAAACCCGCCAAATACCTCAACCATGTCATCCTACCAACCCCAGCAAACCACCACCGCCGACCAAACCGCCAGCGCCATCGACGCCACAGCCCGTACCGTCCACTACAAGTGCGGCGACTGCGACATGGACGTGCCTCTCAAGCGCGGCGAGCCCATCCGGTGCAGGAACTGTGGTCATCGTGTGCTTTACAAGCAAAGGACTAACCGGTAAGTTATAACACATTTCTTCCATGTGGTGTGTCTGTGGTCTAGGAGGACCAGGGGCAAGGCAATGAACAAGATGAGAGGGAGAGGGGGGGTATGCGCGTGTTGAGAGGAGATGAGCAGGGAAGAAGTTTGGGGTGGAATGTGGTGGTGGAATGACGGGAAAGAGGGAGAGAGAGAGAGAAAGAGGCACAGACGGAGTTCTTCCAAGCACACACACACACACACACATGCATCTACACGCGGAAGAGCACAGAACGGCAATTTCCAAGTGGAACAGCAACAGTGCCCATTTGCAAAAACTCCAAGATAACAATCACTAACATATACCTAATCTAGTATGGTCCAATTCGAAGCCCGATGAGAAACAGCGATACAAGCTTCCTTCTAGTTGGAAAAGATCACGTGAATCACAGTTGCAAAACGGGGGGGGCGAGCGACCAAAAAGAAATGGACGTTGTAATACAGCGGAGTAGTTGGGATTAGGATGGGGGAAGCGAAAACGGAAGAACGTTCTAAAGCGTTCAACATCACAAGACTTGAAGAACAGGGGCGTTGGTGTGTTGTAGTCTTGTGCAACAACACGAGAGCGAGTTGTTCCAGAAGATTCAACGGGGCGTAATGGCATATATGTATTCACATATCGTCAGAACAGACGTACAGACAGACAGACAAAACAAGCGATCAAACTTTGCCAACATGGGAGAGGAGCCAGCCAAGAACGAACAACGAAGTTATCATACCAATTATTTTTCTTCATTCAACTCATAGAACTAAGCAAGCATCAGTACAAGGAGTTCAGTCTGCCGGAGCAACTTCTCGCCAAACACAAACTGCAAGGCAAAAAAAAAGGCGTGTATATAGCCATAGCAGAATGACTCAAGTCTTTTCTCTTTGTCAAGTCATCAACAATCCCATTTGCATCATCAATCACAAAACATGAATTCACAAATTGACAAATACCTCTCTTGCCACATCTGCGTTTTACCTGGGTAAAGAAGAAAAAAGCTTTCATTTCTTCCTTGTGACGCCTCCCCGCCATGATAATCTGCGCGCAATGCGCGAACACTTCCTGGTAGTATATCTGTTCTGATATGATGGTATCCGCCACAGCCACAGCCACAGCCAGAGCATATGTCATGTTCGTAGAGGAAGAGAACAGGGCATGGGGCAGTCAGTGGGAGAAGAGGACGAAAAAGACAAAGAAACCTCGTATGCCCTCTCTTCCTCAAATCGAACGAGCCCACTATTGCTTTCCTGTTCGAAGAACACATAGTCCCCCCCCCATGAACAACGCCCCCTCCCTCTTCCTCTTCTTCCTTCTCCTCCCCACCGCCCAACGACGACAACGACAACGAGGCGTCTACGACCCCCTAAACGCATCGAACCTCTTGTACGTGTATCCGATAAATGGCAAACTCGTCGCATACTCATCCTCATTAGCCGCCTGCGCAGCCTGCGCCCGATGCGCAGCAGATGTATCTTGCTGGTCAATCTCATCAATAGGGAAATACTGCGTATCAATGTTACTCTGCAGCTTAGGTTCAAACGGCGCGCGGATACGGCGGAGACCGTCCCAGGCGACGCCTCTGAAGAAGGGGTGTTGTTTGATCTCGTTGGCGCCGCCGATGCGACCAAGGCGGTGTTCGGCGTCACATATCAGACTATTATTTCAAATGTCAGTATTCGGGGGTGGTGGTTCTGAATGCCAAGCCTGGGGCTCGGGAACACAAGGCGCAAGTGAGAGAAGAAAAGACATACCGGCGAACAAAGTCCTCAGCCTCAGCACCAAGTTGCTGGTCAGGAGGGAAATGCAAGTTCCTCGGCCAATCAACAATCTTGCGGTAAGTATCATGCGGCTCCTCAGCGCAGAACGGCGGCCAGCCAATCAAACACTCAAACATAATCGTACCCACCGACCACCAATCGCAGCTGTAGTCGTAGCCCTGGCCGCTGAAAATCTCGGGCGCAATGTAATCAGGCGTACCGACGGTCGAGTAGGCAAGCTGGCGACGAGACTTACGCCATGTGTTGATTTGGGTACGGTTGCTGACAGTGAGTTGGATCTGGTCGAGATTCATGGATTGTCGGTTGTCTCTGTTCGACTTGTGGGCGCCGCCTGCGAGCAGCTTCTTGTAGTAGCCTGCGTCGTGCTCCTTGTGGAAGCCGGTCGAGAGACCGAAATCTGTCAGCTTGATGTGGCCGCCTCGGTCGAGAAGAATGTTGTCGGGTTTGATGTCACTGGGAAGATTAGACTTGTACACTGAAGCTCGCCAGTACTTTGTTCTTACCGATGAATGAAACCAAGCTTGTGGACTGCTTCTATCGCAAGCGTGATCTCGGCCATGTAGAAGCGCGTAATGTCCTCGGTAAAGATTTCGTACTTGATCAGCATGGTCATCAAGTCACCACCTGGCAGAAACTCCATAAGCATGTAGAGGAACGTGTTGTCCTGGAAGGTTGTGTGTAGCTTGACAACCCAAGGACTGTCGGACTCGGCGAGAATGTCACGTTCTGACCGAACGTGGGCCAGCTGGTCTTTTTTGAACTACAACAAGTCAGCCCGATACTTGAGGTGATGTATTGTGGATACTCACCATCTCCTGCTTGACAAGCGACTTGAGCGCATAGATCTTGCCGTCGTTGCGCCGTTGGACCAGCTTGACCTCTCCAAAAGCACCCTTGCCGATAATCTTGAGCGTGGAGAAGTTGTCGGGCTTCTCCTTTGTCCGCAGGAAGCGCAAGTATTCGACTTCGGCACGGCGCATGCTGTCTTCTTTGGATCGTTTCCGGCTGTCGGAGAAAGAGGGCTCCTTCATGATGGCGTCGAGTTCGAGAGCTCTGCAGGCAAGTTAGTCGTGTCGGGCAAGGAGAGGTGGGGTGGTTTGACCTTTGATTCCGGTCGCGTGCCCGCTGTACGCTGTCCTTGAAGAAGGTGTTGATCAGACTCTTGGAGACCATGGCCTGCTTGTCTACGTTCTCCGAGTACTTTGTGGGGTTTCGTTGGGGCGCCTCTTCGTCGTACAGCGAGGGGCCCTGGCGGGGCCCTGAGCTGCCGCCCTGGCTTCCATAGCCGTAGCCTCCTCTGTTGTCTGCGGTACGGGGGCGTCCGGGGTTGGGCGAGCCTTGTCGGCCGTACGGGCTTCCAGAGCGACCGCCGCCCGAGAGGTGTTGGTGCGAGAGTTGTTGGGCGAGGCCATTGGCACTCTGGTCGAAGCGCTGGCTGCCTGGCGCCTGGAGGTTGCCCTGCTGCCCTTGGTACTGTGCCTGCTGGTAGGGGTTCATAAAATAGCCGCCGCCGCCATTGTAGCCATTGCCCTGCTGGGCGCCCCAGACCTCTTGCTGGCCGGCCTGGTTGGGGTATACAGGTTGCGGGAATGTCGAGGGCGTCGTGGGGAATGCTCTGCCCGCTTCCTGCTGGTACTGGTTGTTTCGGTCGCCGCCGCCGAAGCCAAAGTTGAGCTGCAGGCGGTTGCCCTGCTGGTTGTTGTTCATCGTGGGCGAGTCGTTGTACACGATGTACTCGGAGGGGAGTCGGGGGGAGTCGGTGTGCGGCCGTGGATCACGTCTTGGAGGTTGGCTCAATAGCGGAAGGAGGTGCGAGTCTGGGCGGTCGAGACGGTGTTCGCACTGCAGAGGTTTCTTCAGTGCAGCGCTGGCAAGGAGAGGGAGGTGCTGGGGACTGCCGCAGTAGCTCGGTCAGGGATAACTTTAGGGTGCAGCAGGGGCCACCACAGCGGGGAACACTTCCAACACCTCAATGTGTTTCAGACACCCGGCCAAGTCGACGCATGTGCTCATTCCCGTGTTGGCTATTCACTTTGCTTGTGCCGCCGCTCCGCATTGAGCTAGCACGGCACGCGTCCCGTCTATGGCCACGCCGCTGCTGAGCCTCCAAACCCCGGACTCGAGTACATGAGCCTATCGATAGGAGCCTCACCGACAATCCACGACAAGAGGCACGTGTCAGGATACATGGATCAAAGACAAGACAGTCACGTGAAGACAAAAACATAACAACGTCAACCATCATCCATTGAACCATTATAGTACACAACCACAACAAGGTACTTTGCATCCGCCAAGGCGAGTGGCTATCCCCATACTACCATCCACCCATCCAATGCCAGGCCGAAAGCCAAACAAGGCCCGCAAAATATACGCAAGACCAAGCCCCTTCAACGACAACAACACTGATGATACCACGGACGGGTATAAAACAAGTCGACGACAAAAGTCTGCCGAGAAACAAACATCCTGGTTCCGCAGATCGGACCAAGCAAAAGGTTATACTAAGACAATATGTGAATATGTAAAGGGGTGAAGAGAAGTAGTATGCGTGTGATCGTGAAGCCCATCGTGGGTAAATGCGGTAGCGGTAATCAGGGGACCGTAAAACGCCGATGATGTAAAAAAAAAAACGTCCGGAAATACGATACGTTGATACCGAAGACGAGCTGGTCGAAGAGTCGAAAAGCCAAAGAGAAGATGATCGTGTATAAGATGTCGGCATAGTCATTACGCAGTCGCGACCAGGTTCTTTGATGCGCTCATAGCCATTATTGCGTTGACCTTTTTACGTCGGGCAACGACCTGAACTTGTACGTGTTGGCAACATCACGTCGTTCATGCGCTTGTGGCCATCAACGCCTTGACCTTTTCGCGCTCAGCCACAATCTCAGCTTGTAGTTTGCGTGTCTGACGCATAGCCTCGTCCCTGTTGAATCGTTAGTACTGAGCCCTCATCAATAGTATTCATAACATAGACATACCTCTCAAACTGCAAATCCGCAACCTCCATCTGCGCCAAGTTCATCCTACCAACGACCTCCTCCATCTCGTGATCCGCATCCCTAAGCGCCTTCTCCAGCTCCTCAACTCTCTTCTCTAGACTCTCCGTCTTTGTGGCTTCAGCAAGACTCATAGCGGGTCCACTGGAAGTGACATCCAGCCTCGGGGATCTCTGCGAGAAGACCGGACTACTTGGCAGCCTAGGCGAGAACGCTGATGGGGAAAGGAGACCGGATTTCACACGGCGAAGATGGTTTGTGTGGCTTTCTTTGATAGCCTGGACCTCGTCTTCGTGACGAGCGACGGCTTCTTCGGAAGACTGTTGAGCGAGCATGACTTTGTCTTCGGCGGCCTTGAGACGCTTCTCTAGCTGGATAATTTGCTCGGTGGACCTGCGCTGGTCCTGCTCACCGCGCATGATAGCATCGGTGAGACGACTCCTCAACGCACTGTTAGCAGTAAGCTGCTGCTGGATCTTCTCAGACAGCTCATCCATGCGGGTAGCTGCCGCGAACAGCTCTTTGCTAAGCTCTTGCTCCTTGCCCAAGTGCTCAATCTCGGACTGTTGAAGCGCACGAGCTTGTTTGCGGTATTGCTCTGCTTCGTTCTGTGCGTAGTCGCGTTCGGCTTCTGCGTCAGAGATACTCTGCTTGAGTAAATCCAGTGTGCGTTCTGCTTCGGCACCGGCAGCACCGAGTGAGTCTGCATCGCTGGATTCGAGCTGCTTGACGCGAGCGAGTGAAAGAGCATGCGTAGTTCGTAGCTCGTTGTATGCCTTATCCAGAGCCAGAGGTTCGTTTTCTATCCTTATCTCCGGGATTGAAATGTCGTGTTCGCGGAGTAATTCGCGAAGAGAACCAGTCTCTTGCTGTGCGCGGTCAAGGTCCATTCGTAGACCCCCAAGACCCTTTTCGCACTGCCATTTTTGCTCGAGGGCTTCGTCGGCGCGGCGACGTAGATTGTTGACTTCTTGGCGGAGACCGGTGACTTCCTTGTGGAATGCGGTCCGGCGAGGGGTGAGGTTCAGGGCGGCGTCTCTTTCGGCTTCTACTTCTTTGATGCGGCGCTGGAATTCTTTTTGTTGTAATTCTTGGCGATTCAACAGGAGTTTGAGTGCCTTGTGGAGCGCGTCTCGCTGCTCTTCTAGTTCTTTCATTGGGTTGGTAACTGTTGGTGCACCAACCGGCGATATGTCGCCTGACCTGTCCTTGACCGAGTTGGACCGTGACAACGAGCTCCTCTTCGAGTTCAGGCCACTGCGTGCGAGTGAATTCGAACGTGTCAGACCGACGCGCAGGTTTGGCAAAGGGCCAATGTCTCCTTCTTCGGCAATGGACTGGAATTGCGCGGGTTGTGGCGCCTGTTGCTGCTGCAGTCGTTGCTTGACTAGAGACTCGTTCTCAGTTCGCAACTGTTGGATCTCTTGTTGCATGCGCGTAGTCTCGTATACAAGCTTTTCTGTATCGGCTGCATCGCCTTCGAGCACTTCGAGGCGCGCCCTGAGCTGCGGTACCACTTCGTCCCGCAAATTGTCAGCCTCGTTGCGATGTTTCTCTAGCTCATCGCGAAGCGCAGTGAGGAGATCCTCGAAATTTTCTTTGACCTGCCTTTCCTCGGCCAGGCGCCTCTTCGCATCCTCGAGTGACATGGAAAGCTCTTTGACCTTGGGCGTTTCCACCATTGAGCCCGCTCTCGACTTGTCGGTGACCTGATCCTCGAGCTGCTGTACTTGCTCTTCCAAATCTCTTCGGCGTCGCAGCTCCTCCTGTAACCGCTCTGCCATGCGCACCTTTAGTGATGCTCGCTCCTGCTCTGCCTTTCTCCGTTGCATCTCCACTTCTTCAAGCTTGGCTTCGGGATCACTGATAGGAAAGCGTATCGAGCTCGTACCAGAATCTGAGTAATAGTCACTAGTCCTTCGGTTGTCGGGCATGACACTCTCGCTCGCAGCCTTCCAGCGTTCAACCTCGTCTTCTAATTCCATCTCTCTTTGGATAGAAGCGGCAAGTTCAGAGCTCACCTCGCGCAACTCGCGCTCGAGCTCCTCTACGTGAGCATTCATCTGGGGCGAGGACGATAGAAGTGGGGTTCCAGGAACGTTGAAATAGGAGCCGAGTGAATTGGCAGCGGGTATGTCCAAGCCGTTTGGTTTCGATTTTGATGTGGGCTGTTTGTAGCGTGGAGATTCAGGTGACGAATGTTCTGAGAAAGCGGTAGCCGGCGACTCAGGCCCGTTCTGAGGACGCGAGTTCCAGCCAAAGAAGGAAGTGAATCCACCTCCGCTTGGCGACTTGGGCTTTGTGTTTTGTCTCGCGAGTGAAGGCTCGTCGGGACCGTAGTTGTAGTCGTCCATGAAGTCCTCGGTAACACCGTTGAGGTCGAGTTTAAGGTCTGGCGGTTGCGAGTTGTTGTTGCTATTATTATTGTTGTTGTACAAGGGCATATTCGGCATAGTAGGAGATCGAGCGTGTGCTCCCCGGATACCGAAGGCTTTCAGTGCCTCGGTCTTACTCTGTCGTTGGGGGGTGATGCCGCTGACCGATCGATCATGCCGCGCGGCAGACGGGACAGAGGGGAGAGCTTTGTTGGAGCCTCGCTTTGCGACCGATAGAGAGCTTGCACGAAACGACTGGGAGAATCGGCGGGGCGCGGCTGCCGTCAGAGGCGTCCTTCCATGGGGGTTGCTGTGTTGTGTTAGTGAGTGTCAAGGAAAGGAAGGCGCGCGTGGCGAGGAAGAAGTAAACACTCACTCGTCGAGGTTCCGGGGCAGGAAGAGGTCCTCGTCACTCAACGGCGGCGAAAGGATATTGTCGGGGGCGCGTCCTCCTTGAGTAGGGGGACCAGAGTGCTTATCAGGGTAGACTGTAGCGATTGACGGTTCTCTAGATTGTCGATCGGCAGCAAAGCGACCAACTACGGGAGAGTTTGCAGGTAGGGGCTTCCTGCGTACCGGGGACTGGACGGCGACAGGCACAGCTTGGGACGACTGGGAGCGAAAAGCAGCAAAAGACGATATGGCAATCGAGGCCAGGGACGAGCCCTTTTGGCGAGGCGGCGAGGCGTTGTTGGGAGGATGCGCGCCCTCGGGGGACGCTTGGACTGCTTGCATATTATCGTATTATTCCCCCGCGATAGACATGACATGCACAAATGATGAGCGCAAAGAGAGGTGCAGAGTCAGCCAAAGTCGGTTGTTCGAAAAAGGGGACCCGCCTAGCGAGCCCAGGCACATGTGCCGGCGAAGGGGCGCTTTGGGGTTGAAGAGCAGATCGCGGCCCTGGAATTGGTCAAATCCACGCGCTCATCCGTCAGCACCTGGCTGCGATGGGCGGTTCGCGCTGCTCGAGTGGAGCGAGCCGCGCCAGGGGGGCTGCGTCCGGCGCTGCAGGTACACTTTTTAGCCGGCCAATAAGCGCGGCAGACTAAGGGGGCGGTTCTTGGACGATGTCGTCGAGGTTGCGATGCTGTATGTGATTCGGGAGCATGTTCGCCCTCAAAGTGGATGATGATTCCAGAGTCGCGCGCTCCGATTGACGTTGACGCTGACGCTGACACACACGGTGAGAAGGCGACGTGCCGAGGCGCCTGAGGACATGAAACACTCCACGAAGCGCCATCACCGCTCACAGGATTCGGTCCCAGTGCATAGCAAACGCAACCCTGCCATGTGACACCCGCAACGGGTGGCTTGCATTCACCTTCATTTTGGCATCGCGCAATCTTCCGACGCGTACGGAATCAGCCAAATGCGGAAGTCATCACGCTAGGGGCATCTGTCTTGGGATGTGGCTCAGCCGCGAACGACGGACAGTGCTCATCGCAATGAGTCGTGGAGACAAGTCCAGCCTCTCGGCCTATCTTAGCTAACGGTGAGGTATGTTCCTACGGAAATGACGAGGCCCCTGGGGATGCAATCTTAGATTCATAGCCGCGGGCGCATATCTCGCGCCATGACTAGCATGTGCCTGCGGCCTTGACTCTCAAGCATGCTTCCGACTTCCGCCGCCGCATAACTATCATGGCATGGCAATGGCAATTTCAATTTGGTAATTCTAGCACCGACTTGACGATGCGACGGTTGGTGCGTGGTCTGATATTAGTAGTTATAATAAGTTCAAGGTGGATCACCGCCAACCGCCAACCCGACCTTCGTCCCATCGCTCCTTGCGCTCTGCTCGAAGGTACGCAATCTTCCGGCCTTCTCTCAAGCGCCTTACAAAGTCCGTTACTTCTCGATCGCTGGCAACGGCGTCTCCACCGCCAAAGCCTTCGCCTTCGAGAAAGCTCTCTTCCAGTCCCCGGCAGAGAGCCTCTTGCTCGCCTACCGAAGCACTCAGTCGCTGATACAGGGCCGGCGGACTGAACTCTCGGAGTGCTTCATCCTGTTCAGTCTGCTTTGCTCTCCACTGACGTTCCAAAGCACGGAGTGCCAGTAGACGCGACTGTGTGCCATCACGCTGATGCTGCACATGTGCTTCAAGCTGCTTGAGTGATTCTGCAAGTCCCACATTCTGTGCAAGAAGCGCCTGTAGAGGCGCGATTGATGCTGGCAGTGATGGATGTGTTGTATCGGGATTGTGAACTATAGCATGCTGCAGTTCCGATGTTTGAAGCACATGGTGCAAGTCCTTGGTCCTACTCGTACCTTAGTGGTGCATGTATCAATGACGCAGACTTGGCATACGGTTTGTCCTTGAGCACGTCAGGTAGCCACCCATCTTCGGGCGGTTGGACTGTGGGTTGCTCGGAGTCTATCTGAGAATATCGCTGCTGTGCACGAGGGCTTTGCTGCTGATCCCCCGGATACGATGACTGACCCGGTGGGGGTGGGGGCAATGGAGGTCCCTGTGATGGAGTCGCATTCCCACTTGAACGTCCTGGCTTTGGAGGCGGGGGTGGAGGCGTCGATGCATCGAGTTGGTAGAAGTTTTGAGAGTGAACTGGGGACGAATAAGCCATGATGAAGTGTAGAGAGTCGGACCCCAAGCGAGGTAGTGTTGCATGTGATGGCGTTGGGCGGTGCTAGCGCGTCGAGGTATTTGATCTAATCTTATCTCATCTAGACCCCTGCATTGAGGCCACAACAGCATCAACCAACTCTGGGGCACTTTCAAGCTGTGGACACGTCTGGACGCGCCTGCTCATACTTCTGCCTACACACTTTTTTGGCCGCCTACAAACAACTGCTCTACCTCTGCGTTCCCTCACTGCCTCCCGCCAGAGCAACACCACAACGAAAATGGCAAGCACATCCCCACCAACGCGCCCAAGCTGCTCCCGCTAACTTGCGACTTCCGCTCCAGGCCAACGTTATAGCGAATTCGGGCCACGATGACATGATTGTACGTTCTGCATAAACGCCCCACAGACCCCCCGCCTCTCCCTCTACCCGCTTCTATCTTCACCCCGCCTCTATACTTTCCAGGCCACCCACTCGCGCAATGGCAAGCCGGAATCCGTCTCCAATGTATATTAACGAGGTACAGCATGATGCCGTTCTGGACTACTACGGCAGGCGGCTCGCGACATGTTCCTCAGACAAGACCATCAAGATCTTCGAGGTGGAGGGTGAGAAGCACACACTAGTCGAGACACTGAGAGGGTACGTCACTCACCACCGCGTTCCACGATCTGTCCGCTGACTGCCAAAGCCACGAGGGCGCCGTCTGGAGCGTAGCATGGGCCCACCCCAAATACGGAAACATCCTCGCCTCGTCCTCGTATGACGGCAAAGTCCTCATCTGGCGCGAACAATCCGGCAGCTGGCAAAAGATCTACGAAGTCGCCCTCCACACCGCCTCGGTCAACCTGGTCGCATGGGCCCCACACGAGGCAGGCTGTCTTCTGGCGTGCGCATCAACCGACAGCAATGTTTCCGTACTCGAATTCAAGGACAACAATTGGACACACCAAATCTTCCCCGCGCACGGCACAGGCGTGAACAGCGTGAGCTGGGCACCTGCCTTTGCGCCGGGACAGGTTATGAGCGCGAGCGGGAACCAGGCTGGAGCTGCGAAACGACTTGTTACTGGAGGTAGCGACTGCCAGGTCAAGGTTTGGGAATTCAGTCCTGAGAGCGGTAGCTGGAACGCAACGCTACTGTATGTCCATTGAGTGACTCGACAACATGTACTAGACTAACATGAACCAGTGGGATCCACGGCGACTGGGTCCGCGACGTAGCATGGTCCCCCACCGTCCTCTCCAAATCCTACATCGCTTCCGCGTCTCAAGACAAAACCGTCTCCATCTGGACTTCCTCGGACCTGCGCGAGTGGAAGCGCACGCAGATCGATGTCGACGCTGCGGCGTGGCGCGTGAGCTGGAGTCTCAGCGGCAATGCGCTTGCGATTAGCACGGGCGACAACCGGGTTAGTTTGTGGAAGGAAAGGTTGAGCGGGGGTTGGGAATGCGTCAAGACGATTGAAGAGTAGAACATCCGTTGTCCTATCATGGCGCAGGCTGGGCCCATCAGATATTATCCTGTACGGTACGGGAGAAGGCTGAGACCCCAGTGGTGGACGTATGATGAGTGGTTTGGCGATGATCAGGGCCGCGAGATTACTGAAACGGGCACTTATTATCGGAATGGGTTTGAGGGGAGGGTGTGGTATGATGGGAGGTGGGATGGTCTCTGATAGAGCGCGGTACGAGCGCACAGTTTCGATGGGAGCGAGTAGTGTGAGACGGTAGTCTTGAATCAATTTCTCCAATAGCAATCACTGACGAGCTGATCTTTGCATATTGTCATCTCCATTGTGTTGACGCTGTTTGGTCTTGTAGCTCATGTCGTCGATACATGCTTGGCTATCCAATGGTGTACCTGCGTACGATCGCCAAGTGGCCGAGTTGAATAAGGCGCCAGGTCAAGTGCGAGATGCCGTGTTCGACAGTTTTCAAAAGTTGCCCGATATGGTAGGTAAGACGGGCGCTAAACTTCAGCCTCATCGAACCCAACATCTGGCCCTTGCTTCTAGATTCTGATACTTTACAGCTAACATCCACATCAGAGACTAATACCCATTTCGATGTCCTCGAACAGTCGGTAGCCTAGTTGCAGTGTGATATCGGCGTTGCATCTGTGTCTTTGAGAAAGAGGCGGCCACACCTTGCATGTGCTGCCTAGACGCTAGCCTTCTACAGCCGCCTATCTACCTAGGTTCCCAAATATACATATTCCACCACGACTGTCCGGAGACATCCTACAAAAAGGAGTAAAAGACTATGGCGGCTGCAGAAGTTTGCAACGAAACAGCTTCATCCCTGTCCACAACACTGCCATCACCCCATCAAATCCCACCAGCTCCAGCAAGATCGAACCAGACAAGCCAGACGCCTTTAACCCCACCCCAACTCGAAGCCCGAACCATACTCACACATCTCCTAACGCGGCTCTCCCAGCCAAAAGATGACGATACCGCCACGAACCCACGTTACGACGAGTACTCCGCATGGATCAATCAGCATAGCATCCCCACCCTGACCACCTCTCTCTACTCCATGGTTCGGCCCCAACTCTGGACTTTGCTTTCCTCCTCCTCCTCCTCCTCCTCCTCCTCCTCCCATCGGCTATCTCTCGATGCCCTGAAACATGTTGGCGGCGACTTGCGGCTTGAGACTCGAGGTGCCATTTACTTCAACGGCATCCTTGGCGTTGACAAGCGTCTGCGCATGTACGTGGGACAGAGTGGCAATCTGAGGCAGAGAGTGGCTCAGCATTTGAATTTTAGATATCGTAGGGATCATCCCAGCTTGCATTACTATGCGCTTGAGTGGAGTGCGTATAATGTATTTGGGGTGTGTGCTGTTCTTCCTCCTTCTTCTTTTTCATCTTCTTCGTCTTTGGTGGCGGGCATGGAGAGGTCCGATTTGGTGATGAATGTGCTGGAGATGTGGATGTGTCTTGTTTTTAGGTCGTTGCCCTCTGATACACTGGAGGAATGGCTGCCAGATGACGAGCTCGTTGATAAAGGGAGAAAGATGGCAAAGGAGGGGGTGGTTGGGGGCTTGAACGTTGCTACTCCGCTTGATCAGGGTGTTGAAGTCAAGGATATGCCGTTTGTGGATCTGAGCGGAGAAGTGGATCCTGTTATACGGGATTATCTCAGGGAAGTGAAGAGGAGGGAGGGCGACGTGCAACAAGTAGAAAATGTGACGATCAAAGATGTGACGACGGAGGTGGACGAAGAAGAGAGGGCGCTGAGGAAGAAGATGTATGCGGAGAAGGCTAGGAGGTACAGTAAGAGGAGAGAAACTGATATTGTTATTCCGCAGTGGGTGTTCCTTGGTGCTGTGGCAGTGGGTGTTGGAGTTTTATTGTTCAGGAGTAGTGGAGGGCCGGGGAGTAGCGCGCGGTGGAGGTAGGGACTTTAATTTTGCTACAAAAGTCGAATGAAGCCGATCTTATCACTCATGTTGTAGTATATAGTATAGGTTTGTCTTCCAAATGAGTATATATACAGCTGCATACAGTGAAGCCAAGTAAGTGTTTGGGAACACACTTCTACTGCGATACAATACAGTGTAACTCAACAGCGTTGTGTCTGCGTCTTATCACCAGCACGCCCATCATATCAATAGTATAGGTTTGTAGCTAAGATTGAGTGTTCAATACACTATCTGGTACAATCAAAGGCTAGCGAAAGCTTGTTCAAGATTGTTCCAGCTGCAGTGTAAGCGATGAAGGGAACGGCCACGATGTGGACTGCTGTTTTTCGAGTCTGCCAGTCACTCTTTTTCGGAGGCATCTATGCATAGGTTTGATGGATGTATTACCGAACTTTTAGATGGCTCATCGCTTCTGTGTTATTGTAGAGCTATAAGATAGGATTGATTGCACTAAAGTACTTCATCGCGCACCAATGTAAGCTAACAGAGAACAATTACACTCTGAATTCTTGTTACAGTTGTCTGCATGACGGTTGTGGAAGTCACCGTCGCGGTGTTCGTGATAGTGGCTGTAGCAGTGTTGGTTTGCGTTATGGTCGCAGTAGCGACAACTGTTCTGGGTACCTAATCGGAAGAGCATAGGTTAGTGACCTGAAAACCTAAATTGATAAAGCTTTCAGAGGCTTACTGTGACTGAAGTTGTTGTAGTTGCGGGAATGTTTACGACTGCCGTCCAAGTTGTGCTGGAGGTAGGTACGGAGAGACATTTGCAAGCCGAGCTAAGAGCCTGACCTTCGATATAGTTCGCGAGGCATGTAGGCTTCTTTGTGGCAACAGCAGCCGCTCGCTTTTGCTCCGCTCGGGCGGTTAAACACCCGGGGTAGTAGCTCGTAGTACGAGAGACCGTGGTACTGGTTACTACTATTGTGGTAAATTCCGTAACAGTCGCCAAAGCGGTCTCGGTTTGGGTCGCATCTTCAGTAGCCGTAACGGTCGCGTCAGTAGTCGTGATAGATCCAGACGTGACTGTGTTAGTCTGCGTGATGGTTCTGCTTGCTGTCAGCAACAACGCAACCTAAGACATAGATATGGGTATATTCTTACGCAGTAAAGGAGGTTGTTGTGGAAGTCTTCGTTACTGCAGGGATCTTGAGGTAAGAAGAGCAGAAGGGTGTGGCCTGAGATTGCTGTTTTGCGACAGTAACGAGCCCACGCACAACGTCACAGAACAACTTCGAGACTATTGGGGATGCGGGCTCAGGAACCGGACTTCGAGGAACGGAGATTCCGGCAGCGGGAATTGTAAGACTCAAAGCCAACCCGGCTATCTTGCTGAAGTGCATGGTGGGATGTAAGAGACAATAGAGGCTGCTGAATTGCTGTAGAATATCACGCTGAATTCTATGTGGGTGGAGCAATGGAATGGAGGGAAGAAGAGTTTGAAGACATCTTGTAGGGCTAGGCTGCTTGCTGTTCATCCTCTCATGTCATTCTAGAACGTTTAGTTTACTGGAATGATTGGAGTCGGCGATACCGGCACTGTCTGGATGGTGCAGCGCGAAGTAAAGCTACACTCCAACGCCACCAAACCTACCTACCTAGCTTTTGTTGTTCCTCGTGAATATAGCATCTCAAGCCCAGAAAGTCGCTTGCCGCTCACAGCAGGGTGTCGGTCAGCCAGCCACGTAAATCCCCTGGTCAAAAGCATGTGTTGGCTTGCCGGATCTGGTCACATGGGTATAAGGCGTCTAGACAATGCTAGGTTGCCCTACGACGATCAAGCTTGGAAGTGCCCAAACTGGTAAGGCCAAAGGCTTTTTATCTATGTTGGTATGACTCTATTCAGCCCTGCGGGACGACGCATCATCTAGCTTCACTTCAATATGTGGCAAAGAAAGGAGCTTGACGACTGTGGAAATTAAGATGCGATCTTGCATGTTGATCTTCGACTTTTTGGGGGTATCGACACTGAGGTGGCATTAGTGGCGTCGGCTATTCATCCGGAAGCCTCGTAGTCCGAGGCTAAAACTCCTTCGAAGCCCAACGTTCTCCACAAATTGCTTCCCCACGACCTTTTTGTACAATTCAAGTTCTAGACTTCGGAATTCCCGCCTTGCGGAGCTAGGACAACTGCATCTGGTTGAAGGCCGGCAATTCCGGACACCCAAAAACTGCTTCGCAGCCAAGTGCGCCACTACCACCGCCAAGCGGAGTGCGTTGCTTTATGGTCCGACTATTAGGATAGCTCCCAACTAACTCGAGCTACAGAGGTCATCTAACGGAACAGCGACTATGTTATAGAAGTCAATCGCGGTGACTGGCCCTTTGAGGTTCAAGCACCAATGAACCGCGTTCTTGTACTTCGTGCCCACGCGATACGCGACTTCAGCGTCAACACGTAAGTTTACCCTTCTGTGGAGCTCCTTTGCCTCGAGCTCATAAAACTGCTTCATGTCTGGCGACAAAGCGACCGGTGGTACCTTTCCAGGCTTGTACTTGGCAGCCAGTAACGCCATGAGGGGAGACCACAGCGCAATCTCGAATAGCACTAGACCCAAGGAGTAGATATCGTAGTGAATCTGATATCCAGAGGCTGTCTCGCCTTGATACAGCGGATGCCGATATATGGCTGCTTCTAAGTCATGCAGAACTTTTCCACGGTCAATGGTTTGGGCCTCGGTATACTGACGGGAGTAACCGAAGCCCTGAACCAAGGCAGTTTCGAATTGCCGAAACCCAACGACAGCATTCGTGGTGTAGACTTCCGGAAAGATGATGTTATTACTATTGATGCCTTTGTGCATCCAGTTACTGCCATAAAGCTTAGCGAAGGTGTAGGCTATACGCCTGGCGAGCCTGTATCGCGTTTCGAGTGCGGGCTTGAACGGAGAATCGAAGAGTTTGCGTAAAGAAAGTGGCTCGCTTGCGGCGGATCCCAAAGTATCAAGCGGACTCAGCGGAAAACGAAAGACGATCCACCAGCAGTGGCGACCTGGATCATCCGTATATCCAACTGCTTGCAAAGTTTGGAGATGGCGTTGGCTGCCAGGTTTGCCCAGAAGCGAGACCAGTCTACGAATGCGCTCATGCAGGATATCTTTGTCCTGTTCCGATATGTTTGGATCATATTCCTTCTTCTCGTACAGGTATGCAACCCCAGGATCGTCATGTCCAGGTTTAAGGAAACGAATCCTGGTCAGGTCTGCAAGAGTGGTGTCACTAAGACTCCAATCATCGATTTTGGACTTTCTTGGCAATGAGGCTACTTCTTGTAGCGTTATGGCTTTACATTGTGCGAGATACGCAACATCCACCTCTGGAGATCTTCTCTCATCCGGTGGGGAGTTTTGGAGCAGCGACAGCCTCCCTATATCAGTTATCTCTTGGACTATGTGGAAACTGAAACGCGTTTCCTCTTGTTGTACCTCTTTCCGCTGATCTTCAAAGACCAGCTTGTGCAGCCCACTGATATGGGTTTCGAGAGTGTAGACAAAATGCTCAAACTTCTCTTTATCCCGGACAGCCCAAAACAGACGACTTGCAACTCCAATTTGTTTCTTGTTAGTCACAGATTCGTTCAACTTCTCGGCTTGGATGAAAGCCTCCAGGTTCCTTTTTGGATCTGATCTTCTCAACACGCGGTGCAAGCTCCGCCTCATCTGCAGCGCCATAGCGCTCGTCCTCTTAGGTTCCGCATCAACAGTCTCTCTGAGTTGCAAGCCGTATTTATTCCCATGCTGTTCGAGGTTGGTAACGAGTAATTCGATGCGCTGTAGCGTTCTCACGATGAGATCGTTTATCGGGTGCAAAGCCGGCACAAGCTCGCCCTCGGCGAGCCCAACACTTGTAGCCCAGATGCTTAGATGCACCTTCGCTGTTTCAATCCGGATTACCAGGTCTTCCGCATCGTCATCGAATCGTATCGTATCTTCTAGTATCCTCATGCTCTCCGCTACCGCCTTGAACACGATGGGTGCGATACCGATCGCAACTCCGGCTACTTCGAATCCAGACATGATTGGTAGGTGAACAAGCTAGAAGAATGATACAAGACGAGGGTGCTCGCTTATTCCGAGTTGTACCTCAAGCGTTGGAACCTTTTCTAGAAGTGTACACTTTTACTTTCTTGATAGCTTTCCAACCAAAACGGGATTGCATACCTTGAGGGTACACCTTGATGAGAGCGAGCGTCCCTATCTAGAGGAGCACTTTGGTTCGATGGAAGGATGGAAGTATTTCTGATGTATCCGCGCATCTGCGTTGGTGCTGCGCTATTGTCGGCTGCTGGGGCGTAGAGAGCAGGTTAAGTGTGGAGAAAACGGTCGCATTCTTATCACCGGCTGCGATACCAACTCGGTCATGACACGCACGAGGTCGACGTTTCTTCGAGCTAGCATGATGAGATGTGTTGTTCAGAAGATTATCCAGGTATACGAGCTCGGTTGCTATGGACCCCTCACTCAATTCTTGGCAGCTGAAACGTGCATCTGGTAAAGCCAATGACTGTCCCGATACAAACCTCAGGCACTCAGAACCTGAACACGACAATACTATTCTTGTTGAATGTGCATTTAATCTTCGTATAACATCTCTTGGCAGCTGGAAGTGACACGAGCTTTTCTCCTGGAAATTACAAGTATAACGGTATGGTTTTCTGCGAGAAGCTATGCGAGCTGCTGCGAGCTCACCCACAGCAATCGACCTCTGCGCTAAACTTCGAACGAACTTGCAATGGAAGAGTTTGACTGGATCAGGTCATTCGCGGAATCCAGCTATGGTTCAGTCAGCGATCCTGTTCCGCCATCTGTAGAACCGACAGAATCAAAGACACTGCCTGCAACAACTCCGCGGGGTTCCTTCGCTTCATTTGTCTGCCATGTTACCAGTCTAGAACGCAAGCTGCGCTCGTTCTCGCCTATCGTCCTCGATGATTCCTCAGTCGTCAGAAACACGGGCAAGATCCTAGGTCAGGGAAAGACATTCATGGTCAAGCATGCTCAATGGATTCGTGATGTGAATGAGCCACCTCTCGATGTCGCTGTGAAGGAGATCATTCCGGACACCCGAGCGACGAACCAGAGCCTGGAGTATGTACCGTTCCGCAAAATTCGATACGATGTGCTGATCACATCTCAAAGCTCTTCTACCAGCTCCAGCAGCCTCACACAGAACGACTGGAAAGAGATCTTGTTTGAGATCCGAGCTCTCCTTCACGAGCCGATTCGTTACCATCCAAACATTATTCGACTGCTGGGCATTCAATGGGGCCTATCACCAATCTCGGAATCTACCTATCCAGTGCTGATAATGGAGTATGCATCGCTTGGTACTTTCGCGACTTTGCAAGCCTCTTCTGAGCCATTGTCGTTTGCAGCAAAGCAAAAGCTGTGCTACGATGTTGGGCGAGGACTGTCCGCACTCCACGCTTGCGGGATTGTGCATGGAGATATGAAACACGAAAATGTACTTATCGTACCTGCTAAGGAGCCACTGGACGGTATATCATACACTGCGAAACTCGCGGACTTCGGTGGTGCCGTGATGAACATGACGCCTAACGAATTTCGCAAAATGGAGACCTGGACGTGGCCTTTTCAAGCGCCTGAGGTAACGAGTAGTCAGCGACTCTCCAAAGATGGGATGGTACTCACAGACGTGTACGCTTTTGGTTTATTGGTTTGGAGAGCATTTGAGGACGGCCAAGGGTTTGTGTCGCTTCCTGGCGCAGCACAGGATGCATCTGATGAAGACAAGCGCAGCTTGAGCGCACGCAAAGCATCGCAAAGTTTCACTGCTAGTGCTGTTGCTAGCATTCGTGAATATGCTAGCATGAGGGGAATGTCGCAACGCTGCGTAGATACCATCACGTATACCATCCTCCACACCGTGCGACTGGAACCAGAGGACCGAGATCTTGTAATGGCTCAAGCGGCGTTACGAGGATTAGAGTACGATAAGCGTGATAACATGAGATCTAGTACTGATGGGATACAGTCTTGGTCATATACCAAAATATTTGCGTTTCATCAAGAAGAAGAACGAAGAACGAGCAGCCAGTGAGACCGGGGGACCGCCCGTAAGTCAGCTTCCAATTGCTAATTGTCGCTTACAGGTATCTAGGGACAACACGGCATCACCAGAGACGGTGCTGCATTGTTTCTTGGACAATATGGCAATGATGTAGATTTGCAAGACAACATGTAGAGGCCTACTACTCTACAAGATCTGTGCAATTAACTGACCGCTTACAGTCCTGGCTTCCGACCTCGTCTGAACGAGCCCAATCCCGAAGAGGTACTGTTTGAGCCAGAGCGATTGAAGAAGATCTTAACCTGGGATCAACAACGGCAAATGTTGGATGAATTGAAAGCCACTGCTAATGACAGTGCAAATGCACCTGGGGATCTTATCGAGATGAACAAGACAGTCGCTGCGTTCCACGTGTTCCAATGTTATCTCCTCGAATTCGGCACTAAATTCAACGCCGACGAAACTATACAGTGGTTATCGAAAGCCTCTTCGAATGACGATAGTCATGATGATGCAGATTACTTGGCGCAGGCTTGGATATGGCGGATCTCCCGCGCACTTGAGGTCAACGTCAGCCTCACACAAGGGAGACTTGAGTCACTGCTGAGGATGTCTGTAATGCGGGGTCACTGGAGTTGTCTCCAGGACGTACTCGGGCTGATTAACACTAATACTGGAGCAATCCAACAGCAATGGTCGAACAAGTTCCAGCAGTACCGTGACATCTTGCTTTCGCAAATGGGTGCCGTTGGGATAGGCTACTTCTTCTTGCCGCACATGACACCACCATGGAACAGGGTCAGCTTGAGGGATATCAGTCAACTCGATGAGACTATCGCGGCTATTCTCGGCGACACGTACGACTCTTGCTTGAGATTACTCAATTCTCAGCTCCCAGGGTCGTCAACACAACAATATCAGCGCAGAGGAAAAACCACATTTGACCGAATTTACGTCAACATACGGGGACATGGTCCACTGCACTACGCCGCCGCAAGAGGCAATCTGAATGCCCTGCGTCACATGATTGAGAAGTACGACTGCAACATCGATTTGCCAAATCAGCATGTGGACGAGACCCCACTAGTATGCGCTTGCTCTGGCGGTAAACTTGATTGTGCACTACTATTACTCGACAAAGGGGCTGATGCAAACGGCTATCATCATGCGCAAGAAGGACCGCTGCATTGGCTTTGTAGCTTCTTGCCCAACGAAATGGAGATCATTGCATCAGCTCTGATCAAAGCAGGGGCTGACATCGAATTACATTCTGGCGGCATGCGCGCGGACGTTCGTGGTATCAGAGCTGATTGGGAGCATATTTTTGAAACCAAAACAACGCCACTTGGAAGAGCGGTCCTCATGAATAGCCTTCCAGCAGTCAAGGTGCTTTTGAAATTAGGAGCTGATGCTCTAAAGAAAAGTGCCAACAAGCACCCAGGTGAATGGAAAGGCGATAAGGCAACAATGGTCGACATATCTTCGCCTTTCGAGTTGGCTGCTGCCTTGACACTTCCGGAGATCCTCGCGGAGTTCATTACCCATATCGATGGTCCTACTGGTGCGCCCCGAACGAAGCTTCTAGATGTCTCTTCCGTAATTGATCTAGCACGCGGTAAGAAACTGACCAAATTCGATCCACTGTCATTGCGAAGCCGTCTCGTGCGCCATGGACACAAATACAAAAGCAACCTTAAAATCACCTGGATGATACTCCATGCTCGTTCAATTCCCTTCCAGGGCGCCATGCCTACCGAAGAGCTCCAAAAAGTACGAAGTAGGACGCTGTGTCACGAGGTCGCCCATGGAAACCTAGACATCGTTGAGTGTCTTTTGCAACTTGGATACAGCGCTAGTGGAACTTCGGATCATCGACCTTTGCAGAAGGCTATCGAGCTGAATCACGAAGAAATGTTTCAGCTCCTCATACGGTACCGGGCGGACACTTCAGTTACGACAACGACACCTGCGGGTAATATATCCCTGCTTCATATCTGTGCATCACGACCACGTCAGTCAAGACCCGGAAGATACATCGCCGACGCTCTCATTATAGCTGGTGTACCAATCGAGAGCACGGATAGACGTGTCAAACCACCCTTTGCATTGGCGGTCTTGAACCAAAACTTTGATGTAGCCCAGGCGTTAATCGATAACAATGCTGACGTTGATGCGGTCTACCCACTCCAAGTGTATGGGTTGAATGGACCAGAGACCAAATCAGTCAGTGTTCTTGTGGAGATCCTGTCTCAACATACGAATCGTACCCTTGAATCGCTCAGATTCCTGTTTGGCAAGCGTAACGGCGGTCCGGCTCAGCGGCCTGCATTTTACGTCGATCTCACAAGCAAACTCACTATCCTACACCTTCTTGCCGGTAGCCCCACCTACACGCAAATTGGGCAGATAACACCAAAGATTCTTAATCTTTGCCTCGAGATGTACTCGGATGATGAGCTCATCAACTGTAGACATCCACTCTTGGGTACTGCACTATACCACGCTGCCACAAATGGACACAAGGCCATGGTAGAACGGCTCCTACAATACGGCGCAGACGAGACACATGCTGCAGGCCCTGACATTGATGGTTCCGTGCAAAGTTTGTTCAGGTCGCGAGATACCTGGACACCACTTTGGGCTGCGATATTACGACTTGACGAAGAATTGAAGAAGAGAGTGCTGTTTCCACCGGATGGACCGCCCGGCACATTGCTCAACTCAAACATCATACAAAATCTTGAAAAGATTGTGGCTTTCCTATCCTCGAATGATAAAGACACTTTAGCGCAACAAGCCGTCGAGCATCTAAAAACTAAAATGGAGGTACTCCAGGCTGAGTCTCGTATATCTCGAATCGAGAAGGCAAGGGCTAAGAGAGAGGCGAAGATCATGGAAGAAGAACATCCCGTTGATCTGGGGATACTTTCTGGGAAATCGGGTGAGACTGACAAGAAGACTATACGGGATATATGCACAGGTCTTGAAGATGAATGGAGGACTAAGGAAATACAGACAATCCTTCAGGGCATCGAGCTCTAGAAACCAACTTGCTTAGTTGATCGTGGTGTTCATCGAAAGATTGGTAGCGATATATATCCGAGTAATTGTAATCAAGTCCTTGCCCATGTCTACGGTAGCTAGATGATAGATGTGATCATTACAAAGCTGCATATAGTGAAGCGAAGTGTTTAGGAACAGACTTCTACCGCGGTACATCACACTGTGACTCGAAAGCGTTGTGCCTGCGTCTTACAGTGCTTAGCGAAACCTGCTTCCCCTTCTACGGAGTTGGCGCAAGGTATGCGCCACACAACTGGCACGCATTGTGACACCCCACCTGCCTGAACTATCATACCACTGCTCGGCCAACGGCCAGCACACGTGCAGCTAAGCACCAGTTCACCGGTTTGTACCATACAAAATTGCCAACCCCTTCGCACTTTCCCACCTCTAGTAACTATCGTGCTAAGGCTCTCAAGATCCAGTCTATAAAATGCGTCGCTTAGTTACAAAATCAGTTTCCTTCATTAAAACACCGCTTGCCGCACGGAAATAGTGGCACGCGGCTAACAAGGACGAGCTTGGCGGCTGCCAGGGATGATGTCATCCTACATGGGCAACCGGTGAATCGTCGACTGTGCCGCAAGTTCAGGAACTTACTAGGCCGATAAGTACTTGGACTGACCGGTCTTATACTTGATCCTAAACTCTCCTTTCAGTGAATCGATAAATACAGACGAAAAGGCAAAAAAGCTTGAGCATTACATAAATACCTCAAAGTCCGCTGATCACCACTGAGGTTCTTTATTCTATAGTTAGTTTCTCTCAGAGCACAGAAGCAGCAATGTTCGATGTGCAACGGCAGCAAGTACTGGACGAGTGCCAGTGGGTACCTGGAGAAGGGCAGCTTCGATATATCGCAACTCGGACTTTTGCAAATACAGGTAAGCTTACCCAACATGAACCTAGCAATACTTTGTTTCTATCGGTACCCTGACGTTAGAGACTGCAGATAATGCATCACCAAATGACATTTATCGGGAGGGAGATCTGAGCGACCTGGAGGTAGATGATTGGTTACACCAAAGAGGCCGCTTCGTTCGACCAACTAATTCTCGTCTTGCAAAGGAAGAAGGCAGCATTAAACTGCTCGTTTGTGAGAGACTCGGCTTCCAACCTCTTCAGTTCGGCATGAGCAAGGCATCCTTTTTGGCTGTAGAAGAAAAATACGGTCTACCAACTGAAATGCTTCCATTCTTCAAGTTCAATGGAGGCGGTCATTCTTACTACTTTCGTCATTCGGCTTCTCACGATCCAGAACAGCTCGGTAAGATCAAATTATCAGGACATTTATATACGGATCTTACATGAGAGTTAGTGATTACGATCAAGGTCCCACAAATGTACCAGATTGCAAATTACGGCCTCTGCCTGACGCACTCATTCAAAACACACGTCACATTCGGCTTCATGTTCGGCTGGAATATGTTCTATGAAGGGAGTTGGGAAAGGTACGGGTCTAATATGGAGCGTCCCGAACATCTGGAACCGCATGGTCCCCGGATTAGCAAGCTCATTAGATCGACAAGTTCTTATTGGAGGCATCCGTTGCTGTTGCCGGTAATTCTACTCGAAGATCACGTCTACAATGCGGATAGATACAAAGGGCGTGATCTATCTCCGAGAACAACGGGACTGGAAAGGCAATTAGGAGTTACGAAAGCCGGGCGAAACGTCAATTCTCCAGATTCATTCAATGTGGAAAAGCTGGATCGAAAGACGATCATCACTCAAATCAACACTACTGTTACCGACGCAGTCACTTTGGCTGGCAACTTGAGATGGAATACCAGATACTGTCAGTTTCTTCAAGATATCTCTAAGGACATCCGAGATCTCATTGAACCGATACAAGGAAGAGAGCCAAAGCTAGATTACACTATTGAGACCTTGGCAAGTCTTGTCATCTCGATACTAGAACACACGGAAGCAATAAAGGCCAGATTGGATATACAGCTCAATGTGGTAAGGGATTCAGTTCAATTTAAAGACGAGTTCAAGCATTGACCAGACGCTGTAGCTGTACAATCTGTTCGCCCAAGTAGACAGCAACGTCAACTCGACAATCGCAGCGACTACGGGACTTGACAGTGCCGCAATGAAAGCCCTTGCTTTTGTTACCACCCTCTTCTTGCCTCCAACTTTCATAGCCGTACGTATCAACAATCGCAGTCGAAAAGAAGAGAAATCGTAGCTAACGAAATTATTTACCAAAAAGACATTGTTCAGTTCGTCAATGTTCGATTGGCAGGCCGACGTTGAAGCACGATCATCAGATTCAAACGAGGGAACTACGGTTGTCTCTAGACATTTTTGGGTATACTGGGTAGTTAGCGTGCCTTTGACCGTTGTAGTGTTTTTGGTCTGGCGTACATGGTGGCATCGAGAAAAGAACCACTATCGGCAGAAGTACCCTAGTGTCAAGCTGGATAGCATTGTCACAGATAGAGGTCCGAGTTTGCCAAAGAGATTGACCGGATTGATGTTGGAACGAAAAAGACTAGATGATATAGAGTTGCACGTGAGTGAAAGGACTTCTTCAGCCCAAAAGGCAGGAGACGCTCATGTGATCTAGATGGAATGCATAAAGAGTGTACGAGATCCGGGATAGACGGACATTCTTATCTACTACATGCAGCTCCTCATAATCACAAGAGTAGACTGTAAAAAGATACTTCCCCGCTATCTTACAGCAAAGACGACGAAACAACAACAACAACAACACATTCTAACATCACTCATCCCCTCTCTCTAAACAGCAGTCCTCTGATTCCGATGGCGATACTCCTTCTCCCCTCTCTTCGCAATAGCCCCATCCTTACACGTCGTCCCATCAGCCACAGGCCGCATAATCGCTTTGCCAAAGTTACAAGTACCAAACTTTGTACCATCGGCTGAGCAAACAGTAGCACCATCAGTGCTGCATGCCTCGCCTGCGGAACCGGCGACCGGGCTCTTGGGAGAGGGTGTGGCTGACGGCTGTGGCTGAGGCGATACTGATGCTGCAGGAGCTTGACCTGTTGGACGGAGAGGCGCAGATGGGGCGACGGCGGATGCAGTTGGCATGATAGCGGAGCTAGCGCCTGGTGCGAATACACCACCAGTCTTGGAGGGTAGCGGGGGCATGGGCGCAGTGACTGTTTTGATGGTGCGGAAAGTTGATGCTGTGGTGGACACGGAGGGTGGTGTGGCTACGGGTGGAGAAGCCGTTGGAGCAGAGGGAGGGTTGGCGGCAGATGAGTTACCGGGAGCAGGAGCAGGATCAGTATCAGTGTTGCCACTACCACCACTGCCACCACTGAAGGAGCTTGCCTGGGTAGTCTTGCCTGAACAGAGATCCACGAACGGACCTGTTCCGGCAACCGTGCCGTACTTTCCGGGATTCTCAAAGGTGAACTCTTTGCTGTCCGCGGTTGTGCCGCAGGATGTACCAACCTCGATATTGGCGACTGCCATGTCGGGGAGCGCGTCGAAGCCAGCTGTGTCATCAGAACCACCAGAGACAGTAATGGGCGCGCAGTTCATGTACATCTCCCGATTTCCGATTTTGTTGAACCACGTCCATGCCATTGTCATGACCCCATTAGGGAGCTCGGCAGGCACAGTGTACTTGAAGGCATTGTTGGTGCTAGGACCGTTTTGGTCAAGATTACCTGCAGCCTCAACGGGACAGCCACCTTCGATTGAGTAGATGACTTTCCACTTTGACTCTTTTGTGGGCTCCTTGTCAGTGGTTACGCTGATTTGGCAGGAGCCGCCGCCGTGGACAGCGGTGCCGGTGAATGAGAGTGTTTGTTCGGAGCCCACTGGCCACTCATTCATGGTGTTGACGGTGTAGGGAACGGCTTTGCAAGGGAAATCGGAGCCGGTGGCCTCGAGAGGAGAGTTGTTGGGGTTGCCGTAGGGGACCGGGCTTTTCAAAATCATGTGCGCGCCTGCGTGGAGCGGTGCCATGGCCAGCATGACCGCCGCGGCAATGAGAGTCGACTTAGCGGACATGGTGTTTCTTAGACCAGCTGAAGAATGTATGTATGTAATCTGAATGAGGTACCGGGGTGTATTGTCGGAAAAGTTTCGCAAGGAACAATATGAAGTATTAGTTGGGAATACTTCGATCGCTGTGTGGTTGGTATGTTCGTAGTGTCGGTAAGCTGGCAAGGAAGAATATAAGACAAGGACTTAATAGTCGCAACGTTAGAGGTGAGAGAACCGCTGTGGTATCATAAAACAATAGCTCCGCCGGTGAGCAATAGGGGAATGACTTCACAATGTGAAAGAGTGTGGATATGAAATGTAATGATTGTAAAGAATCAAGGAATGTGAAAGTGAATGTGGATGATAGCAGTACCATGACAGCAGCATTGAAGGCTTTTTAAAGAATAAACAGGAAGCGCTGTTAAGTCACCCCGGTCAGTTAACAGTGATGGCGGGTAGTTGAAACGGTGATGGCGGTTACTTGACAGGGATGATGAGAGCTGGTGGGGACGGCGGTTAGCTGACGAAGACTGCGCAAGGCTCAACCGTTATGAATAGCCATCGGGTCCACCCGCTTTTTACCTTCCCGATACCATGAAGCCGCCTGCGCTATGTGCCATATAGACGATCCATGGTTGATCTTCAGGTCGTTGAGGGGTACTGAAGCGCGCATAACGACAGGGAGAGATCAGACTTGGAGGCAGCGAGCGCCAATGATCACGCAAAGAAGGCACGAGTCGCATCTGAGTCTCCATGTCTGTGTACGTATGGTATGACCCGAAATAGGCAGTGATAGCTTTCGTGCGAAAGCCTTCAGCCATGTCGAAAAGTGCTGTGGTCACGGAGAAGTGAGACAGCGAGTGAAAGGGAAAGAGCGCTAGATGGTTGCGTACTAGTGTCACTTGGCAACACTAGCCATCGCAACCGCGAAAGCATTCCATCACCAGTCAGGGACGCGCAAGAGCATTCGCAATTCAAACGGTTTTCACTGTCCGACGTAGCGTAGGGTTAATCGCGAATCGACCAACTTCCCGACGGCCCCCGTGCCCCCCCGTTCCTGCATACAGTGTCCGCACCGACATCGCGACGCGTTTAGTGTTCGCGAGCTCTGCTGAGCTTCCTCACGTCTCCTACACGAACCACCGACCCGACCCGTGTCAACAGCCATGTTTACGAGCACGGGAAAGACGGCGCCGCCCCAGGCTTTCATGTCGAGTTATGCGCCGCGACTACGAAGCCACGGAAACTCGCTCATATCGCCAATTGTTCCACCCTCGAATACCCTTCCTGCGCCGCGCGTGACCAAACGAGGAACTGCCGTCGCTAGCTATGCCGAAGACGCCTACGACGATGACGATTTTGAGGACAGCGATAGGCCGCGACGGGCCACTGGTCTGCGCAGTGTGCAGAAGATGGACGTAGCCAGCGCAGACCATACGGCGCAAATAGCAGCTTTGGGGCAGGAGCTCACTGCGCCTGTGGACCTTCAAGGCATATGGCGAGACTGGATGGGCAGGCCGAAGCGCACACTGTGAGTGGCATGGTGGCACACTTCAGCTATGGGATGCACGAGGCTAACATACTGCAGAACAGAAAAACAAGTGCAGACGCAATCAGTCCTGCCTGTCACGTTGATACCGATTCGAATAGACATGGACATCCAGGCCTTCCGTCCTGACGCACCGTTGCCAACACCGTCCAACGCGCGAGAGTTCGGTATCAACGAAAATCTGCCCGCCTACAAGCAGCCCGATGTTACTCCCGCGTACAGGTTGAAGGACTCGTTCCTCTGGAACCTGCACGAAGCTTTGACGACACCCGACCAGTTTGCAAAGCAGTTTGTCGACGAACTGGACCTGCCAAACGACCGAAAGCCCCTCATAATATCCCAAATCGCGAACCAGATCCGTCAGCAGCTCGAGGAGTACGCCGGTGTCGCGCTGCATCCGCTCTTCCATTCTGCAAACGCGCCCGCTGTCCAAGGAATAAATGCAAAGGCCGCTCTCCCTGCGACATCTCGAGACGGCACATCCACGCCCCAAGTACCAGCCACAAACGGCGCGTCGACCCCTATGACCAATGGCGTATCGCGTACGAACGGCGCGCAGACACCAGCGAGCATTCCAAACGGCATCAGCGCAACTGCGACTGCACTGCCATCGGAAGAACTTCATAACCCCGATGACACCTACCGGTGCATCGTCACCCTCAACATCAACCTCATGAACCGACTATACACAGACAAGTTTGAGTGGTCGCTACTCCACCCACCCGGCTTCGCAGAAATGTTTGCCAAAACAACATGCGCAGATCTTGGACTATCGGGAGAATGGGTAAACGCCATGACACACAGCATCTACGAAGCCGTCCTGCGCTTGAAAAAGGAAGCCTGCGAGAACGGCGGATTAGTAGGTGACGGCGAGATCGACAACGACGCGGTCGAGCCCACAATTGGCGCGGGCTGGAGATACGACCAGGAGCATCTCTGCGACGAATGGGAACCCAAAGTCGAAATCCTATCACCGGAAGAGATTGAGAAGCGTGAAGGCGACCGTGAGAGGCAGATTCGGCGGTTACGTAGAGAGACGGCAAGATTCTCGAGCACGACGAATATGACTGGCACCCCCGCTAACGAGTTCTTCAACAATATCGAAGGACAGGAAAATATGGGTCGTGGCGAGCGCAGTAAGAAGAAGAGGCGGTTCAGGAGCTTGAGTCCGGTTGGCAGAGGCACGCCGGGTGCTGGGGGAGGCTCTGGGTACGGCGGGCAGGATGGAGGTCTGCAAGAAGGGTATGTTTCAAGTTTCCCATTTCTTACCACTCCTATCTATGGTATCATGTGTATAGAGACATCAAAACTAACAACAAACACAGTGAGCGACAAACGTGGCGCTGCGCACACTGCTGGGTCTGGGGAACCGCTGTCTGGGCTGTCCGCGACGGACCCAAAGGCCCACGTACCCTCTGCAATAACTGCGGTTATCTCTATGAACGCGATAAGAAACTTCCACCCTGGAGCGAGAATCTCTTCTACCACGAGAGGCCGCAGCACGAGATTCAACAGTATCGGCCGCAGCGGTGAGAGTCGACTGAGACATGTACTTTGCTAGTAGCGAGGGTACAACCTCAGCCTCTGATTGTCCCTTCTGATGCCTGTTCTTCTCGGCTCAAAAGTCACTCCGTTGGACAACAACGAGGCCTTTTTTTCTTCTTGTTGTTCTGGAGCATTTTCTGCAGCGTTGGCGTCTTGGGCTCGTTTGTTCGAGACAGCAGGCTTGTAAAACAACGTTATTTTCTCTCTCTCTCCCTCCCGCAAGGACTCGATCACTGTGGGCCAATTGGCTAGATTCCAGATGCCGAGTTCGAGGCGGTCTCAGGCCAGGTGGAGGAATATTGCAATGATGCGGTTCGCGTATACTCAGCATGTATCTGCCTTGGGAAGCGTGATGCGGACTCGAGTACAACCAACAATACGTGGTCTAAGCCTATCAGTCATGAGTACTGCTGCCTCGCGTTATGATCGGCATATGGCAGATAGCATCTACCAGCTGGCAGTGCAGATTGCATTCCTATTGTGCCTTCCCTCTTTCTTTTTTGCGCCCCTCAACGTGTTGGGGACGCGTCATTCTAGTGTTGGCAATGAGCCAATCGCATCTACTGTGTTAGCTTCGCGACAGAAGCTGAGGACCATGGGTTGGAGCGGTGAGACAGAGGGTTGGATGCGGGATGAACGTAGTGATTTGCACAGGACCCCGTATCGTAAGTGTCGGTGTGGCTCTTTCGGAGAATTCTGTACGTTGCAAGTACCTTTGTATCTCTAGTAGCAACATGCCATAGCAGCATGATGAAACTCATCCTTCTGGTTTCATAATACAAACATCGTTGGTTGTACCCATTAGACAGACCGTCTTCACGTTTTTCATTACGAAACTTTCAAAGGACTTGGGTGAGTTCCGTTAGTGTCCTCATCCTATTGTCTTGGTGATGGCTTCGTGTTGTGCACCCAGATCATCAGACGATCGCCTATCACTCACCCATGTTGTCATCAGCACCAGCACTGCAGCATCGATACTAGCAGACTCATATTGTCTTAGTCAAACACTTTGCACACCCCAGCATCTGTCGTTTCACGTGCATGCGGCGTAAGAGCAAACATCCCAGGCATTGGTTAGAGCAGGACAGTTCTTGCGTACTGCATTTCTTGCTATTGTGCCTTATTGAACGTGACATTAGGAAGGCAGGCATCAAAACAGTCAGCGCAAGCTGCCTGAACGTTGTACGCACCACAACGCACAGATCAAGGCCTCGTATCCAAGAGATGGGCGCCGTCTTCGTGCCAGGGCCAACATCCCAACTATAGCAGAATCACATTACCAAATTTACCGTGTTGATGCTATTGTCGTGCAAGTTGTGGTTTTGTACCTGGGCGCTTAGCCGCCCCTCTCTCCAACCATCTAACTTCCCTTTGCCATGATTCGCCCTCGTCGAAACGATCCTCGTTCCTCTGGTCATCATCATTCGCAGACTCGAAACACTGCCCGCCTAAGGCCGGCATCTGGCTATACCTAGCCAGCCAACCAGAGTGAATGTGCTGTAAGCGGCTTAACGCATTTTTATTGTGACAATAGCAACAATGGCCATGCTGGAGGCTCAGTGCGCGATCCTGCGAACTGCCCGTGTGGGCTAGCTGTTGTGGAAGATATGGATCTGTGTGGCGTGTGGGTGCTTGGGGGTGGGTACGGAGGTGTGTAAACTAGGCTTCTTCCTATTGTGTTGAGTATTGTGTTGGTTGTTTCAGGTGTCGTGGTTTGTGGGAGGAGGCCATGCGGGAGGACTGCATGTGGCTGTTTATATATATAAGTGACTGCTGGTGCGTAGCGCTCGAGGAGGTTTGCTGAGTACAGCGCGGACAGCGAAAAGGTTGTGGTTCCTATTCTCTGGTGCCAGGGGAAATGAACGTTTGTTAACAAAATCTAGATTTGTACTGCGAATAACGCACGAATACCATCATCCACGGCAAACGTCATCAACAAGACACTCCAGCATAACAACATAACCCAGTATTGGTTCACTCCTACATCCTACACGTTTTCGTGGTTGCGCAACAATTTACCGGCAAAGCTTTTAACCAACACATTTTACCAGTACTCATAGTACCCGAACTCGCATGATCGTCGCACCAAACCATCACACCAACATCACGCCACGACCCCACGGTCACGATACCCCACAAGATATATCGTCAAAACTCGGGAATTTGTTGCTTGGCTAGAAGAACAGCCGTTCATATATGTCATGGACCCATTTCGAAAGAACAGCGAAATAGATCTTGTAAAAGCATCATTGTCGATAACCCACAATAATTCATCAACGACACCAACCAACAACATATTCTCTACTTCACATCCTCACAACAACACTACACACTCACCTCCTGATACAGAAGATCAGCTACCAACAGTAGCACCACCTGCCTACCACACAATTACAGGCCCAAACATGCCCATGTCCAACATAACGTCACCCTACGACTCCTTACTGCAAGAAGGAGTAGACTCCAACCCCCACGAAACTTCCGATGACGATACACCAGAAATCATCATTAACGCCGCCACACAAATCCGAGGCTATGGAAACATCATCTCCATTGCGCAAATGGACAGCGTACGGATAGCAAACCTGATATCCACCGTACTCAGCGGCCAGGATCCCACAACCGACAGCCCAGCCAACACGAACAAAACAGAACAAGGAGAGGATACAACAACAGCGCGTCGTCCCCCAACGCCAATAACGCCAACAAGAAGGGAACACACATCGACAACGCAAGTCAGAGGCGTGAAGCGCTTCTCCAACATCAACATCACGGTCAACTGCGGCGCGACCATCATCGGGGACAGGAACATCGTAGGACCGGGACTAGGCGATATCGCGAGGCAGATGCAAATTGCGCAGAGGAATCAGGCGGCGTTGCTGGCTCAGCAACGGGCTGCGGCGGCTGCGGTGGGGTTGGGAGGGCAAGGAGGGCAAGGAGTGAAGTTGCCGTCTCCTCCACAGGAGGCACATTCATTGGGACAGCAAATGCATGGTGGGGTGACACCACCGCGGGGAGTGACGATTCCGCTGGGCGTTGCGACACCCCCGATGAGCCGTAGTTCTAGCCTGAGCAGTGAAGCGGGAGGACGGAAAAGGAAGAGTGAGGATGGTGCCGAGGGTGTTGCGCAGAAGAGGCGCTGTTGAGGGGTGTTTTTTTATTACCTAGGTTTTGGGGGTTTCCTTTTGAAGCGTCTTTGTAATTGGGGTGTTGTGAAGGCGAACTGGACGGATTACGCTATGGTGGTTTGCTGTTGTTGTACATTGAACCTATATGGGTAATGAGTTATGAGGTACGAGTTCTTTTTCTTATGGTTGGGTTGGTACATAGGCTTTGTGATTGTGGTTGCAGGAGCCTTTGTTTGGTGAATATCATTCGCTCGTGTCTACTACTGTACTGTGTTCCCGTTGGAGCGAGCCAGTTCCTATCTATATGACGCCGTGTGCCATGCATGCCCTTTCACGTGTCAGTACTTCTCACTGCTGATCGTCGACGGCTGCTACACGAAGCAAGGGGGGCCACACAAGAAACACAGAGGGAAGCAGCCCGTGAGACAGGGCAATATCGAAAGAGATTCCAATGGTGCAGCGGCAGATGATGAATGGCTTGTGAATGGCTTGGTGTCAAGCCGCTTAAAACGTTAGAGGCCGCCGTCGGGGGTCGGGGGTGTCGGAGGTAGCCTTCCGCCTCCGCGCGAGCGAGCCTGTGCTTGATGCTTCGTGTCCTTTTCAAGTTGCACGTGGGAGCAGATAGAGCCATTGAGTAGTCATGGACGAGACACAAGTGTGCGACGCGACAAGATAGACAGAGAAGGGAATTGATGTCATGACTGCATAGAGGAAATATAATCATCCGCCTTGTGTGATGCATCCTACCCGCCGCAGCGCCTCAACTCACCCCTGCTTAGCGGCATCCCGAACGGGGAAGCACTCCTAAGCTCACTACCACTCGCACCTTCACCCTGCCACGTCCAGCAATTCTCCTTCCTCTCGCCCTGCATTGTTGGCTCCGACACATTCAAGTCGATGTGAAGGTATAGCAGCACGTGAACCAAGACAAATCCCCTCAGAAGCGCGGCGCCAATCTCAAGTGCGCGATTCCGTGGTTGCACTCGACGGTTGCGTAGCTCCCGAAGCGGTTCCAACACCTTTACCTGGCCTCTTCTCGCAACGCCATCGAAGCCGTCAAGCAAAGCAGCCTGTGCAACGCGTCTATTCACCACCATTACGACGCCCGGGCTAAGGCAAAACTAATCACCTGTAAGCCCCTTTTGTTCAGTACTCCTTGCTCCGCCTCCCCCAACTCCGTCATCCTCTCGCGGTCCGCTCTGCCAGCTGTTGCATTGCCGTGCAGCGTTGACATTGGACCTTGTGTAGTAGTCACCGCCGCACCCTCGAATCGTTGAACACGTCGACGCACACACATCCACCTCTTACATCATGGAGCCGTGGATGAGCTGGGTCGTATTCCTGGCCATTGGAGGCGCTGTCTACTGGTACTACATGCACCAAGGCAACACCGCCGATGTGCGAGGACGATCAACCACGGGCAAGTCCACAACCTCGTCGCTCAAGGAGGCCGTCAACTGGGACAGCTCGGAGAAGAAGCCCAAGGCCGCAAAGAAGACTACCAAGGCGCCCCGCAAGTCTGTCAAGACGGCTGTTCAGGATGCTGGGAACAAGGCTGCCGATACCCTGAAGCAAGCCGCGCCCAAGCAAGCTGCCGACGAGGAGGTCGCACCGCCCGCCGCCTACACAAACAAGGCCCCAAGCGGCAAGGATGTCTCTGACATGCTCGGCGAGCGATCCGTCTCCCCCGCCGTCATGAGCATCAAGCCCTCGGAGAAGCCAGCCAAGTCAGTCAAGGCGCAGACACAAAAGGCAGAGGTTGCGACCGAGTCCAAGAAGCAGCGCCAGAACAGGAAGAAGGCCGAAGAGGCCAAGGCCGCGCGCGAGGAAGAGGAGAAGGCGCGCAAGGCTCTCGAGGAGAAGCAGCGTCGCGTCGCTCGTGAGGCTCGCGGTGAGCCCGCCAAGAACGGTCTTGGTCAGAGCAAGCCCCCTGCCTCGAACGCCTGGACCGAGGTGTCTTCCAAGGCATCTCGCGGCGCCGTCCAGCCTCCCAAGCCTGCTCCGACTGGCCAGCTACTTGACACCTTTGAGGCTCCCGCTCAGACCGCTACTACAACCACTGCCCCCACCAACGGCGCTGCCAAGGCTTCCGCTCCCCTCAACAGCCTCCCTTCGGAGGAAGAGCAGATGAGACTGGCCATGGAAGACTCCGCCTGGACCACGGTTCCCAAGGGTGGTAAGACCAAGCGCAAGACGGTGAACGAGGAACTCGCCGAAGAGCTTAGCAACGTCACTGAGACGAAGCCACAACAGTCCGCCAAGCCAGTCAGGCCGACTGAGGTCATCAAGGAAAACAAGAACCCCAGCTCCAGGTACCAGATCCTTGCTGAGGAGTTCAACCCCAAGACTGGCGATGACGCCGATGACTGGGCTGTCATGTGAGGTGGATGGACTGGAGTAGTCTCGAGACCTTGGGTACCCATACACGTACCCAGACGACGTGGATATTTCTGTCGGAGAAGACCTTGGTGTCAATGCGATGGTTGGCAATGTTCATCACGATGGTATCATATTTGGCATGACGGATGGGCGGGCACAACTCAATACGACGGCGGCGGAATTGTCTACTTGTAAGCATGGGCATGGTTGGAACAGGACCATCGGGTGTAGGTTCCTTCCTCTACTTTGCTTTGCTGTCCAGGTTAATGGAAAAGCAATCGGCGTGTGGGGGTTGCATCTGATAGTTATTTACAAGAGCTTCTCTTGCGTTCTCGTCGTGTACTTCAATACTACATCAGATCGCAGACTCTGTGCTGGAAAGGGAAAAAAACTATCGAGTTAGAAACTGTGGTTGATAACTAAATGTGCGAGCCAATTGCGAGCCCTGTGATACCGTCCCTTGATTATTTGTAGAGTCAGCGGTGAATACTATAAATATATCCACACTCCACTGTAATAGCGGAAGCCCGTGCCAAGTCGTGAATCAGCTAGTTCAGAATTGAGCCGGGATTATTTCGTACCGACTCACATTTCTGACGCCATAGGTAAGAGTGTCAATTGCAGCAATCTGGCCTCAAAGTGGTATTCTAGTAGGTTGCGCGAACCGAGGGACGAGCGCAACGGCCCTCATCCTTGGGAACCGCACACGACGGCGGGCGCAATATACATATATATCTGAGGCCATCACGCGCAGCCTGCTAATTGATAGTTGCACCCTGCAATTTACTACACTAGCCTGGAACAGAAGGAGTTGTAGTGAGACTACAGGTGGGCAAGGTTTCGCGCGCGCAATAGGTCTAGCTGGCTGACATAATCTGACGTTTCCGAAGTTCAATCGCGTCAAGGACACCTGTTCGGAGTGCCCAAATCACTACAGGGCTCTAACCTACAACTCCGCCGCCCACCCACCTCGTCTTTCGTTCTCTTTCCACACTACACGACCCAGCCATGGCGCAGATACGCGGCACAGCTGGCTACCACCTGGGCAACCAGTCCCCGTTTGGCAATTCGGGGCGCAACGACGACAGCAGGAATGACCCCAGTCCGCTCGATCAATTGAGGGCGCAGACGAGCAAGCTCGAGGACATGCTGGACACTGTCGCCGACCCCATCAAGCCGTGAGTACTGTTCTCTGTACATGGGATGGTGTGTTACACACACACACACACACACACACACACACCGCCCGCCTCGAGGACTTGGCGAGTCTGAGAACATGGCTAACTCACGACCGATACTAGATACCTCCCTGGCATTGGTCGCTTCCTCATCGTCGTTACTTTCCTCGAAGATGCGCTTAGAATCATCACGCAATGGACCGATCAGCTCACATACCTCCACGACTACCGCCATAGTACGTGACCCCTACACTTCCCCTTCCCCGCGTGGATAGACTGCTAACACGGTCTCCTCTTCTACAGTCTGGAACGGCGTAACGCATCTCTTCCTCATCACAAACATCATCCTCATGATAGTTTGCTCCTTCGGCGTCATCTTCCGCAAATACTCCGAATTCAGCGTCGCGGGCCTCATGGCTGTTGTCGTTTTGCAAGGAATTGGCTATGGACTCGTCTTTGACCTCAACTTCTTCCTGCGCAACTTGTCCGTCATGGGCGGCCTGCTCATGGTTTTGAGTGACTCGTGGGTTCGCAAGAAGTTCGCGCCTGCTGGTCTACCTCAGCTCGATGAAAAGGACAAGAAGATGTACTTCCAGCTTGCTGGACGTGTGCTGCTTATCTTCCTTTTTGTCGGATTCGTGTTCCGCGGTGACTGGGGTTTCTGGAGGATTATTGCTAGTCTGCTGGGACTTGTGGCTTGCATCATGGTTGTTGTCGGTAAGCTATATTCCTATTTACGATCTGCTAGATGCAAGAGGCATATGCTGACTTTTTACACTAGGCTTCAAGGCCAAGTTCAGCGCCATCATGCTCGTTCTTATCCTCAGCGTCTTCAACCTGTATGTCAACAACTGGTGGACGCTGCACCCGCACCACCCCCACAAGGATTTCGCCAAGTACGACTTCTTCCAAATTCTTTCAATCGTTGGCGGTCTCCTCTTGCTGGTCAACATGGGCCCCGGACAGTTCTCTGTCGACGAGAAGAAGAAGGTCTACTAGATTGCAACGAGATTTGGACTATGTTCACGCATCACGACATATGCCTACACGCTTGGGCAGCGAAAACGGTCGCCTTGTATTCGGTATATACGCATAACAAACGTGGGAAAAGCAGTGTTCAAGACCAGAGACAAATTAGGAGTTGGGAGGAAAGGGGAGGTTTCAAATCCCCAGCCTAGGGCTCTTCTGCCAGGCGATTGGGAGGGCAAACGTGTTAGAGATATGGTCCAATCGGCGTTTTGTTCCCCTGCTGGCGATTGGGTTATGAATCGCCTGTCTTTTTTATAAGGGAAATCTTTTTACATATAAGCAAATGTATATCCGTCCACTTGGACTCGATTTCACATTTGCAACTACTCCCTTTCAAGGTAACATGGGACACATTTCGCGGATCCACAACTGCAGAGTGGAGTCGGGCGCTATCGGTGAACTCCGCGTTTGCGCGTTTGCGGGAAATGTACACCTGCCACGCGTGGTTTGGTGTAGGGATGCAAGTGGGTAGTGCATGGCCGCTAGTTATCTAATCGTACATACGTATCGGAGTGTGCGACTTCCATGCAGCAAACAACATTCGCTACATTGATACAACAAAAGCATTTTCAATTTGACCCCACCCGAGAATACCGAAACTATGGCACCCAACAAAATCATCATAGACACTGACCCTGTGAGTTCAATCTTTCCAACCAAAAAGTGCGGGGTAAAAGTCGGTGGGGGAAGGCCTACTGTAGTGGCGGTTGACGGTGGACAAGGATCGTGGAGAAAGAGCAACAGTAGAACAACAAGAAGAGAACAGAGGCTAATAAGAGAATGACAACAGGGCATTGATGACATCCTAGCCATGCTTCTAGCCTTCTCGGCTAAGAGTGAGGAGCTGGATATACTGATGTTGAGCCTGACTTTTGGCAATGTCGAGGTGAAGAATTGTCTGAGAAACGTGGTCACGCTTTTCCATTATATCGAGAAGGAGAGGGCGTGGCGGAAGGAAAATAGAAGACCAGAAGGGTTTGAAACGTTGAATGCGAGGAAACCTATTGGTAGGTTTGAGCGATTGTAATCGCGCGCTGGTGGAACGGAGAAGTTACTAATGTGTGTGACAGTTGCTGTTGGTGCTGAAGAGCCGTTGGCGGAACATATGATGGTCGCAGACTTCTTCCGTAAGAACGACACGCTCCTTCTGGGGATTGGTTCGCGACACAGACTAACATACCATCTTAGACGGTGTCGATGGACTCGGAGGTATACATCATAGCGTAAGCTTTTTCCTACCATTCCAACGCCTCGTAGTATTCTCGCTGATGCATAACAGCACCCCCATCTCTCGCCTGAAGAGACGTGGAAATCCCTCTTCACGCCCCAGCCGAAGAATCTTGCGCCGGAAGAAGCTGCAGCGCTGCAGAAGGTCAAGGAGAAGCATTCGCTCTTTACGCCATCGCTCAAACCCGCACACGAAGTCATGCTCGACTTGTTGAGGGAGAACGAGCCGGGTACGATTACCATTGTAGCCGTCGGACCACTAACAAACCTTGCCATCGCTGCCGCGAAGGAACCGGAGACGTTCCTGAGAGTCAAGGAGGTGGTTGTCATGGGCGGTGCTATCGACGCGCCTGGAAACGTAAGTTCTTGTCCTTTTTTCTTTTCGTCACGTCTTCCTCCTCCTCTTCACTGAGGCTATTCATAGCGTTCACCGCCACCTCTCCACCTCATCTATTCCGCATCTACCCTCTCCATTTCCGTTCCACCATTCGGCTTGATAAAACAGCCCAACACCCCTCTTCGATATTCGCTAAACAAGCGCAACCAGATGACACCCGGCGCCGAGTTCAATACCTACGCCGACTCCATTGCATCAGCCCGCGTCTTCGCACTAACGTCTCAAAACCCGCATCTCACCATGCCACCTGTCATCTCCAACGGCAAGAAAGAGCAGCTCCCTCCGTATCCGGAGAAGTTGAGCAAGAGGCTGACGATCAAATTATTCCCGCTCGACACGACCGAGTTGCATGTGTTGCCCAAGGCCATGTATGAAGATTATATCAATTTGAAGCCGATCAAAGGGAGTCCCATGGCGGAATGGACTAGTCTCTTTCTCGATGCAACGTTCAAGAAGAATGCGAGTTTGAATCCGCAGCAAGATGCTACGAAAGCTGGTCTTCAACTACACGACCCGCTGACCATTTGGGTAAGTTCTTTTTTTAACTTATCCTCAACACACGTGACACGGCTTGCTGACCATCTTTTTTAAATAGTACGCGCTCTGTCCTAATAATAGCGCGTGGAAGTTCAAGGAGGAAGATGTCAGGGTTGAGACGAGTGGGCAGTGGACGAGGGGATGTACGATTGTTGACCGGAGGGGTCGACCAATTACAGAGGGACAAGGCGATTTGAGCGAGGAAGTCGTAGGAGACGCAGGGGGTTGGAGGGATTCAAGGAGGGGTAATAGAGTGGGCTGGTGTACGAGGAGTCCCGGGGAGAGCAAGTTTGGGAGAGTCTTGTTGCACCGGGTGCTGGGGGATGGGGAACAGTGGTAGAGGATGGGGGGAAGGATATATGTAGAAGGGAAATTCGAGATGTGGATGGATGTTGATGCTCAACTTCGTACTGATTTAAAGAGGCTTCTCCCTTCATTTTACTGCGTACGATTCCTCTAGCCTCTCTTCCAGCCAGTCAAACCCCCTCCTCTGACTATCCCACGTCGCGCTTCCTTTCGTCATCTTCCCAGCAAACGTATGAGGCTCCCCTTGAACCTCGAATAAACTTGTCTTGACCCCCGCCTCCCTTAATCTCTTCTCCAACTCTTTACTCATCGTGATCGGAATCGTCTGGTCCGCCGTGCCATGCACAATCGCCGTTGGCGGCCACGACGAACTCACCTTGAGCACCGGATCAATTAGGTCCAGGTCGGCAGGGTAGCGGGGCCATATGGAATTTAGCACTTTTCCTGTAGCGATGGCGTGCATGGCGAAGGCTTGGCGCTGTTGCGGGTTGGGATGGGTTGGGTCGGCTGACTGGCCTTCGAGGGAGGTGCCGCCTATGAAGACTGTTTTTTCGGCATGCACGGCGGCGACGTCGGATGCGGGTAGAGGCGCGTGGAAGGCGGCGGGCATCTCGGGAATGGGCTGAGTCCAGAACGGGGAGGAAAAGGATTTTGCGCCATAGAAGTCGAGGATCGCGAGGGGTGGCGTGGATGATGTCCAGGCCTTTTTTCTTTTCGTCAGTCTTGTGCTCGATATTTTCTTTGAATGTTGCCTGTGGGAACAGCTGAAAGTTTCCTCGCATATCTCCCACGCATAATTGCCAACGGAGTAAGCCAACCAAAAGAAGAAGAAGAAGTCTCTCACCGTAGACAGCGCAAGATGTCCCCCCGAGCTAGTACCCATAACCATCACCCTATCCTCATCGACCCGAACCTTGTTCCCATTCTCACTCTCTTTCAAGACCCGCGCCAAACCTCCGTTCTGCACCCAGCCTAGAACATCCTTCACATCCTCCATTGGCCCCTCAAGTACATCCACGCCCGGACAAAGCCGATGTTCGATCGAGAGAACGATCCAGCCTCGCTCTAGACAATCGGCTATCTGGTCTCGATTGTTTATGCCCGCATGGCCGAGCATGAAGGCACCGCCGTGAATCCTGGAGTAGAGTCAGACAGCTTGGACGTGGGTTAAGCTGAGTCTTGAGAGAATGAGTTAGAAGGGTACATGATGATCGTGATCCATCCCAGCTTTTACAGGTCACGACTTTCTCAATCTCTTTAGATCTCTTTTCGGGGAACTTTCTCAAGGGTGGGAAGATGACGGAAACACACACATGATCAACACCGGCGCATCTCTCTGCGACACCTTAGTTGGGAGATATATGTCCGTCGGTATCTCCACGCCATCCACAGTTTTGTACGGCGTGCGTAGGGCCGGACGCATGTCCTTGTTGTTGGAAGAGGCCATTGTGTTAGAGGCAGTCGTGAAAATGGGATGCCCCGAGCTAGGATTGGAATTTGGAGCTCAGATGTGGTCGGATCACAAACTTGGAAACCCGAGATGTAAGTACTCTGGGCTATGGACTATTCGCTGCGGCAATGATAGTAGTAGTGCACGCGCGCTAGTCCCACCTACCTTCGTACGAGCGAATCCCCGCCCAGCTAAACTAAAATGGATAATCAATCATCCCCATACCCCTCCTTCTATCACCCGCACTTCGAGACGGCGGTTTGGACGGACATGCGTTGCCGAGTGTCAAAGCAGAACACAATCGCACGTTCCGGATCTTATTGTGTTGCCGACTACCAGTAGAGTTAGGGCGGAGCAAGGTACATCATCGGTAAGCTTTCTCCACATACCGAGCGGGTTTGTACAATACAATTCCCCAAAACTCCGTGCGGGTGCCGTCCACATTAGGGACTATCCTCCGAGCGTACATATCCACACGAAAGTAAGAGGGTGAAAAGGGTACAGTGTGCATGTTGCTCTTGTGTCTGAAGAGCTTATTAATTAGTCTCATAGCTACCAGTTGGCCGAGTTGGAACAGTTTTCCCGTATGTTCTAGCATCGCGTATTTGCGGAGCTAGATCGAGGATAGTAGCTGGTTGCAACAACAATCACCGCATGTAGCGTCTAGTCACCGAAGGAAGACCTGATGAGCTATCGATGTCTCAGTGTAGCGTGTACTTCTTGACTGGCTTGTCGCTTGCGAGAGCTTCGCCATGCATATAGCCATGCATATAGACGTCCCCAACGTAGCGATACTCATTGCTTTCGCCTTCCGCACGAAGTATGATGGGTGTTGAACAGCCAAACGGTACAATGACGATGTCTTCGCGGCTCATGAAACCCGTTCCCATGCCCATCAATCCGTCTCTCGTGATGCAAAAGGTTCTTCCCATCTGTAGATTTCACATTACGTCAGCAGAGAAAGTGATGTGAAGGATTGCACGCACCATCCTGTCCCCAAAGTATTTCTGAATGAATGATCGTTGCTCATGGGTCTGCAAGCTGTCCGACTCCCTTTGTTGCTGGAACTTGCGGTCCAGCAGAAGACGTGGAAATCGCTCCTGAATCCATGAAGAGAAGACGTGATAGCAGGTTCTTGTCCAGCAGTGTTCCAGTTCCTCAAGTGACTGACCTAATGAGAGCGTTTTGCAGAAGTCGTTGACGCGCGGATGGTCCACTTCTTCGTCTTCCGTAATGTCGAAATGAGAGAGAAGCAGCACCCGCCAGTTCAGAAAGGCCATGAGATAATCTTGTAACGAGCACAGAGTGCCTACCGCCACACCCGTCGTATCGATAATATCCAATTCGATAGCAGAGATCTCAAGCTTCCGGGATTCGTCCTTGAACTCGTATTCCGCGTCGCGGTCGCTTGCAGCCGAGAAGTCATCTGAAGACAAAGCCGAGTTTTCTGGAATCTGTGCCCAATTTGGACACCATGTAGGCAAGTCGGTAAAGCTGACCTGAACAGGAAAGTGAATCGCTTCGCGCATCACATCAAGGCGATGCGTGGAACAGACGATGAGTTGGGCGACTTCCAGGTAAAGAGACTTGACAGATGTGTCATAACTCACATGTAGTCGTTCGCGAATATCGCTTGGGAGTATGCCTAGCACACCGAATATCTTGTCCCTTGGGTTCTCGCTTAGCTTCCTTCGGCAAGCTCGTAAAACTTCTAGCAGAGAGTTCGGGCCCAACATCATGAGACGTTGAACGTCTGGAAAGCTACTTGGTCCTGTCCAGAGGTAAGGATCGCTTTCGTGTTGCCAAAGAGCATCTGATGCCTTCTTATGTAGGTACCAGGAAAGTTTGGAAGAGCCGCAGTAGACCATCTTGCTCTTTGCATGAAATACTTCCTGTACGACCCAAAGCCGACTCCAATAATTCCTCCTGAAAAGAGAGTGCAAAGCTTTCAAGTCGCGATGTTCCAAAAGGCTGGTCCATTCATGTCGCTCCGCCCACCGAATTTTCTCCAACAGTTGTATTGCCCGCCCACTATCATCCGCTTCGTGTCCAAGCCAAATGGCTACACATGTTGCCTGTCGATAAATTTTGTCCATCAACCGGACTTGCTTGGCGCGTTCTGTTTTGTTCTCTTGGTCAATTGAGAGTCCGTCTATCCAAACAAGAATGGCGTAGTCTGGTTCGCGGACAGCCATTAGGGCATCGTAAAGATTTGCGTTAACTGAAACGCGTTCAACGCCTTCCAAAGTTATCTGTCTCTTATCAAAGCCATCCCCCCATGCATAAGAAATTGCAATATAATCTGGTCGATGGCGAAGCGAACTGTAGACAATCTTGCACTCTAAGCCTTGTCCATTCTTCGGAGACACCTTTATAAGCCGAAAATCATCTGCCCCTTGTAGCTCTCTATACACGACTTCTCTTGCGTTAGGGATGTCCATAGAGCTGCTCACTGTAGTAGCGAAATTCGAATCGGCCAATGTTATTCCTTCAGCTGCACCAGCATACGCAATGCTTGCTGCAAGCTTTATGCCCTCGGCAGTGACGGTAAAGCGTTCCGCTAACTGGCCTGTAGAATGTTGTTCTCGATGGGTTTCCTGATCAGACTGCGCGGTTTCCACGAAAGTCTTCTTCTTTGTCACGTCAATCTACGCAGGTTAGCAGTGCTCGACCACGGAACGCCTTCTCGTTGATGCTACCTTTCGATATGCAGTATGAGAGGAACCGTCGATTGGTCCGAGAATGGCATGAAAACGATCGCTGGCTTGCTGGCTCGTAGTAGGCAGGAGACCATTGTCTTGCTGTATCGGGGTCTCAAAAAGATGATCGCCTCGCGTCTGCGGCTTTGAGGCTTCTCTCCCTACCTTGTGGAAAGACTTTTTTATGTGCTTCATAGTTCACCCGTACCGTGACCGACCGCATTGTTCGGTTCACTGTTAAGTTATTTGGTGGTCAGTGAAACCGAAAGAAGCGGCTGTTCGCAACGCAGCCTGATGCGGGGTTTTCAGCTGTGATGTGTCAGCCTGGTTGCAGGATTGTCCAAGCGCGTAAATGATGCTATTGGCCAAACACCTGCTTTGAAATATCGCTTTTTGTGCTGCCAATGGGAGGTACACATGTATTTCTGGTAGTGAATGATATTGCGTCATGGTGATGACTGTGGATTCGCAGTTATGGCGGCATGTCTTTGCCCAGCATACCGATGTGAAGGTGACGGACTATATTACACTCACTGTCGGCGATTTTTGTAACAAAACATGTAAGGATCCACGAGATAAAGTTTATGGCTTGATGGTTCTAGTCCAACTATCAAGCCAGGTTGAGATCGACTATACGAAGTCGACACGCCGGGTATTTCTTGACGCAGTCGTGCCGATGGTGAGAGAATACTGGTACACGAGACATGAACCTTCTGATAGCGGGTGCCAATCCCATCGTGTCAGGTGGGCCCTCGGAAAGAGCGTAGAATCATCATGGAGCCTCGCACAAGCCATGGATTTCACAGATCTTGAAAAGTATGAAGTTACGGCCAAATCGCGTGGCCTTCGAGTGGACGCTGAAACTCATTGTATCACACCTGTGGGCTATGAGCCAGCAACGCGTCAAGTTTCCATCAATAAGCGACTTGAAGCGACCTGCAACCGATGGTGGTACACTTTTGAGGGTAATAGATACTACCATGACTGTAAAGAATGGTCGAGCAATGCGAAACTCCAAGAATATACTGTACCAGAGGATGTGCGTTATTCCAGCCCTGGCCTAGCAAGAAACTGCCCACAAGAAACGATAGGTTTTCAGTCGAGCGTGAGCTTCTTCAGCAAATCCCACCGAGTACCGTAGGATGGTTTGCGTTCCAGTTGTGCGACGAAAACGCGTCGGTAAGCAAAATTATAACGCCATACAGTGACCCGAACACGGTTAACATCGAGGTGGTGAGGGGGTCGAGAGCGTTTGGTTCGATAAGTTGGACAGAAATTCAAAAGTTCACAGCTTTGAAGGTGGCAATACCATAGGCGAAATGCAAAAGTAGGAAAGTCGCGTCCAGAAGCACTGGAAAGTACCTGCCACTAGATCTAGTTGATTATTAGCAGCTGTTGCGGCCCATGCTGGTCGTCCGCTTTTACTTATACAATAGCTGGTGTGCACGGAGCTTGATCCGAAATGTGTCGCATTTACCGGAAGTCTGCTCAGCGGATCAACCCACAGAGCAGTCCTCGATTGCAATCTGCATCTAACAAGTATAAAAGCAAAGACATGACCTTCGCATGGCCGTGTACTATTGACACTAAGACGACGTGTTGGATGGTCGACCTACGTTCCCTCCTTCCACAACGACACATTGATCTATTCGACTAGAAATCTCCTCGTGCACAGACTCGGTAAACCGGAGGCGTTTTATCAGACGTCCAGCAACGTCAGCCAGTGTGCTACAAGCATGACATCAACGTACTACATGACACGAACCGACGAGCCGAGAAGAAGTGCCGATTGTGTCGTCCAAACCAATGGTAATGCGTTGACCTGATGAGGAAAGCGTAACCGTTGTAGCACTGCTAAGCTGGTGCACCGCATATGCAAAGTTCAAGCCACGAAAAAGGGAGAAAGACAAGCATACCATATCGTGATCAGATTACTCGAGTATCGCTTTGGCTCGCCAACCAAGGACGGATAACAAAGGCAAAAGGTCACCTTGTCGAGTTTACAACGCGCGTCGTTTTAGAAAAAAGCGTTTATATAGTGGAGCCCTACAGTCTGCAACTCTTGTCATCACTCATATATTGGGTTGGGTGAGTTATTCGTATGCTGATGTTGCGACCCAATCCCTTTCCGTCACACCACTTCTTGAGCATCATCATCATCGTCATGATCATCCTCACCCTTGCTTTCCCCAAAACGAGGGGAATTCTCCGAATGGCCAAACACAGAGTTTTGTGTATGATGGTGCAACAAAGTGGGCATGTTGTATCGCCCTGCGCTCTCCTAGTGCTAACTGATACAAATCCTGCAGCTGCCCACAAGCGAACCACTCGGCTTAGTCGCCGTTCTTGTGTAATGATGACACAAAGGCCTGATGATGGTTGTGGTGGCTGGCAGAGGTGGTGCTTCTGATCGCGAGCGGAGAACGGTTTCCGTGTCGGCTCATTTCCCGAGCATAATGTCGTGTCACGTCTACATTGAGGTTTGCTAGAAGGGGTTTGGACCTGATAGGCGTGGAATGCTACTAATGCTCAGGGGTATTGTTTAGCCGTCTCGTTGGTCATGGAGCGAGTTATAGAGCACCAGCAGTTGCATTCAGGACAAACAATAATAGACTCAAGAGTATAATGCGATTGATAGCTGATTCCCTACATATCCAATCTCTAAACCCCATAAATGTAACGGCCGTCTCCACATCTTCCATAACAGTCCAAAGAACCAAATTGATTAAAGCAAAGAACTTATAGAGTTCTGCCATGTATACGAATAAGATGAACAGGACACGATCGACGAACCGGGTATATCTTGTGCATGTGAATGCCTGCCCAAAACGAAAACAAGAAAGAAAACCCACCAGCTCCGTAACGCACGGTAGATGCAACAAAGAATCGTAAAAACGTAGGTGCGGGGTTACAGAGTGTGTGTCGGGGGGAGTATAGAAGCAGTCATCAACGAAAGTGCAGATTGCCAAAGCAATGGCAATGGCTAAGAAAACAATAAAACAACGCCCCCGCTTCAATGCAAAACAATGGAATCCGGCTCGGATGTCCCCTTCTCCCTGTCCAACCTCTTCTGTTAAAGCCAAAGCTCGAATTCGATCGTCCTCTTTATGTAGGCGGTACAACCACACAGCCAATTCGCATGATAGCTGTCATCGGTACAATGCGCATACCATCCACTACACTTCCAGCCATACATCAAACACTATTGATGAGGGTACGGCAGTGGACCACCGACCGGTCGCTCCTGGCCCGGACCCCCTGGCATCCTCGAAGCAGTCCAAGAGAACATGGCCATGTCACAGATGCGTGCAAGGACCTGTTGCGTAGCAGATCGAGACTCGTGGCTGATAAAGGACATGGCGACGAGAAGCTTGTTCAAGTCGCTCTCAGGAGGTTGGCCAACGGGAGTAGGCAGAGCATTAGGGAACCCGCCGATGCGGGAACCGTAGTGCCGTGCGATGGCGATAGAGTAGATGGCGTCGCGCACCTCGCGCATGTGCAGGACGGTACGTAGAATACCCAAGGCGTTGTCTGCGGCTCCTGGCGGTGCGATATCGGAATCGGAATATTGGACGAAGTCACCAAGATGTTGCCAGAAGCTGACTTGTGCCCTCGCCTCGTCATCCAGGTTGGACGGATATTCGAGTTGACGTGTGGGGTTAGACTCCAAATTCTGATTTGTGAGGAGAGCTTCCAGGACATCGAGTCTTGCTCTAGCTTCTCGCATTTGGAAATCCTCGCCCTCTGGCGGCGAGCCATTAGTGGTCGGGAGCATATGCTTGCAAGTGCTTAGCAGGTGCCATAAAAGACGAGCTTCTTGACTAAAGATGCTCGTCATATCAGCATCCTGGGTAGCCTTGTACTTGATGGTCTCGGTAAAGAAGGCGGCCTCTTCATGTAGGTATCGGTCGCTGAAAACTCTATTGAGCGCATTGTTGTTAGCTGAGAACCAGGTGGTTTCGAGTACGACGTCGAGGCCTTGACAATAGTCGTTGAGGAAGATGCGGGAGAATTCGTCGTCAAGTTCACGCGGCACTGGTGAAGTTCGCTGAGGAACGTCGGGCGGGCTGTGGTTACATATTCCGAAGAGGTCTTGCATATTCAACCGCTTGCCTGAATCTGGGTTAGGATTAATAAGACGATGAGGAGCAGGGTACCAACCTTTCATAGGCTCTGGTGGAGGTGGGTAAGGGTTGGCACCTGGAGGCCCTCTCATGGCGGGATCCATGGTGTGTACACCGTTGTAATGTTGGTTTTGTTGAAGACCAGGATCGGCCTGCGCGAGTGCAGGGTCTATGGCGTGGAAGTTGGCCTGCTGATGCTCTCCGCTCGTAGCAGGTGCGGCAGTCGCGTACCCAGCAGACGAGGCAGGCGCGTAACCCTGGGGTACCGGACTCTGGCTGTAGTTGGAGGACGACGGGGCCGGCGCCGGTGCGCTTGTCGCGTGGGGTGCGGGCGCTGAGTTGGGGGCAGGTTGTATTTGGGCGGGACCGGATTGCTGTTTGAAAATTGGGTCGTAACCAAGACACTCTCGTTTACTCTTCTGACAGTTTCTACACATGGGGTGGGCTTCGTCGCACTGTCGGGATGGTGGTTAGCGCATGTGCAGGTGAGTAATGATGTTGGTGCGCGATGCAGAAAATTTGCCAGAAACAAGACCAAGGGTGTTGGCAGCGCACGACAACACGGTTGATGTAGCTGACGCTGCAACACACTTGCCAACCGTGTTGCTGCACCGTGCTGCACAGTCGGTCGTTTCTGACACGCGAGAGGTTGGATTAGAGGAGTTTGGGTTCCTCGCTCGGTTAAGCAAGCGACCAGGCAATAGCTCCTCTGGCTTCGCGTCGCGTCTGCACCGCGTCTCATTGACGTATGCACTCACCTTTATTCTTCGCTTGCGACATGTCAGACAGCCAGTCTTTGTGCGACGCTTGATTTCCTTCTTGTGGCGACCGCCAGATAGCACTCTCTGATCGCCCTGCGGCGGCAGCTGGTATCGCATCGCATTGAACTGCGGACCGCCCATGTTGCCCATCATGGGCTGTCCGGGCTGCGCATGCCCTGGGTGAGGGTAGTATTGCTGCATGCCGTGTTGTGGTGGTGGGAGTGGAGATCCCATGGGCTGGGGCGGCTGCTGAGGTTGCGCCTGGGACTGCTGTCCATCTTGCAGACGTATTGGCGGCAGATTGAGGGGCGGCAACGACATCTGAGCGCCCTGCGGAGAGCTGCGATAGCCCTCGTTGCTCTGCTGGCCTTGGGGAGGCGGATACGTGTATGTGGGCTGCATTGAGGGCGACGGGTACGAGTGCGGTGAAGGATAGGCGACGGCCTGCTGCTGGCGCGACTGCATGTTAGGGTCGGCCATGCTCTGGTGGGAAAAGTGAGTCGGGGCGGGCGAGTAGGGCGCCTGGTTGACCTGAGTGGAAAAGTCGTGCGACATGGGCTAGCAATGGAGTATGCCACCAGGGCGCTCGACAGTTCTTGGGGATGTCTTGAAGAGCACGGCGGCGCTAGAAAGCTTGAGGCGGATGGGAAGAGGGACGGCAAGCCTGGCAAGGAACTGGGATTAGCTGAGTTGGCGAAGGCGTTTTGACCCGCGGAACAGGGGCCTGGTCTCGCTCGGTTCGACGCCGCCGGCCGCAGTAGTTGTGCGTGCACTACATGGATAGTACTGGATAACTGAACTGAATAACGCGGGAAAAAAAGTTCAAATGACAGCGGGGCCAGCAAGGGGAGACATGCAACACAGAGACGCTGGATTGCCAAAGGACGACAGCAGCGGCCTGCTGCGCCAAAGAAAACACGTCGCGAGTGCGCGATATCCCTCACAGCCGTCTAGGAAGTGGAGTGTGGGCTGCAGCATGGCTAGCCGCCTTTAGCAGGTAGAGAGTGCATGTGGCAGTGCCATGAATGAATCGACCGACTTTGACTTACAAGAAGCGAGCTCGCTTGGGCGGGTAGTAGGCGAAAGCAGGGTACGCTGGTGACAAACTAGCCACGCGCGCGGTGAGTTGGCTGAAGTCGTCTGCGAACGCGGCGAAGAGATGGCGGCAGGCAAGATGCAGCATTAGTGAACGGGGAATTTCTGTCCAAAAGGCTAAAGACGCAGACCGCTCCCATGTTCAAAAAGAACTGCAACCCCGATGGCCACACTAGCCTCATCAGGACAGTCACGTGCCGTGCCATGGGTCCCGCCATACCTCCAGGCCTGTTCTTCCTGCAATCAGCTTCGTCCCGCCCATCCAATGCACACGTCTATTGGATCTCTGCATCCATTGGGGCTACGCGCGCGAGCTCCAGGTACCTTGCTGAGCCCAGCAAATATGCGGCGTGCAGTGTCATTCCATCACCCGCGGGCCCGTGTATGGGCCTCGGTGCTTTTGGGATGCCAGACGAATACAGAACTTGCAGCCAGCCTTTGGGGCAACGCAAACTGTGGGAGAAGGGCGTCAACCCCATCCGTCCCGGACTGGCAAAATTTAATTAAGGCTGATTGCGCAGTACCTGGGTCCCGGCGAAACCGGCGCGGGATCTCTTCTCGAACACCTCCCTCATACTGTAGTCGATTCGCCTACCTACCCTCTGTCGCTTAGCTATCGGTGGCTTGCTCATGCAGCATCACTGACGAACCATTCTGTGGCAGCCTGCGCTTTTTCGATCCCCAGGCTTGACCTTGATTACGCAATGGCCTCTGAGTGCCCACATCAGGACCCTTTGCATCGTCAATCGCTTGAACAGGGATGACGTATGGTACCGTTGTGACAGCAGTGCGCTGTCCAACGCACTCTGAATGAGACCAAGCACAAAAGCACTCCATCTCCACAATGCGTCTACGGGCCGGCTTCCCTTTCCAGCGGGTACGCATCGTCCTATCTAATGACGCGTGCTGACAGCGGACAGCGAAGTTCCGTTTGTCCAATGCTCAATTTCCCTGGCTATTTACCCGCACCCAACGGCGCATATCTCAAGGGCGGCGGCTCCAGCCACAACGCCGTCTGAAGAACTAGACTGCAGCCAGAGTACCCAACAACTAGGTACCAGTATCTGGTGGTTACCAAGGTGTCGAGGTTTATCAAGCGGATAAATAATTGCATGCCGGGTCGAGCTGAGTAGCTGAGTGTGACCAATCTGTAGGAGGTGCATCAACGGCAAGACTTTGTCCTTTCGCATAGGATGGCGGGTAGCACTAGGAGTCCCTTCAACACGTGTCGAAATATCTACTGGACACCCCACCACCGTCGCCGAACAGATTCCACGCCAAACAATTTGGTTGGACTTCGCGATGCGCGCATCGCTTTGTCGCGTCGCATTGCGCCTCCCTTGTTCAGTGTTACACGGACAAGCAGAAGAGACCCTGGCCCTAGGGCTGACAAGCTGCATCTACTCCGGAGTAGAAGCGCCGCTACAGGAGCGTACGGACATCATCTGCGCGCTCACTCTGTGCGACATCCAAGCATCGCAGCGATACCGGAAAAGCCAACAAAAGCGCAGCTAGATTACCATGAGTTTTCGCAAAAGTTGAACGGGCTTAGCGATGCTGAGAATTATGTACAATACGATCTCGTTTATCTGTTCGCGAGACGAAGGCAAGGAAAGCCAGGTCAGGGATCACCCTAGCAAGACCGAAAAGCATCGAACGCTTCGAGAACAAAGTTCCCAAGGTTGTACGCCAACCGAGCGACGCAGGCGAGCAAGCCAGCGAGTCCGCCCCGCTCTCGGTTAGAGGACGCCATGGACCGACATCGCTGCTGCTACCATGGCTGCAGTCTGCAGTAATCAACATGCAATAGTATTTTGCAGGAGCGGAGATGCGACTTTACAGTATGATGACGTTTCGATACGGCATGGTAGATGCTGAGCGCGATGGCTGCATCGTAAAGGTCTTTGCAGGCACAAGACCTGGAGACCCTGAATAAGTTCGTATCTTTAGGTTTGCACTACGGCTGTCGCGAACGGACTCCCTCAAGTGTCCCAGAACCCATGGATATAGCTGAGCATCAGCACAGACTCTAGTTCAAGGGTTGTAGGTCACTGGCATGACTTGTCGCTGTGAACTTCACGATGTCTCGAAGAGTAGACGTCACCCGCAACTTCATACTCTAGACAACACATCACACTAACATTTCTACAAGTGTACCTCGAGTCGCATGTCTTCCCCGTCGTCGTCACTCTCTTTTGACATTTTAAAACTCTGATAAGCGTCGTCTGTAGCGCCTCTACTGTTGCGAGCCCCATGACGCGTCTAGATGAACACGTTGTCTTTACCAACTGTCATATCGACTCCGAGACATCCTTGTAAGCTCCAACTTCATCTGAAAGGTGGTTGATACTTGCAGCTCATGAGTAGGTACCAGGCACTCCCATGGTACACTGATCTGGCTCTGCCTGACCAGTGTTACAACTACATGGCACGAAAGCAACAGCGCATTTGACTAGGCAGACATCATTCATGGTGGTTGTACTAGATCACGCTGACTTGACTGTAGCTGTCAAGTATACATTATTCCAACAAGCTCGCAAGGATTCGTTCAACATTAGTGGCAAAGATGTGGTCCACAATCATGGCTCGAGTATAGAGAGGTTTCCAAGCGTAAGGCATCGAAACGACTGCACGTAACATGATGTGTTTTCAATCAGTCTCCTCTGAAAACAGCTGGTTATTCGCATCATCGGACCTGCAGAAGCTGTGGGTGAATGATCTGCTCGAAAGGACACGAGTGGGTTTGCAAGGAGATTGAACCAGAGTTGCTATGTGCGGTACTGTGTTCCAACCTCAGGCTGCCATTTCGCTACCAACGAACGCACCTCATCGCACCTTTATAAAATCGGGACACCCTTTCTTCCCCGCCTTTCTCAAGATTAGACTTTCTCTCCTCAGTTCACCGCTGTTCTCGCCGGCATCTTACCTCGATTCCTGAAGCTTATAGTGGTCTTTTTCTCCTTTAGACATGGACGCAACACTTGAGCAACGAAGGAGGGACGCTCTGGCGTTGCTTTCTGGTATGCTTACTTCAGTTCTACAAGGAGATTTTCAAGTAACAAATCGCCTTTCGGCACAGCCCGCTTCCGCACTGAACGCGCTTTTTGCGAAGCCCACAAAAATATCCGAAACCAACGTCAACGAACGAGATGTCTTCAAGATAGACATGAACGATCTGGATCTCGGCCCCAGTAGCGAGTCAGAAGCCAGTTCCGATGAAGATAGGCCAATCAGGAACACTCGGCAGCTGAAGTCTGAGGTACGCAGACTCAAGGCGATAATTCGAAGAGCAAACCGTCGGACAGCCCGTCGTGCCGCACGAATCGCCAAACACCTGGATCCCAGCCAGGCTGCCGCGGTATTCGACAGTTTGGGGGGCTTGTTAACCCCTCTGCGGGAGCCGCAGCATGTCACAGAAGACGCTCTGGACAAACGCATGACTGATGTAGCACCACAGGAGGGTGAGATTGCCGAAGCAAGCGGTCCAGCTCCGCCAAACGTAGAGGCCATTAGCTACCCACTTAGCTCTCCAACCGATTCACTCCCTTCCTCCTCTCCAATCTCCACACATAACTCTGACATACTTGCAGAGGGTACATCATGGCTCTGCAAACCGTGCAATATCTCCTTCAACCACCTCGACGACTACCGCAGCCACAAGTGGAGTAACGCATACCACCAAAAGAATGTCGCCGATTATAAGCGTTTGCGTCCCACGTATCAAGAGGAGGAAGATGATGTCGAGCAAGTATCGAGCTGCGACCCAGTAGGACATTACTGCGCCGACTGCGACTTCAGAACCTCAACGTATGGCAACTATACACGCCATTTGAGACGTCAGTGGCATCAGAGAAATGTGACCATGAGGCTACAGCGCAAGGGCAGAGTGACGAAAAAGGTGAAGAGCGCACCCAAGACGAAAGGTGGGCAGCTACAGCAGTATTGCAAGGACTGCGATAGTTGGTGTGTTAGAATTAATTGGGCTCGTCATTTGAAAGGCCCGATGCATGTGGATAACGTCGCGAAGAACCTGCGATTAAGGAGTAATGAGGAAGTGTTTGGAGAGACGGAAAAGGTGGGAGACTGGGTGGAGGTTAACGAGATGAACGAATTACGCAGTAAGAAGCCCGGCCATTACTGCAAGGACTGCGACCGCTTGTACACCACACAGAACTGGAGCCGTCATCTGAAGGGCTCGGTACATGCAAGTAACGTTCTGAAGAACAAACATTGCGACGAGAGTATTGTGCTGCCGACTCCTCCGGACTCCATTGTAGAAGTAGAAGGGCTGGAGACTCTACCTACAGAGCAGCCAGAGCGCTACTGCGAAGTCTGTGAAATATACCCTGGTGTTCGTTGGGCGCGACATGTGGCTTCCCTAAGTCATGTGTTCAACGCCATTCGTTTCCCCAATCTTAGCAGATGTACTACAGTTGACGAAGATACCACGGACGAGGAGGATGTCACTGGAGATGAGAGTATTGCAGAGGAAAGCAGCAGCCCAACAGAGGTAGGAGGATCCTCTTCCTCTTCGGTCCTGGAACTGGTCAAAAAGGTGCAAATGGACGTACAGGAGAGGGGAGAGTCGCAAGATGAGCACAAGGAGCCTGAACACTACTGCGAAGACTGCGATTGCAGATACTCTGGTATCAAGTGGGGGCGCCATCTGACGTCTGACGAGCATGTTGAGAATGTTGAGAGGAGTATGGTGCGGGATGGCATACAATGCGATAAGGATGAAGATGAGGATATGCAAGGCGATGCGATCTTGCAGCATGAAGCACATGTGCAGATCTCCCTCCATGCCTTGACCTCCTCTCCCGCTTCTTCCTCCCTTCCTCCCACACCGGCAGAACCAGCATGCCCAGAATACTATGTCGACGGAGTTCCTCCACATCAGTCTTCTTCCAGACGTCCTTCAGGAAAACAGGACTGGTACTGCGACATGTGCGATGCCAACGTCTCCGTTAGCAGTACCTGGGCGATTGGTGTACATATGGCTGGACACAAACAAGCCTTGTATGAGAAGTGGAAGATTAAGAGTTTGGAATCGAGTAAAAGGTTTCAGGTTGATGCTTAGGTGAGGGAGAAGGATGAGGAGGATATCTGGACATGGCAGTTAGACAAGGCTGCCATGTAGAGAGTTGAACACGACTGACAGTACGTATGGAATATATGTAAATGATTATATCAGCACAGCATAATTTCTGGAGCATTGCACTACCTACGTGATTGAACTAGGAGCTCGCCTTGTTCCTGTGTTGCTTCCACAGATACCAACAAGCTACAGTGATGAATGTGATCGGTACAGTAGTAACCACTCATAACCACCACAGCTCTGTCACCTTGAAAGAAGTCGTACTGGGCGTCGACTGGAGGATTCCAGCACCCAGCACCGTCTTTTGATCCATCAGTGGCCGCATAGATATGATTGGTGTGATACTCACAGCGGTGAAACTGCCAGGTAAGAAAACCATGGTGAGCAGCGCAATCGATGTCATGCTAGTACTATCTCTCTTCGTCTCGGCGGCAATCTGTATCGTGTTCAGGGTATGCTCTTGCGCGTTCAGATGCAGGATCAAGTTCATGATGACGTCCTTTCAGCCTCTGTAGTTCAAAGACCACATGTGCTGTTTCTCCATACTCGTGACTAGGTAATTGGCCATATCCACCGTCCGCTGCCTCGGTCATCTTTCGTCTTCGCCCAGCGAGGTGAGCTTCGTGGCCATATCACAGATACCCCGTGCTGTATACAAGAAGATTTGCGCATTGGAAAGGTGTGAATCAATCCCTTGTGCCATGGTCTGCACATTTTTCAGCCAACTCGCAAGTTCCCTCCTCCCTCGCTGTTCGACACCAGCCAGTTGATCGTCAACTTGGTTGATGAGTAGCCGTTAGAATCTTCGGAACTTCGCCACATGCCATTTTCAAGCTTCGAAGTTGGGGTTCAATATCGTGGTGTGGAGATCCATGGGACTGTGTAGTAAGTCGTGGCCGATGTCGTGTCGCTTTTTGTAGCGGATCAAGGTAGAGAGTTGTTTGCGAAGAGCGAGAATGACCTTGTCGACCGGTTTATGGGAGATCAAGCAGATGAGTAAATCTCTTTGAGCGTCGTATCTCGTATGGACAGATGATGGAGCGCCTTGGGCTTGGAGATTCCAGCGCGGATGCTCACAGAAGAAGTCGCAGTGGAGTAGTTTGCCAGTTTCTTCACGCCAGCGTGGTTGTGGAGCCCAGTGGTCAAGTCGACCAAGAAGATTCTGTAGAAAGTCTGGGTTTAGCTGTAACGAGCTAAAGAGTCTCTTGACAGCGCATTTTGTCATGGGGACAGAATATCCGTAAGACACTGTATCTTTTGCATGCTTCAAGGGAATGGAGAATAAGAGTGCTTTCCGGTTCGATATGGTAATTCTTGGATCTGGTTGCATGGATATAGCTGGTACATCAACGCATCTCTTGCCGGCTTCTGCTAGCAAGGTGCTGAGGTTGCTCTCATCTAGTGTGAGCCATCGTGGTCCTTTATCGTTGATAGACGAACATTATGATGAAGTCTCAGTGCTAAAATGGGCAAGCTGACCAACGTGTTCCTGATACATAATCCCAGAGAACATATCCTGGAACGAATTGATCGCAGAGAAGGGATAGTTTCGCAAATCTACATCAAAGTCCAAGTCCAGCTGATTCACTTCATGTTCGTTTCCCTCGGCATGTCGTTGCATTTGTCGGCCGTCTTTAGAGATCGGTCAGACTCTGATGTCCTCAGTAATGAGTGTGGTTTCTAGCTTTGAGAACTCGACTTCAGGCATCGCGGTTGGCATCGTAAAGTGGGCGATCGTTTTTGGGACTGCAGCAGGGGTCTGCACTCCACTGGTCATATTATATAGAAATAAAGTGATCATCATATCTGCCTGCATCAAGGCTGGCAACAATGACGAGGCAAGTAGACGGGCCAAAATGACGAGGCTGAAAGTCAGCATTGTGAAACGTTATTTGATCAAGCCAATCACCAAATCACCAAGTAGAAGGCACACCCACCATGTTACACAAGCTTTAAGCTCATCTATGAGCTCTTCTACGTTGTGAAGCATGTATGAATTAGTCGCTTCGCCCCCGCTGATGCGATGACATTTTGCTACCGCATTAATATCCGGTGCCGGCCAGCGGTTCGAAGGATACATAGTATTTACAACGCCAGGTCAGCTTCACAGGACTAGAGATCATGGATAGCAGGCAAATTTTGGTCAGCTTCATTTCGACTGCCGACTTTTGCGTGACACTAGGTCGTCATGGCCTGAACTTGAAGCGCCAGATACGTGTTGGCATTGGTCTGAAGGTCGGTGAGTGTGTTGGTCATGGCCGTGATGACGGTCGGGGAGTGTGTAAGTGCGGCCACAGGACTGGCCCAGTAGAGGAGTTCCTCGGCGACGTACGTCCCGAACGTGCCGCGGATCCTGTCCACCTGCCACGCGAGGTAATCCGGCATGATCTGTTCCCAGGCGTCCTGGAAGTCGTAGGTGATGCCTTGAGTCGCAGCGTAGCGGGTGAGGTCGCCGAACATGGTCGCAATATTGTTGAAGGTCGACGAGAAGGCAGTCACAACAACACTCTCGCCCCTGTAGTTGTGCATGTCGACGATGTCGAGCAGGATCCCGACTCGATCCTTCGCGTTGTAGCCGTTCCAGTTGGAACGCGACACAAAGTCCAGCCCGGCGACCATGTACTCCTTATACACGTTGAAGTCGCGGTCGCAGACCTGCAGGTTCTCGATGAAGCGGTTCCCCAGGCCCGCGTCGGCGGTCCGGCCCAGGAGGCCGGTGAAGAAGTCGTTGATGTTGCCAACCCAATTATGCGTGAACTGCAGGCTCGTGTAGGTGGCGCTCGGCCAGTTCTGCTGGAAGATGCCGTTAGCACCGAAGACCTGGGCGAACGGCACGGCGCCGGCCCGGAGCGCGGTACCCCCAGGCGTCTGCCCGGCCGCCATATACTCGAGCGCGTTGCGGAACTCCTGCTTCTCCAGCACGTGCTCCGTCACCCAGTCCGACGTGGGCGCCAGCGTGCTCAGGCCTGTCAAGCCCACCGCCGCACAGAGACCCTGCTGCGCCACCGTCCATGCCTTACCTGTCGTCCGGATGATGCTCGACGCACCCGGGTACGTCTGCACCCAGATGCTCGACTTCTGGCCCTGGGGACCGCACAACGCCATGGCGACTCGTTCCCGAGCGCCACGTTTGCCCAGATCACGGGTGCCGAGGAGCTCGGATGTCTCCATGTAGGCCAGCTCTTCGCTGGTTGCCCCTCTCGCCAGGAATACCATAGAGGAGTTTGAAGAATCGACGCCCTGGTCTCTTCCTCGGAGGAGCCGGGTGGTATCTATGGTCCCGCATTCTCCGTCGAATTTGTGTTCTTCCTCGAAAACGTTGGGAAGGTTGCTTTCTGCCTCTAGGCCGCTCTCGAGCTGATCGAGATGGCTAGGTCCGTAGCAGAGCTTGACTTCAGGCACTTCCGGCACGGGTGGCTTGTTTGGATCGGAACAGCAGAAGTAGGAGTATGTTCCCGACCGGCAGCCCCAGCCGTCGGTGGCCACGGTCGTCTCCCCGGGCTCACAGCCCGTTTTGCATTCCGTCGAGAAGTCAAAAAAGAGGTTTCCAATGGGCCCCACAAGCAGTTTTTCCCACTGTACCCATGTGGTGCTTCCAGCACGCCTAATACGGAGATGTTGAGTCAGTATGTGGTGACAGAAGAGCCAAAAAGGGGTCGGTCATTTGATTTTGGGAAAACTCACCATTTGCAACCCGTCCATGGGACTGGGTCTTCGCAACATAAACTCTTGAACCCTCCATTATAGGAGCAGCTTTGCTGGCCTCCTTGACCCTGCTTTGCTTTGGTGAGTTCCTTGGGCTTGCTGCTGTCGTCGCCGCAACCGTACGACTGGAACGAGAAGGCGCCTCCTAGCGGACCGAACAGTGAGGGGACAAAGGACTTGAGGGTGCAGATGGGCGCGGCGCCGAACCACTTGCAGGCGTCGATCACGTCGGTCGAGGCCGTCTTGGTGCAACAGAGCGACTTGTGGCCGGTCCAGCAGCCGTCGGTGCTGGCCGAGACCTCGATCTCGTCGTCGCCGCACTGGTTGCTGGGGAGCATGCCGCAGAACTTGGGACTGCCCTTCCACTTGCATGTGGGCGGGTTCTTGGATGGGCAGCAGAAGTTGCGCTTGCCCTCGGTGCAACCGAGCTCGATGCCGAGTGGGTTCTTGTTGCCCGACGACTCAGACACCGGGATCAGCCCGGACGGGCAGTTGGCACCGCACTCGCCCCAGACGCACTGGCTCGGGTCGTTCTTGGCCGTCACCGCGAGCGCCGTCACGGACAAGTCCGTCTTGCCCGCCGCCTTGGCCAGCGCCCGGATCGCCGTGCCTTGGTAGTCGTCGGTGGACGCAGCCCAAACCATGACGCCGCCGAGGCACAGCTCGTTGGCGAAATCCATCTTGGCCTGGAGCGTCTCGTCGTCGTCGTACGAGACCCACTGGTTCGTGTCCCACGTCACCATTTTGACCCCGGCCTTCTCGTCGTGCACCACGTCCGCGCCCGCGTCAACGATCTCCTTAATCTCAGAGAACATCAGGCTGCCGGCCGACGCCGAGCACTTGCCCGGGTTGCCACCCGCTGAGAAGCCGCAGCCGGGCGTCTTACAGGAGGGGTCTGACAGGGTGAAGCTGCGGCCGTAGAAGCCCATGCCCATAACCACCTTTTTAGGGTCGATGTCGTTGCGCCAGAGGAGGTCCATGGCCAGGTCGACCTCGGTCAGGTTAGTGTGCGAGTTAATATACGGCCCCAAATACGGGTTCGTCCCGTCCCAGGTTCCGTGCAGGTCGTAGCTCATGATGTTGAACCAGTCCAGGATAGGCTCCATGTTCTTGATGTCGAAGTGCTGCAGGTACCAAAACGAGGCCGGCAGGGTGATGGTGAGACCCCGGTTTCCCAGCACGCCACGGAGGTTTTTGAGGAAAGTCACGTAATTATCAAAGTCCTCCGGCTTCCCTGAACGCTCTTCGGCCACACTAGCAAGGCGTATACAAATTAGCATCAACACTGAAACGGGACGCAACAGGAGAAAAGATTGAGTCATAACTCACGGGTATTCCCAGTCGATGTCGACTCCGTCGAAACCGTATTTGTCCATAAAGGATAAAAGGGACTCAAAGAAAGCACCCTGGTGGGACTGCGATGCCGCCAGCTCGGAGAAAGTCCGCGCTGTGGGCTGATCAGGATCGTTCATGCTCCATCCTCCAATGGCAATCTGTCAGTAGCAGCTGTTAGCCATCAGGGGCCATTGGATATGCGTATTGGCTACGGATTCTTACCCAAACTTCGAGCCCGGGGTTGTAGTCCTTCAGGCCTGTGAGACGTGGCATGTATCTCTCATCGGAATCCTGCATATTGGCGATCTTGTATGTGGTAGGATCAATGAAGGCAAAAGCGTAGTTCAAATGGGTGTATGCCCCCGACAGCAGGTCCTCCGGGTTGACTGCAATAAATTAAGAGGTCAGTAGGGTACGAAGCCGAAGCATTTTCTGCCTCCTCTTGGAGTACGGTTCTGGCCGGAATCACCGAGGTCACTTACGTCCCTTGCAGCCCTTGCTGGTTGACCAGCCTTCATAGTACCCGATCACTTTGCTGGCGGCGCTGGTGCCGCCCTTACAGCTCGGCTTCTTGACCTTCTTGTCGCCGCAGAAGTCCTCGGTCGTCCCACAGAACCCAAACTCAGAACAGCACACATTGAGCGGGCACTCCCCCCGGGTGCTCCATTGGGAGCCCCATCCCGGGTCGCACTCGCTCTTTGCGTCACAGCCGGACGTGCAGTTCGCGGGGGCGCAGTACGAAGGTCCCATGCCGCATACCTGTATAGGTGTTTAGTAAAGCTTCCATGTTGTAACTTATAAGAACAGGCAGACGACTCACATTGTTCTTACCGCAGCATCCCAGCTTGCAAGGCCTCTCTGGAGAACAGGAATAGTCTTGCTGTCCCTCTACCAAGTAAATCAAGCCGGCCGCTACCAGCAGGATGCAGAGGCAGTGATATAGCAGTCTGCTTGGTCCTGCCATGTTGCTTGTTGTCGACTGAACTAAACAACGAAGTATAGGTATTGAGTCCAAAGTCCCACGGTTCCTTTAAGAGACATGCTCGACTTTCATTAGATTCCGACCGGACCAGCAGGCCGAGTTACTATGTCTTAATCAGCCGATACCTTTTGCCCTATCTCACGGTTCCTGCCGCACATGACGGCTGAGGCTTGTCTTCTCACCTCGCTTGGGTGCGCCTATACATCAGTGTATATTGGCAGGTGCACTGATCAAGGTGTAAATCCGTCCAATAATAAGCTGAGTGGGGGTGTAGCGGAGTATATCGCAATATACCACATTAACTGCCTGCCGCTTCTGGTCTGAGCACCGGAAAGATTGCATAGTAGCGAGATTTGATGATCAGGTGTAGGGTGTGGATGGGGATAATCGTGTGTTTTAGGCCTACCGAGCTAATGTAATGTGGAATGAGACCCATATATACCCTGGCGCCTGCCGTCCTTGGCGTCATGTGACATCAGGCTTGGCCATGTGCGCTGAATAGTCGACAGAGAGCAACGAAAAGATCCGGTCATATCTGCATCTTTGGTTCCATCACGCGCTTAGCTGTTTCATTCCACCTGGCCGACCACTCCTAGCCTTTTAAGCTTGGGTCAGTGAAGTATCTCTGTAAAGGCTGCTCGATATTTCGAAACCTCAGCCAACCTACAACAGAAGGGCCGTTGCGATTTACAATGGACATTCTTTGGTTCTTAGGCGTTCTCGGCATGCTTCTGCCCCAGACGCTGGGAGCCGACCCAAGCGTCAGTTTGATGGTCCTACCACTATTATATCGAGTGCAGACTTGCTAACGAAATGACCCTCAGTTCTTCTTCTTCCTCAATCAAACAGCCACTCTCTTTGATGGTGTGTCGGCGCAATGCAATACGGCACTGTCATCTCCAATTCCGGAATGCCCTCAGGAGCTGCTGACCCTGTTGGGCGGCAGTCAGTTCTACACGGTCCAGAACGAGACCATGATGGACATCCTGTGTCGGAAAGAGTGCCCGCCCGCTTTTGAGACTTACCGCTCCAACGTGGAAGAGGCCTGCGCCAATGACCCCCAGCCAAGGGCGGGGTATCCTTCCACGTACTGGGTAGACGCTGTTTCGTCCGTCCAAGCGCAGATGTGTCTCAAAGACTCTGCCTCTGGCGAATACTGCACAGGTTTGTCACAGCATATCTAAGCTCTCTGATGCCGGTGCGATATGTTGAAAGCTGACCTCCGCCCGCAGAATTCCTTGAGAAGACTCTGGGGGACGCCAGCGACCCGACCGAGCTGCTCGGGGGCTACACCACGGAGCAGCTGTGTTCAGAGTGCATCGTGAACCTCTTCCGCCACCAGCAGTCGACCGCCTACTCCAACTACGACGCCGAGATGGCGCGGGCCTGGGCCGAGATCCAGGGCCGCTGCGGCCTCGACTACCCAACAGCCACGCCGACGCTCAAGACGAACGTGACGAGCCTGGGCAACTACGCGCCCTCGGGCTACGCCACAGCCGCGTGCGTCGGGGGCCGGACTCACGAGGTCACCAGCGGCGAAAACTGCGTTGCCATCTCCAAGGCCAACCATGTATCCACTGGAGCGCTGATCACGATGAACAGCCTCCGCCTGGACTGCACAAATTTGCAGCTTGGACAGGTGCGTCGTTCTTTTTCGACCATGCCTGACGCATGACTTTCTCGTGTTCGGGGTTGTCTCTAACGCAGAAATGCCAACAGAAACTCTGCCTGCCTGCAGCTTGCGATGACTACGTCGTCCAGAGCGGCGATACCTGCATTGGTATTGCGAAGCAGTTCTCCGTCCCATTCCATCAGCTTACCGCTTGGAACCCGAGTACGTCTTTCCCCAGTCTCCGTGCGCACCTGTCTAATGGTTCTGCAATACTGGCAACTTTGGTTTAGTGCTGACAAGATGCCGTGAAACGCAACAGCAATCAACCCGCACTGCACCAACCTCCTCGTCGACCAGAACCTCTGCATCGGGCCCCCTGGCGGGGAGGCCACGTTTACCACCGTTCCCGGCGCCACGGCTACGCAGACGGCCATCTACGCCACCGCTACGGCGGTGAGGCCGACCCCCGTGGCGGAGGGCACCACGACCAAGTGCGGGAAGTACTACCTTGTGCAGCCGGTGAGTGGCACCTGACTTCCGCTCTTTTGCTCCGGGCAAAGACGGTTTCCAACTAGGAGAGGTCCTGGCTTGGCTGTACTGTTGACATGCGAGGCTGAATATGTTTAGGGTGACTATTGCGAGATCGTAGCGCTGAACCAGACTGTTCCTCTCAACTGGTTTCTCGGCATGAACCCTCAAGTGAGTAGTGCATCTTTTCCAGTTAGAGCTTGAGGAGCAAAGTTGTTTACCAGGCCGGACGATGATACAGATCGACAACGCGTGCGGTAACCTTCTCTCGGGCTTCAACTACTGCGTGCAGCCGACGAGCGACTGGAACACGACCGGCACGTCCGAACCCGTCCCAGCCCCAACATCTACGCCTCCCGGCACCATCAGCGAGTGCTACGAGTAAGTTTGCATTTTGCAAAGCCGCATCAGTGCATCGTAATCCTAACTTGTCATCCTAGATGGTATGTTATCCAATCCGGAGACTACTGTGGAAAGGTCCAGGACCAATTCGGCATCACCTTCGCGCAGTTGCAAGCATGGAACCCGGTACGCTGATTTTCATTTTACCGCCACCAATTGTTGTTCAAGAGAGCTGACCTATGAACCTTCTCCACATGCAGGCTCTGGAGGACGACTGCTCCAACCTCCTGCTCGACGTCGCGTACTGCGTGAACGGGGGCGCCATAGCCAGTGGCGCTTTCGCTGCCCGCCTGATCCCGGCGCCCAGCAGCGACAACGACGACACGCGCGTCTCGTCGCTGGCTCCGTTGCAACTCCGAGGCCCGGTCCAGACACAGGCGCCTGCTGCGGGCGACGGATCGGGCGGCGTGCCGGTTGGATGGCCTGGTGTGAACTCGCCTAGGCTGAGAGCGCAGATGGGACTGGGATCGCCTAGGAAATAAGAAGACTGGAAGCGATTTGGCGCTACGTCAGGTCTTCATCGCATAGTGTATGGATCTAAATTCAATTGTCGCGATCGAGTTGAGAATAGAGGGTTCTTGAAGATCTCTGCATTCGATTGCCATCGTCAAAACGGGTATAATAGGTGGTTGTGGGTGATGCAGAGGGTGTTGGAGATCAGGATTGTTGCCGTAGTTGACGATAGAAGCTGCGAGATGCGGCCCGTGCCGTGCGCCAAGCTACGCTAGTGATTAGTTTTGCGCTACGCACCCGAACTATCGTTTGGACTATACATACCCTTCAGTACCTTCAATCGTGGACTGGGGCTTTGACGGCTCTGTCATGTCTCCCCCTGTAGAAACAAGGCACCCGTTCACGCTGTGTATACCAGGCGCGGGAGAGTGCTGTGTCACTAAATTACCTTCCTAAATGAGCTACAGCCCCGGAGACTTTATGTACTAAAAACCCGTTCATACCCCAGGACTCAATTAATCTCGTCTTCGTGCACCCTACCATCTCACTATTCACCTTATTCACCCTGCCTCCAACCTAAAGCTATGTCGAAACCGTCCAGCTTATTTGCCTCGTATACCGACGCCGCCAGCACCTACTGGCCGCCCGGTTGGAACTTCCAGCGGTATGCTCATGCCACGCCCGCGGACAACGCCGCGCTGTCGGACGAGGAGCGCGCTAAGATGCAGGCTGGCTTCCGCGAAGCGCTCGGCGAGGACGGCGTTATGGAGATGGCCCGCGTCGTGTGGCAGGAGCAGCTGCGCCGCATGAAGCTCGAAAAAGAGTCTTCTTCTGCCGCCACCGCGTCGTCATCGTCGTCTGCGCAGAAGCAGCAGCAGCAACGGCCTCCGCCACCTCCCCCCGACTGGCTCAAGACTTGGCGCAAACGGGCGGGCGGCGACGGCGGCGGGGCCTGGGGCTTCGTCGCGTTCTGTACTTCTAGTGCCGTCGCCGCCATGCCGGAGTCGGACGTGGCCAAATTCCACACACGCGTACGGGAGATGGCGGAGATTCCGATCCAGAAGGCGTTGGAGGAGGAAGGCCAGCCGGCCAACGAGATCGCCGAGGCGCGACGTTCGTTCGAGATCCGCTGGGTCGAGGTGGACGACGACGACCAAGCCGTGAAGGGCGAGAAAGGAAAGGGAGAGGCGAGGACAGGAGGAGACTGGGTTGAGAAGGCGCGCGCCAGTTATCGTGGTATGCGTGAGTCTGGCGTCCTCCCGTCGGGTCTCGATCTGCCCGTCTTCCTCTGTGTATCACCCGCCGCCGTGGCCTCGGTGCTGCGGACGTCGCCGGCGGAAGCGAAGGAGGCGCACGAGGGGAAGCCGCGTTGGCGATCCGGTGACGTCCCGTTCCTGCTGGTTGCGGCCGCGGAGACGGAGCAGGGGGTCGTCGAGGAGGACGACGAAGAAGAAGAAGAAACCAAGGGTCGCGGTGGGGAAAGGAGCTGGTTCAAGCCCGTTTTCAAAGCGGCTGCCGAGGTGCTGGTGGATGAGCTCTGGTGGATCGTCGCGGAGCAGATGACGTCGCTGGGCCAGATGACGAGGTTCGTTCGGGGTGCGACGGTGGCTGAGGAGCATGTCACAACGACGGAAGAAGAGAGGCAAGGGGAGGGAGGAGAGGCGGCTGATGTTGGTAGTGGACGGGCCGAGGAGCTGGGCCATGACGACGACGGGCTGGATGACATATGGTGGACAGTTCACATGCCGCCGCGTCAGATGAGGAAGAGGCGGAGGGTATGAGCGAGATCTGGATAGTGAGTCCGAAGAGCAACTTACCTGACTGGAGTGTCAACTCCTGGACATGTCAACATGTGGCCCCCTGCATACCATACACGATCAGCCTGCTGCTACTATCGCATCGAGTCCTCACGAACGATCGCCTTCTAGATGATACTTTCATATTGTCACCCTTCTGACACTCGTGGGTGCCTCTCCAGGCAGCTACTCCACTAATCCTTGGGATTGCAATCTGATCCGCAGTCAAAACTCAAACATCTCGACGTAATCGAAGTCAGAAGATCTGCTTGACCCCTTTTAGATCAGCGATGCAACAGGGGCAAGGTATGCTCTTGCGATGGCGCCTTTCCATTCTCAGGCATGAGCCGCGCCATCTCATAACCAGCTTCCATGGATCCTCTCGAGGCTTTCCCATACACCTTTGGCACCTCACGCAACCCGTGCATCTCGAAGGCTAAGACTAACCTACAAACAAGCGTCCCCGTAAATACAAGACCAATCATCCAAATAGCGCTCCACATTGGGACAAATAGAATCGTCGAGAGAACAATGATACCGTAAATGACATCAGCCCAAATGCAAAGCCTGATCAACCAGTTGAGAATCTGATAGATCGGACCGTTTTGAAGTTTGATTTCATCGGATTCGATGTCTGTCGCGAAGGCACAAGGAGTGAGTTCATTTCGGAAGAGGGAGATAAACGAGGTTTTGTTCCGCGGGCGTGTCGATGCAGCATCGTCTGCCAAAGGAACGCGGCACAAGCGTAGTTGCAAGACGCCAAGAAAGTGTATAGGGATACCAATGAAGGCCCAGAGCAGCGGCGCAAAAGCTTCTAGCGTACCGCCATACTGCCCCATCTGGGTGCTGATCAAGACGACAGCATAGAATGTAAGGCGGTAGAAATGATACACCACATTTCCAGCGGCAACCATAACCGCGAAGTATTCTAGGAGAGAAATTACAACGCTCAACCATGGCCGTCGCGTCCTCAGCCAAGCGGGCCAGAAAGGCGGCGAGTCCTCGGCGAGAAGGGACTCCATGCCCGTAGTCTCGTAGTCCAGAGCTGGGCATGGCGATCCAATCGTTAGAAACAGTGCCAGAATGGGTCTCCGGGTAGCGAGGATGGCGAGGTCGCTGAATTTAGGGCCTATTAGTTGCAGCACCCCAGGAAGTAGGCCAAGCATGACGGCTACAACGCCGAATTCGGACTTTGTTACTTCGTCGGTCTTGGCGAGTATGCCTAGTTGAGTGCCTTGGTTAGCTGGACATGGCGTTACAAGGTCGGGTGCTACGTTGGTTGGCATACAGTCGATGAGCGCAGTGGAGTTAGAGTTGTAAGGAGACTTGTTGAGAGTTCCGTATGCCTCCCAGCATTCTTCCTCTTCTTGAATTATCTTCCATTTCCCAAAGGTGTCAAAATCTACATGCCAGAGGTGGTTGCTGTATGCGCACGCCGACGTCGTAAGTGCAAGGAACAGGAGAACGCGTTGCGGGGGAACAAGAGAGACCATAGTAGCAGAAGAGAATCTGTCAAACAAACGCCACTCTAGCTGCAAAAGAATCTTCCGGAGTAAAGATTAAGAGGATCAAGAGCACTGCTGAGTCGCCTTTATGTGCAAGACCTTACATCTTGAACAACTCGGTGCCATCAGCCGCGTGGGGGCCAACTACTAGCGCCGTGTCGCAGGATGTCGCAAAGTCCTTGGCAATACGTTTTTGGTCCCATAGGCGAGGCGCATCGTATCTCTTTCGGCAGGAAATGGGGGCCAATATTGTAGGCGCTCTAGCATCCGGGTTCTCCATGTTGTAAAAGCCGTCGGACATAAGACTCTAGTGCGGATTTTCTCGTGTCTTCCACGCCATGAGTCTTCGAGATGACGTGAGCAGATCAAAACCAGTTCTCAGTCGCTATAACGTACGACTGTTTAATACACACTCGCCTATGAGTGGGGTGATAGGGCGCGTCTATGCACTTCTATACAAATCCTATGTGTGTGCGGTGGTGGACACTACTAGTATGCTTACGTCTTGGCTACCGGAGCCTGCTATAGAAATAGAAGTCTTGCTGATTTAACCTCGCTCAGCCGCGCTACTCTGTTCTTCAGTGCCCTAAACAACAGATCTATTTCGGCACAGGTAGGTTTTGTTGAGAACAGTGTTCTATCTCTTAAAGGTGCAGCATGTCTCGAAATGAGTCTCTTAGTTTACTGTATAAGCTCAACTCCTGTTGCGGGTGGAACGTATGCTGTATAAGCTTGTGTGGTTGTTTTTGGCTCCGGTGTCTTCGTGTTAGCGTACGACGACCGACACTATTTTTTCTGCAATTTCTATATACACAGATTGCTTACCGAAGCGCGCGAGTTGATGTCTGATGTTGCTTTCTAGATTGGATCTATATTAGTAGAGTTATAATGCGTTTTGTAGAGGTAGTTAGTGCTAGTACGTGCTGTTTCATGGCGTCCTAGCGTGCCGATGTAGGCTTGGTACAATCGCACCAACGTCCAAAACTGCTTGTAAACATTGCTTTGTGCATATTGACATTGCGATATCTCTAGCACGCCAGAAACAAGAATGTGCGTTTCGACCTTGTATTGGGGTAGGCATGAACTCGGTAAGATGTGCAAATGCGAAGAGCAGCAGGCGTAGATTGGTCGATTGTAATGACGAAGACCTCGCACCGTCATGTACTGCCTCAGTACCAAAACCTCGTGTTGCACATCGACTAGCCAAATACCATGATATCAACGATGCTGATTCGTCTTGCCCTACGAACACATTCCGTCCCCTCCTTGTTGCCACCACGTCACCCCTTACTCGCCATCCCCATTCTCTTCTCCCACACCTTGCGCCGCCTGCGCTGCCTGCGCCTGCGCCATCTTCCATTTCTGCGCATTGGCCAACAACTTTGACAATTTCGCAGCGCTCTCGTCGTCCGCAGGGAAGACGTAATCGACATACTCCTCGAAGCTGTCGTCGTCGAGCTTCCTCCTCTTCTTGACCTTTCTTGGCATCTGTCCCTCAATCTTCTTCTTATCCTCCTCGGTACCATGTACATCCTCAAACGCCTTCCAGGCGCTGAGAAGTGCCACACGGTCTTCCTTGAGGTCGCGTTCCTTGAGCTTGCCATGCGCTCTGTCGAAGATGTTGCGCGCACGGGCTTTGGCGGCGTCGCTGATTGTGTCGTCGTCGTCTTCTGCTGTGGTCTCATCTGGAACTCCCAACTCGAATTGCGCATAAGACAGCCACACCTTGACATGGTCCGTCTTCTCCAACAACCTCTCGTACAATGCGCGTGTACGCTCGTATTCACCCTCTCCCTCTTCGAAGTCGATGTATGCTTTCCACAGCACTTCCGGCATATCCATGTCAGTTTGTTCGACTGCTATTTCGAAGATGCTGCGTGCGCGATCGAGATCATCGAGACCGCGCTCTAGGTTGGCAAAGTTGATCCAGGTATGGCAGTTTGAACCGTTCCATTCGATATACTTTGTGTAGAGCTGGCGGCAGCGATTGAACTCGAAGAGCTTCATTTCTAGCTCAATGTAACCCTTGAACAGCTTGTCTTTTGGACACATACCCAAACTCTGACCGAGTAGTTTGCGTGCAGCAGTGAGTTCACCTTGTCGAACCAGGAAATGGGCGAATGCTAACCACACTTTGCCGAATGTGAAGCGTTTGTGGGGGAGCAGGCGTATGCATTCCTGGTAGATTTGGCGTGTTCGTTCGATGTCGTGAGATGCGGTTTCTTCCCAGACAGCGTAGAAGAGCCAGAGATATATGTACCGTCTCCAATGGCGCTTTTCTTGCGTTGGGGGGATTTGAGCAATGGCTCTTTCGTAAACGTCTCTCACTCGGTCGGGGTTACCAGACGTCTCTTCCAGCCTGGCGAAATCAATCCAACTATCATAGTTCTTTGGGTTCTCCTTGATCTGCTCCTCGTAATGCACCCGCCGTTTAGACAGGATAACATCTTCAATACCGTCCCGGTCTCCGAATTGCTTCTCGAACGTCGTAAAGGCCTTGTGTAGATTAACCGATTTCGACCTTGGCATGCGATCAAGGGCGAATTTGTAAATGGCTCGAGCACGTTCCAGCTCTTTCAGTCTCGCCTCGAACTTTGCATATGCCATGAAGAGCTTCTCGTCCATGAACTCATCTCCGAGGGTCGTGACGGCGGTGCCGTAGACGTCGCGTACAAGATCGCTGGTGCCGTTTTCCTCCTCGAACTTGGCCCATTTGATCCAGTTCTTGGGTTCGGGGTGTACAACTGTAAAGCGCTCGAAAATTGCGCGACATCGCTCGAATTCGCCGTGGCGCTTCTCCAGCTTGATGTATGAGCTCCATGCGGCCTCTTCGGGCTCCCATTGCATCCAGCGTTCGAAGACTGAGCGGGCACCGTCAATGTTACCAAGCGTCTCCTCCATGTAGACATACTTGTACCATAGCTTATCGACTCGTGGGAGAATGGTGACGGCGCGATCGAGAAGGTTGCGGGCATGCTGGACGTTGCGATGCTTCATCTCGCTCTCGATGTACCTCAGCCATAATGGGACTGACGTGGAGTCTACCTAGATGGGAGTCAGTCTGTGCCTCGCATGCGGTTGGTACTAGGAATACATACGTCCAAAGCTCTCTCGAAGATGGATCGTGCGCGCCTGAACTCCTTCTGCTCGAGTTCCCAGGAAGCATAGCGCATCCAGTTGTTCATGTTGATGCGATTCCGCCGTACATAGTCCTCGAATTCCTTCCTCTTGCGACCTTGGAACTCATGGAGCTCTTCAATATCCGCAAACCTTTGCGTTGGCGCCTTGAGCTTCTCATCTTGACGGTCGACGGCTTCTCGAAGCAGCTGTTCGGCGGAGATCTGGACAGCCGCTGCGGCCTTGTTCTTGACCCGCGGGGGTCCTCGTGTTGCCTCCATGTTTGGGGCGGGGATGTGATGTTCGAGGGCGTGATGTGGGAAGTAAAGGTATGCGCGCGATGGCGAGAGACGGCGAGGCGCACGTCAGTCGTGGACGTGAGGGCAACCGCGCCTCGGCAGTGTCGTGGTATTAGAGCTCCAACTTGGGTCCTGGACAGAGAAACTGGCAGGCACGTGACGGCGGATGCCTGCGCAAGTCGACTGCAACACGATAGCTAGGCGACAGCGATTCTCGTAAATGCAAAGTTGTTCGGCAATGCGACAAGTTTATTCTCCAAGGTGAGAACGCGACTCCATTAGCGCAGCTTTTACCCGCTGCACGCCAAGCAATTAGCTCTTTCACGTCACTGCCCGTCGCAACTTCTCTTCTCCCACGACACGACTCTCCCCTGCGCGCGTTTCACACTCGACCGGCGGCCAACTCGGGCTACAGGTACGTATAACACTGCGCCATAACGAACCCAACACTCAACCCAAATCTACTAGGAGGGTAACCTCTGGCCGCCGTTGCGACTACCTCGGACCGCACTCCACCATGGCGACTCTCGAACAAGAGCTTCTGGCCGACTTCGCCGATAGCGGCGATGAAGATGTCCAGGACCTTGAGAATGACTTTGCTGAGGGTTCGGGCGACGATGACATGGTGGACGAAGAGGCGCAATACCGGGAGAAGAAGGACAAAGAAGACAAGGGTCCAGCCGACATCCGATCCGCCCAGCAGCTCAAGGCCAACCTAGACCCCGTGTTGAAGCGCATCGAAGAAACACAGGACCAGATGGACATAGTCGAGGGCGAGTCCTTTGAGGAGTCTCCAGAGTACCAACTCCTCACCGAGGCCAACGAGTTCTCCACTCAGATCGACGGCGAAACCGCTACTGTCCACAAGTTCATCCGCGACCACTACTCAGCCTTCTTCCCCCACTTGGAAGATTTGATCAAGAACCCCGTCGTCTACGCAAAAGCATGTCTAGTCATCGGCGGCGGACCCCTCTCAGACATCAAAGACATAAGCCCCAAGCTACGGCAGATTGAGGGAATGGAGCCTGCTCAGGTCATGATTGTCGAAATCGAAGCAACACGCGTCGAAGGAAGGCTGCTCAACGAGACCGAGCTCGACTTGGTATCAAGCGCCTGCCACCTCCTCCTCGAACTCCACGCCGCCAAGTCCAAGATCCTAGGTTTCGTCGAATCCCGCACGGAACTCTTTGCACCGAACCTGACTGCTTTGATTGGAAGTTTGACTGCCGCCCATCTCATCTCCTACTCCGGCGGTATCGCAAACCTAGCCAAAACCCCCGCCTGCAACATCGCGCCTTTGGGCTCAACAAAGGTTTCCGGCGCTACCGTCGGTTTGTCAAATATGGGTTTACGACACGAAGGTTACCTGTATCACAGCGACATCATCCAGAATCAACGCCCGGATCTCCGGAAACAAGCTCTGCGCATTGTATCTGCAAAGGTCATTCTTGCCGCACGCGTGGACGCACATTCCAACTCGCACACCGCCGACATTGGCATGGACCTTCGTAAAGAATGTGAACGCCGTCTCGACAAACTCGTCGAAATGCCAGCCAACCAAAAAGCCGGTGGACGCGCACTCCCTGTACCCGATGAGAAGCCGTCACGTAAGCGCGGTGGAAGACGTGCTAGAAAGGCCAAGGAAGCAACTGCCATGACCGAAATTCGCAAAGCGCAAAACCGCATGACGTTTGGCAAGGAAGAGAAGGAAGTCGGTTACGGTGACTCCGTCAAGGGCATGGGCATGATTGGAGCAACAGATACCGGCCGTCTCCGCGCCCAACAAATCGATCCCAAGACACGCGCCAAACTTAGCAAGAAGAACCCTGGCTGGGGCACAGACACGACGCTCGGCGCTGCATCTTCCCTCAAAGGCTTTGGAGGCAGTGGCACGGCGACTAGTCTTCGCGCACAGGGATTGAGGACGGGAGGTGTGGGATTGGGCGGGAGTGGAACGGGGTCTATCGCTTTTACGCCTGTGCAAGGGCTTGAGCTTATCGACCCGAGGGCCAAGGAGGAGGCGGCGAGGAAGAGAAAAGCAGATGAAGATAGGTGGTTCAAAGGGGGTAGTTTTACGCAGCTTAATGGTGGTGGCAAGACGGATGCGGGCGGTTTCAAGGTCCCTGCGCTGCCTAATAAGAAACCGAGGACGGATGCTTAGGCAGCGAAACGTGAAGGAGAATAGCGGATTGCATGTATGGCGTTCTTTGTTGCTGGTGTTCCGACCTCGTGTGCGTGTGCATTTGACGGCGTTTTGATTTTGGGGGGGAACGGGAAGGCGGAGATCCCTTTGAGGGTTAGGAAAAGGGTTTTCGGATAGTGTAGCTCGAGTAAGATTATAGTTCATTAAAGTCGTAAAAACGTTGCTTTGTATCGTCCCTTCTACGTGTAGCAGTAAACCCTATGTAGTAGTGTAACGGGTGGTGATTCTAATATGATAAAGTTAACTACCTCCATGTTAACCCATCGTGCCATCATACTGAACTGGCAGACTTCGATATTATTATCGCAACAACTGCCACATAGCAGCACTGACGAAATCGTCCAAGTCATGCATCTTTCTCAAAGACTGCGAATCCTTCGGTCTCCCCCTGCTTATATTATCCAAGACAGGTTTTACAGCCGATATCGAGCCATCGAGCTTCTTTGAAGGCGAAGGAGTGATAAGTTGGGTCGAGCACGCGGTAAGGGCTGTGGCGCAGGTTGATCGGCCGTGGAGCGTCGGGATAGTCCTTCATCTAGCTTACAGTGGTTGCCTAGAGCTCGGAAGATATCTCCAGAGCTCTTACGTCGTGTGCTGCTGCGGTCTGGAATTGGCAAACTGTCTGACATTGCTCGAGCGAGCGATGTGATCACGTGCTCTTCGTGCTCTACCTGCTGCGGCTCAAAACTACCTGGATCACTATCTACACCGTGATTGATGACAAGCATGTCGCACCGAATGAGGTTGAGCAAGGTCTGAAAGAAACTTTTGGTTGGTGTATGGCGTTCCAATGACTGTATCGAGTACAGATCTTCGATTTTCTGTATTGACATTTAACAATGAACATGGGATAACGGCAGCAGAAAGTCGCTTACCTTCAATATAGCAGGCTTGACCTCTGCTTTCGGAGCGTGACCCACATTGCGTATTACGAAAAACGTGTCGGATGGGATTCCGGCCATGTACCGATCTGTGTCCAGTCGATGCCTATTGAACTCAGCGAGAGCTTTCTGGCCGCCAAAATACCATGTGGCAAATTCAAGAAAGATGCAACCAAGTGCCCAAATGTCACATGCTATGCTGTGTGTCTTGTCAAGTTCGTATTCTGGAGAGCGATATGTCGGCGAGTTTGGTACAATACCCCGCTTCGAATGCTCAGTACTGAATTGAGTGGTTCCAAAATCTGCGATCTTCAGTATGCCATAACTGCCGATAGACCGCGGATCTGGGAACCATATAATGTTCTCGGGCTTGAGATCTCCGTGGCGGCCAAAGAAACGGCGCTCAAATGGATCTTTTTCCGCTGCGCTGGAAGGAGACGTTGGCGTGGAAACCTTTTCTAACTTCGAAGCAGACGCTATTAGACTTCCAGAAAGGGTATTGTAATGATGAATCCTGTTCAAGGCTTCTGTAAGCCCATGACATTGCTTCGCCATCCATGCTGCTCTCATAGCATTCTTGTCTGGTGTGGGATTCCGTTTCCAGTAATCGAATAGATCGCAGTCGGCCCATGGAAAGACCAGATGATAGATACCCCTCTGTTCGTATGCCGCAAGCAAGTTGATGAGGTGCTCATGCGCGTGTGCACTTTTGTTCAGCTTCGCGAGCACCTTGAATTCTTGGGTAAATGCATTGGCATCTGAGTCTTTCAACATCTTGATAGCAAAAACATTGCGGCTCTTCCTATCTTTGTTCTACTGCAAGAGTTAGTCTCGGTTTTATCTAATCAGGCTCACATACATGCCACTTCTTTGTTCCAGTTCCACGGATGATGGTCAGGATGAATTTTCGTCCTATAGATCTTGCCGTAAGCGCCTTTCCGTCCAGTCGGGTGGTATTCGCGATAGGGTAAGATTGTCTCGCGATCTAGATGATAAAATGGAACGTAATTGCCCTCGGCCTCGTCGAACACATGAGCGATGACGCTCCATTGCTGTTGGAGGAATGATCGAGTATCACCCTCGTCCGTGAATGGAGCACAGCAGATGTCTGGTTGCCTCCTACTTCGCAACCCTACTCGATGGACACCTTCAACCGCAACTGTGGCCTCGTCGAACGGCAGGTATGCATCACTCACACCTGTAGTGACGAAGGTTTCTATTGCATTCGGCGTCTTCGTAAGGTACAACACTGCAAGTATCTTCTGGTATTTATCTGGTTCGGCGCCCTTGGGAATGGCCGCCTTGTGCCTTGAGAGCTCCAGTAGCACGGCTGATCTGCCTAGAACCTTTCCTATGCTGGAGCTGGGAAGGAATTGCACATGGTAATCGATGGACCTGTGCTTTTGTGCGACACTCTTAAGCTTCCAGCTGATCCTCTGGGAGGTCACATCGTCGACACATTTTCGAATAAGTCCATAAGGCGTCTCGCTAATCTCATCACCGTAGGTTATGTGAACGACTTTCTCGACGTCTCCGTAGCTGGTGGGTACCTGGGCACCGTTGAAGCTGGTCGAAGTGTAGAACTCGCTTGTGGGTCGCAATCTTGCTTGTTGATCTATTCGTCAAGTTAGTGGACAAGGCTGAGGCGATCAGCAGATCATGGGACTGTGAGCAGGTTGCGTACTTAGATGGCTGGCCCAACTGAACGTGGTACTACGTGCGAAAGCTCGTTGGTTCGCATCATTGCCTGATTGACCTGTACCTACAAATCCATCACTTGAGGGATACGACGATCGTTCATGCCTGATCTGCGCTGAATGGACCTGAACACGAGCCATATCTTCGGGCTAGAGTCAATGGGACAGAGCGACCGGTAAGCCTCAGGCTGAAAGCTTTTTGGCGAACGGACTGAGGCATCTTCATATGTAGCTGGGCCTTGCAAGTTCGTTGGTCACCACCAATATGCGATGAGATCATGGGGGGGCTGAGATACTCTAGGGTGAAGGACGAGGGCGCCTGGTGCAAGGCTGTGACAAGAGACGCGGTTCGATCTCTATGGTGGCGCTGAATCATCTCTGGCATAGCCCAAATGCGTGAGACTCTCACAGGTCAAGGCCGCGTGAGAAATGAGCTGACCGAGGACTTCGTTCGCTTGTTGGATCAGCAGCCGAGCTGAGTGCAGGTGATTTGACTAGATTGCGCCTCAGCCTTTCTCAGCCCCGGGTGATGGTGTGCAAAACTCCAGGATGATTGGACGAAGAGGTAAGTGGCGTTTTTAGGATTCTACGTCACAATGCAAATTTTCTGGCTGTGTTCAGCTGCCTTTGTTGATTATCTGCGCTTTAATTCTCCTTCCACACATCGCAGTCCAGCATAACCGTTCAATTCTCCCGAAAACCACGAGGCCGTCAAAGATGCCTTTCTTGAACGCATTGCTGCAACGACATCAGCGTATTTCCTGTTCTGCACAAAGGTCTAGGCATCCTCAGAGGAAACGAGACATCTTTCATCTGCGTGCCTCCACTCGCGACGTTCATCAGGATATTTGTGTGGTAAATGTCGACCCGGAAAAGCTGATGGAAAAGTTGACAGAACGGTATGGGACGGCATTTGAGGTTCATGTACGACTTGTGCAATCAGTAAAGGGCTGATATCGGCTGACAAAAGATCTGCAGATGATCCACAATGTGTACAGTATTCGAGCATCAGGAAGCTTTTCACAAGTACGTGCGCTTAACGTCTTCCAGAATTTACCTGTCCTTTTACTGATCTTGGGCGTATAGGAGGATTTGGACGATCTCGGACGAGGGAGAAGTTCGTCAGAAGGTGCATGAGGGTGCTGCAACGTTTGTTTTTCGGCTCCAACGATCAGCGTACTCGCCCCCACATTTCCGCTGGCCCCAGCGCGGTTCCCTGCGGATCCTGCCGCTTCGGGTACAAAGCGCTAGCTCAATTCAACACTCATCCACCGTTCCCAGACCGAATCTGACGTGCCATCATCGCAACCCGCTTCTTTTGTATTCGTGGTCTGACTACAGTGTATCTAGAGTGCAGATTCATTATGCCCATCTGTGCAACCGCGTAGCCTGGAAGTAGTCGGCCTGCCGCGGTCACAACTGAAGGCTGGTAGCGGCCCCTCACGCGCAGACGTGCAGCTCATGCAGGGAAGTATTAACTTCTGTATTGGATGCGTCTGGAACCCTGTTGCTAGGACCAGCCCTCTAGTATCGATGGCTATGCCTGTTCAACGCGCTGCCTGAGGTCCTTCTCGGTTCGCTAAGCGCTGTCTAGCGAGGCTGAAACTATGGCTTGGAGTAAGAGCTACCCAGCAGCTCAGCTGAGGGGCCAAAGATGCTTCAAGGCTGAGTAGAGGAGGACCACGTAGTCGTGTTGGCTTGCATTGCTGAAGTACATAACTTGATTGTGGCCGCTCAGCCTATACTGCTAATTCTTACACCACAGAATCAATCAAGTCATCTGCTATCCAGCTTCGAGAATGCCGCCCGACCCACAAGTTAGGTACAATATGGTCGAAGACGATCCTGATAGCTCGTCCGACGAAAACGGGCCTCCAACCTCTGAGGATGCCAGTTTAGACTCAGACAGCGATACGAATTATCCAAACACTGTTGACAGCAGATGGGCTGTATGGATCAATGCGGAGTTGCGTAAGAAATCGAAGCTAAGCGCATTCAACAAAACCGCTCATGAGTTTGTACCTAACGGCATTGTCGATGAACTAATCACGGAGAAGGCGATTCGCGGTTGTCTGAAAGCGAGGAAAGGAGAGCATATAGCACTGGTCGACTTCATCTTGACACACGCGAAAACCGCATTCGCCATAGCTACTTTCGCAAGACTCAACTCTCACAGAGTCATGAACTGGTTCCTGAAACACGAGTTTAGCGATGAGGACCTACCTGTTAAGGAGCAGACCGGACCATGGACTCAGAGCTGGCGGGTCGACTTCTATGATGCGCAGTGGAGATTCTGTGCACCGGTTCTTAATCTCAGCAAGCACATTCACGACTTCGAAGAGGCTCTGATCCTTCCGGTTGTGTCTATGTCTCCTGTGGGAGGTCAAGGCGCTTTCGGCATGGTCTCACAGTACGAGATACATGGTAATCACATAGTCCCCGTAAGTCCTCTTGCTGAGTTGCTGACTGCAGTTGCTGACATTGAATAGAAACCAGCAAATACTGAACAGTTTGCTGTGAAGGAAATCATAGAGCAAGCGGACAGCCAGGATGTTGCTGAACATTGGGAGAAGGAAGTCAAAGCTCTCCGAATGATGAATGAGCTGAACCAAGAACACATCGTTAGATTCATTACAGCGTTTCGTCGTCTCAGAAGAAGTGGAGTTGAGGAGCATTATGTCATGTTCGAGTGGGCTAACGGCGGTAATCTGCGAAACCTATGGGAAAGAGTTCGGTTCCCGGACTTGGAAGGCTCACTGGTGAAAGACACCATTAAACAGATATTGGGCCTGGCTTCTGCGCTTCAAGCAGCACACAACCTTAACAAAACAGAAGCTTCCTACCGTCATGGTGATCTTAAACCAGAGAACATTCTCATATTTAAGACTGGCGAAGAGACTCTGGGAACACTCAAGATCGGTGACTGGGGTGAAGCAAAGTACCATGGGGAAAATCAAGTCACGGAAATGCGTTCGAAGAAAACCACGGCGCGCTTTGGTACTCGCCGCTACGAAGCCCCCGAAGTAGTGACAGGTATCAAGGTTAAACGAGAGAATCAGCCCGAGAAGCGTCGGTCACGACTTTACGATATTTGGGCAATGGGCTGTATTACTCTAGAGTTTATCGTCTGGTTGTTGTACGGACTGGATGGCCTCAACAAGTTCAACCAAGACGTCGACGGTGACACTTTCTATCAAACCAGCATCGAGAACGGCATCAAAGTGGCTCGACTCCATGACGCCGTTGTTCGCTGGATGGATCACATGGCAAATGAGCCCGCTTGTGAACTTGGTAGTACTGCCATTGGGGACCTCCTAGATATCGTCAGAAGCTCTCTATTGGTTGTCAAGTTGCCGAGTCGTGGTGGTCTTTCCTTCATGACTGCTATCAATGAGGCCGATGAGACTGCGGAAGCAGATCGACCTCGTGCGGATTCGCTAATCGACCATGATGCGGGGCGACCCGCTCGATCAGATCAGATCTCTGAAATGGACTCGCTCGCGGTGTTAGACACGCGTCCACCCGGCGTAGTTCCAGCGTTCGTGGTAACGGGAGCCGAAGGAGATACCGAAGACTCTATACAGGATATCCAGCCTGTACAACCTCTGCCCGGGCTCTCCGGGCCTGCAAGATGTCTTGCTTCCACTTTCAGTGATAAAGTAGATCAGATCTGGTGCGAAGACGATATTGTGGGATACTGGGACACACATACGCACCATTTACGCGTGCCAGTGGGTCTCGCCAGCTCCTCTACTCTTCAGGTGGTGGACAATCGCAACGGAGCAGCAAGCGAAGACCAAGCTGTAAGTCGACTCAATCTCAACACTCCGTGCGGAATGCAGCTAACATTGTTGTGACCCAAAGCAGAACTACGACCCCTCTGAGCTCGATGAGCACGATTGGAAACTTCGTCTGGACAACTCGGTCGCATCGAGCTTCCTGTCTGGCCTGCGTGAGAATGGCAAGCTCGAGATCCATCAGCTTCACAGTTCCACTAAGCTGTGCGATCGATGCAAAGAGTTTCGCACTCGATTTGGCCCAACTTTCGACATAACCTATAATCCTGACAAGCTTCACGAGAATACCGATGCTGGAACGTGTGACATGTGTACACTGCTCTGGCATGTTTGCAAGGATACCGGTAGCAAAAGGATGCAAGCCATACGGCTCGATCGTAAAGCCGCTTTCCTGGAATTGGAGCATAACCACAAGCTCGTGCTCTCTGTCGTTCGCGACCCAGCAGTGAATATGCCAGGATCCAGTGATTTCCAGACCGGATTTGTCGAGCTCCCAGAAGCGGGGGGGATCACACACCTTGAAGTCGTCAGATCTTGGTTGGACAATTGCGACACCAACGAGGAGCATAAATGCAAGCCCCATGTACGAAATAACGGTGTTAATGGAAGCTGTTCCGTACGTATGCCCACCAGGCTGATTGATGTTGGTGTTGAGGGGGATCCTAAAGTGTACCTGCGGAAGACTGAGGGTCACGATGACGTGCAGTGGATTGCCTTGTCGCATAAGTGGGGTCAGAACAATTACTCCACCACAAAGGACAACGTCCAGTCACATTCCACAGGTCTGGACTACGACACCTTACCTGCCACCTTTAAGGATGCGGTGAGAGTCACCCGAGCCCTGAACCACCGGTATCTCTGGATCGACTCGTTGTGTATCATTCAGGGCGATGATGGTGACTTCGAGACAGAAGCCAAGCGTATGGAGGACGTGTATAGCGGTGCATACTGCGTCATTGCGGCGACCCGTGCTGCTGATCATTACGCTGGCTTTCTCGGTCCGCGGAAGCCTCGCAAGTACGTCGGCTTGGTCAAGGACGGCAAGAATGAGACGCCGTACTACATCTGCGAGAACATTGATGACTTCCAGTCCCACGTACTCGACGGTGATCTAAACGGTCGCGGGTGGGTTCTCCAAGAGCACGCTCTCGCGCGGCGCACGATCTTCTTCACCGAATATCAAACCTACTTCGAGTGCAGTATTGGTGTACGATGCGAGACATCAACAAAACTGGAGAAGTAAGTCCGCCTATGACTTTCACGTCAACAAGGTTACTAACGTTGCCGGTCAGCTCCCATGCAGCATTCCTGGGTGACGCCGACTTTCCCAACGTTCTCTACAGAGCCTCTCAAGCTGATAAGATCGTTCGGATCCAAGAGCTGTACAAGAAATATTCCAAGTTGGGACTCTCCAAGTCATGGGATCGACCTGTTGCTATTGATGGCCTGCAGTCACGATTGCTACGCACTTTGCGTGTCGTTGGTGATTTCGGCATTCTGGAAGGTGCAACTCGAGGTTTGCTCCGCCGGACTTTGCTGTGGCGACGGCATACCGACACAACCACGATGTCGCGCATCGACTTTGCTAAGGCTCCAACGAAGACGAAGTTGCATATACCTTCTTGGTCCTGGATGGCTTACACCGGAAGCATCGACTATGTCACTATCGACTGGGGTGCCTACACATGGGAAAACATTCAGTCGCCGTGGTCGCAAGATCACAACCGCTTCAATGTCGATCCTGAAACTGCGAAGATGACAATAGTCGCGACGGCTAGTCAGTATGATCTTGGCGCAGCAACTCAAGCAGAGATCGACCTCATCTTCGACAGCCCCGAAAAGGCCTTACCGTCTCTGTCACTTTGTGTAGTGCTGGGTAAGGCAAAGAACAGCGCGGTGGCAAAGGATCAAAAGAATTGTCTGCTGATTGTGAAGCCAATTACACGTTCAGACGGAAGCACTGTGTACGAGCGGATTGGTACAGGCTTTCTCCCTGGCAAGTGCATATCTCCGAAGACGGACATTATAAAGATCTGCTGAAGCAGGCATAAAACAACCCGTCGAATGTCTCGTTGCGCTCAAACTGAATATAGTATGAACCAAGCTAGTTGAAATTGGATTTCATGTACTCATTTAGTCTTGCGTTGAGCGCTGCTTGATGAGACTCTGACAGGCTTCAACATTCGGATCGCGTGCTTTGCTTTTTGCTACAATGTAGAAAATGCAGCAAAAGCGAAGTGCATTGCATAGTCTTATGCTGTGATGTTCTGTTCCGTTTGTGTCCACCTCTTAGAAGAGAGGTTGTCTTGCTCTTGCAGGCTACGAATTTCCTAACGCAGCACGAGAACAGCTATCAGCCTGGCACAAGACTCTGCTGTTGAGCGTATCGGAGGACAGATTGAGTACTAGAGGTCTTCTCAAGTACCAAGATGATACGTTCGGACGTATGTAACTGGTTCAGGTCTCTCTTTCTGTGCTGGGCGACTAGTGCTCACATTTTGCACAGCGAAGAAGTTTCGCTACACCACCGCGCCACTGAAACCATCACCATCGGATCTAGTAGACACCTTTCTATTTGCTTCACAGACATTTCACATGCTAGCAACACCCGAAGAGATCGAGAAGCCAGATTCTTGAGCTGATCAAGCTCCGCACACAGTATAAATCACAAAGCGTTGTCCTTTTATGGCGTGGGAGCCGTTCCCGGCGTCTTGCACTCGCCAGAATCGATACGCATATCTGCGAACATGTAGACACGTGAATGTCTTCTCGCCCAACAATTTAGAGATATCTGCCTTGTTCGAAGATATATCTCCGAAGGGCTTTCAGTCTGACCAGCTAGAAGCACATGCCCTCGATATCTGCAAGCGCACCGGCATGAGCGTAAACGGAGTTGTCGTCGTGAGTTGTGGATAGTATTGTTCATTGATCATACAGAATGCCGTCACGGCTAAGCATGTGTGGCTTCTGTCTTACTACAAGCAGGGACGGCTGAGGTTGTTGATGCCACTGGTGGCGGTAATATATGTCTGGGAGGGTTCTTGCAAGGCTGGAAAGCATCGGGTGATGTTTTTGAAGCTTCTGTGTATAGATATGTGGCTGCTAGCTTTGCGGTGGAGCAGATTGGTTTGCCGGCTTGGGAATTGAGCAGTGGTGAAGAAAGGTGGAATGGAGTTAGGGTGATACGGCGTCTAGATGAATATAGGGAGAAACTAAGGCTGTTCAAAAGAGATTGACGGATACTCTTGCGGCGGATGCAGGATACCAAGGCGAGTTTGGCGAACGATATATGTGAAGATTGAAGTGAATGGATTGGAACTTGGATCTCATATGCCAGTTGACGGGTGCCAGCTTCTATGCAAAGGCCCCGCTCCTGCACTCGACCTGGTATCTCACGCAGTAGCAGCAGACGTTGCTTTTTGTTTGCCACCAGCAGGCCCAACTCAGTACGAAGAAAGTCTCAAAGCAGAGGGTCACCTGTCAGTTCGCATCTCCCTACCCCTTTGCCGCTTATGCGCGATAGGATTTGCGCAGGTATTAGTGAGTCGAGAAACACAGTAGCGCAGCGATTCTGTTGACAAATGAGACGTGGAGGAAGAATAGATGGAGAGCAAGGAATTGTGGTTTGCGAAAGGCCTGAACATCTGCTAGTCCTCGGACAAAGAGAGGCATTTTGGTGTATTTGTTTGCGATTGTGTAAAACTAAGTTGAAGTGAAGGTGACGATGAGGACAAAGATGCGCGTAGCAGCTGACGTCTATTTAAACAAGCTTCCATCTTCCTACGTGGCTCTCAACCTTGTCTCTCCTACACCTATGGCCACTCCTGTTATGGATCGAACCCAAACTCCTACCATGGATCGAAGCCAACTAGTAAGGCAATCCCAACTCTCAACTCTCACCCGTTACACTCCAGGTCTTTGCACGACAACAGCTAATATTGCTTCTCAGATCCAATACGACGAGTGCCTTAGAGCCATCCTCATCTGTAAGTCGAAACGCAATCATTCATACACTCATGATACTCACACTGCCAACAGCCCATGCTCGTGTCGTATACGGCCCCCAGTTTCCTGCTGGCTCCGTTTTTGACGTTGTAAATAGCCCTGGGGTGACTAACACCGGTTGCATTGTTTCTCACGTCATCGTTTACCCTACAACAAAGCTGTTCACAGCAGACGGCATGGTATCCGGCAAGTGTGTTGAGGTTATGCGCTCTACTGAGCATCTCTATGTACAAGAAACCTACTGGAGTCTTATGAGAATACTGCGTCCTAAAATTCTCAAAGCAATTGGTATGTAGGAGTACAATGACATGGAGAGATTATAGACTAACTAGAGGCAGATGATCAGAAACAGTAGAGCAGCAACGAAGCTAAGGTCATTCAATGAATGAGATCATACGCCACAAGAGGAAGGTCATGATGGTAAACAGCAGAGTATAAGTGGTTGTCATCTTGACTGAGCTGGTTGCGAAAGTGGTTCATTCATCTGCTGTCCTAAGTTTTCCTGATACACAACCATCATGACTCTCCAAATGCTCCTAGAAAACAAATCCGCATCAAGCTAGACATGTAGCTTAGCAGTTGATACTAGATTGCTCTTAATAGACGTCATGGCATCTCGTAGCAAAGACCTCGTCGGCCTCAACGCGTGTTGAATATTTCCTCTGCATCCTCCATATCTTGTGTATCTACAAACTCTGGAAATCTTTAGTATGCCAAACTTATTTGTGAGTCTGATCTTCACTAACTCAAGGTTGTAGTCATCTTGACACGCAGGACATCAATCAAGGACTCGTATGTACCCTCTAAGTACTTCCACGCTTCTGAACGTAGTAGTATCTTCAAGCCACGAGTTGTGTTGTGTTTGTTGTGGCAGGCGGCGTCGTAGACGATGAGTGACGCGACTAAAAGGTCCGTATTGCCTGAATCATCAGGGTCGTGGTGGCTGATCACAACGTCAAACTTGCAGTCCTGGAATTGATATTCATTATAGACTGCCTTGGCTTGATCTGCCGAATGCGTTAGACACGTAGTGGAACAGTAGGCTAATTCGAACTCACTGAGCACCCTGGCCTCCATCATCTCTTCGTACTGGGCCTGTGCCAGATTGTCGTGGGCAGAATCCTCATCAAAGGCAGAAGGCATCTTCGCTGTCGATGTCGCTGAAAAGGTGTTTGAGGTCTTGTATGAGGGAGATGGGTGAAGGCGAAGTCAAAATTTGCAGTCTTTGTTTTGCTGAATGTGGGTAAGCTCGGACTGAAAGATGCGAAGTGAAGGTGAATGCGATATAGCGCTTAGCGAAGTATTTGGGTAGGTAAACAAGAGATTTTTCGCGCACCGCCTCCACCTCTTCTACATCTAATATTCGCGATTACATTGAATGCAGGATACTCGACAGCAATACCAAGCACGATCGTCACGATGGCCATGTCCAAGTATGAGACCATCATGTGGGAAAAGGAGATGAAAGAACAGATCTTGTGTACGTAACTCGCAACTTTTGGCAACTCCAATATCCCGTGCTAACTCATGTAGCTCACGCACGTATCCTGTATGCTTGGAAGCTCACTCCAACTTCTACCCTTGACGTCATTAGCACTTACGTCTCTGGTTGTTGGTGCGCTTACACAAGCTATATTATCATGACCGACACAACGAGAAATATTGAGTGCATGGTTCTTCTTTCTTCCACGTCTTGTGACTCTTCCTATGTGGGTGTCCGCTTGGAGCGTCTGCTAGACTGTCTGAGCGAGAGACTGGCTCCTCTTTTGAGTGAGTCTCTTTACAATTTCTTCATGAAGATCCTGCTGTACATTGCTAACACGATGTTTCTCAACACAGAAGAACTTATGCAAGGGGCTGGTAATGATGCTTTTACTAGGGGGGATGGACATTGGTAGTTCGATGGAACCTTCCAATCGTTCTAAACCTTACTGTCACTGCCAACTGATATTCACGGCTACTGATATTCACGGCTACTGATAGGCGTTCAAAGGGACAGCGAAGGGAGCGTGCTGAGTGTGGCAAACTCGCACCTAAGTCGTCCCGCAAACAATCGGCATCAACACTACCTGGGCTACTGGATAACTTCCGCATCAACCAGATAAGAATAGCATACCATATCACAATGCATTCCGAACCATCATCTTTTCTCATAATCTCCTGTTCTACTCCTAAAGTGTCGGTTTCTAGTACAGTGACAACCAAAGCGCATGAGGCATGAGCTCCCGGAAGATCAACCACACGACAAGTACTCAATACGAGATACCATATTGCTCAAACTCCACACTAATGCAACAACTAACGAGCGTTATCTAATCCAAGAAAGCCACAAAGCCATCGTACATCCAACGAAACAACTATTCATCTTCCACCCTCCACAAGCCCACCTAGAAAGTGAGCTTATTACCCGCATTCGCCTGCACCGACGCCTTGACATTCGCACTGCCAAGCTTAGTGTACGCGTACGGAACCGAGGTCAAAGTACCCTTGGGCGCCGTATTCGTCCCCGACCCAAGACTAACATCATTGGCAATCGCGTAGCCGGTCACTTTCCCGTCGTACCAGCCAATATCCTCGGTCGTGTTCTCAAACACGGTGCTTTCAACCAGGACCTGGGCGCCTTGACGGGTATTGATACCGTTGGTGAAGACGCCGTTGTAATAGCCTGTGATATGCATTAGCGGGCGGGAAGTCCAACATGACTACTAACAGAGAGAGAGAGAAGAAACTTACTATTAACAATGTGGCCGGTTCCGAAGCGGATAGACGGGGTGCGCGAACTGATATTGTTCCAGTAGTTGTTGGCGTAGGTTACGTGCAGATGGCCTGTATCTTCCGCGCCGTTACTGTCGGAATGGCCGACGAGAGACGCTTTGTAGTGGTCGTGGATATAGCTGTTAGAGATGGTAACCCAGTCCGAAGCATGCGTGACGTCGATGAGGCCATCGTAGTAATCCTTGCCATGATCAATATCAGACGATACATCGACGTGGTCAACCCAGACGTTGGTCGATGCCTGGATGCCGATGGCGTCGCCATTGGTAGCCAGGACCTTTGAGATCTTGAGGTTCTGGATGACGACGTTCTTGGACTTGTCGACGTATAGACCTACGTTGGTGAGGGAGGCGCTGGAGTCGGTGCCGAGGATGGACTTGTTGGAGCCGATGTTGACTTTTGCCGGGCCAGTGATCGCGCCCTTGATGTAGATGACCTTGGCTGTCGTGTCTGTCTTCTTGCCGACGGCAGCAGTGAATTCAGCCAAGGACGCTACAGTCGTCGTGGTACCGCCTTTTCCACCCGTAGTGCCACCGTTCTGAGAAGCATAACCAACAGGAGACCCTTGCTGAGCGGTAGCAAAGGAAACAAGGAATGCAACACTGGCAAAGATTGATGTCTTCATTGCGCTTAATGGAAGTGAGAATGCTTTGTACAAGATATCCTTTCCATTGCGCTCGTAGTCCTGGTCTTTTTAAACATTTCAAAGAAGCTTCATTACATCTCTTGGCACATCAGCTTCAAGGTGTGATTCAAGCAACGTTGGCGAAGCTTGTCAATGTCAAGATCTAGCTCGTCTGCGGAACGATTTAGTCCACGAACAGGGCCTACCCCTCACACACACAACGCGTGGTGGGTTCCGCCAATCAACGACGGCAACCTGTCGTGAGAAGAGTTCAAAATGACGCAAAAGTTGTTGATGCGCGCCTAGTCAGGTCTCAGGTCGAATGCCAGTCCACATTTGCGCTGCATGATTCGATAGTCCGCGTTGTTGGATGGCCTGTCGGTGGCCAGGCTGACTAGCCGAATCTGAAACATGGGGTACGTCCTTTTCGTGTTCGGGCCGTTCCGTAAATTGAACATTAATCAATCCGACAAGATGAACGATTGCAAGTTTTTCCGGTTCGTGCTGAATTTTTTGCCGATGGAATAATTGAGACGAGTTTGTGGTCGGGTGGTGTGGGAAAGGCCTGGCTAACACAAGCACTTGCCGTATTGGTGTTGCAATTCATCAAAATGGTGATAGACTCAGTCAAGATCAACGGCGGTCATTTGGGTCTCCTTGATGAGAGACCGAAGGTAGCACCTTCTCTATCACTTGGGCGACTTGTGCTGGGGTACTGCCCTCAGTTTCGATGGTCATTTTGACACGGAGGTATCCACAGGCGTTTGTAGGATATTCTGAAGCGATGCTAAGGTAGCGTAGATAGTCCAATGGCTCGGAGGCTCGAGGAAATCAACGTCTAGGGTTGCTGAGGATAGCCAGGGTCTTATAGCATCTCTCCTGCACCAAGAGCGTTCCATTACAATGCATCTTGACTCTCCTCCTCCCCACGCATTCAAAACAGCTCATCCTCATCGACCTTCTCACCCCTCCGCCCCGCCAGCCAAACCCTCCCACTCTCATAAGCCCCCAAATACAACCCCGCCCCAATAAACGTCCAAACACCCCTCAACGCACCACCTCTCCACAGCCCTCTGAACCCCTTCTCTTCTACAATCTCTTTGCCTATTGCCCAACTGCTCTTTCGGCCTTTGACGGAATCCGCCACCTTCTTTACCGTGTCTTTTGACGAGTTGCCGAGGGCGTCGACTAAGCCTGCTTTCCCTCCACCACCACTCTGCGCATCTTTGCTAGGCCCAGAGCCAGAACCACCATCACCAGCCGCCAACATGACCCTCGTCTTCACAACATCAATCGGCGTCGTTATCACCGCCGACACCGCCCCCGCACTCCCAGCACTAACCGCAGTAATAACACCCATTTCCACGACCCCACCCCTCGTCAACCCCTTCTCATCCCTATACTCCTTAATCCCCGTCTTCAGCCTCTCAAAAAGCGGAAACTGCATCGCCGTAAAAGGCAGATTACGGCCCGCAAGAGCCGTGTAGCCGCGCCAGAGCGCCAAAGGGTTTGACCGAAACCTGCGCAGCGTGTCGAGCGTGGCGTTCGTAGGGTTAGAGGAAGATACCATTTGCGCGTTTTGCTTGATGACTTCTGCGGGCGTGAGGATGGCGCAGGATACGAGTTCTGCGAGACTGGATGCGGATGCGTGGACGAGGGCGATGGGGAGGATATCCTTGCCTTTGGTATTGGTGTTCCATGTTGTAAACAGCGACTTTGTGCGTTCGTATGTCGTGAAGAAGGCTCCTGCTGCGCCCGCAGTCAGTTGTTGCGAATCTGTTCTTGACTTGCACGTTGTGTTGGATAGGCATGGGAAGGTAGAATGGCTTACAGCTAGGCAACGTAGCGATAATCACGCTCCCGATGCCCTGGTATACACCGCGGAACAGCTTGGGGTCGACCTTGCCTGTCCGACTATCTGTGTACAGTTTTGCATATTGCGGACTTTGGATGCGTGTTTTTATCGTGTCGAGGGGGTATACGAGGAGGTCTACTGTAAAGGCTGCTATTGCACCGGCCTTTTTGTCATGTCAACGTTATTCGCTTTCCATTCTCTATTTCTCTTGGCCTTTTTTCCGTTATTTCCAAAGTCATTCCCTTGCTCTTTCCTGCTTTTTTGGATCTGCCCGTGGACAGATATGTGTGTGTGTGCACATGTTCATGGCGGTGCCCAATGTGCAAGCAAGCCCGCGAGCGAATGAATAAGCCGAAAAAAGTGAATACTCACAATTAGGATATCTGAATTAGTATTACCAGACATTTTTAGCAAAAATGACACGCTGATCTCTTGTACAAAGCAAACGACGAACAACAATTGTGTTGCCAGGATTATTTTGAACCTCGTAGATCTACAGGGTTCTCGATAAAACGCATGCATTACGTCACCAATGATCCTCCGAATGGCAACGCGTTTTCACGTGTTAGAATCGCTCTTCACACATAATTGCAACGACCGTGTCTGATAAGGGGTTCATCTTAGGTTATATCATATATTCGTTTTTTTTTCCTAACTGATATCTCCTAGTTTTTCCCTTCGTGGTGGAAAGCTTTCAATGTAAAATCCCCTTTCCATGCCGCAGCACCGAAACTACCAAGATAAAAGAAGAAGATGGGGTATTTCAACCTAGTTTCCATACCAAGTCCCAAACTCCGCTTCCAAGAGAGAAGCAATGTTCAATCTTTCCTCCCTCTCCCAAAGACAAAGAAAAAACCAACCCCTTATAACCTCCCCTGTATAGAAGAAACGCCCAGAACCCTCACTTTTCATAACACATATCAATCATGGATGCTCGCCCGCGATCATCGTAACCATCATCATCATCGTCGTCATCATCGCCCCCTTCCTCTACAGCTTAGTATCCTGCCTATTACTGTCACTAAGCCTGCGAAATCCCGTCAACCCTACGACACCCATGCCCGGCCTAGCACCAGTATTCGCTCGTGCACCGTTGCTTGCGCCGCTTGCGCCTGCAGTCGTGGCACCGCTGCCCGGTGTCCTGGAACCGCCGCCGGCAGCATTACTCCTCTGCTGCAGCGTCGCACTGACGACCCACTGCAAGTGCATGCGCATATTGCTGATAGCGGCGTTGACATGCAGCATTTCGTCTTTTGAGCGTTGACTCTCGTTTATAATCATCATGTTGGTGCGGCCGTCGAGGTCGGTAAGCGCATTTGCGATGCGACTGACTTCTTCCCGCAGGCTATCATGCAGCGTAAGCAGATGATGGACCTGCGAGTCGAAAGGAGGTTGTGCGGTGTTGTTGTTCTCACTCCCTGCTGGTGGGAACGACGCAGGCGGGAGTCTGAAGTCTGGTGTAGGAGCCTGCGCATCGTTTGGATCCAAAGGATCGGTGACGGGAAAACTCGCGTCGTTTCCATTGGCGGGATAAAGATAGTTGGTAATATTTGTAAGACCGTCTTCGAGGATCCCGACTTTGCGCGTCAGGGGTTCTAGTCTTGCTTCGTTGCGCTCGATACGGGCTTGTTGCTCGCGGAAGTGGGGGGCCATTGTCGCCATTGCGCAGCTGCTTTCGTGATTCAAGACATCGACTCGTTCCGCAGTGAACTTGCAGCCTACGATTGTGCCTTGGCATGATATGACGTGTTTGGGGCAGTCGTTGTTGATGTGGGGTTTGAGGTCTAGACGGAGGACTTGAGCTTCACACAGCGAGCACATGGTCAGGCGATTGTCGCAGAGGCTTCGCTGGTGCTCCTCGAGGTCCTTTTTTAGCAGGGAAGCGTGACAGTCGTCACAGCTGACGGTGTAATGCAAGCAGCCCTTGTGGAAATCCTTTTGGGATATCTGCAGGCGACAGTCTGCGGCAGAGCACTCGACGGGCGTGTATTCGCAGTACAGCATGACATGATCGTGAACATTGACGCGCTGGTCGACCCAGTTGCAGCCAGCTTTTGTGCTGGGACACTTGACCACCAGCTCGTCGAGCATTGTCTCGATGATCTTGGGCACAGGACGAATGTCATGGTCCGTCTCCACAGCATGCCGACACGTAGGACACGTCCGCCGGCCGCTGGGCTGCGGGGCCCACGCGTGATCGAGACACTCGCGGCAAAAGTAGTGCTCGCAGGAAAGCTGGACGGGCCTATCAAAGGGCGCATGGCAAATGAGGCAGACGAGGTTGCTGTCGGGCGCGGAGACGTATTCGAGGTTGGCGAACTCGGGGGGTACTTTGACGATTCGGCTGTGACGGCGCGCCGTTGATGGCGAATTGGACACGCGGACGGCGAGGGGCGAGGGGCTACTTGGGGGGCCACCGACCATGATTCTGTCGTCGTGCTCGTCGGGCCAGCCTGTCCAGGCGGCATTGCTGGAAGAGCGCGAGGAGCGCGAAGACCGTCGGTCGTTGGGAGGTGGGATGGGACTGGGAGACGACATGGTTTGGCCAGTTGTCTTGGGTAGTCGGGGCAGCGAGGCTTCTTGTGCGCGCTGCCCAGCAGTCAGCGGTGAGATGCGCTGTCTCGGGTCTCCTCGTTGAGTGTCGATCCAAGTGAGTCTGGCGGGGTGGGTGGTTGCAGGATGGTCGCCCTGACAGTCATTCACTGGCTGCAGAGCGCCAGAAGCAAAAGATTATATGGCCCGGTCAGGTCTGCGCATATTTCAGCAGGGCGAGGGAAGCATGCAGGTGTTGTTGTGGTGTGTGGTTGCGCAAGAGCGAGGAATGCCGGCTGATGGCCGTGCCGTCCGTCGTGCATGCATGCAGGAGGTACCCCAGCCCAGCCACGGCATGTGGACCATCTCTCAGGGCTGTCGTCAGCGGTCCGCTCCTGGAGTGCAGCAGCCTTGCCATCATCTCCACCAGGCACGAGCTTGTAGCTGCAACGTCCCGTGTGTTTCTGTCTTCGCATTGCCCTTGTGAATAATCGCGTCTACTCCCGCATACTGTCCCCGTACTACACCTCCGCCCTGAATCCATCCTTCACCCGCCATAAGCCATCATGGCAACCAACCCCCCACAGCTGTTCCTCCTCGCCGACCACATCAAGCTCTCCCTCCTCGAGCGCCAACGCGCATTATCCCTCAATCTCCCGTCCAACAGCCAAGATGGCCAGATCTCACGGTCACTGGAGCAACTGCGCTCCGGCATTGAATCGTTGGAGTCGCAAGTCCAAGACACATCAGACGAGTAAGAGAGCCTGTTATACCAACAAAGAACATGGCCATGGAACTAACCGTCGCCGTCTCAAGTTCCATAACCTCACAACTTCCCCGCCTCCGCAGCCAACTGGCTGAACTCACATCGCAATTCACACCCGCCAACCCAACAGCAACAACGACCTCACCAGCCCTAACCTCCCCCAACGACCCCTCCCTATCCCGCGACTTTGCCGCCGCCCAAAACAAGAAACCCACTACCACGCGCTCAGCCTCAAAATCCGTCCGCTTCAGCGACAACGACGATGACAATGACGATGATGCAAACCGCGCCTCCCTCTTCCCTTACCGCGACGATCCCCCCGACGACGCCAGCCCCAATCTCGCGCATCTGGACAACCAGCAGATCCACGCTTACCACGACCGCGTCATTGCAGACCAAGACTCGCAGCTCGATCAACTAGGCCAGAGTATCAGTCGCCAACGCGAGCTGTCCATGCAGATTGGCGACGAGCTAGACGGGCAGGTCATGTTGCTGGATGATGTCGAGGAAGGCGTGGATAGACATGCGGCGCAGTTTGTGCGTGCCAGAGGCAGGCTAGATAGGTTTTCGAGGAAAGCGCGGGAGAATTGGAGTTTGACGGTTATTGTGGTGCTCATCATTATACTGGTTTTGTTGATTGTTATTACAAAGTAGTAAAGCATTTAATAGGTCTCTCCATGGGCGTTATTTGTTGGAAATGGGAGGAAATGGGAATTAGACTTTTGATTCAGCGGCAGTTCCATGCTATTGAGACGGAGTAAAGGAACCAGTCATTGTTTGTAGCAGCTAAAGACTAGCATGCATCGTACTGTTGATCATGCCATGCTCCTACTTGGGACATCCACTATCCTTACCCACCACTTGCTACTACTACTACAACTACAACAACACGTCTGCTTTCGCCAACACGAAGCCACAACATCAGATGCTCTCGCTCATTCCCAAGACCCAACATCTGCGCACACCAGTTGGGTGATACACAGCCGCTGACGCCTAAACGCCACGCATGATGCAACAAAAAAAAAAGAGAATAGAAGACCGTAAAAATTTTGAAGCTCGAAGGGTATCGCTGTCTGTGTATATGCAAGGTGAAAACCCCGCTAGGGGCTTTGTGATCTGGTGCTGTGAATTGGAGGCCAAGGTCTGACCAGACCGGTGTTTTGTATCCTGCCAGGACTCGGTATTGTTGGTAAGTGGTGGATGATTGTCAATGTTTGACACGTCTCTCCACCTCTTCAGTATCATCTACCTTCTTTCAGGGCAGGTCCAACGCCTTCTTACTCTTATCATAAACAACATAAGTAATACTCACAGCTGGCACAACCTTGAGTAAGTTTGGCGTTAGTCCCTTGAAAAGCCCCCTCATTCCCTCGCCCTTGATAGTCTGCCTTGTCACGTCCATGATTCCCGTGTATGTTCGTGGATGGAGGACAGTGCCTTGACTCTGTAGCCGGGTTCGCAAGAGGTTAAGTGGATAGACCGCACTAGCACCAAATGCCCCAGAAAAGCCGCCAATAGCTGCCGTCATGAAGCCTCCCGGCTCAGCGTCTTGTTCATGGCAGCCAAGGCGTTTAGCGTTGCGGCGCGCGACGTAACGTTTGAGATACTCAAAGGTACCCAGATCGAGGGCCGCATAGGGAAAGATACCCACGATACCCATAGGGAGTCCGCGGTAATATGCGGCGACGCCCCCAGCATTCCACATCTTCTTTGCCGTGGCCCAGATTAGGCGGTTGCCGTGGAGGCCACCAGAGACGGTTTCGCATTGCATGCGGAACTTCAACGTGTCGATGGGATAGACAGCGAATTGTGAAACCATTCCTACGAGCGCGTTAAATGTGTGCATGTTAGATCGTGACGTGGAAGAACGCACCAGCTAGACCACCAGCAACGAATTTCGACCAGGAATGTATTATGGCGGGGTCATTATGGCCTTCGATCTTGGCAAAGACGCGTTTCGCAGCCTGCGCGAGTTAGGGGAAGCGTTTGGTTCACTTGATTATACTTGCCTCGTAAGAACCAAATTTGATGGCCGATTCAGGCATCACCTTGACGACATTCAACCCGTTTCCTATTGCGCTTGTCAGAGCCCGCGAGCAAGTCATGTCGATATGGACTCACCAGCATACAAGCTGCGCATACCGCCAGCCTGCCATAGCTCCCTGGTGGCCGTTGCAAGTGGCCTCCAAGCATTCATAACAGCTTTGATGATATTGCCATGCTTCGCAGCGACGACGGCTTCCTCCGCCACACTGGTCTGGGCGATGAGGTAGACTTTCAAACGATCGAGCGGAGCAGTCGAGGGGCGAGAAACAATGCCTGCACCGCCCCCCGCCACGAAATAGCCTGGATTGGGAACACAAGCAATCAGCATGGTTCCTAAGCTCTCTATAAGTTTTGCCGGTATCTCTTCAATGGAAGAAGAAGCGCTGCTCTTGTCGGCTTCAGACCGTGGCGGGAGGGCACCTGCACCTTGGTAGACCATCGTTGAAGGTGATGAAGCCATTCCTCCGAGCGGTGCGCTAGCCTCTGGAAGGGGATTGTAGGGCGGTGTGTGCGCTACAATGAAAAGGGAACCAAAGAAAAAACGAAGAAAACGCTGTGTAGTACCTAGGCCTTGGATTGTGTCGTCACTGATGAGAACGTCGCCTTCCTGGTTGACCTTCATAGTGGCGGAAAAATACGACATTACGGCGTGGAGGGATGGCGCGCTGACTGGAATGAAGAGAAGAAAGTCCCTTTAGCAGTCAGTACGGTGTCGTGAAAGTTCGTTACGATGCCTGTGCGCATCGCGAGACCGTTTCATGGTGTAGCTCAAACAGCGATCCAACAACCGTATGGTCTTGGGATGTTCACGCTTCCACCATGTCATCTCATGGTCCGGACTCGGACGCGCAAGTCGACTTGTGATGATCGAATTGACTGAGTACGTACCGCCATTCTTCAAAACTAATGGTCCCATCATTATTGGTATCCACTTCGGAAAAGAATTTGTCGAGGTTGCTATTGGGAACAGCAAGTCCGGCAGTCCGCAAAGCCGAGCGCAGCTCATCTTTGGAGATCCTGCCGTCGCGATTGTAGTCGATGGTCTGGAATAGGTGGTAGAGCTCCTTTTCGGTTTCGTGTACGAACTTGCGGAATTCTGGGTAGTAGTGTCAGTATGTCTTTGCTTTGAACTAGAGGAAGACACCCACCCTGCTCTGTGATTCTTCCGTTCCCATCGATATCCACAGCCTGCATTACCTCATTGAGGAGCTGGTCCGCATTTTTCAAGGCTACAGCGTTGTTGTCAGCGACGGAAACTCGGCGCGCGCCGTCCTCTCTTACGATGGTCCAGCTTTCGCAGCCCCTTCTTGAGGCCTGCGAGGTCAAGGTGGCCCTGTTTGCGCGTGTCGAGTGTTGACCATAATTCGTCCACCCTGGCGTCGGCAACGCTTGCGCTCTTTGTGTCCATGTTCGTCCTGCTATCTCCGGTCTATCATGGCTGAGGGTCGCGACACACACGGGAGGGCGACTATCGGCACCGGGCGAGGTGAATTGCGAGGAGAATGGCTAAGCTGTCAAGGAGACAGGCTCGTACAGGCTTCGACGTGGGGGATGAGGTCAGTCTCAAAGCTTGGAGAGGGCGGCTGAAAGGGGTTAGCGGGGCATGCCGCAACACCGAGGGAAGCCACGACAGGAGCCTAACATTCGCTCGCACCTGATTGGACGCGACATTGCGACACCATCCTTCTTTCCACGCTTCACGTCTCGTGCGATCGTCCTGCGTCCAGGTGTCGTTCGACTATGCATTGAAATAGTTTTTCTCCGGTCGCCGTGTATCCGGCCTTTACTGGTCCGCTGGCATCTTGCTTCTTCGAACGATATCGGAGTTCCAACCTGCTGGCACCGCTTTCGACACCAAAGCGACATCTGAGAGCGTTGTTAGATCACTTGAAAATCAGGGAACAAAATAAAGCCATTCTTTGAGGAATCCAGTGACTTCGGCTTCCTGTCATATCTCGGCGTACAGCAGGCGCCAGTTTACTCAGCCCATCATGTCTTCAAGCTATTGGGAGTCAACCCAACGCAAGTTCTGGACTTTTACAAAACAAGAGCTAGCACTGGAGCGAAAGAGAATGGAAGATGCAGAACGCAATCTGGTCAACCTGTATCCTCTGCCAGATCGGAGGCATATGAGCATCTACTTCTCTCATCGTACGTAACGTGACACGTTAATCCAGGTGCATGCTGACATGTCCTAGAACTCTCCAAAATGGCAAGACCGCTAGGAATTCGACAGCAAGCTCTGGCTACCGCACAAGTGTATGTCCGGCGATTCTATGCCAAGGTCGAGATCCGGAGGACGAACCCAGCGCTCGTGCTGGCAACAGCATTGTACTTGGCGTGTAAGATGGAAGAGTGTCCGCAGCACATTAGAATGGTATTGGCAGAGGCGCGGCACTGTTGGGGTAAGTTACGGAATGTAAGAACAAAACGCAATTCTGACAAAGACAGACACATCATTCAACGACGTTTCCAAAATCGGCGAGTGTGAATTTACACTCATCTCTGAGATGAACTCTCAATTAATCCTCCACCACCCATACCGCAGCCTCGCTGAACTCCAGACGCAGTTCCAACTGACCCAAGAAGAAAATGCCCTGGCATGGTCAATCATCAACGATCACTACCTGACAGATCTTCCGCTTCTCCACGCACCGCATGTTATCGCCATAACAGCGATGTTCTTGGCAGTCGTTCTCAAGCCCATCGGCTCCCAGGTCAATGCAGCCGGGATGAACAACGCACTGCAGACGCTGGGCAATGCACGTGGTGGACAAGGGATGCAGGCACGAATACAGAAACTAGTCGACTGGCTTGCTGAAAGTAGTGTAGATATCGAGGCTGTTGTGGAGTGCACGCAGGAGCTGATCTCATTGTACGAAGTTTGGGAGACTTATACCGATAAAACATGCAAAGACCAGATTGCAAAATTTGTCAAGGCGAGAGGTTTGGACAAGTAACATTTTGGTTCTAGCTAAACCTTTATCGAGAGCTCGTTTTTAATAAGTTGAACCTGTTGCACAAGAAGTAGTATGGGAGTATACAACATGACTTATTTAATTCAGTCGTAACGTACAAGCCGATGCATCCTCAGCGTAAGCTGTATTATTTGGAGGTGTGACTTTAAACAAAAACCCGAGCCCCTCTGTAGACTCTTCCAAGATGATTAGATATGATATTTGGGCGTCAGCAGCTCGGCGGTCCTATCACGTAGCAATGCACGGTACACCAAACGCTTGACAGCGTCGTCTTCAAAGCCTTCATACCGATGAAACAGCATCAGGGACAGACATTGCCCATTCGTCACGGCGAGCATGCGCCACAAAGCCGCAGCATGGCTGTCCCAACAATCACTCCACTGTGCCACCACGAGCTGCCGGCTCCTCTGTCGGCGTGCTTGTCATGGTGTCAGCACTCTAAAGCAGCAAGCAGCCTTACAGTATCAGCATGAACCATGCATCAATGCAGCACTTGGCCTAAAGTCGAATATATTGATTCAGCTCGCGTCCACTTGCTCATCCCACGGGGTGGGGAGAGACAATCAAATGAGTCTGTTTCGAGCCAAGGGCGATTCTTCATGCGACAAAGCTTGGCCCGTCGCAGGAACGTTTGCGCGGCATGGATGTCACGGCACTCGAAGATGATTCATGGCTGGCTTGATCAGCTCACGATGGCCGTCACTGAGGGCCCCCAACAACAGCAACAGGACGACATCACACGAAGATGGAGTGACGACAGGAGCTGCTGCTAAGGATTGTCGATCACTGGACAGGCCGTCGAGCGTCCGGGCCGGGGAGAACGAGTGCAGAAGCGCTATTTTGGTCTCACGTAGTGGCAGATTTCTATTGGCCATGGCGCTATATCCTGGCCGTCGGGACGTCACACAGGGTGAGGTCCGGGCATGTTCGGAAACACTGACGGGTGGAAAACGTCTCGCATGGCCGTGGGCGTTTAGACGTTGCTGTCGGAGGCGCAACGGCAGCAGGATGTTCGCATGGAATGGCGCAGCTCATATGATGGTCATGGTGGTCGCGGGCGGGCGAGCTGGTCTCGCAGCATGGGCTCAACAAGTTTCCCATGGGCATCCGGGTGCACAGCGCTGGCGGCATTCCAGAACATGGGCAGTGCGCTCATAATGGTAGCGATTTGCGGGCGCCGTCGGCAGGGACTCGGCCGCCACGAGCGAATCCTGGCATGCGCTCAACCACGGTGTCAAGCTGCTGCTGGCCGTCGCAGGCACAGCTGCGTTAGCGCTCCAACGCGCCAGCGCTCGCGGCCTCACTCCAGCATGTCTTCGGGACTTCCACTTGCGATGCGGCCGCCCTTGCCGACGCTGGACAAGTGGTCGTGTCCTGGCCGGGAAGACTACCTGCATTCCCCTGGCGACGGTAGAGGTGCGGAAGAAGCGGTCAGGGCGCAGACACTGTGGGTGGTCACTTGCCAGCCAGCTCACAGCCTCGCTGGGCTGGCAGCTGTTAGCGTCGTGTGTGTCGCATAAGGGCTGTTTGACGATGCGCCGCCGGCTGGGGTTTACTTTTTGCGCGCGCATCCCCATGGAATGGCCATGTGTCGAGGGAACTAGGAGAGGGCGATAGGCATGGCCGACTATTGAACCAGGCTTGTCTGATACTCGATGGATGGACATCGATGCCCTCGGGAGGCGATCCGTCTGCGCACGCTGGCGGCGCGCCTTTGACTATGCAGCGCAAGCGTTCCAAAGGCCCTAGCGCAGGCTCCCCTGCTGAGCTAGAGCGCATCGGTCCAAGGAGGCGTGGTGGCGAATTGGCGCAATGGACGTAGCCAATGACACGCTATCGCTTGTGTCGGTCGACACGCTTGGGCCACCCACCCATCCATCTGACCCAGCCTGTTCTTCTCCAGCCCTCTCGCTCCTCTTGTTCCTCGCACTTCTGCACCAGCGTTCTCAACCACATCTCTCAGCATCGCATCGCAATACTATTAAATAATACTCTACGCACTCGCACCGCTCCCGCCTCCCTTTGCATCCACCCTGCATCCTCGATAACCGCCACTCTCCGAGCTATACCCCTTTGTTTCGCCTTTGTTGTGGTCGAGCTCCCTGGATTACAACGCAACCCCTCTTCACATACAACAGTCATCCCATCCAGCACCACCACCACAACAACAATAACCACCACCAATCATGTCGCAATTCTTCAACTACGGTGCCCAGCAGCACCACGCCCAACATCTCAACGCCCACTCGCACAACCACCACGGCGGCCGATCGCGGAGGGCGCCCCGGATCTCGGCTCAGCAGCACAACAAGCAGTTCCGCCAAGTCCGCACCCCCAAGGAATTCAACGTCGAGCCCCCCACCCTCATCGCATACAAGCGCGACTTCGAGGCTGCCAGATCATTCGACATCGAGGACGATGAGATGTTCTGCCCCTTCCACCTGCTCACTGAGGATGATGTAAGTCGCCAATATTTGCCACCCGCCATCGAATCCGCCCAAGCAGGCGCTGACACTCGATGAACAGTTGCAATCCATCCACTCTTCTGGCTCAGACCGCTCCTCGCTGTCGAGCGGCTCGCCCGAGCAGTCGCCTCTCCAGCACCAGCTGCAGCCAACCCCCTCTTTTGTCCTGTCCTCAGCGGGACCCAACCCTTACACTCCTGTCGGCTTCCAACACAACAACTCGCAAACCAAGCTACACCAGCCACTAGCCCAGCGCACACGCAATGCCATCCCCATTGTTGACCCCTCGACACGAGCTGTTGCCAGCCCACCTCCGTCTGTCTCCCCTAACCGACAGATGCAGCAACAGTTCATGTCGCGACGCTGGTAGAGTCTTGCAGGCACGAGGCCAAGCGTCTTTTGTTCGGTCAACAAATGCGGCGTTGTGTGTTGCTAGGCTAGTGGGCTACCTGGATCTCTAATCCTCCTTCACCATGTCCACACTGTATAAATCTACGATATCTTCTTCGACATATCTTGGGTATACCACTTGAACTCGGCGACGGCGTTGCAATTGTCAGCGAAAAAACAAAACCACACATCATTTTACCGGATAGAAGCGCTTTGGTTCTCGATTGCTTTCAAGCGTTGAAAGCGCTAACGCATTAACGGCGGTTTGCACATACAACGGTGTTTTCTGGGTCTGTTCACGCATTTCTGGCTATTGCTATCTGTTTTTTCAAACACCTTGAAAAACTTGAGGTAGATTTCCTATGTCGCTGGTTGGTTCTCTCTTCGGGTTTCAAGCGGAGCGGTGTTGGTATATACCATTTGTTTGGGCGCCCTATAACTTGCGAAAGCGACGGTGTCTAAGCGTACATGTTGGTGGGTCATCAGTCACGGTGTTGTCTTGGGGTTCGTTCGCCTTGTCGCGTTACTTTGTACGACGACGCTGGGATGATTCTACGCAATCAGGCGCTGGTGTCTCTTTTCCTATCTTCCCTGCTTGTTTTTGGTTTCTTTGTACGAGGATTTATACGACGACACCCGGTGTGGTTGGCGATCTCTTCTTGGATGTTTTTTCTCTCTCTCTCCTTTCGTTGGGAGCTTTGTTCTCCCTCTTATATCTACACGCCTCGCAACTTTTACGTTCGAGGGCAGTGAATATCCTAGGAAAGGAATACACGCAACTTACTCATTGATCAACTCTCCAAATCCACTGCTAGCGCTCTACTTGTCATTGCATGTCGTGTAAAAGCTCTCCACACTAAACTGATGGAAGATGGGTCTTCAATACACCTCGAGCTGAGCTGAGCTGACCCCGCACGCCACGCAATGCACTTGGGAAAGCTTTCCCAGGGACCAAACTGACTAAAAACCTCCACCCACACCAAGCTCGGGGATTGCCCATGCCATGCCAGGTACTCCCCTCCCCCTCTCTCTTCATGCGGACGGACGAACGCAGGGGGGAGGAGGAAACGAATGCAGGCTAGTTCAAGGGGGGGAAGCTGTGCCGACCTGTGGCCTGTTCTCTTTGGCGGGAGTTTAGTGGTAAGCTTAGCTTAGGGAGCTGGAGCTGTCACGAGGGAGTTAGCGGCGGGCTATTGCTATGTAGATCAGGTTTTGGTGCCATATGGCCATTTCTAGACTCGATTTCGAGGTGGGAGGCAAAACGGGTGTTTTTGGGGGCAACCGTGGTTGGCTAATTCGGGAGATGTTGGCATCTGCTAATATTAGTGGTGTATTTGTTTCCTCTTCCCCCCTCACCATTTCGTTCCTCTTGGCGTGGATGCATGATGGATAGATGGGATGTTCATTCAAGCTCTTTATGCTAGTCCTGACTCTTGTGTGGAATGCTTGGTCATGTGAATTTTGATTGGGGTTGGAAGTGGTCTGATTTGGAGTTTTTGCCTTCTTTTCTTTTTCTTTCCTGGGAAAAAGGAACAAAATCTCAGGTTTGGCGATGGGTTGCGAGGTTGAGTGGATGGTGGCATGGATGCTATATTGTGGCGAAGGTGTGAGAGGAGGGAGGTTTAGTAGCAGAAGAGAAAGAGAGTGGGTAGGAGGATGGCGAGACGTTCTAAAGGTCTGGTGTTCTGAAAAAGGAGGTGTAAGTATTTGATAGCGAGGTGGTAGATTGATGTCGAGAGCGAGATTGAAGGCTATAGATCTTATGTCCCTATCGTCGGTACGTGTGAAGGATTCAACACGTATAGGAATATAAATAGATATTCCGATTGATATAATAGACGTGCTGGTGGTAAGACGCAGGCACAACGCTGTTGGGTTACACTGTATCGTATTGCAGTAGAAGTGTGTTCCCAAACACTAAATTGGCTTCGCTATATGCAGCTGTATATATACTCTTTTGATTGATCTTCCGATGTACCTTCTTCTACAGGTAGTGTTTCTGTGTTGCTCGCAGCGACATTCTAGAGAGGTCCTCGGAGTAGCTACCGTCGTCAAGAGGAGAATGGATGTCAAGAGGTAGCAAAAGCTGGAACTCTTGTAATTTGCGGATAAGATGAGAAAAGACCGACAACGCAGATTGTACCTATCCTTCTCAGCAAGATCAACTAGATTCTATTACTAAAGCCACACTTGACACAATAATTACAGGAAATCTTTCACTTGAAGAGCTTGTGCATGTTAGCTGTGACTGCACCCATTGCACTCTTATTTAACATCGACCTGAACGCATTGCGTACGATCTTCTCCGTCATCACATCACTCGCGCTGAACAGGAATACGGGAACTATACACGGGCACTTTTGCCCGAGAAGAGTACATTGGTAGATGCTGAATTCTGCACACTCAAACAAAGAGGTCCGACTCGCATGTACCTCGGTATATGTCATGCTCGGTGTTTCGGTTCTTGTGTTGACTGGCCTGCTCACGCGTCGACACGCATATCTCCGTTGGACATGTTCTGTAATCTCGAGACCCAAATTTCCATCTCACAACTCACCAAACTCTTTCCTAATCAGGCAGTCCGTCGAAAGGTGTGGATCACGATTTCACTATTACTCTCCCACAACACGCCCATACCGCTACTCTTCCGCTTGGACCTCAATCACCACGGTGCTGACCATGGTGGAAAGTCTCGTAATTGGCTTCCTCATTGCTTTTTGACGAACTGGACCAGATCTCATGGGCTAGCTGTTCGCCGCGATGAGTTCACCGGCACCAACCGTCGTGCTATCCAGCGCGCTCTCCGCCGACCAGATGCCTCCTGGACCAGCTGGAATTCTCGAAAACACCATCGTCAATCACAGCATCTCGTTAGGTCTCTGGTTTACTCACGCAGTCAGATTCAATGACCATGACGGCAGTGCCGACGTGGAATTGGGGTACCGAAGCGTAATGCACACAGTCACCGGGTTCGTGGTCTGTGCATTCCCATACTCGCTTTGATACGGTGGGTACAAAAAAGGCTAGCAGATATCGGGGACAGCGACGGCATAATCGACCATACTGTGGCATAAGAGCACATAACCCAAAGCTGTAAGCGGCTACTAGTGCCGTGTGCTGGAGTTGAGGGGCAGGCGTGGAGAGAGCAAGTTCATCAGAGCCTCTCTGGGTCCAGGCCTCATCTAGCTGTCGCAAGAGCATGACTAATGAGGCTCCGTCGAGCGACTGACAGGACTCGGCCAATTGTTGTAATGATGATTGCCGACTGGGGAAAGGATGACGTCGTTGGGTGAAGCTAGTCACGTCCACTAACCGAGGAACGTGTGTTTTCTCCAGCAAACCAACCCTTCCTCCTGCAATCGTCATCTGCCAGCTTTTTCTACACTTCTGAGGTTCCTCATCAATTCAATTGACTTCTTCCCATTGAAATACACCCACGGAACGAATAATACGTGCAGCTAGAGCTCCGAGCTACACCGCCGAAACCCCGCAAACTACTACTCCCTCCACGTAAACACCTCCCACGAAACTAGCCATGTCCGCCATCCGTGCCTTCACAACCCGTCGCGCTCCCGTCGCCTTTTTCCAGCGTGCGGCCTTCTCCCAGTCAATAGCCCGCACCGCTGGCAAGGAGTCAACTCTCCGTACGTCCGCACCGACAACCTCGGTCCAGCATGCAGCACCATGACGCTGAATGCGTGCCAGCTGTACACCGAGAGAGAGAGAGAGAAAACCAGAGCTGACGCAATCGAACAGATTCTGAGAACCGTGCCGAGGAGGTTGAGAAGAAGAAGCAGGAGCAGCTGAACAAGCAAAAGCAGGGCAAGGGTTCCTGGGAGGAGCAGCTTGCCAGTGACAGCGAGAGCGCTGTAAGTTGAATACTCCGCCCTAAACCCATGGCACAATTGGATTGTGAGTACACTGGCTAACGCAAAGGACAGGTCAAGGCGGATCGTTCCGAGACCGGCAAGGACACCAAGCAGCAGATCAAGGAGTTGCAGGAGGAGGCGAAGAAGGTCGGCCAGTAAACGAAGCGGCGAGGACGACAAAGCTCGACATGTGAGACATCTTCTCCGCTAGCTACAAGGAGACGCCGGCCGCCAGAGCTCCGTGGCTTGTGTCGGGTCGGGAGCGCTGGAAGGGAGGTGGGACGAAAGCACGATGAGCTGTCTTGCAATACCCAAATGAAAACATCTACTTTAGCCAAACTTCACAAGTGGCCTCTGTTGTGAATTATCAGCATTGCTGTTTCTACAACCATTTTGGCTTTCCCTCAGACTTAGCTGACGTCTGTTCCAGACCGCCATCCGCCTCCATGCCCACATCAAAGCTAATCCACTTATTACGACCCACTGTCTTCCTCGAAAACAAACAACGCATACCTCGTGCACCGCCAAACGCATTCAGCAGTCGAGGTTGGGCATACAGTTCGATTATTAGCTAACAAAGAAGAAAGGTAAAAATACAAATCTATCGACCGTCGCTTCTAAAACACACCAGAACGATGAAATTTACCCCATCCCGCCATGTCTAAAACTTACACAACTTGCCACTATCAAGATCATACTCCCACCTCTCCGTCCCCACTCCCGAAAGCACATACAAACTCTCGCTAGGATCATACTTGCGCTTGACCTCCCTCAACGCCTCGTAGTTGCTGCCGTAAAACGCTTGCTGGAACGTAGGCATAAATGGGTTCGCCTCGTTCATGTACGCACCAGAACCCGGCGCCCACTTCTCCCACATGGGCTCTTTAACCTTGGCATGCCAGTCTGCGCCAATCTGCAGCGCCTTCTTGGCAGATCCAGCGGCCTTGGAATCGACAGTCGCGCCTGTGGCGATGAAGTGAAGGTATGCGCGCCGCCAGCCAGGGTGTAAAGCGCCCCAGTGTGCAGGCGGGGTGGAGTGCACGCCGGGACCGCCGCTGAGGCCAATGGTGGCGTAGTTACCCGGGTCGGTGGTATTCTGACTCGCCATTGCGGTTTTCAGGTAGGAAACAACTTGTTCGTGAGGGGTGTGGGTGAGTTCTGGGCGGCCGAGGAGCCGGGATGAAGTTAGGGATTCGCCGCCTGCCACGTTGTCGCCGGATATGACGTTGAAGAAGGCGGTGTAGTTTGCAAAGTGTGAAGCTGTCATTGATGTCGAGACAAGGGAGGTGTTTGTGCTGGTGTTGTTTGTGTTGGACGCGAGGATCTTGGACAAGACGGGTTGGACGAGGGCTTGTACGGCGGCGGGCGTGGTGTTGAAAGCCCAGAAGACTTGGTTGAGCCCGATGCCAGTGAATGGGCCGTTTGATACGTCCATGTTTGGGAAGAACTTTGGTGCCGTGCTTCCTACTGCTACGGTGGCCGCGCCCGAGAGTCCGGCGTCCATGAGATCGGGGAGCGCGCTGAGCCAACTGGCTGCTGCTGACCATGATGCATCCATACTGGCATTCGAACTACCCTGAGGCGTTATCTGGACACTTGCCATGACGACGTTACTAGGTGCTGGATGGTGCTTGATGACATATTCGGTAACGACGCCATATTGTCCTGCACCACCGCCACGGAGTGCCCAGAAGAGATCTTGGTTCTGGACTTCATTCGCGATAAGAACGTGTCCGGTGGTTGTCACGACGGTCACTTGGCGCACTTGGGCTGATGCAAGGCCGTAGGTAGGAGCCAACGGACCGTGACCACCGCCTTGGATATAGCCGCCCAGCCCAACACTGGGGTCCTGGCCTGTTGTTACGACACGGCCTTGGCTTGTCGCAAACTTGAGGACGTTGCCCCATTGTTGGCCACTGCCGACTATGAAGACGTCTTCAGCTGGCGAAGAGCTGTTTGTGGCACGCCAGGCTGTGTCCCGAGTCAAGTTGCGGAAGTATCGGGTCCAGATGGAGAGGGAGAAAGCACCACTCGAGCTACACGGGTATTGTTAGCTGGCTACCCTGAATACATTTGGATAACATATACTTACCGCCCGTTGAGGTCATGACCTGTTCCCTTGACAACAATCCGAATGTTACGATCAGCAGCCCATTTCATCGCAGCTGCGACATCAACCTCCTCCGTTGAGTTGACAATGTACTGCGGCAGAGCACCAATCTTGCATCCCTGCTTCTGCGTCCAACTTCCGGATTCGTCTGGCAAACAAGAGTTATTTGCATACAGCTGGTAGTCAATTGACTCGGGAAGTTGGGAGTGCCAGGTCCCATTTGTCCATTTATCGTTGACTTCCTGGCAAGAGCGAGGGGAAGGAGAGGCAAAGGTGCCATTGGCGTCGGGCCAGCAGGACGATGCGACGGGCACAGTACGTATCAAAGACCCGCCGATCGTTTCGTTTAGGGAAGACCATTCAGAAAGTGTAGGCCATGATGCATCCGAGGGTGTTGAACGACAGAATGGTGGTGTTGCTGCTGCACTTGCGAGAGCGGGAGCTACGAGAATGAGGGATCGCAACATGCTGGATATATCGAACGGCAGAACAAGCAAATGAGCGACTGATGTGACACCTTGAAACGTATAGGGTACCAACATATTTATGTGATTGTCGAGATTTGGCTCAGAGTCCTTTTCGTATAACTGCTCTTTCTCGTATTCTCTCTCTTTTCGTATTCTGAGGTTCTGGCGGACTTTGCCACGGTGGATATGTCAAAGCGCATGACGCGAAAGCCACTTGTTTGCTCTAGCTTTTTGTCTAGCTTGCGCGTCGTACCAAACACTATGGAGAAGAAGGAGTTAAATGAACGGTTAGCTGGGTATCTGTTGTGGCGCAGTGAGTAATGCCATAAAGCATCAACGTGACGATGCCGAAGATGGCCGTGGATCAAGTCCTGTGTGTTTACGGCATATCTCGTTAATGAGTACCTCGGCGCAAGTATACAATACGTCTTGCAGAATGTATTAGTATACACCGGTACATCGGCGTTAATTCGATGAATTGAGAAACGCAATCTCTTTCTCCACATTCAACTTGAGAGATCTCCTCTAATAGCCTCATCCTCATCAAAACAAGATACACTCGCAATCTACTGAGTGTCTATCCACCACTCATGCAAATGACTCTACCACTCGAGCTTGTCAGTCTGACATTTCAGATCGCACAAGAAAGCCTCGTCTTCATGTACCCGTGTTGCCGAATCTGGCAAAACCTGCCGAGCAGGCCATATCTCGCGACCCAGCTGCCTTTCGCGCTCATGATGCTGCCGAACAAGGTTGCGCACAGTTTTCTGGACGAACAACGGCCCCTTATCCATTCTTGCATGCATCTCGCCACTAACGTAGACACCTGCAGCGTAGTTCTTCTGCGTGTTGAAGCAAAGCCACTTGTCTTCGTTGAGTACCCGCTTGTACATGGAATCAATGGCTTCGAACTCCGCGTCGGAGGCGTCCTTGTGTCGATAGACTTCGTACTCCACGGAGCAATGAGTGGCTGACGTAGGCACGCACCTCATCATGTAAAAGAAGAAAGGTCTACTCTCGGTCAGTCGACTGTGATAGAGCTCACGATCTCTCCATTCGTCCACTCACGTCACTGTCATGCAGGCATTGGGGAAGTAATATGTGCTGCGGACCCTCTGTCCCTCGTCCATGGCTATATTCTCCGCGTTGGTGAAGTGCTGAATATGCCCCCCTTGAGTGCTGACCGCGTATAGTTTCAGATCGGTGATACCAGCTACATCCGGGTGAGCTGTCGGACAATGATAGCACTCATTGTAATTATCAGCTAACGCCTTCCAATTGTAATCGCCACCCATCTCCCACGTATGGTTGAACCGGTAATTATCAAAGTTGAAGCTGTCCATCTGAGGCTGCGTGTCAACTCCTTCGAAGTCATCTTCCCATGCCACCTCCCTTGCAACATCCATGTTTACCCATATGAATCCCTTTTGATCAATGTGAACGCTCATTGGGAACAACCCATCCTGCGTCTTGTCGAATCCCTCCATCTCTTCATAACCAGGCGCTTTTGCTAGATTACCCTTCAACCCGTATGACCACCCGTTGTATCTGCAGGAAAAGATCTTCACTCGCCGTGCAGGTTCGGTAACGACGGGGAATGCTCGATGTCGGCAGACGTTGTGGAAGCCATTGATATCGCCATCGCGATCTCGGCACAGGAAGAAGCGGAAGCCTGCCTCTTCAAATTGCACTTAATCCCCAGCAGTCGGGATCCTGTGCTTGTGTGTAACCAAAATCCATCTCTTTGAATAGATGGCCCGCCTTTCAAGCTGATAGATAGCGTCGGACGTGTACCACGACGATGGTAAACTGCGTGATGTATTGGTGGGTCGCGTCTCGCTTTCCGTGTCTTTGTAGTCCAGGTATATCGGGATACCGATAGTGGTTCAAGATTCCGGCTGCATTGATCAGGACATCGGCTTTCCTGCCCGTGTTGACAATACCATTGCGTTCGGTGTTGACTAGCCATTTGCTTTCCTGCTCAGACCAGGCAGATCTTGTCACCGTTGTCTTGAACTCGATGTGCTGAGCCAGGTCAAAGTGATCCACAACGTGTGATAGGTAACTTTGGATCTCCCCAGATGATGCGAATCTGCGGACGTCAGCCAGTATTAGTCGAGAGCTGATTGCAGCGATATCGAAAGGGATCAATACGCACAATTTGGACCAATCCTTCGTGGGCGCAAAGGAGTATTGGTATATGTCACTTGGTACATCGCACGCGCAGCCTGGCGAGATCAGTCATCTTCCACTAGATTTGGCATAGGTCTTGCTCCTGCCTGGATATGTATTTTCCAACCACGTGCCTCCAACGGCGTGATTCTTCTCCACAATCTGGAATGTATAGGCGTGCGATAAATGCAACTCGAAATGATGTGCTAGTGGAAAAAAGGTGTTATTTTCTGAAACGTCTGCTTTAGCAATGACACACACCAAGTAGAATACCCGAGACGCTATTCTGGTTAGCAACAATGTTATGGAGATTCCAATATAACTGACCCAGCACCAATGATGATAATGTGGCGCTTCTCTTTCATGGTCTTCTCAACGATCTTTGTCATTTTGGTGTTGCTCGAGATTTTCAATTTGTTGGCAAGGTAGGCAGTATGTCGGCGATTAGGAATGTCCAGCACTATTCACCGATCGCTGACCTGATGAGGCAGCCCTTCAGTTTCCATGATCTCGGTGCTCACTACAAGCGGCAGCAAACGTGGACGGACCGTATCGTACGGACTGTGTCTATTACCCGGGGTGATCTCATGAAACCATAAACGGACCGACATCCGTGAGCTCCGATCACGTGTCTCCCTTGGCATGATAACTCTCATGCTATCTCCGCCCGATGTAGCACCTTTGATAAGCAAGATGCCAGCATCCATTGGCGCGAATACAGATAGTGTTGACATCGTGGCACTTTGTCAATCGATGCATGACTTGAGGATCCACGCAAGACATACTGAGATGAGCTTGAACAGATGGCATGGCCGTGCGGAGTTCCTGCAACTGTGAATCGATTCGGTCATTCTATTTGGCTCACGATTCCAAGCCATTCCTATAATTCCATGTCCCCTGTACCCTTCTTGCCAGCTAAAATGAGAACATCAAATCAGCAAGCACTTTTTCGGGTCGTTGTTCTGAGACTTACTCAAATCCGTAGATAACGCATGTTGTAACAACAGGACAAGAGTATCCAAAGTCTCCTCGACGGAATATCTTGGCTTAGTAGACATGAGCGGCTTTCAGTCATTTCTGTTCAGCGGTTCATAGACGACAACATGAGCTGTATAACACACATTTACGAGGAGATTTTCTGCCGCAGGGTCTTTCAAACTGGCAGTAGTGATGACGTCAAAAACGGAGCCATGACTGTGCTTCGCGGCGTACACTGCACGGGCATAAGCTAGAAGGGGGGTTAGGAGCTATGGTGGCATGGATAGGAGTATGGGAAAGTGATTGCGGCGTACATAGAATGATCTCTTTGATCCCTTTCTCCCAAAGAAGCAACTGGTATTTCTGCGTGCTCATGGCTGGAAGACTCGTTAGTGATGACTATGTACGTGAGAAGCGCAGACTAGTCTGAAACAATGCAGGGTAGGAAGCCAGAAGCTCTTGCGCGAAAAGCCTCTGTATCCCATACCCAAAGCGCAATTATCTTCCAGTTTGTCGCTTCTATCTCATGCTTAGCCACAAACAGCAACAGCAAACGCAACCCGAATTTCGTCTTACCCCTCATATCTTCGATGGTAGCGGAAAGACGACCGTAGAAAGGAGCTCTTTTCTCAAAAGTTGATCCTGACTAAAATGTACCCTATCAGCATCTATGTATGCTATAAGAGAGAGAGAGTAACGTACCAATGGCAGGTTGGAGATCTTCATCTCGGCGACGCAGTGCGCAAAGTCACCAAGCAACAACGCGGTATGCTAAAGATAGCCGCTCACATCTCCGCAAACTCGTGCTATAACCATCCACTGTACATGAAAGTTCTTCCATTTTTCTAATTTCCTGATTCACCACAGATCTACTCGGTCACCATTCATCCCGCGATACTCAATCATACACCCCACGTTCACATCATCTTGCCCCTCTTGCGCCTATGCACAACCCATCCCCTCCCAACATCATAAACCGCCCTCGTCCAACTCCGCGTAATAATCTTCCCCTCAAATGTCCCACTTACCCAACTGAACAATGCAATCAACCCCATACTCGCTCCAAAAATCCATCCAAAAGCCACCCAATAACTCCTCATCTCGAACTCCATGTTCTTGAACTGGATACTGAAGTACCCCGTCATCAACGTCACCGGAGTAAACAAGATTGTGATCTTAGCCAAGAGGAGAGTAACCCAGGTGAGGCGCTCAACGGAGAAGGACTCCTTGATGGCGATGAGGTTAAAGTTCATCATCACAAGAGATTCTTTTTGGTCGAGACATTCGTTGATTTCGCTGAGGGCATAGAGCAGGATTCTATCTTTCAAACGCTCAAAGCGAACGCGTGCCGCAGAACTGAGTGCTACGCCAAGCAAACTATCAGCTTCCGGGACGAGAGGGCCAGGCGAATCGTTTATCACAGGGTGGGAGGACACCAGTGAAGCGTTTCCGGGAAGGATGTGCGAATTCTTGAGGGATGCCAAGGTAGCTTCTTGTTTCTTAAGTACGCGTTCGATGATGAGTTCGTAGGAGTGGTATACACGTTTTAGGACGGCGAGTTGGCAGCCGATGTGGTGGAGTTGGTCGACGTGGGTGAGGTTGGCTGTTTGAAGCATCTCTTGGCGGAGGCGGTCGAGTTCGGCGGCGTATCCATGTTCGCGACGTGATATGAGGTCAAATGTTGCACCCCAGTCTTCGAAGAGATAGTAGAAGAGAAGTCCAGGGGCGTCTGTGGGGCGATGCGCTGTTTCTTCGTCGCTGCTGCCGAGGCGTTGGCGGATGGGTAGCTGGGTGAGCGCTGTGTCTCTAAGCGGCGTGGGTGCTTTGGTCAGCTGTCTAAACACATTCACGAGGTTGCGACGGGTCGTAAAGAGGGTCTTGAGGTCTTCTTTGTTCAATGCGCCCGTGGCGAAGGGGAACGGGTCTTCGGAGATCGAGATGACGGTTTTGTCCTCGCATAAGAGGAGCCAGTTCCAAACACGCTTGCCGTGTGGTACATCTCGGCTTCTGTCCGCGATGTGGGGATGCGTGTTTGTTTCTTTACTGCGAACGTTGTGTAACGAGTTGTAGCCTATGCACATATCTGCGATTCTGTCAGCTCAGCTCAGTGGTTAATGGGGAGTACTTGTCCATCAGTAAGTGCCTGCAACTTACACCTTCGTCCCTGATCCACAGTACTCCAATGCCAAACATCGTCTACTAACTGGTAATGGCTCAGGTCCCTCGTCAACTCCAGCTGTGTGGATTGCATCATCTCAGTCATGCCTATGCTCGACTCTGAATCCATAATCTCTTCGTTTGCCTGCTTCGCCTTTTGCTTGATTGAGCTAGACTTGCTTGATGCATGTGACAGCATCGATCTCAACGTGGAAGAACTCTTCTTCATGCGTAATGACGAGGTGTTTCGCGGCGGCATAGGGTCGCTTTTCATCATGCCTAGTAGTCGTGGCGTAAAGTCAAAGTGTGAGGCCAGCATTCGTATCAAATCTTTCTGGTTGTATGGCATCCAGATATTGATCCATCGCGTATGTAGCTCGGTTGGTCGTGGTGAATTAAGCAACGTCTTATATGCTTGTGCATCGAGATCGAAAGCGCAATAAGCATCATCTTCGCCAAAGTCGATGCAGAAGTTGCTGCTCTTATGTTCTCGTGTCTGTCGGTCGAAGAGATCAAAATTTCGTTCTGAATCAAAGTCGCGGAAACAGTATTGGATGTTTTCGTCCCCTGTGTCTTGGTAGTATGCAGGCAGTCTTTCAGCAGGCGACGCGGGCCGAAAAGGATGGTTTTCCATAACGAGAAGATGTGGAGATTGTAAAGTCGTATGCGACGTGGATGATAGTGATAGGAATAAGCGATCTGTTTCGACGAAATGCAATCTCTGGGCAGCTGAGCCGGTGATGTGAGCTCGTGCCGCGACTTTTGTGGATATTTGTCGTGCGTACCTCCTTAAATTGTGAGGTCACGCGGTGCTGTTGAGGCTCATACCGGCAAGTTGTCTTACCTAGAGATGGACTAAAAGGTTCGCGGCTGCCTGCGCAACTCCACATCTCTTGCTGATGAAAGTCGTACCTGAAGTGTAAAGTTCATTTGAAATGTTTTCGGTAAGTTGCACGTTGTACCTGCAAGCTCGCAACATATCACAGACACCTTCACACGACATCATGGGACAGTAGGGCCTTGTGCATCCCAAATGGCGATGTTACAGATGCTGCCCTCTCTTGCCTGGTATTGCTGAAGTGCTCGAGCCGCCGTCCGTCAAGAAAGCAGACATAGGGCTAGTAGATGGTAGTATGGTGCGCATCATGAATAGCAAATGGTTGATCACATATCGCGTCGACCAAAAAACACCTTTGTTGATCTCGTGTGAAGAATGATGTGCACAAAGGTTACGAAGCAAGAAAGGCTTAGAGGAGGATGATGACTTGTGTCGCGTGGCTTAGATCGAGATGGCACCTCACCCGACTGAATTATGGAGACGGAAGATTGCGGTGACTTCCCATTGGCCGAAGTGACAGACTACCCAAACAGGCAGTTCAGAAAAGCCATTGAAGACGGCCAAGTATAGGGTGAAGCAACTCGACGCTTCTAAATGACGTCAAGCTCAACCTTCTTTAGACATTGAAGTGTAGGTACCACAAAGGGACAATGGACCGATACGGTCTTAACATCGCTCCGTCACATCCCCCCATGAATGATAGCCCGGATAGGCAATTAACAATCCCATCGATTGCTGTACCTTGAGGGTGAAAACAACAACTCATCCGCTAATCCACCCGTTGGAGTAGGTGCATTGCAGCATCATCTCAAGGTAGACAGGCCGTTATACTGTGTTCATTTAATGGTGGGGCTCCATCCTCACCGTCTGCAAAAGAAGGGTTTGATGGCGCATTGCCATCTTCACATGCGACATCATCTCCACACCAGAGATCTACTGCCCTTATCAACAGTCAACCGCCTAATTTGATCCAAACAGTTGTTTCGGCCCTTTTCAGTATATGTCCGCGGGTAAACCCAACAGCTGCCGTATACACTCCACGGTGGAGGGGAAGAACGTCGAGCACGTGCTCCTCAACAGCGTTTGAAATGGTTACTCCACCTCGAAGTCCGGTTCATGCGTTCAAGCAGCTGCACGTTTGCGAAGGCCGACAGTGGTCGCGACGCCCACGCTCCCGTTGTGACGTTCTCATTCGAGGCGCAACGGACGGCGCCATTTACTGAGGTATCCTGACCCTCTCGGCCAATCATGGGAGCGCAAGACACCCACGGGATCACTCTCTCTGAGCTGCGACACAAAAGAGCCCACGCGACACCCCAATGCTGATAATGCACGCCATACATTTTCTCAACCGTCCTCCTGTCCCCTCCTTGTCACCTTTCGACTTGGACTACGCGCTTGACAGAGGCTGAAGACGTTCTATGAGCGCCTTTACTCCCATCATGCCTCGCCCTAACCTCCCTCCAACTCCCCAGCCGTCGACTGATATCACCGGCAAGAGCAGCGCCAATGCCCCTCAATTGGAGACGAGCTTCACCTTGCCACCTGCAGCTTTGGGTGGTAGGGGAAGTGTAGCTAGCTCTTCTGGTCCGTCTGAAAATGCCTCAGATTCGTCGTACCGGCCACCATCCCCGTCGTCTCCAGTCGCGACTTCCAAGCCCAGTCATGCGCGCAAACGCTCCCAGCAAAGCATCATCACCAAGGACGACTATTCTCTGCCTCCTCCGCCCACTCGATCACGTAAAATTATCCAGATGAAGCCCAAGGATACTCAAGAGTCGACCAAGACCCCGTCCCAAACACAGACTGCAAATGCAAAGACCACGACCGCTGCCGCTAATGGAACCAAAAGGAAGCAGGCAGGCAACACCACTGCTGCGGGACGCAAGATTGCAAGGAAGACGGCGCATAGCCTTATCGAGCGAAGGCGGAGGTCCAAGATGAACGAGGAGTTTGGGGTTCTCAAAGACATGATTCCGGCATGCAGAGGGCAAGAGATGCATAAGCTCGCCATATTGCAGGTGCGTCTACGTACTATGCGATATTACTCCATATGCTAACACGCCCAAGGCATCTATCGAGTACATGCGCTACCTCGAACAATGCGTCTCCAACCTCAAAACCGCCAACTCACGACGCGACTCTCCCTCGTCTGCCACATCCGAGCTCCCGCCGCCCCCAGCCCAGCGCCTGCGCTGCGACGACGACGATGAAGTCTCAGACCAAGACGAAGAAATGGAAGACGCCGTATCACCCACCTACGTCGAGCCCCCACCCACCAAGTCACGATACACATTCGCCCAAGCCTCACCCGCCATTCACCCCTCCGACAGAAGCGCATTCACTCACTCCACCACCACATCTCCAGCCATCCTGCCCCACGATCGCACCAACGGGAACGGGCAGTACTCGGCGAACCCCTCCCCCGCGTTACGTCCGTCAGACCCACACCACTACTCGCTTGGACCATGTTCCACAGTAACGAGTCCTTCGATCCACCCGAGTCCTGCTTTCAGCGCCCACACCCCATCTGCAACACACTTCAGCAACCCGTTCCATAACCACAATGGGCCTCCTAGTACGGGTCCGATTGCCGCGCCGGGGTCGGCGCATGGGTCGCTGCATTTTTCCCTCACGAGCCCCGCGTTGAAACCGCAGGCTGATCGCGAGGATCAGGAGGCTACAGAGGCGCTGATGATGTTGAATACGGATCGGAGGAGTTGGAGTGGGGCGAGGGGGATGAGTGTTAAGGATCTTCTTAGTGGGTAGGGATGTCTCTGTGTGTGTGTGTGTGATGTATGAGATGACGAGCGCTTTGGCGTTCAAGTGGGTTAGCAAAAAAAGGGTATTGGGTGGATGTCTGTTTATTGATTTATTGTATTGGTGCTGGTGGCTTTTTTTTCTCTTCCCTATGCTCAAGTCTTCGCGGCTGTGCTTTCATATCGTAAGCAGATATCCGATGCGACCATGATTTTAGCCTAGAGAAGGGAAAGTAATGGGTTGGATGACATTCTTTTGTATGACAAAAGTTTAAGCTGCACATGATCTGAAATACATATGAGCGACTGGATTGACATGGTTGTCGTTTCATAACGAGACCGTCATGTCGACCATTACCGTCTGTACAGTCTACGTAGGCTTCACATGGTGAGTGCGAGATATCATCATCAACAACAACACGAGTAATGAAACACAAGATAGAGAAACGAGTGTGCTATTTCTTTCTAGTCAAACCCCCTTCTCTTCCTCCCCCTGTCAACTCCTCTCTTCCACCCCTCGCGTCGTCCCCATTCGTTCGCATCGTTCCAGATCCACCAATGATCTAGCAGTGGTCACTGACCTGGCTGCCAAAAGGCTCGTTGACACAGTTACCCTCGCACAGCCTGATGAACTGAATAGCCCCGTTGTTAACGCAGTTGAACAGGGCTTTGGCCTGAGCGTTGGCGTCGGTGGGCTGGCCGGCGGCGTCGAGGGTCTGGTAGATGGTTGAGGCATAGTCTCCTAGTGGTGTGTTAGTTGGAATGTTGCATAGTAATGAGTGGGATGATGGAGAAGGTGAGGAGGGGAGAAGGGGGAAGGGTAATGAGACGAGGAGACGAACCTTGCGTGAGGAGGTTGCCGCTGCAGTACGCGTACCCAGCGAAACAGTTGTCTGCGACGACAGTGCTGGCCATGGTGGCAGCAGCGAGGACGGCGATCTTGGAGAAGTACATGATGATTGATATAATTGGAATGTTCCTTTGAACGTTGTGATGTGTAGGCTTGTAGAGATGATTGAAGAAGCTGTTGAGTGATGGTTCTCCATTCAAACCGACCAACCTACCTCTTTATATATCCTTCCCCCTTCTTTTCAGGCTTCCTATCTCTCTTGTCTACTCTGCACGATGATGCTATTCGTAACCCACTTGTCTTGCATCTCCGTCACCGGCGTCAAGGGATGTAGTTGGGCCAAGTATCTTGGTTTCGGTCCGAGATTGCTATGGCAGGGCGAAATATGATGGGGGCGCGAGACCGCAGCGGAAATCCTTGCGATGTTGGGATCAAGATCGTCATAGAGACATCTCAAGGCTCGTATACGCCTCGAGGGTCGTGGTATTCCCGGTTGTTCCTCTGGGTCTCAGGTGGGACGGGGCGTAGGGTGGAGTTGGTGGAGTTGGGTGTATGAAGGCATCGGCAATGGAGAAGACCTTGTTTGGTATCCACTTCTTCGTGGACTGAGGTCGTACAGGGGAGTTGATCAGGCAAGCCGTTGCGAAGGGCCGATGAGATGTCTTCCCTATAGTTGGTACTTGCTTGGTATTTTAGTAGCAGCCCCCAAATTTATTGTTTCCCGGTCATTGCTTGCTTCATTGTAAGGAAGTTGTAGTGTTCGTAGCAGCTGCATGTTATGAAGGAACCTTCCTCCCCTGGTTTTGCTTTATCCGGTTCACATATCTTGATCTTGATACCAGAGGTATATTGCATACGATGTATAGTTAGATGGTTTGATGGAGTCTGTCTTCGACTGTGCCGTACCATGGCTGTCCAGTCATCTTAGCCATCTTAATTTGTCTGATATTCTTCAAACCTGAGCTTTACGCCCTGGGTAGCCCGATCGCAAGCATGCCACATATCCGGTTTTCCCGATTGGAAACGTTTTAGTCGTCTTCGCAACGAGGTAACACCAACAGGGTTCGTCATCGTGGTTTCCCCGCTCAAAGTCTCCTGAAAGTAACACGAAAGCCGCTTGGTTGACAATGGTAGGTCGTGAGGCATCACTTGTCGTCACATTCAGCCGCCAGGGCACCGTAAGCATAAACGAAGCATCAACGAAGCCGCTGTCGATCTCCCAGGCAGCCCCGATGTGTTGACATAAAATGAATTCCAAGTCGGGGAATATCAAACGTTCATCTCCTTGTGTGTTTCATAAAGCTAACTTAGTTCGTCAGCTTGCCTGCAAAGTTGTTCCGCTCTTACAGCCTGGTCTTAGTGGATTGAAACTATATTTCTAGTTCCCCACAAACACTGCCTTGCGCTAGTACGGGGCGTATCGTGACGTCGTACTTTGGTGTCCATAATAAGACATAATTGCGACAAAGGCGGATCCATAGGTGGAGTGTTAACGTATAGGTGCGAGATGTTGATATAGTACTATCCTCTTTTGTACATCCATTCGTGTATTCAGGATGCGCTTCCCAAATCGATCCACAAGCGGGACCTGCAAGGACCGTGCCGTGCCGTAGGATCCGCCTTGACACTCCGATGCAGAGGAGGAGAAGACTGTCATGACAGCGCCGATTGAACTTCCTTGCGTGGTACGGAAAGCGGTGAGGATGACGATGCGCGATTGATGTGTTGTTGATGCCACGGGTCAGACTCGGCGAGTACGGTGGCTCCAGCGTCGCTGGTCTGTCGCAAGAGTGCAAGGCGCATGCGAGAGCTGCACACTCTTTTGTGACAACAATGAAAATCGATACCCATCAGTACAGATAAATATCCTTCATAATCAAATGATAAGAATTCGTGCGCGGCGCTTCTTTACCTGGGTCCGGCCACCCGCGTCGTTCCGAGAGGAGACCCGAGTCAGTTACTGGGAATATATACCTTTGCGACCTCCCGTCCTGCGCATAGACGTTCTCTCGAACACCATAGGGGCCGACGATACTTATATCTGTGTGTTACGCGCTCGACATCTAGGCGCAATGTTGATGGCTTACGGCTGGCGTCAGCATCATGACCATGCCTGGCCACCCAAGACCATTCAACCACAGTTCAGGTACAGCGGCCGCAATAGCACCGTTCCCGGATAATTTAAAGATAACGACATGTCATCCTCAAGCAAAAGATCACTCCTTCTCTTTCTCTCTTCACCTTTTGAGATTTGTGAATTGCGACGATCGTCGCGCACTGCAGCGCATCACAGTGGAGGCTGTGGGTACTTCATACGAGGAAGTGCTAGCGATCATCGACGCACCTCAGAAAAACACTACAGTCGATGGCGATGAGATCGCAAGGTAGAGTATTGGTATGGTAGGTGTTTCTTCCAAGCTTTCTTCCAGATTCTTTCTTCCCTAGCCATGCAGTTCACACTTTCGCGACTACATTGCGGATCGACAGAGACAATTGAGAAAGGAGCAACAAGAGACGGACATATGGACATAAGGCACACTGTCGAGCGTGACATTTGTTTCCAATTCGGACCTGCGACCGGACTTTATGCATGAGGATGCACGTTACGCCCTTCAAGAGTCATAACGCCTGTAAAGGATTTTAAGGAGGCTGCGTGATGCTTCGCACCCGTCAAGCTTCGGTAGGGCTGGGCAGGGGTTTGGTCCTCCGACCCTACGAACTGCCGGTACTTATTCAACACCGACGCACCGCAACCATCACCTGCGCACCTCAAGATCAAAGTCAGCGTTCTACAACATGTGCTGTCTTGGTTAGAAATAACCGGATTGATTAGTACCATGGGTGGAGGACCTCTTGGGGAACGCAGCCAACGGGCGGCAGATTCCCCCGCGTCGCTCTCTCGCGTTTTAGCTAACGCCGTTGACCGAGATCATGCCCTCCCACTTCTGGCCTAGTGGCAGCCGAAAACCTCGGGGTTAAGGGCCAGACTCCATGTTCAGGGTGCGGGCACCGATGGAGAATCATTTCGTAATTCAGCTGCCTGGGGCCTTTTTCGCTATATACCTGGCCTGAGTCCTGGATTGATGTTTTGGACACCGCAATTGCAAGCGTCCGAAACTAGCCCTTGAGGGGACCGCGACCAGCATAGCCGCAAACACCACTTTTACGAAACATATATCGAACCTCATAACTGGTTACGAAAATCTCGTTCGAATATCGTAGCGACCACTACAAACACCGCACAACATGTCTTCATCCACACGAGAAGAGTATCGCCAGCATTCGCGGAGTAGTTCAGATACACATATCCCAGATCTAGAGAAGGGCGACGCGAGACCTGACAAAGAAGGAGAAGAGGTCGTCGAAGAGAAAGTAAGTTTTTCAATTCTATGCTGCGGGACCGTCAACCCGAACACTCTTTTTACGGAGCTTGAAGACCTTGACGTCAGTGTGTGATCTGACGCGCCAGGCGCAGAAGATCAAAGGCATTCAGGCTAAGTTATCCGAGCATCGGGTGGTCGGATGCTGCACCATCGCCAATCATCATTTCGAGAACGATTTGAATAGCAGCTAACACCTCTTAGCGACCGCAAGAAACGAATGATGAAATCGGCGAAGACCTCGAAAAGCACCTGACAAGGAAGAGCACGAAGAAAGACCAGCTCGCACCTGAAAAGTACCCGCTGTCCGACCTCGATAACAACCTCGTCGGCTGGGATTCGCAAGACGATCCAGCGAACCCTCGCAACTTCACAACGAAGAGAAAGATCACACTCCTCGGCTTGGTCGCTGCCATCACCTTTGTCAGTCCACTCGCCTCCTCCATCTTCGCACCCGGCATACCATTCGTCAATGCGGATTTCGGAAACACATCGCAGCTTCTTGGTTCTTTCTCCGTCAGTGTCTACGTCCTCGGTTTCGCTTTCGGCCCGCTGTTCTTGAGTCCGCTCTCAGAGATTTACGGAAGATGCGTCGTGCTCAACTGCTCCAATGTCTTCTTCTGCGCCTTCACCATCGGCTGCGCACTTGCGCCTAACCTAGGTGGACTCATCGGCATGCGATTTCTCGCTGGTGTCGGAGGCAGCGCGTGTCTGACAATCGGTACTGGTGTCATTGCCGACATGTTTGTCCCTGCGCAGCGTGGAAAGGCTGTATCCATCTACAGTATGGGCATTCTTTTCGGCCCTATCCTCGGTCCCATCTGCGGTGGTTTCATTGCGCAACGTGCTGGCTGGCGCTGGGATATGTGGGTTGTCCTCATCGTTGGCGGCCTCTTGACCGGAGCCCTGTTCGTCTTCAACCGCGAAACGTACCACGCTGTGCTGCTTAACCGCAAGACGGAGCGTTTGAGGAAGGAGTTGAACCGTCCTGAGCTTCAGAACATCATGACGTACCAGAAAGACGTTGCTATTCTTAGTCCTCTCGCTATCCTTGGAAACGGTATCACACGCCCGCTCAAGATGCTCACCAGATCACCCATTGTGTTGCTCTGCTCACTCTACATGTCTTTCCTCTTCGGACTGCTGTTCCTCCTCTTCACTACCATCACATCCGTCTTCGTCCAGACGTATGGCTGGTCTCCCGAAATCACCGGTCTTGCATACTTGGGTGTCGGAATTGGCAACTTCATGGGCATCGCTTTCGTAGCCAAGACGAGCGATGCGACCATCATCCGACTTGCGAAGAAGAACAAGGGCGTCTACGAGCCAGAGATGCGACTTCCGCTCTGTGTCTTCTTCGGAACTCTGATTCCAATCTCTTTCTTCATGTAAGTTGTCTTCCCTCCTCACGCGCATAACTCCCACTAACATAACTAGATATGGCTGGACAACTCACTACCATGTGCACTGGATCGTACCCATCATCTCCCTCGTCCCCTTTGGTTTCGGTCTGATGGGTATCTTCGCGCCGCTGCAGACATACATGATCGATTGCTTCCCTCAGTTCGCTGCGTCTGCCATCGCTGGTATGACAGCCCTGCGTTGTCTTTTCGGCGCACTGCTTCCGCTTGCTGGACCGACCATGTACGAATCGTTGGGTTTGGGATGGGGAAACAGTCTGCTGGGTTTCTTGGCTGTGGCTTTCATTCCCGTGCCAGCGCTGTTGTTCAGGTACGGAAAAGTGATTAGGGAGAAGTATCCTATCAAGTTGTAGGTGCGAGAAGAGAAAGGAAGGGAGTCGTTCGCATTTAGATTTCATGATACCCGGTTGTTTTACTATAGCTGTATACTAGCATTGCAATACGCATCCAAAGTAATAAAGAATAGAGACATTCTAAGGATCCATATGCGCTGTCCGTATTCTTGCTGTACCAAGACGCTAACGCATACTGGTCACCTGGCACCTAGCGAGGCTGACGTCCTGCCCCTCATACCTCAACAGACTCCTACTCGTCAGTCTGCATTCACACCCAAGAACCGAGTCGTGTCGCTCAGCCTTTGCGTCTCGTTCTGACGCCTGTGTTTCCAAACTCATGCATTTGCATACCCCAAGCTGCGCAATTGTTAACACCAATGCCGGACTGATGTGGCTTGCACTGCCACTCCTTGACATGCAGTCTAGTGAAACGGCAGGCTGGAACTCAAGACACCGATAGCCTTATATTCCAGCATTGCCCCGCTCAGCCTGATCATGTTGGTGCGCCAGCGATCTTGTAGATCCTTCGCTGCCTGTTAACCGTCACATCTTCCCCCTTTCCATCGAGCATCATCGCTACTCGCTTTACTGGTTGCGCTGATGGGCAGAATATCACAATACGTGGATAAGCGATGGAAGAAAGTCCGCCAAGTCCGGACCCTCCGAACGACTTCATACGACCACCAGAAACTTCGGCAAGGCCAGATACGCCTCCTCACTACGAAATGGATAAATGGGTCCATTGAGATAGAGATCAACCGGTACACACTTACCGAAAACCTCGATTACGATGCGATTTCGTATGTCTGGGGAAGTGCGCCAGCCTCGGTCACAGTGAAATGCAACGGCAGACCTCTCGTCGTCACATCCACCGCACTTGAGATGTTACATTACCTACACCAATACCAAACGAATACGACAACTCGGAAGATCTGGATCGACGCTATATGCATCAATCAGGAAGATGAGGAAGAGAAGGATACTCAGATACCACTAATGCGCGAAATATATTCCAGAGCGAGGGCTGTTGTTGTATGGATGGGCCTTTCAACTCCGGAAACTGACGTCTTCTTCGCCGAATTCCAAGATGTGAGGGTTAAATTACAGACGTGGAAAGCAAAGCATGATATAGATCCTGACTGCGTTCACCCAGACGAGGAAGAGCGTCCTCGTCGCGGAGTCGCATTTTGGGGAGGAATGAGTCAGCTCCTTGAAAACGAGTGGTTCAGGCGTCTATGGACATTCCAGGAGATCATTCTTCCGAGTACCGCAACGTTACTTAGTGGTGATCTTTGGGTGGACTTCGATGAGTTTGAAGACTTTCTCATGGACGGATGGTACAACAGCACCTATTTCTTAAGAGCATCAACGACCGCATTCGGTGTAAACGATATACTAGCGTTGCGTACCTGCGCATCCATAAAATTCTATCGAGACTGGAATGATGGAAACAGAGGCGCCAAGGAGATACATGCCCATAACGTTGGAATGGAATTTCACAGTCTACGTGAGCGACATGTGAAAGAGCCTATCGATCGTGTTTGGGCGATAGTAGGACTTTTGAAAAGAGATCTTAGAGATAGGCTAAGCTCACAAGTTGACTACAGTGCTAAAGGTCGGGATGAATATTGGAAGACGTGGATCATGTTTGCCAAACTTCTGATGAACGAGTATTGTGGGATGAGTCTACTTGACATGCCGCCTACTCGGGAACCTAAACCTCCCCACTTGCCATCCTGGTGCCCAAATCTATCTGGAAGATCAGCTTGCAGGATGAAAATTTGTGGCACGTGGAATATTCAGATCCGCGAACAGAATCCATACATCCGTTGGGCTTTTTTGGAAGAGAATAGTGAAGAAAAGTCACTAGCAAGACGGGAAGCGATCTCTGACCATGAAAGAAAGCTCGTAAGTACTGTGGTGTATGACAACGTGCTTCGTGTCCGTGGTTTTGTGGTGGATATAATTGAAGAGATTGTGGAACATAAAAACCCTCTTGACAAGGCGTTCGAACGCTACGATCCGGATTCGGAGGAGCACATGGCTCTATACGATGTTGCTGTCGATTGCCATCTGAGAAGTCTCGACCTAGCTCGCTATGTCTTCCACGGGAAGAGCGAAGGCATTGCCGATATCCCAGAGGATTTCATTATGTCATTCTTCTTGGACTGGCGAATAAACGAAAGAGCCAAGGAAACATACCGCGAGGTTCTGCATGAGTTAGCGACTTGGTACTCCCATCCATCTGGTTGGTATATTACTGGTTGTAGTTGGGAACATGCGCAGTGCTATGCTCAGTTTGAGTTGATTCGCGGACATACCTTTTTCAGCACAAAAGGCGGACGGGTTGGATACGCCTACCCGGGATGTCGACCAGGAGACCAAATCGCTGTGTTCCATGGTGAAGAACCACTGTATGTCCTTCGAAATGTAGATACCAAGAGCGATGAAGATGATGCGACTGGAGGGGCATCCGACCACGTTCAGCACCTGGGCGCGGCATTCATTCCTCACCTCATGGAGCAACAACAAAGAGATGCTGCACACATCGGACCGGACACCACGTTCTTCATTCATTGAGATCTTTCAAATTCTCAACGTCAAGTACAAGCTACAACCAACCAACCAACCAACCAACTGCAAAGACACCGAGCATCAAATGGAAGACGCCAGACGGAGGCGTTGCAACACTGATATCGAACGACAGCATCAGTATTCGAAAGATGCCAGGAGAAGAGCAACGAGATCTAGAGCTCTTTTGATCTATTTCCAAAGAACGAAAAGAGAGGAATATAAGATCACAAGTATTAATCACACCATACCATTTCTCGCGAGCAGGCTGGTGAACGCCAGCTGAATCGCGATCTGGAAAGCCGATTGGCTGGCGATAGCAATCCATCTCGAGCATCTCCGCCTCCGGTTTTCTCCTCGCCCACTCTCACGCTCTCGTAGTAGCTTGTTGTCAATCTCTCGTAGTGTTGATCGCATCTCTTCTTCCCGTTCATTGGCCGTCTCCAGCCGAAGAGTGAGCTGTCTGGTGAGCCCTCGCAGGAGCTCTCCATCGCCTTCAAGCTTATTCTTTATATCGCGGATGTCTTCGGCTATGTTGATAGTATATCTCTCGATGGCAGTGGTGATAGTCCTACGGGAGGTCAGCTCATGTGACAAGTGGCTGCTAGTGCACAAGACTTCCAGAGGCGATGCGTTGAAATCGCAACCTTGAAAGATATGAAAACATCGCGCAAGGGACTTACCTTTGATCTGCTAACAAAACAGTCTCAAACAAACCCCGTCCTTTCTTTAGCACATTGATAGCATCGTCCAGCTTCTTGTCGCAATGTTTGCCGATAAGCTTCCGTTTGAAGAACGTATCATCTTTCAGCTGCTTTTCCACGAGACATAGCGCAAGCTTACAGTCTGACAATGGCCCTGCCAGGCAGTCCAGCAAGTTAAGTCGGATGGTATCGTGCTCGTTGATCGTGACATGAGTCTTGAGGCTCTGAATAGCACCGTAAAAGCAGTAAAGCTCTTGGATGAGACTGAGAAGTGTGGTGGAAGTGTGACGCGAGGGACCGAGGTGTTGATTACCCGTCTCCAGACATATACCGGTGATGTGCACGATGGCGAGGACAGTACCGGTGATGCTCATCGGATCCATCGTGGTATGTCGTATTGTGCTTGATAGCTGCAATGACTGATGGAAAGAGTAGGTGACTAGTGGTGTTTCAGATGGTTTATGCGAGGTGATATGAACGGGTTGTGAGATGGAAATATAAGTTGATCGAGCTTTGCAAGGCATGATGGAATCTACACGAAGCCTAAGCTCAGTCGTGTGCTTTTCAGCCCATGTCGTGGCTTGTCCGGCTTTCTCTACGCCTCCGGAGTTGACTCATGCGAGATGTTTCCCGTTCCTGGGCCTGTGAAGCAATGTGATTGTAGGTGTTCAGTGTATCACCCAATGAGCTACCATCCAGCGTCTTTTCTTTTAGCCTCTGTTTCAAACATTCATGCACGGTAACTTTTTATCATGCTTGGCTAGTCCGCCGTTACTACACCGGTCCTCAATTCCAGACGCTTCATGCAAGGAAACTTTTCATTCGGGCTATCCGACACTCATCTGGCAGCTAGACTAATCTTACGGTGTGAATACGTTGGCAAACAAATCACGTGCAAGCTTCGTGTTCATAAGGCTATGTAGGCGCTAATGCAAGGCAACTTTTCGAAGTAGTTGATAGGTCGGCGATGCAACATTCAGCCCCCAGCTCATGCAAGGAAATTTGTTGACAGCCAATCAATTGATACATTGGAGCCAAGATGGACTCAGGTCGTAGTGTCTTAACCATCGAGAATTCCGCACGTCAGCTTCATTGCTATTTCCTACCCTCCGTCAATTCAAGGTTAAGAACTGGGCTGCAAACCACCGCCGTCACACATGAACCACCGCATCACTGTATCGTACAGATTTCCAAATATCTCCTGTCAGTGTCAGCCTTGGCACCTCCGGCTCAGCCTTGCTACAGTCGCCTGACATGTTGCACTCACTGCCTGAACCAACCCAGAATTCACATAGCATCTTGACACAGCTACTGCCTATTCCTCAGTCATCGAATCATCCGGGGAGTAAGGCCAGGCAACTTTCCGACGCCGAGTGGGAGACCTTGAAGCCATTGCTACACACACTCTACATCAAGGAGAGCAGAACCTTGGCTGCCACCAGGAAGGCTCTTCTCGAACGTCATGACCTTAATCTCAGGTACTTCTCATGGTCTGTACCTACCAAATAGCTTAGCTGATCATCTTATAGCCAGAAGCAGCTCACTAAGCGGTTCCATGATTGGAGCTTCAAGAAGAACGTTAAACAGCACGAGACAGAGGCATATTTGCTAGAGGCAGAAGCTTTGCGGGGAGAAGAAGCTTCTGTAAATGGAGTCCGGATCACCGCGGCCAAATACGAACGCTGGGAAAAGAGAGCAAGAACTGATGAGGAGCAGAAAAGCACACGTACCAAGGACCTTGTCGGGGCTTCCGATACACCCTGTAGTATCGCCGGTTCAGACCGTCTACTGTGCACTCTCTCAACAGAGCTTTCGAGCACTCCGAGACGTGAGCAAAGCTCGGATTTGTTGATCATGTCGCCCTCGACGCGACCGGAAGACCAAGCTAACTCTTTCCCACGTCACGATAGCCCAGAAGCCCATCGTTTTTCATCATTGGCAGTCTCTTCGACCAAAGCCACAAATCCTGGTTTCTCTGGAAGCACGCTCCCGGTGGGCTCATTCGAGCCAGTAGAATTCCCACCGGGTGCTTGTGGGAGCTGCTCTACCGTCCAAGAACCAGAGCACGACTTTATATGGCCTAATCCCAAACAAACTCCGGATAGCGACACCAAGATACTGACTCGTCTCTTCTCGGCCTTGAATATGGATCCTGGAAGTATCTCATATAACCCACCTGTTCAAGTTGAAGCAGAAGTACTCATGCCTACAACCGATACCGTCTGCCTGCAAGACCTAGAGGCTCATGTTGATGATGACCAAGTTGTGCCTTGGATCGGCGAGCAGACTATTCTCTATGAAACGATCTCTTCAGGAAGCGTTGAGGTCACCGGTCAACATGATGAGGAGACGCCTCAACAGGGCGCTATCATATCGGTATCTTACCAATGCAGCTCAAGAAAGCGCACTACAACTGGCGCACTCAAATACCCTTCTGTCGATGTGATCTTCTCATCATCCAGAGTGGTTGAGCTAGATCCGTTCTCACTGGAGGTCTACCCATTCCCGCAGGATCAAGGAAGGCCGCTCGAGGTACAACCAATCGTGACGCTATACGACTCCCACCGCATGGATATGAACGACTGCATTGCCAAGATCAATAAGCTGGAGAGCGTTGCTTTGGGGTCGAATGCCGCCGCGACGGAACTGAGATGGGACCTGGCAGGAGTATATCACGATCTTGGCTACCACGACGAATCTATATACCAGTACAAACAGATTCTGCCGGCATTAGAGCAAATATATGGTCAAAACTCCTGGTATTATATACTCGCTAAGATACATCTTGCTGGACCAGTTCTTCGTCTTGGAAGGTCTCAAGAGGGCAATCAAATAGCTCAAGAGGCCTATGTTCTGGCACGAAGATTCTATCCAGACAGCTCCTTGTATCAGGAGGCTACTAGCGTCTTAGCAGGTTCTCTTGGATTCCTGGATGATAGAACGGGTGAGGAGGAACTTCTCAAGGAGGTTGTCCAGATCAGATTGACCGTCTACGGCCCTAAACATGGTGGTACCATAACGGCCATACGACAATTCTGTGAAGTGATAAAAACCACAAGAGGATACTCGGAAAGTGAAGAATTGTTGAGAGTCGCGCTAGAACTCAGCTCTAATGCTACAAATATTTCTGATCGGGAACAATGTACGATCCGCTCCAATCTTGGTTGGTTGCTCTACCGCCAACACAAGTATACCGACAGCGTGGCCTTGATCAGAGAAGCAGCGAAGATGTCAGAAATAGTACTGGGCATCGAACACCGGTACACGTTAGGATGCAAGAACGTACTCTGTAAAGTTTTGAAAACCCGAAGGCTGCTTTTGGAAAGTCACGATATCCTTCTGGAAGTCATCGAGGTTCAAATCAAGAAAATGAAAGAGATCAGAGGCGGCACAATCAAAGCTATGGCCAATCTGAGCGTTGTTCTGATAGAGATGAGAAATATAGACGACGCATACAAGTGGATGAAGCAAGCGTTATGCTACTGCGTAGAAATTGGTGGAATCGAGAGCGACCGTGCAGAGCAGTTCTTCGAAGATTTGAGCAGCATCGATGACCCGGAAGAGCAACACGAGCTCATTCTGGACCTGTACGACAGAATGAGGATAGATATCGATTGGCTACACGCTGTCCGTTACGACTTGGTATTGTTCGCCTTATCGCCACAACCATGTTTTCTCTTACTGGACTCCTAGCGCAGATTCAGCTTCTTTTCAGCGTCAGCAACCGACACCAAATATCTGAACGATGAGCTCATATCGTGAGGGCTGGACTTGGTTTCGAGCTCATCCTTTACAGCTTGACGCACATTATGGGTTATACGAAGAGCCTGATGCGCAGCAGAGGCCGTAGACAAAAGGAGTTGGGTCACGGAAGCGCTACCCAGTGTAGATAGCGAAGCCTTGAGTCGGGTGGTGGAAGGGAAATGGAACAACCCGGTGATTTATGTTGAAGAGCTCCAGGACGAGAGGAGTTGCGATGAGGATGATCGCCCTAGCTATCATCGTAGCCATAGGATAGACTGTTTGGAATGTTTTTTTTTTCGAAGTGTGAGACCAGTCATCTGTAATGAATCGATTCGAATACGACTTTCCAATCCGGCTTGCAGCATGTCTCTGCTAGCCGACCTCATGTTTGCGACCCGAATTCCAAAACTACACCCTCTTGCTTCTCCGTTCGCCATGAAATACCCACAGCGATACCCACACAACCTCACTTTACCTTTAAACCCCCTACAACTTCCTACTCCTAACCAACCCAGACTTGATACCCGTAAGTTCACCACCATAGTTCGCACTGCCCTTAGCCGCAGCACCCTTATCAAACACCTGTTTCATACTCTTAAGCTTCTTCTGCTTCTCCTTGTACTTCTCCTTTTTCTTGACGCGCGGGTTCCTCACGCTCTTCTTACGATGAGGCGTTAATCTAGAACAAAATGTTAGTCAATGCTACACACATAGTAAACAGCATAACATACCCCTTGTTCTTCTGAATCTGGTAAGAAATCATACGACGGCCATCATCGCCAATGACTTCTTCCTCCACAACCTGCGCACCTTCCTTCTTAGCCAGGGCATAAGCTTCGGCGCGTTCAAGCTTAGTCTGCTTCTTATCGTTGGACCGCGCAGCTACGATGTCGTAGTACCCATCTTCGTCTTCAAAGTCATCGCGCCTAGTACCGGGCGCTTCATCAGCAGAAGAAGCGCCATCGTCTTCACCCAAAGCAACACCAGGGCCAGCATCTTTGTGCTGACCCCGCTTCTCAGCTTCGGCTTGCAGACGCGCTTGTCTGTCCTTGAGACGCTCGCGGTGAGGGATATCAGCGTCACCGCCCTGGTCTTTACCAGCGTTGTCGCGCTTGTTGGCCTTTTGAGCGATTTGGGAGGTGTAGAAGCGGAGGGATTTCTTCTTCTTTGCCTTTTCGGCGGCTTCGTGGGCGGTGAGTTCGGTTTCCTCGCCAAAGTCGGAGTCGTCTGCGTTGAGGAGGTTGAGCTTGGATTCGACCGCTGGTGTCTTCTTCTTGCGGGCTGCCTTCTTGAGAGCGGCTTTGTCGGTGAGGGTATCGAGGGAGGCAAGGTCTTCTTCGGTCTTTGCGAGTTTTGCGGCGCGGCGGGCTGAAGCTTCTGCGCGGGCCAGCTCTGCGGCTCGTTCTGCGCGCGTCTTCTTTTGCTTGGTGGGCTTCTTGACAGACAGGTCATTTTCGAGTCCTTCGACGCTGATTTCATCCACAAAGGAGTCTTCTTCGTCGTCTTCGGCCTCGACCATGGGGTCTCCGAGGGGTAGGTCCTCTATCCTCATCCACACCTTTTGGCACTTCAGAAGAGTCTCCATGACGGGGTGCTCGTGTAGCTCAGCAGGGTCCATGGCAATGACTGGCGATCCATCGTCTGTTGCAGTCGAACCGAGTACAGCAAAATACATGGCCATGGCTGCGAGATATGCTGCGCAAGCCCTGTACTTTGTGACGGCCTTTGGTGTAGGTAGAGTTCTGCCAGTCTTCCCTGACTTCGCAGCTTGCGCTTTCAGCACCCTTTCGGCGGCGTTGGCAGCAGCGGCCAATTCTTCATGTAGCGGCTGTAGCCTCAAGTATTCTTTCGAAATGTGCTCGAACTCGGGGTATCGTGTCCGCATAATCTTCATCCTCTCCTCCTCAGACATGCTTTCGGTGATCTGGAGTTGCGGCAGAACCTCTGTCACTACAGCACTTCCTTCGGCAGCCTTCTCGCCATCTTCCGCCATCCATTCGTCCTCGTCGAAGCCAAAGTCTGCCTCTGTCATGCTCTGTAACTGCTTCTTTTGTATGCGCCGTGCTTCCGCTTCCTCGTCTAGCGCGTCTTGCTCCGTTTCTATCGCATCGGCGTCGTAGTAGTCCTTCTTCGAGGCGCCCCATCCACCCACGTCTTCTTCTTCATCTTCGTCTGCTGGTTTGCGCTGTCCCGTGATATCGTCTTCTGATTCATCACCGGTGTCGTCATCTTCTTCATCTTCTTCATCTTCGTCGTCGTCGCTGCCGGCGTCGAGTACTTCTTCGTCAGAGGGCTGTAGGAATTTGTCTAGTTTCAAGTCAGTCTTCGCATCCAATACATACGGCACGACTTGTCAAACCCTCTTCCTGGTACTTCCTCATCCGCTTGGCCGCCGGCCCTTCGTCCAACAGTATCTTATCGCGATTCATGTGGAACTCGTCCTCGGAATCCGCGACATCCTCAAACGTGTTGATCCTCATTCGGGAATCCTCTTCTTTTGGCGCTTTAGGCGCGCGCGATGCGCCACCACCAGCCTTCCTCTTCTTTGCCATGATTGCGATATATGCTGTGTTGTGTTGTGGCGTATGCGTTTGGTCGCAAACGTCGCGGGTAACTTTTTTTCGGCAGGAAATCTTGGCTTCGCCGCGGGAGTCGGAAGGTCCCCACCAGTGGAGCTAAGCCCTGCACCCTTAGCTCCACATGTTAATTCACCTGTCACCGTACTGCATGTTGGTAGACTAGCACCCATTGAGCGCTGCGATACATGCTGGCAGCGTAAGCATTGTCAGATTTCAGGCGCGCCAATTACCACCTGTCGGTAAACGACAAGTCTCAATCCCCATGTCGCAACTGCTATTAGGGGCCACCATCATACTCCTGGTGCTTGTCGGAATAATAAGCGCAGACATCATGGGTTTCGCATTCTGGAAAGGCAATCAATTCCCTGTAGAGGGGAGAGTAAGCAATGCATCACCTTGTCTAGCTCGCTTACATACTGACAGTGAATATAGACGGTTCTGCTCACCGGTTCATCCCAGGGGATGGGTAGCAAGATCGCTCGTCTCCTCTCCGCCCGCGGCGCAAACCTCATCCTCGTCGCACGCACAGCGAAGAACCTCGAGACAGCCCTCACACACGCAAAAGCCCATGCAAAGAACCCCACCACCCAACGCTTCACTTACATCGCCGCCGACGTAACCTCCGAGGCTGAGAACGCCCGGATACTCAAGGAAGCAACGGCCTGGAACAATGGACGTATGCCGGAGATCGTGTGGTGTATCGCGGGGTCCTCAGTACCAGGCCTGTTTATCGAGACGAGCACTGAGACGCTGAGGAGACAGATGGAACTCAACTATTTCGCTTCGGCGTACATGGCACACAAGACACTCCAGGCGTGGTTCTACCCCGAAGTGCCGTACAAGCCGCAAGAAAAGGCCTCTGCACCGGAACCGCCTCGCAAATTCATCATGACCTCGTCCGCACTCGCCTTCATGAACATAGCAGGCTACTCCGCCTACTCTCCCGCCAAAGCCGCTATCCGCTCCCTTGCCGACGGTCTCCGTTCAGAGGTACAACTCTACAACGCAGCGCGCCGCTCTAAGGCAGGCACCACTAGCGTCACACCCGCGCCTTTCGATGTCGACATTCATGTCGTCTTTCCGGGCAGTATACTATCTCCTGGCTTCGAAAACGAGAACAAGACCAAGCATCCCGTGAGCTTCGAGTTAGAGTCTTCAGATCCCAAGCAGACTGAGCTGGAAGCTGCGACTGCAGCCATCAAAGGACTCGAAGGAGGCGATTTCATGACGCCTACGAATTGGTTGGTGCATTTGATGCGTTGGGGCTCTATATCGGGTAGTCAGAGGAACAATGTGGTTCTTGATACGATAGGAGCTTGGATCGCGACGATTGTTTGGTTGATCATGGTGCCAGATCTGAATGGCAAGGTCTGGGGTTGGGGCAAGAAGAATGGGATGCCGGTGTTTAGGCCAAATGCACAATAGGTAATGTTTGGGTCCTGGAAAGCATGTGCGTATACCCTAGATGATATCAGAACATGAGAATGAGACAATTGGACTCATCGTGAGATCGTACGTGTTCTCTCCTCGAATACAGCTGAACCTGCATTATGTTGCTTATAGGAATACTGTGAGAAAACCCTCCGGCGTCGTCACTGTTGAAGCGTAGGTAGGTAGTATGCTGCACTGGCGGCAGGACAAGCTCACCAAAATGTATCGATATTGCACTGAGAGATTTGAGGTCAGTCAACACACTCCAATATGAACGGCTAGATTTTGGTCACCAGAGAGTGCATGCCGGGCTGCAGTGATGTAAGAAGGGGGGCGTATTGAGGAAGTTGTGATGTGGTGCGTGCGGCATAGTCGTGACTGCCATATCAGTTGTACGTCCTCGCGGTACCCACTCAATACGCCTTTAAGTCGCTAACACGAAGTCACATGACACATCCCCGCACTCCATCCCCAGCTCATGCTTCCATACATTACGCAGTTTTCCGCCTCACCCCTCGCAATATGAGCAGCTACATAAGCAACCCTTCTTCCAGAGTTGAGCTCGTTGAAGATGTAAAGCGGATTATACTGGGTTATGTGCGAACCCCGCATTCACGACATCTGCCTGGCGCAGCAGTTGATCGGTCGCTGACTTAGTCCATCAGCTCTCACTTTACACCGATCTACAGGCGCTTTGCCTGACTTCAAAGAGCTGGAATCGCATCGCCACAGAGTACTTGTACAGGAAGGTTGTGCTCGAAGTTCGTGCTCATGATGGCCAACTGGCTCTATTCCGTCAATGCGTTGATTCTGGCGCACGAAAGCATTTGGTGCATACACGAAGCTTGAGCCTACTCAACTTACTGCCATGGGAGTTTGGATCCGTCTCATCTACGGATTGTCCGATGGATGAAGCAACCAGAAATACTTTGATGTCAGGGATTCTGCAAGATATCCCCTCCAACAAGCTCCGAGAGTTTCGGTAAGCTGACCATTTGCTGGAAAGTCACATCCCGCTGGAAATTTACAGTCTGCTGGGAAGTCACGGTCGCATAGTCATCGTATCGAAGCCATGGAGGCAAACCCCTGCCCAAGGACATGTTGACTCACCAGCAGACATTGTTGACATAGAATCCGATGTGATTACAGCAGATTAGTAGACTGACAGATACACAGTTACGTTGCTTGGAACTATGATGGTATGTACCCGAGCCTGGTAAGTCTCCTCAAAGAGCACCAACAGTCTATCGACAGTCTGCACGTGTTGCGTGGTGACTCCCGCAAGCTCATATCCCCGAAAACGCGTCGCGTTACTGTTGCTTTCCGCGGACAAAACGACCAGACACATAAGTTTGCGCAGTTTGCTCTAGCACTACCTACGCTCGATTCGCTTTCGATACTTTTCCTGGAGGGATGGACCCTGGAAGTGCATAGATATTGGGGCGATGGTCACAACATCAGTGCATTTGGAGACCAGAAGATTGTAGCGCGCACACTCATGCTTGATGGTTGCATGCCTGACACGTTCGATTCTGCCCTCCCTTACGTCTTCGATTTGTCGCGAGTGACTAAGCTAGCTCTCTCAGGCTGCAAATTGGATCTACTGCAACATTTATCCAGCTCATGCGAACTACGGAACCTGACGGATTTCGGAATACGCACCCCAGAACATTTCGATGAAACTGCAGGAGAGAACGCACGAGCGCTGTTTTTGAAGAACCAAAGTCTTCAGCACCTCCGTCTCCACATCAATGGCCTCCACAGTGTATCTCTGGACCCCCAGGATACACCAGATGCTACACCATATCTGTGGCCGCTGCATCCCAGGCTCAAAACGCTTTCACTGTTAGATCTATATCGTGAGGGGGATAACGAGCACTTTCCTTTTATAGTTGAACCAGAGCTTCAACAGATATGCAGTCACTTTAGTGCCTTGAAACAACTCGGTTTGTGTTTCTATGACTTCGATATTCCTAGAAGTGAGGCGGAGAAAAGGTTTTCCTACGTAATCAAGATTCTGGTGAGTTCAGACTGCTTCCCGGTATTGCCTACTGCAGCGTTCATGACCTATCTTAGGAACCAATCGAAAGACTCAAGAATCTCAAGATCCTACATCTTTACCAGGACCGAGTTAGGACTGTTCGTCCACCCACTCCTCAAGTGCATATTTGCGAAATTCATCAAGAGTTCGCTACACGGTTCTTCCAATGGGCGCATCATCGATGTCCTTTACTTGAGGTTCTCATTTGGGGTACTTATGAAGAGAATTTCCACCAAGAGGCGTGGCAGGTGACTGAAGATGCAAAGCAAGGACGAGATACTTCTGACTGCGGTGTAGACCGTGCGCCACAACAGTGCTTCGTGAAGAAGTTGGTAAAGCTGGAAGATGGTACTTCCCAGATCGCAGGAGCGAGCAGGGTCACCCGGAGTCGAATTCGAGATGACTTCCCGGCATTGCAAATACTGAGCTACGAGACCGGCAGACATATCGAAACTCGCCTGGCGGACGAAGCGGTACGTTGAGCAAAGGTTTGGGTCCGAAGCAGGAAGCAGGGGAGATTGTTTTGGCAGCGAAACCTTGCCTCTCAAGTTCCAACCTCCAAATGTGGAGGTGAGCACCTACCTCGGCCGATGGTGGCTGTAGTGAAGAAGCCTCGTTGCTGGCTTTCACATGGAATACGTGCCGAACGAGAGATGCTAGCGTTGAATCTAGTTCAGAACCAAGGCACGGCTCGGATGCGTGTCATGTCCTGTCTCCCGGACCTGCGGACTCATGGAACCGGCGCTACTATCGACGATCACGACGATCAGCTAGATGGCCGTCGTCTCATCGCCTCCGTTAGAACGACAGAGAACGACCGCAGGAAACGCCGATGGTATTTCTAAAGCTCCATCCCTGAGCGAAAGAAGACTTTGGAGCGGCTGGTCAAGCACTTGCGGGATACGCAGGGCCCAATCGCGCTTCTCCGGAAGCTAGCCGCTGGACCCTTGCCCCCCGACTCAAAGTGGAGTTGCGAACCGCGGGGACATGCGGAGACTATTTCGAAGAGAGCTGCTATTCCGAGGCTAAATTTACTGCATGGTACGGTCGATGCAACCGAAAACTTAAATCCTACAGACGAGGCTCTTGAACTGCGCCGCATCGTTCGTCCAATATCGAATGGTACCCCATCGTTTGAACCCATAAGCGCGGATATTTTCTCTTGTAGATCAGGGGACTCCCAAGATGTATCTGCGTCTGACAAGAGAGATACTTGCCGTTGTTCTATATATGAACGTAAGCGCGCGTTGATTGCATGCCTTGAACGAAACAGCATTGCAATCATTCCTGATTGGATTCCAGATTCAATGCTTACGGGGCATATTGCGACTATCGCCACGCGAGATCCCTCATGCGCGGCTATAATAGTCGAACGTTTAGATCGTACCGGCTTGGCTAGCAGAGGCCCACGGCTACACAAGAACACCACCACACCGGACATGCACCCGAGTACAGCGTATCGCTCCGGCAGTTCATAACAGCCTCGCCAGCATGAACAACGTGGCAATCACGAGATGATAGACAGTCCCTGAAATCAACCTCGTGGCGAACAGAAAAAGCTATAGGAGCACCATTGTCTTGGCACACAGTCTACCAGGCCCCCAACATTACCCGGATGAATAGAAACACTCCAATCATGCCAACTAGTCTGTGGCCTCCCAGCGGCCCGGTACCGACGATCCGTTCTAGGGCGAGTTAATTACCTATTGTAGTTCTTCTCCCGCTGTTGAGTGTGGCTTGCATATTTCCAGGTACCCTTGGCCTGGAAGACGGTACGCAGTCTAGGAGAAGTCGTTCTTGACTACTGCTGGTATTAGTCCAATTTCAAGGCAGTTGGCCGTGCTGCAGGGCGTCCCGTGTCTTTGATGAAGCTCTAGCCCCAGTGTAGAGAAGCAGGAGTACTAGGCTAAAGCAAGGGACTGTAGAGGTCCCTCGAGCTACGATGGAAATAAATAGTTGGGCATCCCACTGGTACTTTGGATCCAGTTGATCGACTTTGTACTAAACTTTCCGTTAAGATGGGTCGCTTCTCGTTGTTCGCCTCTCTGCTGTTGGCGACCAATGGTGTCTTGGGCGCCAAATGGATTGGTGAAGTCAAGAAGGTCGATGGTGTTGACTACCAATGTAAGCTACTACCGCCTTTTACTTCTTCTTCGAATGCATGCTAATCACTGCATTCTAGGCAAATGCTACTCCGACAACGCTTGCTGGCCGACCAATGCAGACTGGGAGAAGCTCAACCAGACCGTCTCAGGCGCGCTTCAGCTCGCCATCCCACCCGGTGCTGTCTGCTACAAGAACTTTGAGAACGGCACCAGTGTGTACGATGCGGCGAAGTGTGCGGACACTCAGGCCAACTGGGGCAACGAGCAATGGCTGTATGATCAACCCTCCCAAGGGATATGAACGTTGATACTAACGCAATGCCAGGACCGACCACCCCATCGCCGAGCTCTGGCCTTTCAAGACGAACAACACCTGCATGCCAACTGACGATCCATCAGGAACCTGCACACGTGGTTTCTATGGAAAGTACGTCATCATGGCTACTACAAAGCAGCAGATCCGAGCTGGTGTGAAGTTCGCACGAGACCGCAACCTCCGTCTGATTATCCGAAACACTGGTCACGACTTCATGGGTCGTTCCACCGGTTACGGCGCACTCATCATCAACACCCACAGCTTCAAGGATGTCAAGTTCCTCAAGAAGTACACTGGGCCTGGTGACTGGACAGGTAGTGCTGCCATTGTTGGTGCCGGTGTACAAGGCCGTGAATTGTACAAGCAATGCTTTGCTCAGAGTCCCAAGGTGGTCATCGTTGGTGGAGAGTGCCCAGTATGTGTATCGATCCGGACGTCTGAAACCATCACTAACATATCCTAGACTGTTGGCTGGGCCGGAGGTTACATTCAAGGAGGCGGCCACGGCCCTCTTTCCGGAATCTACGGCATGGGCGCTGACAACGTCCTCTCGTTCGACGCCGTCACCGCCGAGGGTAAATTCGTGACCGCCAACGCAAAGGAGAACTCGGACCTCTTCTGGGCTCTCAAGGGTGGCGGCCCCAGCTCCTTTGCTGTCGTCATCTCCATCACTGTCAAGACCTTCCCGGAAGTCCCTGTTGCTGGCACGATCCTCAACATCAACTCCACGCACACCAACGACACTGAGCTGTTCGCCAAGGGTGTTCACATCTTCCACAACCTGGCCAACCACTACAGCGAGCATGGCATGTTCGTGTACTTTGAGCTTGGCCCTGGCCCTCAGCGCCTCCACATTGCACCTTTCGTCGGTCCCAACATGAACGAAGAGCAGCTTGGAAAGGTCCTCGCCCCACTATACGAGCAGCTAGACGCAGCTAAAGTGCCTTACGACACCCACACTCGCGCCTTCCCCACGTTCTTCGAGTTCTACATTGACATGTTCGAAGACGAGCCCCCGAACCAACAATCCGTCGTCGGCGGCCGCCTCTTTACACAATCCGACATTAGCGCCCACGGCGACGATATCGCCGACGCTCTCATCTACGCCGCCATGCCCGAGCCCACCCAACTCGGTTTCAACGTCGGTCACATTGTTAACCCCGGCCACGCTTATCCCAAGGTCGACAATGCTATTCACCCCACGTGGCGCAACGCCAGTAGCTTCGTCATCACCAACGTTATGATGACAGGCAACGAGCCCTGGGACGTTAGGAAGGAACGCGAGAACTTCAACACCAATGTCCTGGGTAAGCGACTCCGGGATGTGAGTCCCGCTGGTGCGAGTTATGTGAACGAGGGCGATCTCAATGAGCCGAACTGGCAGGAAGCGTACTGGGGAAGCAACTACCCCAGATTGTTGAAGATACGCCAGAAGTATGATCCCGAGGGTGTCTTCTTTACTGAGACGACGCCCGGTACGGAGAACTGGAGTGTTATGGACTATGGTACCAAGCTTTGTAAGAAGAGTACCAAGTAGACGTGAGCATGTTTTTTTCTTTCTTGTCCATTTTCTTTTGATAGGCTATTAGCGAATGATAGATAAAAGCACGTCGCTGAGTGCGGAAATACGATAATATCCAAACCTTCCTTTTGTGTTAGTGCTCGTATGTTTTGGTATGGGTTGTGACAAATTGTCGTTTGTGGTGTTGCGAGGGTTCCGTTAGAGGTCCCTGGAACCACCCCTCATAAGCTAGAGATGTAGTGGTGACATATATGAGGACATGTGCCTGTAATCAAGCAGTGCTTATCGCTGATAGCGTTTGTCTTGTTGACAATCCGCGTGCCCTGTATGACAGCAATCGAGACACAGCGTGGCGTAGCGATGACTGCAACGCGCTTCGAGACCATCGACAAACATTGTCGTCGATGGTGACCTTGAAAAGCGCGTACACTAGAGCACTGACGCGCCTACCTGCATCCCCTGTGGATTTGTGCCGACGTGGCGTGGTGATACAAAGCTGGGGAAGAGCGGGAGCGATGACGAAAGAGTCGCGTTCAGCGCTAACCGAGGGCGGGCTAGCATCAGCTCACCTTCACAAGCCAATGGACCTGGAGCCTCTGGTACCAGCCATCATCCCAATTGTTTGCGAGCCCTCTGCTGTCTATCGCCTGTTTGTGCATTAGCCTCGAAGCGTGCACTACATTCGCTCCTTGCGCCCCCGCCGTATACGCTCCCGTCGCTGTTCCTCGCCTCCGCCATCCATCGCATTCCGAATCATCGCACCAGGCTCCTATTCACCACGACAGCCACTTTGACGTCTACACCAGATCGCGTGGCCGTCCTTGCCAATCCGCATGCTCCGCGCATGCCGAAACACCTCCAGACGATTGTTTATGTCGATTGAATGCCTCCCGTGCTGAATCCCTTCTTACGGGCCTTCTTCCGTAGTGCACTCCCCAGCCAGTGCCAGCCAGCCCAGCACCACGTACGATACATAACAGTGTACAGGGAGACATAAAACTGACCCCGCATGACATAGGTCCTTCTCGTTCCCACCACCGAAGTCCTCCTCACATCGCGCGACAAGGAATCAAACACCTCGTACATCGACCTCAGCGGTTCCGAAGACTTCCTCGCAAGCCATGTGCTGCGCGTACCGGGCGGAGTGGGGCCGAACAATCACCCCAAGGACTCGGGTAGTTTCAGGGAAACGCGGGGGAAGGCGAAGCAGTTTACCACCGCAAATGGCCGGACGGTGATAGTCAAGGATGCCTTCATCTATAGCAACAAAGGTGCGCATACACGTCGTGTGTCACGGAATGACTTGCAAGTGCTGACATGACACAGGATTCAAGACACTCAACCAGGCGCAGCTCTTGAGCGATACCATTTTCTACCCCGACTCCTTCGATGCCCAGCCATGGCTCGTCTATTTTATATCCCGGCCCCTCATAGGCACCTTCGATGCGAACCCAATAATACCCGCTACACTTCAGCCCAAGCAGGATGCAGGAGCAGGGCCAGGAGCAGGGCCAGGAGCAGGACCACCGGTCGCAGCGGGCCCGTCTGGAGGCGCCAGCTCCTCCATGCCTCGGAAGAAGGAAGTCAAGTCCTTCAGCGACCTGTTGAACCACTTCCCAATGATTGCACGTCAAATGCAACCAGGGCTGGAGAGGCTGTTCAAGGAGTTTGGCAAGGAGCTTGAGAAGCCTTTGCCAGCGACACCATCACAGAGGTCGCGGCGATCGTCCATGAGTTCCCGAAGACGTGGGTCAGTGTCCTCAAGAGAGACGACACCTTTCTCTATACACAGTAGCATGTCACACGGCACGAATGGGTTTGTCTCAAATCTGGAGATTAGCGACGAAGAAGACCAAATGCGGAGATCGCTAGAAACCGCAGTAACAGCGGCCATTGACCTCTTCCAGATGGTAGATAAGCAGCAACTGTCATTATTGGGCGCCACAACCGACTTGACGGGTCCCATCGTGGAGCGCATGATTGAACGATATATCGCCGAGCAAGTACACCACACAATCCTCTTCCCGCGAATACAAGAAATACGGCTACTAGAAGACACCGACCTCGAGCGCCGCACGCGACAAATGGTGGATATTGATATATCGCAGGTCGGCATCGACATCGGCCATGGCCGCAAAGGCAAGCAAGAACTAGCTATACGACTTTCCAAGGCTGTCGATATGTTCAAGAAGATGGGTGTTGCGGGCAGTCCACAAGAGATGTTGGAAATACTTCTCAGCGTACAGAAGCACATTACAATGCCGGATGAATCGCAGGAGAAGGTCATGACAAACGGAGAGCAGATGTCGGAGAAGCAAGATCATCTTCTTACCATCAACGCGGATACACTTGTGTCGCTGTTGCTCATAGTAGTGATAAGAGCGCCTGTACGGCATCTGCAGGCACGACTTTCATATATGCGACATTTCATCTTCATTGACGACGTCGAGAGCGGGGAGATGGGCTATGCACTCAGCACATTCGAGGCTGTCCTTTCCTACCTGACGACAGACTCAGGCGGTCTACGAAGAGCAAGCCGACGGAATCGGGCATTGTGGCAGGCCACGAAATCTGGTGATCTTGAAACAATGCAGGGTATACTGGAGCCCGATCGATCGTTCAATCCAGATCTGGATAGCTTCTCGGATGAGAGCGATACCCCACCAAGAAATCGTCAACTCAGGTTTGCTGCAAGTTTATCAGATTTGCATTCTGTAGGAGGCACTACCTTGAACGGGGACGATGAATACTCATCACGACGGCGAAGCATATCTCGCGACAAGAGTGCGCATGAAGATGGTCCCCTGGCACACATATTCCCTTTCCAGCGCGCTCAAACACCACCACTGCCTGGCAGACCGAAGATGAAGAAGAGGGTATCCATGGACACTAGGAGTATGTCGAGTGGCTCAGCACGGTCGTTCCGATCTCGTACAACCCTCGACTCCCGGGTTAGCGCTATCGAAGGCGACGTTTCGATAGAAAAGCTCACCATGACACAAGGGCCCGACGGTGAGTCAGTGATGATGATGGCGATTGAAAACAATCAGGATAAAGCATTGCAATATCTGCTTAGTCTTACCGAGTACTACACTCCCTCTTATGTCTTTGAAGACTACAACAACGAAGGCACCAATTTGTTGAGTGCAGCAATCCAACTGGGCCATACTAGAACGACAGACACGATTCTCAACTACATCCTGGACAACAGCCCCAGTCCCCAGGCACTGAAAGAATTTCTCTCCAAACCAGACGCGAAAGGTAGATGCGTGGCACATTATCTCTTCAATCAACCTCGACTTATAGACCGCATCGGACATCTCTTGCCCTGGCAGCTGAAAGATAAGAACGGCCAGACACCGGTCTTCGCTTTGGCTAGGGCATACGATCACGATGAGTACCACGACATGGTCGATAAAGCACTGCTCGCCGCAACTCACTATCAGGATGACGGACAACCATTACATCTTGACGAGCACGTCGACAACAAGGGAAACAGCCTGCTACACATCATCACAGACCCTCAACTAGCAGCAAAGCTACTGTACCGCTGCGATTCCGATGCCAATGCGACAAACGATCGACAGTTCACACCACTCATGGTAGCTAGCAAATACGGCCGAACGGACATGGTGCGAGTGCTCTTCCAAGACCCCCGAGTAGACCTTTCTTACAGAGACGCCCGTGGCCTCACCGCCGTGGAACTCGCCAAAGACGACGACGTCCGAAACCGCATCGACGATCTGGTTCTCCTCTCAAACGAAGCCGGTCCAGATGGTCGCACAACAACCGTCGTTCGCTCCTTTTTTGTCGAAGACGGAACAGTCCGCCTCGTTTTGAAATCCGGTGCGCCCAATGACAACAAGACCATTACCGTGACAACTTGTCGTAGATCGTCGCAGGATTTCGAGAATCTTGCGAAATGGCTCGCACAAGAACATCCTGCGTCTTGGTTACCTGTCATACATAACCTAGCATCCCCTTACCTGATTCCGTCGAGACCTTCGCGGTCGATTCTGCGGGATATGCAGTTACGCCTCGATGCGTTTCTCAAAATCCTGCTGCGTCATCCCACCTTCTCCACGCACGAAATGGTCTGGGAATTCTTCTTGGTGCCTGACATCGACTCGTCGATGCTAGCCGAGCGCTCCGCGCGGAAAGCCGAACTGCGCGTTGAGCGGTTGAGAGAAGAGTATGCGCCTATATACGACGTAAGGGAAGTGGAACTCTTTGTCCAGCACATGCGGGAAAACATCCGGGCGCTACATCATGCGTCAAGGAGTGTGCTGCGGCGCGCAAACAAAGTCCGGGCTAGCGCTAGTGATCTCAACGATGCAGCAAAGATATCGAACACGGCTATGCATTCGCTTACCTTTTTACCGGAAGCCCATCTCAAGGCACTGGACCGGTATACAGCGTGTTTAAAACAGAGCGACGCAAGTCCCATGTCAGGATTCTATTACTCCATGCACGCCATCTCCTCAACCATCACCGCCATCCTAACCGCCTTATCCCGCCCTTCCACCATCATTACCCAAATGGCAGCGACGCAGAAATCCATCGACCGCCACAACCTGTCTGTTCGCCGCAGCGACCGCTGGCCCCTGGGCCTGCTGGACGACGCTCGCTCCCGTGTCCAGCGCGATGCGCAGGACAAGATGGATAAGAGTAGAGGCGAATTGGAGGATTGGGGCCGCGAACTCCGGTACACGCAGCAGGTTGTTGCGCAGGAGTTGGCGAGCTGGCAGGAGAATAGGGTTGAGACGGGGAAGAATGCGCTGAGGGAGTTGGCGAGGAAGATGGTGGTTGTGGAGCGGGCTAGGTTGGAGAGTATGAGGAGGGCGGTTAGGGGGTTGGGGATTGGCGGAGAGGTTGTTGGCGTTGGAGAGAGTACTTCACATCATCAACATCAACAACATGGGGGGATCATGGCGAATGGGGGGTTGGTCAATGGGTTTGCCGATCGTCATCATCATGACCATGGTATGGATGTTGCTGGGCCGCTTCTTACAACGGTTGAGCAGGCCAGGTTCCACGATGTTACGGATGAGGACGTTGAGGAGGGACCGGGTGCTGTTGAGGACTCGGAGGCTGAAGGCGTGGTTTGGTCGAATGGAGAGGTGGCGGCCGAGGAGGTGCCGCCTGCGGATGAACTTGCGCAGGAGTCGATGATGTCGATTGGGGGGATAGGGAGGGATCAAGTGGTGGGGTAAGGTGTGAATGAGTACTTTTTGTGCCATGTGTATTCGATTCCATCTCGTCCTTTTTCGTTCTTCTTGTTCTTGTTCTCCTTGTTCTTCTTTCTTGTTATCTCTCTTTTTCTTTCTCGTTCGCCGGATTCATTATAAATCTTCTTTGGGTAGACGGATTGTGTACGATTGGATTGAGGGATTGGGTATATGGGTGTGCCGGTATGAGCGAAGACTCATGTATTGGTGGGATGGCGGGGGGAGAGGATGAGAAGGGTCTAATAGTAATGTTTACGATCGTGTAATCTAAAACATCTTTGGTACCTGGTGACGATCACGTAGCTATTCCTACCTCTGGCAAGGGTCATCCACTCCTGAGAGTACGGCTTGATGGTGAAGTAAGGGTGGCTCATAACACTGAAAGAAGTGCTGCGTACGGCTGCGCAAGGAGTTGTGCTCTATAGCACTCGAATGCACTCAGGAAACTGATTAGGTGTTGAAGGAAACCAACTATGGCTATAGCTTCTGATAGCGTATGACATGGGATTTTGCAGAGTGGTGCAATGTCCAAGAAGTCCAATCCAACCACCAAGTCATGTGAGACTTTCGTTGGAGCCATAGGAGGTAAGTCAAGAACATAGAGCCTCAGGCGTTTAGTTTGTCCATCAGGTGATGGGACAGAGCTCCGTTGTGTGTATTGTTGTGGCATGTATGCGAGAGGAATTTCCTTGGCAAGTCACCTGGGTGTTCATGATGATCGTTTTGTAAGCCAGTAGCTCATTTGCTTCATCGATAAATCAGGCCTAGTTTTTCTGATCAGATCGAGTGATAGCTACAGATTACTATTGTTTCCAACAAGAGAGATGTTGTCAGCAGGCTGTTGGTGCCAGAGACATGCTTCACCACGACCATCAGATTGGTGCTTTCGCGGGCAGTATAATTGTAACACTTTTGTCTATTTCAATTGTCTACCACATCGTGTATAGTCATCTGTCAGCCTTACAAGGTTTACCGAGGCAAGTCGCATCATTAGCTCCAAAAGTGTGGAATGCCTCGACCTGGATGCCTAGTCTCGTGGCAAAAGACACCGAGCGCATAGATCCTTTCGCCTAAGCACCCTGGCACGTTGATAGGGCACCCTTGCTGGGTAGTGCGAGAACGAGTGCGGCACCGAGGAAGGTTCATTTCGGCTGATGTACAAGCCAAGTGGGGCGCCATGGCGTCCCAAGGGGAAATTTACTCCGCTTGGCCCTTTTGCATGGCTGACGAAGGCGTGATTTCGCAACAAGGTCCACCGAGAATGAGTCCGTCGGGCTTAGAGTCTGACTGTTTTCTGAGTCGCGTACTGACAAAAGTCGCTGTTCGAGGAAAGAAGAGTTTTTCCTTGTGTGCTATATGGCGTGATTTGTGGTGGGCACAGAAGATAGAGGCCAGGCATCGATAAGGAGGTATGGCCGTACACGATATGTCACCGATTTGCTAATAGTTCGGTTCTGAGCTTGTTATTATGTCATATATCTTCCTATTAGCTATTCAAACCTGAATTCCCTAGCTTCGCGTGCAGCACTCCCACTAGAAAGCTTACGTTAGTGAATGGGATATAGGAGGGCTGAAGTACACGTGGGTTTGCCACAAGGGAATTGAGACATACATTAGTCCAGGCCTTGCAGATCCCAGGAGCAGTATTTGTGCTTCCTCCTTCAGTGCGCCCTACATATTGACCAAAGCCGCATTCTGCGGTTGGCAATCTACATTCAGGGGATGGTCCTGAAGTCTTACTAATGAGCCGACAACCTGAGTTTGGTCTGAATTGTGGTGCAGGGGTAGCGACAATGGGAGATGCGAGTATAGTCAAAGCGGCCGCTAAGCCGATGATGCTAAAAGAAACCATAGTTGGACCCTGGGTAGTGGAACAAAGTGGTAATGTTGATAGGAAAAATGTTGTGTTGCGGAATACTGGGAACACATGTTGACAGCTTATATAGATTTGATGTTCGAAATTGTGCCGCCCTCCTTTGAAAAAAGTGATCGTGTTGACGGTATAATTACGGTGTTTGCGATGTTTCTTCGGAACACTGTGCACACCGAGAGATGCAGCCTCTAATAGAGTCGTGATACAGTTGGGATCTGCCTATGTATTCCTTTGAACCTGCAATAAGGCCAATCGAAGTGAAGACTCTGTCTTCAATGCATGAAGCTTCGTTATGACGGTGGTTTTGAGTCTAAAATGCCAAAGTAGGTGCATGACGCTTCAAACGGCGGCGGAATGATAGTTTGGAACCCACTCCGCCCTTAGCTCTCGTACATGTCAGCGTACATCCACTCCGCCTAGGGCCAAGCCATCGAAGCTACCGAGGCGCCGCCATATTTAGGGTCGTACATCAATGTAATGCGGCGCTCGATTTGTCCGAGCAAACGAGCCCTCTTTGTTTGCTTCGTCATGGGTATCGATTAGCTAGAAATACTAAACGCCATACATGCGCCTTGCGCCATTGCTTGAAAAGACAAAAGTAACATACCCCGCTAACCTCTGACTTCAAAATCTCGAAATGTAACCTTTTGGTCCGTTACGTCGCTTCCACTGTCACAGTCATCACGCGGGCTATTACTCGGACTCGCATTGCGGTCCCTGAGTGCAAAGATGCCCATGATTGTGCCTGTAAAATCCCGTGCACTCAGCATAGTCGTATCCACCATGTCGACTTGCTTCCATCGTCGGTCACGGTCGGGGTCGCGGAACTCGAGTGCGTAACGCTCGTCGCCAGCGATGATTCGGAGGTCTACAGCTGTAGATGAACGCGAGACGGGCTCTGGGTACGATGCTGTGTACTCGTAATCGTTGGACGTGTCAACGAAGTGGACGTGGATGAGACGGGTGGACAGGGCGACGGAAATACTAGCGTGGCGCAGGGGATCTTTGTATACAGTTAGTCCACCTATCGCGTTTGAATGAGTGGCCTCGTTATCGAGGAGTACAGTCGTTGCAGCAATGGCGTTTACGCTTCGTTGGCGGCGGGCCAGTAAAGCGAAAGGCGCTGTTACGGCGGAGAGTGTCGAAGTATGAGGTGTGAGCGCTATTGAGCCGGATTTCTTGTAGGGACTCCGCAGTGGCTTATGCAGGTATAAATCGTCCAGGTGGGGGTTTACTAATCGCGATTTCTTGATCAGCTGTGCCGCAGCGAAACCTAATTGTACTGTGCGCGGTGTGCTGAACGACATTTGTGGCTGATCAATAAGGGGCCATCCGTCTTCTGGCCACTCTACTGTTGTGAGAAAGGTTTCGCGCCCCATTGGCGCCTTGTTCTGGTCTCCCTGTACACCCAAGACTGCTGCCCACCAGTCCCCGTTCATATCTTGGAAGATTTCTCCGTGGCCAATATTTTGCACGTATTCATTCCTGCCATCCGCAGTCATGATGGGATTATTTGGACAAGATTCGTACGGTCCCCAGATATCTCTTGAGCGTGCCATGGACAGCATGTGATGTTCGAAGGTCCCGCCTTCAGCCACTAGTAAATAGTACCAACCATCCTTTTTGTAAATGTGTGGACCCTCGGTATTTCGTTTAGCAAAGCCGCCCCAAATCTCACGTGTTTCAGATAGTGCGGATCCGCTTCTGACGTCAATTTCAAACTGCTTGATCGTGCAACTTGGCTGTTTCATGCGATCCATCTCCATCATCCATGAGCCCTGGATATACGCGCGGCCATCGTCGTCGAAAAAAAGTGAAGGACTGATGCCGTAAAAATCAAATGGTATCGCGTCGCTCCAGTTGTCGGACCAGATGTCGTCAGTTGTTATTAGGAAATTGTCGGTTTGCCAGTTGTCCTTTCCGTGGGAGCAGTTTGTGCAGGCGATGTAGAAAGTGCCGTTGTGATGTCGAATAGTGGGTGCAAATAATCCTCCAGATGCTACCATCACGTTGCCATCATCGAGGGGTATCGCAGATGTAGTCGCATTGTGCAGATCGAGTTGTGTGGATCTGTTGATTGCATTCCCTTGGAAGCCTCAGCCAGCGCTCATGCCAGAACAGTGCGAAGAAGCAGACGAACCGATATGCCTCCAGTCTTGCAGATTCGTGGACGCATAGATTGGAATACCAGGGAACAAATGAAAAGAAGAAGTCGCAAGATAATAGATGCCGTCTACATGAACGACAGAAGGGTCCGGTGCGAATCCAGGTATTATCGGGTTGCTGAACATTGCTTTTTGGTTTCCCTGTGGATGATGAATAGGGCGAAGGTTCAGGAACTTGAGAGAGACGGCGAAACGAACCGGATCGGGTCGAGCAATGTAGCTCGAGCCGATTATAGTCGGTCTCCATCGCTCCGAAGTTGTTGTCATGCTTTATTACTCCATGGAGAAATTCTTTTACGCATATCGCGATTCTGTTTCGCCACGGAGAATCACGCAGCGCTTAGCCTACTATGGCACGGAGCCCGGCACCGCCAGCCAATCGCACAACAAGGCTAGACTTCCGCCGCTCACAATCCCAGTTGTGGGGCCGTTGCCACGTGCTCGGTAACAGATGTCCATGATTCGAGGTCTTGCCATTTCGCCGTGGAGAATTACAGTCTACACCAGACTATGCCATGAGGTCAGACAAGCATCCTCCCCGCGTTGTTATAAGTACTGTGGCAGCAATGGTGTAGAAACCTAGTTCAAATCTATTGTTTGGCTCCAAAACGTCTTATAATCATCATTCGATTACACCAGTATTGCGCATTGATGCAAGGGTCAATAGAAAAGACCGTCCATAGTCAAGATGCCCAAGTCCACACCGTTGACCATCGAACTATTCATGAGAGCCCAGGGTTCAGTGATCTTTGGCAACAGAAGCGAATACTAGCATGGTGTATGTCGAGCATATTTTCGCACTCATCTATCTAACCGTCGTGAATTAGGCCTGCTTGTCTTCCTCCTTCCTGTCAACTTTGGGTTTGAACTTGCTCTGATCGGCAACATCATCGCAACCCCTGCATTTCTCGATCGATTCGGTTAAGAGACAGCCACAGGTGCCATTAAGATAAGCGTATGCGACTAGCAAGTGTTGAACGCTGCTACGACAGTTGGTACCTTCGTGGTTGTCTTCGCTGCTGGCTTCATCGCAGACAAGATTGGTCGTCGAAAGGTAGTCCTTGCTTGTTGCTTGCTTTGCATCGTCGGAATCTTTGTTCAAGGGTTCGCAAACTTTATCATGATGCTCATTGGGGGAAAACTCATCAGCACCCTTGGGTGCGGATTGGGCCATGCACTTTCTCATGTATACGTTGCAGAGACCGTACCCGACAATTTGCGAGGGATATGCTTGACCTTGGTGGTGAGTTGACTGAGCTTACTTTGTTGCTTAGCAACGCCACTCACCCTCCCAGAATACTATGATCGTGGTTGGTCAGTGGTCCTGCGCACTTGTTGGCTACGGTGAATTGTCCATCAACAATGATTGGGTATGGCGAATGCCTATCCTCTCGCAGCTGCTACCCCCGATTCTGACGGTCGTCCTTGGCACGATACTTCTTCCTGAATCACCTTCGTGGTTAATCCTCCACGGACAGCATGAGAAAGCCATCGCAGCCCTCCATGAATTCAACGGCCCAAACTACGATGCTGCTGCGGTCGTCGCGGTGCTAGAGGCGGCGGTTCAGAGAGAGCGCACACTCCAATCCGAAAGTGCGTCGTACCTCGAATGCTTGAAGGGTGTGAATTTGCGCCGCACTTTGATCGTGTGTCTTGTATACATGGTCCAGCAGTTCGTGGGAGCCAAATTCGTCCAAGGATATCTACCGTACGTATCAATAAACTGGTAAATGGGTATAGGTTAGGTCAGGGTTGGGTCTGATTTGTCAGACTCCAACCCAACCTAACCCATACCCAAACTAGAGCGACCCTAACCTAACCTACACACACGCTAGAGTATACCCTAAGCCAACCTATATCCACAGCTGGGTATACCATACCCATTTACCAGTCTACGTATCATGACGAGACAGGTGGGTCCGGATGCTGACATGCTCGAGGTATTACTTCACACATGCTGAAGTCGAAAATCCAGTGGATATCGCGCAAATTAGCTATGCGATTCAGCTGGTCGGCAACATTGTTTCCCTGTTCCTTGTTGATCGTATCGGTCGCAGACCGATGATTGTATATGGTACAATCGCGATCACCTGCTTGCTCCTTCTCGTTGGCGGTCTTAGAACACTGAAGAACGATCGCACTGCTCTTCAAGCAGTTGTTGGCTTCATGTCTTTCTGGAATTTCTTGTTCTAACTGACGCTTGGCGCCGTGGCTTACGCGGTCGGTGGCGAGACTCCAACTGCTCGCCTACGACAGAAGACATACTCGATCAACGTTATGTCAAACACGGCCGCAACCTGTCTCGTAACCCAGCTTGTGCCCATATTGATCAACCCCAGTAACGCGAACCTCGGCGCAAAGGTTGCCTTCGTCTTCTTCGCTCCTTCAGTACCGTCATCTATCTACATGTACTTTTGCTTCCCTGGGATGAAGGGTCGTAGCTATCTGGAGCTAGGGACGATGTTTCAAAGGGGGTCGCCGGCAAGAAGTTTCAGTAACTTCAAGTGTGAAATTGAGGTCGCGACAATCGCAAAAGACGATGACCTAGAGAAGCCAGTAGCGATCGTTTTTGATGAAGATCTATCGAAGGTCTGAAATAAATCTGTAGCGATCTCAACATCAGATCACTAGAGCTGTCAATGAGTTTCCCATTGTTCAACTCGGCAAGACATGTTGGCTCTTCAAATCATACCCATAACATCGCAGCCATCTTAGTGGCAAAGCGCTCCATCCTTGTCATTTCGTCCACCCGTTTGTGGTTCGATCATCATACTCAATCACAATCTCTTCATCTTCAACGATAAAGATCACAGCCATCGCGATGCATCCTGCTCAGAATCCACGGTTGAAATCGAGCTCTTCGGAGACGCGAGAATCCAGTCTCGAAAGGACATCTAAGAGGGTGAAGAACAATGATTTAGCACGTTCGGTAAGTGCTGGGTTGTGACTTTGCTGGATGAGTTCAAGGAGAGTCACTCCTATTCTTCGAATCTTCTCTATCTCCAAAGCTGTCAGCAGATATACTTCAAGACGCATATCGTAACATACACACGGCTCCCCATTCACTTTGAGAGATTCGATAGAGACCTCTGATAGTACCCTGACCATGTCACTAGCGATGTCGAGCCTCCTCAATGCAAGCGAGTATGACGTTCCACTAACGCCAAGATGTTCGGATATTCCTGTTTCATAGAACCTCTGGAGAAGAACCATCTTTAAACAATAGTAAGTCACACACAGGTTCGTTCTTTGGATATCAAAGGCTCGTTGAATCCGTGTCGATGTCGGCGAATCAGGATCTACTGTCTCAGGTACCTTGATGTCAAATCGGCAATGATCAATCATGGCAATAAAGTCAAGATAGTCAGTGATGACGACTTCATGAGACGGGCCGACTAAGCCAGATCGATCCTCGACACCTTCGTTCCAGATTTCCAAGGAGTCGAATTTTATGATGATGCTTGACGCTTTTGTCCATAGGTCTTGACAGAGGTCATATCCCTGTCTGACCACGCTCTCTATGTCGAGAGCGCTCGGGGTGCTCGAATAATCCAATAAAGGTACATCAGGCAAAGATCCACGCCAGTACATCGTGGTGACTTTAGCTCCTAGGCACGCGCGGTGCAGCGATATTGGACGCCCGTTCAAGATCGCCGCAGACCTGTCAGCAGTATGGATGTGCCAGAATATGCTTCTGAGAAGACGTTCCTCAAGTGGATCAAGATTCTGATAGGAGGTCTCATCGTAAAGCCGCATTTCTTGCGCGAAACGTATAGCCTCTCCAAGTACATGCCAAGCGACGCGCGTTTGGCCAACGGCATGTAAGGCGGTCCAAAGATAGGACCTCGTGACTAGAGAGATATAGTCTATATGCTCGATATCTTTAAGAACAGTATCAAGTCAGCTCGTAGCCTGTGCATGCCGTATAGATTGTTCCACCAACCGTAATCTTCGTGCGACTTCAGCGTCTCTCGCGATGTAGTAAGAAACTGACGTCCGATTTGTTCTCGCATTGGGAAAACCGAGACAGGCAATGTGAGAGCAGTAACAGCGCACAATGCTGTTAGAAGTGTGCGACTACGTAACACTGCCATATCCTCACCACCATTACCTTGCAATAAGGGTACCATGGCACGGATTGATGGTTCATGGATGGTGGGCGATATAGGAAAGAGGTAGCTCATGTACAATGTGATACATTGGTCTGCGATGCCGTGCAGCGCAAGGTCGGGTTGTTGGTGTATTTGGGACGAGGGTTGTAAGTTTCTCGCCGCTGACGAAGGAGCACCTGTAAGTGACACCTGCAGATCATACGATCTGAAAGTTGTGTTGCTCAGACGCGCATCGCTTTGATGAACTGTCGCACCGGCTTGTCGCATGGATTCGCCATCTGAAACCCTGAAAGTTGGCTGTGTAGTAACGTTCCGCTTGCGCTTTGGTCCCCTCTTCTGGGGTGCTATGTTATAAACGCACTCAAGGCGTGATATGCGGCAATTTGCGCATGGTGTTGACAATGCATCACACTAACGAGGTCAGCAAAGCCTTGAGTACGTACCGTCTCCATGTCTCGTGCAATGTCTTACTCTGACTTTGCGACGCTTGCACGCGTCGCAAGCTCTTTTCGCGACTGGCGCCGAGGGCCTGGTGTTCACAGCATCAGAGGTTGAATCGCCCCGTGAGTTGTCGGAAGACTCGTGAAGTGTTGACATAGGGTATGTTGCCGCTCGCAAGCGATGAGATGCACGACCTATGGGGTGCAGAGTCGCGTAATAAATCTCCGTGGAGAAATCAAGATTGGTCTTAGCCTCGGTAAAGCTCGAGTGCTAGCCACAAACGGACATAACGCATTACTACTTCAGTCTCCATCGTTTGATGACGCGCATGACTTGTATCCTGCTCTAGCAAAGCCAAATTTGTAATTCGACCTGGGTCAACTGATACCAATTATCTCAAGCCATGGATAACGAAGTTAGCTGGGAAAGAAGACACTAGTGTCACGAGGTGGAAGTCTGAGATGATAACAACACTCCACACGGCTCAAGCGGCGGGCCTATGGTCGAAACGTTATGTATAAGACAAGCTATAATCATATGAGATAACATATGAAGACAATGGTAACTATCGCGAATTAGGTGTTCTTCCACGCCCACCTCTTACCCATCCACTTTACCAGATACACCAAGCCGATCAGCACAGGAACTTCAATGAGAGGTCCTACTGTAGCGGCAAGTGCCTGGTCGCTATTGGGACCATACGTCGCGACGGCAACGGCGATAGCAAGCTCAAAATTGTTACTAGCAGCTGTGAAACTCTGAGTTGCTCCCAACTTGTATCCATACCCAAGCTTATTGCACACGAAGAGTGTGAAGAAGAAGATGACAACGAAGTATACCATCAGTGGTGCGGCAGTTCGAACGACGGAGACGATTTGATGAACGACCTGTTGTCCTTGAGAGGCGAAGAGAACGAGAATGGTGTAGAGGAGGCCGATGAGTGACCATGGGGCAAGCCACTTGAGGAGCACCTGGTCGTACCACTTCGCACCTGCCAGCTTGCGAAGCAAAAGGCGTGTCAGAATCGCAGCGCCAAGAGGTATACCGAGGAACACGGCGACACTCGTGGCGACTGTTTCGTAGGAGACGGCGACGGTGCCAGTCTCGCGGCTGATGACCTTGACGAAGAGGATGGCGAGGGGCGCATAGAGTATCATTTGGAGAATAGAGTTGACTGCTACCAAAATGGCACAGTATTCATCGTCGCCACCTGCAAGCCCGTTCCAGATAAGGACCTGAAAGCAGGTGTTAGTAAGAGGAAAACGAAAGCGAAAACTATGGACGTTAACAAGCATACCATGGCAATGCATCGTGCCAAACCAACCAATATCAATCCTGTTCGCAGGTCGCTCTGATCAGGAAGAAATGCCCACGCAAGACCGAGCTAGCTTGAGTCAGTGTAATACTGGCAAGAAAGGTTTGGAGGAATGTCTACCATAAGCAGTGGGGCGATAACCCAGTTCATGACAATACTGAAAATGATCTGCACCCAGAGTGCGCGAGTGCGGAAAAGACCGTGTAAAGTCTCGTAACGCACTTTGCACAAGATGGGATACATCATAACTAGTAGACCTATGGCGATAGGTATGGATACCCCAACGAATTTGCCCTTTTGAAGCGCTGGCCCAATTTCTTCGACGAAATTACCGAGAAGAATGCCCACCGCCATGGCGAGAAGGATCCAGAGTGCGAGGAAACGATCGAGATATCCTAGCCCTTTGATCACTGAGACGCGGTTAGGCGCTGCTTGTTCTTGGACTGGCAGACTCTCCAGGTCGGTGCTTTTGTCGGATGAGAGAGTCTGAGTTGAATTGGGCCGCGGCCCTTGATCTAATATTGAAGACATGGTCTTTGTATCTGCACTTGTGCGCTAGGATATCTCGAGGCTGTGATTATTGAGGAATCAAGGTACTGATGCTGGGTAGAAAGCATCTGTGTTTTATGTATGCCATTGTGAATTTCGATGGCATATCGATTAGCATTGCTCCAATCATCCTCCAGCAGTGACATACCAGAGAAGATGTAGGGCATAGTATACACCGCAGGGACTAATTTGACCCGGGATTGGGCCAATCATCGCCCACCAGTGACTTACTGAATATCTCAACGCCAACACATGGCAAGGTCACTAATCCACAACTGCTTTCAAATGTTGCGAAAAATTGCAATTGCTTGCAAATCCTCGGGGAGATCTCGAAGAATGGCCACCTCCACCACGAACAGTTTCTCGCCCTCACTATGGCATGCAGCCTACCCAGCGCCCACAAGCACGCCTACTCTCATCCGCCGAGAAAAAGTTCTGAAGATGATGAAGCAAAGCGCAGAGTCTTCTAGCAGGGACTTTGTTCTTGTCGACTTGCGTGGCAACGATTACCAGGTGACATTGATCTTCGCTCACACGCGTTATTGTGAGACTAATCAGTTGAAATAGGGCGGCACTATTCGCGGTGCCATAAAACTTCCTGCGCAAAGCTTGTACCCTACCATACCCACACTCTACTATCTCTTCAAATATGCAGGCCAAAGGAAGATAATCTGGTACTGCTGTAAGGCCACTCCTGTGCGATAGCAACTACACTTGCAGCAGCGCTAAGTATTATCGCAATGCAGCTTCTTCAAAAGGACGTGGTACCCGTGCTGCAGGTTGGTTCGCCGACCATATAGCGAATCAAGGAGATGCGCAGATGGAGAGCCTCGTGCTTCTTGATGGCGTTAAAGGATGGGCAACGGCTGGCGATGAGTACGTGCAGTCGATGATTGCATATGACGCCAGCGTCTGGTCGGCAAAACAGTAGTCGTTGCTCGCTGTAGCTGGTATACCAGTGAACTATGAAGCCGAGTAGAGAAATAGCGCAATTGGAACCCAAGTAGAAAGAAGGCCGGTTGTCGCGAAACACGGTCTGAATTGCGGTCGCACGCGGCAGTCCTGCTCATGTCGCTCTCCAACCTAAGACGTTGAAAAGCCCGTTGGCATCCCATTAAGCTCTTCGCTGTCCGACCTCGAAGCCACTGAACTCACATTCGAGCATGTCTTCTTCATTCCTGATGTCACTATGCCCTTGTCCGGAGCGAGGGCCAGAATTTAATAGCTGGTCGTGTTGGATAGGATCATGCATTGCCAGCCACTTTGCGCGTCACTTGATAGTGACATGTTGGAGACTCATGGTCTCGCCAACATCGCGCAGTGTAGTCTACTATGTCGGGGAGTATTCCGTGTTTCAGGTTTGAGAATCATATCATTTGGGTGGTTCAACATTGAGCGATATGAAGTCGGGGTGCGCCTTGTCCTTTGGCTTGTTAATCCAGATTTGGCTATGGGTGGGTTGGATGCCGTTCCGCTAATGAAGTGGTTGGACTCTAGATTGTAAAACGTGCTGTAGATTGCGAACGCTTCCAGGTCACTAGGTGCATGTTCGGTGTTGAAATAGGGGGTTGGAGCGACAGCCAATGTGACCCCGCATTACGCAGCGATCAAGCTAGCGCGGGCGGTTATCTCCTGCTGCCGTCCCCAATCCTGTGGTTCACCCACTTTCACCTACGTCTGCGCCCCAACACGGCGCACTCACGACATGCTGTTTTCCGCCCCTCTTCTTCATGGCATTCCATTACCGAGACCTCTTTGCATGGGGTTGATGTTGTCGCCACTGCCGCTGCCGCGCTGCCCACATCGCAGCCTCGACGGGACGATTCGGCTTGCTGTTTCGCTTGCCTTTATTTGTGCCTGAGGCTGAGCGTATCCAGGTAGGGAGTGCATGTATCGTATTACATCCTTGCGTGTTACCTCTTGACGAAGTCGTTGCACAGGTCTCGAAGCCTCGAGATCGAGACCAAGATACCGCGAGATGGGCGGCTGCGCAGTGCACGGGCGAGCCTTACGATCTATGATCGGCCCGCATCAGCCCAGCTCCGGGGAACGTCTCTTCCCGGATCGAATGCAGGAGCCGAACGTATCCAATGGCCATACAGTGCTAGAGAGCAAATTCAACTAAAGATTGCGCTCTGGATTTCCCGCAGCATCTGACCCGTGCTACGAGCCATGTCCGTCGCCTTTCTATGGCTCAACAGCAGTGTGCTACTTGTCCTACAATACACTCAGCCCTAAGGAAAACTGAAGATTGCCTGACACGCTATTGTGTACCATACACACCGAAAATCTCACTGTCACGTCACTATATCAAGCATGCGAGGCTTAGTCTGCGCCGTAGCAGAAACTGTCAAGCGTAGTTCTTTTTGTGTAGCAAGCCCGAACACGGCAAGTCAGCGCTAGGAAACCCCACGCACAGAGAAATTGTTTGCATATCGTTTGCAGGGCTTTGACGACTGGAAAGCTAGGTATTGCAATCTTGAACCAATGCCTCTGCAAGACGCAGAAAGGGTGTACCTCACAGGTGGGTCATTGGTACAGCCCTCGTGGATTTCTCCGTTCAATGCGGCTAGCCTTTCACTTACAACCGCAGCCCCAGGTCACCGAGCCTCATCGAGTACCGACCATGCGGCACGGTATCTGGTATGATCTCTTCCCTCGAGCAATGGTTGTGCTCAGTACCAAACCCTCCTACTACGCCATATCTGCCACACAAGTTTGCGAACGACCTGTTCAGCGAAGCCTTTCATACATTTTATTGGGGTAAAAAGCCTTATACTGGTACTAGCGAGCACGAATGCGCTCATGTGGTTCTGCAGCCTACCTAACGCGCTAGGCTTGATGGAGCATGATGCAAGTTCGCCGGTAAGCCTTAGCCCCCATGTGCCATCCAGAGCATGTCCGTCTGCAATGCCTGCAGCATTCCCTGTCCCTGCACGTTCCAGTCTCAGCTCAACGCCCAGTCTAGCTTGACAGCCATATGCAGCACAGATACGCCCACTGCACCATGATACCAACTGCGATCATTCCTGGATCCAACCTAGTTCAGACCGGAGCTCTCTTCTTGTCGTTCATTCTATATAATACATCTTTGTTCATACCTACTTGTGCGTTTCATCCTGCGGTCACACCATCTGTCATACACAATGTTCCACGCGTCTACTCAAGCATTCCCATCTCGTCAATCACGATCACCGCCGATAGATGACATGATCGCTGGACCCGAGATCACCATCATGTCTAATGGTTTAAAAGGAGTGTCAAAAGCTCGGAAGATGAGAGCTTCTTGCGACGCCTGCTCCCGTGCTAAGGTATTCACTCCGCATTTTGGCAAAGTGACGACATTTTCTGACACTGTTTGCAGGTTAAATGCGACAAAGTGCGACCGACATGCCACCGATGCGGCACTATGAGCATCTGTTGCAACTACTCACCTTCCATGAGGTATGTCAACTATATTTCTGACTTGAGGCTCGAACTCACGCATTCTCAGGTTGGGAAAACCTCGCAAGAACAGAAACTTCGATGGATCTATCAAGCGCGATATATCGCCCGCAGGCTCCTATGCACCTCTCGGAGCCAGAGTGGATCTGTTTCCACGTACTACATCGTACACGTATGAAAGTTCTCCGGAGCCGACAGACCCCTTCTATTTCGGTCCTCGTACCCCAGAATACCACTACAAGGATGCATTCGTGGGGAACACATTCGATGGTAGCCAATCTTCCAGATCTTCGGAAGGTATCAGCTCGCACTCAAATGTTTGGCCGAGCGGTGAACAAATGCTATTTGCACATCAGGCGGAGATGTTTGCTCCCGTACCACAGTATCCTCCATCACACGCGGCCTTTCATGGACATGCCCGATCAACCAGCTTGCAAAGCCAGCCTGAGATGCTGGCATCACTGGATCCAACCCAAACCTCGGCAGCCTTTAATCATCAGTTTCTTGATGTGCTAGGACCAGATAATGCAAAACAAGAGAAGATAATGGCTTCGCCGCCGCCGATGATATCTTCCCCTCTACCGACACCACCAGCTTCCCATATCCTCATGAGGCACGATTGTACCCAGTTCGCCTTCCAGATACTATGCAGCCTATATGCTCCGCCTGAGACTCAGTCTGCTGCTGGAGACTTCAACTCGCTCGATAGTCTCCCTACATCGGGATCAGTACTCTCAACCAACACAGCGGCAGTGGACAGACTCTACACGCTATTGAGTTGCGAATGCTCATCGAACCCCCACTACTCAGCCACGATCAATCTAATCATCGTGAAAATACTGTCTTGGTACCAAGCGATCGCTGGTAGTACTCAGCAAAACGAATGTTACTCCATGGAGACTCACGTGGATGCCTTGGCCCCTCGTCGTATGTTCAATGGCCTCTTGAGCTCCGAACACGAACACACCTATCAATCAAATCACATTCTGGCTGAGCTCTGCAGGGTGGAGAAGCTGATTGACAGATTTGCTGAGCGCTACTGCAATCCGGCCAATGCCGCCGACACAGGCATCCATTGCGGCGTCTACGTGGCCATGGAGAAGTCGCTTCGAAGCTGCGTACGCGATACTTTTAGAATCACCATGTCAACTGCGCCAGAGAACGTCAAGCGTCAGATGGCATCGCGGACCCAGAGCTGCTTACGCATTAACACAATATGATCTACATGGCTGCATCTTCAGCGATTTGTAATTCCTTGTACTAGATGATAGGACTCCGCGCATGTCCCCCACCAGCATATCTATTGGGAAGGCTCTAGCGATTGTCGTTTCCTTGCATCGTCCTCAGCCGCACTTCCTCCATCCCCGCCTAGTCTTCCGACGGCTGTACGCACGCTCAATTGCCAGTTCCTTGGAGGGCCTAGGCGTCCCAACAGAGCGGGTGGAGAGTGATGGTCGAAGGTTCCTCAATGTATCTTCATTGGTGCATTTGTAATGTGTTACCTACCATGAGCCATGGCTTACTATCACGCGTAATGGAACATCTTTCAGCTAACTCGTTATGCGAGACCGCTTTGACAATCTCCGTTTGCGCATCTAGCTTCGGATTGCGTGCATCATCTCACCTGTGCCCCACCTATTGATTGCGCTCAGCACTATACCCAAGAATTCCACATTTGCGAACTGACCTCCACTAGCGGAGACAACAGCGAAGAAATTTTCAGTGCACTAACGCTTATAGGGGAATGCTTTGTACAGGTCTATCCTATACTTCCATCGATTGAATCGATAGGTACCATAAATCAGCGCTGCCGACATGTTTCTTATCCGACTGAAGCAGAACATTCTCCATAAGCAAAACCAGGTATGTCGACTGCATCTCAATCGCGAGTCTATTACCCGTATCTCGGGTTCGCTTCTAAAACATGCGCATGGGGCACAAACAGGCTGCGCTGATTGATGAAGTCTGTGCATACTGTGCCGGGCGCTTGGGATGACAGGACCACTCTCTGTTGGTATCTTGCAAGATCGACATGGAGGACGATCGAGCAATTGTTAGCAATCATGAACATAGCATGTTAGCTCGCTAGAGATGCAACCCGTGACGGGTAGCTGATGTTGCGAACGTTCGTGATGGCAAGTGAGTATTTACATTGTAGACTCGAAGCACGAGCAAGTCAATCAAGTCAAATCACTGCACAACTATCACCTATCACTCTAGCAACTCTTTTCTCGCATTCTTCAAGCATAAAGTTCGGAATATCCACCACATCATCCCCACCACACCTCCCGCCCGCGCTTCCCGCCGAACACCCGCTCTTGACTCAAGCTCCCGCAGGATGCGTGGGAGGTTACGCGCCACCTAAACATAGGCGTAAGATAGCCTGCTGCCTTTTCACAAGTTTACACGCTTTCACCAATCGCGGAGGCGAAGACATGGGTGATTGTGTGGATCGCAGGAATGTAAGGATTATCGGGGCCGTTCCTGTACCCGGTGTAGGGGTGGGGATTGGACAGGTGGCTTAGACACGCAGACGAACTAGTGCTGAGGCGCGTCAGCTATCGGTCCGGCTTAGCATGTTGTGAGGGTGCGGTGGTTTGTATATTATGGAGAGAGGGTAGGCCAGAGGGTTGGTGTTCGTGATCTGGAATGGTTCTGGGAAAAATGAATTGAAGATGTTGGAGTGGGGGAGCAACGGCGTGAAGCTATCCAGAGCCGGTTGTGATCGGTACGGGACTGTTGCGGCGGGCCGATGCCGCCCGGCACGCGCATAGCCACACGTACCTACATCTACCGACAGACTAGAGCGCCTAACGCCCACTTCTCCAATCCCTTAGGCCATCGTTTCCACGATGGATAAGACATATGACGCAACATGTTCTTTCCTCGTCGACCTACCTTGTCGTTTCTCTCACATCAGCCCCCGCCGACCATTACACCGGCACCCCGCTTCATTGGACGGGAGGCCTTGCAAAGTGATGCCCCAAAGCGGTGCGGGCACTGCCTACTTGGGCACATGAGCAGTGCAGGACCTACCACAACCGGCTGGGCAAGGCGCTATGCGTGGGTGCTTACTGGTTAATTAGATTAACCGCATGTGTACGATATTTGCATAGTGGGAAAAATGATGGGCCAATAATTTCTATAGATGGTTACAGGCAGGTTGACGAGTCACACGAGGCAACTCCGCCAGCCCCCGAATGGATTTCTTTGCATGTTTGCAAATGCGTCGCGGCGAAGCAAACGTCGATAGTCTACCACGAGCTTCAAACTTCCAAAAATGCTGATTGTGCGAAGGAACACAGGTGCTTCGATCACTCCGCTGCGGTTTCCGGTCTTACTCAAACTTGCCCACTGTTCACTGAACTAGACGTCGGAGACTACTCCGCACGACGGCGTGGCGGCCCGCGCAAATACTCTGTTTCTGACTCATAGAGTTCATTAAACATCGCCCGTTAGGTGCCAGCTCTTGAAGCAACCAACGCACCCATCGCAGCCATCAAGATGCAGTATCGTCTCGCACGCATGTGTGGTAGCACGAGAGTCACCGCACTTTGAGCCATGTGGCTGCTTGTGCCATGGTCGTGCAAACCCCGATCCAACGGTGTGGGATATCATCGGTGAGCAGGAAGCAGGGCAAAGGTACAAGTAGCAAGGAAGTAGCTTCCGCGGTGAGAGAACTAGGGATATAGCAATTCAGATACGTAGTTGGTGAAGAAGCTGAGCATACCACACACTGATATCTCTGCTGACGTAGCGGCCTCATGGTTGGCTGTGCAAAATGTTCATGATGACGCAGTGCTACGGACTAAGTCAGGGTGAAAAAAAGTATACGAGCAAATTTCCCCGAAATCGTGGTAAAATATATGAAGACTCTCAATGATTCTTGCAAGATTAGTATGCTAACGTAGAATTAGCGGCCATTACCACTTTGTAAGAGACAAAACGGACATCTTTATGCTGATTCATGCTTCGATTACGCTGATAACGGTTTCTCACTTGTCAAAGCTGGCACGGACTCCTTCTCTCGCGTGCTCATGGCTGACGGCATGGGGCGAATCCTCCAACAGCTTCACACACCTCCACTCAGCATTATCGGAACCAACGAGAGGGATCTCAAGCATTCCGCCTACGCTTTCACCATGTATGAAAATCCTTTTGCTTCTGATCACGATCGGCAAACAGCCAGAGTTGTTCCTTCCACCATGCTTCAGAAGCAAGTGCACCTTTGTGGCACCTTTGCTCCGAATCTGAATGGATGACACCCTTCTCGCATAGTTGGCCGAGTAATACCTGTTCAGGTTCCACAAAGATCTATTCCTGGACACCTCATCCAACTCGCTGTCCAGTTAATGACATAACATGAACACCCCCAAGCACTGCACTCTCTAGCAGAGATGAGGTTCTCTAACGACAAATGCCTCGCTGTCCTTTGATCAAAACTGCATTTTGCGCTTCTAAGGCGTAGTTTCAGGTCACTCCAACGGGCGTTATGGAACGATCCCAATCTGACCTGTGCCATGATAAGCCAGGTCAGCAGGGCTAGTACCAATCGCAGCCCGATCACATTTGTACCATTTCCATACGGCACGAACATCAACATAAAACTGATCTCATCGTTGCACCTTCTTCTATTCCATGAGCGGGGACTTCGAAGAATCAAGGTAAAGTCACGCAGTACAAAAGCTTGGACGTAAGAATCTGCAGAAGACATTCAACCCGGAAGTTACGATAGCGAGACAGTTGATCGACTACTCCATATGCGCATGGTATGGCGGTCACTTCTCTTTGCAACTTACCCATGCCTTATCCCAATTTCACTCATCTGCCTGGATGGAGAACATACCTGTGAGTCAGACCGTCGTACTTGTGTAGATCCTCCTAAATAACAAATCTAACTCGACAAGACTGCAAATATAGAGAGAATAGAGATTGGGATATATAAAGATATATACTAGAGTCTACTCTACCACAACTCCAAAAGCATCCCGCAACTTCTTACGCAATCGCAGACACATTATCTGCCTCCCTGACGTTCGAATCAAACTCTCTAATGGCAATCTCCGCCTTCTCCTGTTGCATCTGCTGACCTGCGCCGGACGCGGCTTTCAGACCCTCAGCCATCGCTATCACTGCCTGCTTCATTACAACCATTGCATCGCCCGCGGCAAACACCCCTCTCACACTTGTCTCATTGAACTGACTCGTGATCTTGATATGTCCACCGATAGCTGGGTCCACCGTCTCAATACCCAGCTGCTCGATAAGATGCTGTGATCTATTCACAGTGGCTGGGCGATGCACAATGAAGCCCACAGTCACTGGATCGCCTGTATCGAACTCGATAGTTACACCCTCCTCATGTGAGGGTCCGTTGTTGATAAGACGCACAATCTTGCGGGAATCGACTTTCGCGCCAACGCCTCGGGCGACCTTCAGCGCTCGCTGAACAGGAGGGTCGTCCGCAATAGCGCCGTTACTGAAGATGGTAAGCCTGTCATCGAATGCTCTGGCCATCTGGATGAGATTTGCTTGTGATGGATGCTTGAACTCGAGGATACCGATAGGAGTGCCGCGCTGCTCGAAGCCGTCGCATGCTAGACATTGGTAGATGTGATGTGGCCAGTTCTCCTTGTAACCCGGAATGTCTGGTAAGATGTCCTTTGAACCGGTTGCAAGGATCAGCTTCTTCCCAAGGTAGGTCTTGTCGTTACTGTCGCGGACTTCAAAGCCGTCGTATTTTTCTTCCCCGATTTGCTTTTTGGTAGCATGAGTGATCTTGCTTTGTTGGAACCAGACAGTGTCGTATCGAGATTTAATTTGTTCCCGAGCAGTGCGACGAAAACTCTGTGGGTCATGGTGGTCTCTACTGGCAATAGTATGCATGTGCTTGATTCCCTCGTTACGGTATTCCTGGGAGTCAAACACTATTGCTGTGCCCCGAGTACGTGCGAAAAGCAGGGCGGCATTTAGTCCCGCAGGGCCTGCCCCAATGATCAGAAGATCCACCACGTGTGGTCGTAACGCAGCCATGGCTCTAGACTGAGATATGCGCTTCGGTAGACAGATGAGGCAGTTTTTGGGCTGTCGTTGTGTAGAAGAGAAGAGACGAAGAATGAGTGCAGATGTCTGATATCGCTGGCACTCCACCATCTTATAACTGTTTGCTGCAGGCCTATACTACTAGCGTTCAACGTGCCTTGCACTCGCGCGTCATTAACAACACCACAGATTACTATAGTAGCCCTGGTAAAGACCTTTGCTAGGAAACCTTTACTCTTAGAGCATGTTGCGAATCAGTCACGAGCCAAGGCTCTGGGCTAGTATTGCTCGGTCTTATTCCGTTACAGAATAAGCTTCTAAGAGAAGAGCTAGATCACTTTACTGCTAAGCGCATTTCGACAATGGATTAGTCAACTTCTAAATTTGATATCCTGACATGTCCGCGTCCGCCGGAACCCGACTGCATATTCGCGGTTACAAGTTACCTGCACCATTGCTACTAATCAGCAAGAACCCCAGATCCACGACTCATTCTTCAAATTATCATCCATGTCCCTGAACACAGTGTCTTCACGTACGCTCTGATTGCAGTTTAACGGCCGTGTGCAGTTTTTACTTTGCGCACGTTCGCATCGACCTGTTCGTGCCGTTACAAAACATCGTATTGGATGCCAACACACATTTCATTTCTATTTTGATGTTGATGCTGGCTCCAACAGGATCTCTCCACCCAAACACGGCGTCGCACAGCCACCGTTCGATGTGCGCTAATCATACCTCAATACTGTCGGCCAGCTGAGTCATCGTCATCTCTCCTGTGTCTTCGGAGTACTCATCGTTCATTTACTGAAATAGCATTCCCTGCTCTGAGTCCTACTTCTTCCCGTTCATCCTCGCGAGAAAAGATACTGTCGAGTCAATTACCGGCTGACCAAATAAGGTAGCATTCAAGCTGCATACCATTGATTGCAATCATACAAAGCTGAATTCTGGCATCTGCATGTCAATCCCCGTGTCGATAAAACCATTCAAATATCGTGACCCCGCAAACCAGTCTTGAATCGAATTATGGCTCACACCTCCGGTGTCATAGCGCGTGCCTGATCCATCAGATCCTGATACGTTATCCACCTCGAGTTCTGGGACGTAGAATTCTTGTCCCTGGGTTGTCATACCTGGCGCATGTTCCGCCGTCGACCACATGGGGTCAGACACAAAGCCAAGAGCGCTCAGGTGCGGGCCAAATTGTGCAATGGTATCAAGGTCGATTGGGGCGTCTGCATTTATCGCATCAGTGTATCCTTGTTCCGAGCCCAAGGACGATGGCATTTGGGCATTCTGACGCTCTTGGATCTTTGCCTGGATGTAGAAGCCAGCAACTTTCGAGAAGAGGAGACACATCTTGTACAGCTTTTCTGCGCCTGCAGAGAATTCTCGACACGACTCGAGACTTGTGACGAATTCTGCAAGAGACTTCAGATCTGTGGGATCAGTTTGCTGTATCGCATTGCCGAACAAGACCATGAACCTGATGGGGCTGGATTAGTGCATCGGTATGTAATCTTAGAGATCGTCTTACGGTGTGAGTGGAGCCTGTAATGACGTTAGTGTGCTGAAAACGTTGAGGTACGTCTTCAGAGTTCTTCGGTACTAGACATACCTGGAGGATTGACCACTGAACGTATCCTGCCCATAACTCTGTCTTCTCACCAGTGTTGAATTTAGCGTTACTTCGCATATGTGCTGTAAGCGCAGCTCGGGAAGATTCAAGACATTCTTGGCTAAAGGTGCTGTTGTCCAAGCTTGTTGCTCGCTGTATGAGTGCGCAGGTCGAGTAGTGCACTACAACGTCGGCGTAGAGGAAGACGCCCTCTAAGCGACTGGAAACACCTAACACATATCAGTTGAACGTTTTCATTGGCGTTCAGTGCAACTGACTCTGCGTATTCGTATCGGGCTCCAAAGCGACTTGGCTTTCATGCCGAAGTTTCCTGCGCTTGGACGGCACTTCGGTCTCGTTTAAGCTCAGATTCTTCTTCATGTCCATGATGGTTCCTTGTCCTCGTTCACTCCAAGCCTTATTCATCGCTTCTACGAGAGCAGCGGCGGTCCGGGATCGCTCTTCGGACGGCTTGCGGAACGCAGCTGGACTGTAAAGTTTTTCGTAGATCTGCCCCGAGACCCTAGCCACCTTGACCCAGTAAATCAACTTGTCGCCTCCTTTAAAGCCATTGGGCGCTGTCTCCCTCATAGCGAGTAGAGGTAACGACACATCCCAATCATGGATTCGAGTCACGCGGCCTAAGCGCAGTGACAGTTGCTTTTCAAACATGCACACAAACCAGAAAATGTGCATCTTAAATCTCTGTTCTTGTTTTGTATCATGCTTCATCGTTTCGAATCGGTGGTAGCCTAGATTTTGGCATAATTCCGCGGCGTTGGAGACTAGAACCCAAGCAAGCGAGGGCCTACACTGCTGAATCGCGCAGGCTGTGCCTACACAAAGAGCTACAGCATTCTCATAGGTCGCTGAAAAGAACATTCCGAGTTCACTCAAGGCGATTTCCATATGGTTTTTGGCTGTGTTTGACCTGCGTTAGCGGGTATGAAGGTAGTGAAGATGTGTACGGCTTTACCTAGTAGAGCATACCTCAACACTGTCAGCGATATTATCATTGGGAAAAAGTGGCGTATCATAGCTACACATACTCTTTCAAGGTCTTCCTATCGATACCACTCCATGGCGTCATCGAGAACCACGTGAAGAGATTGAAAAGCACACCATACGCTAGAAGGCGGCGCATAGTGCCGCATGAGGTCGGACGGAAATAGGCATCCTCAATAATCTCACACAATGTTTCCAGCTTCAGCATCGAAGACAAATTAGCGAACATCAAGTTCGGTGCCTCTGTAAGAAAGTCAGCGGTTTCCTAGGTTATCTGGAACAGGCTGAATGACTCAAAGCTTTGTCTAAAACAGACGTCACAACCTCCCAAGGAGGTCGTCCTAGCGTTTCACTATCAACACTTGCAAGGGAGCGGTCGAGCAAGGGTTGGTTGAGTGAAGTCGTTAAAGCTGTGTCATGGTTGTGCCGAGTGACCAACTCCTCCATTGCTGTCAACGCGGCTTTGACCTCTGCATTCTGACCCACTGACGGTGTTTCGCCTACTACTTGGACAAGCAGATTTCTGACATAGTCTGACTGCGTGTTGTTTCCAGTCTTGCCTTCGAAATGCGCCGGTGTCTCCATAGCCGGAACGACAATGCTGTCAAAAAGTCGGCTTTGCTGCGTCCTTATCTGGCTAACCGACTCTCTGGAAGCTGAAGGAGTCTGGTTGTTCTCTAACTTGGAGGCGATACTGGCAAGAGCATTTTCGATGTTGGTAAGACGGTCGTCGAGGCCATCTATCTTCTTCTCACTGGACAAATTAGACATCGGCCCAAGGACGGCTTGGAAGACGTACTATTCTTGAGAAATATGAATTCGCCTATGGCCCTTTTCTGGAAGAGCCGTGGTTCTGCAGACTTGGCTCGTCAGCAGCCACGTTGAACCGTAAGACATACGGTCTGTTCATCGAACCAGGGCGCTTGACCAACGACACAACTCATCGCAAAGACCAAGTGTGTGCTAGCATCTTCACTTACTACTCTTGTTTGCTCTACATTGCGAGCATGGCACCTGCCTATCGCATCGAGTTTTCTTGGTTCTGCAGGAATCACACTTCGAGCGGGCCGTTAGGGCTGTAGCATCATATGGATGACCGATCGTACCGCACGTTTGCCTGTAGCCCCTTCAGGCAATTCATCCATGTCTCCATCCATATCCGCCGTTGTAGAGGGTCAGTAGGAACTCGAAGTTACGCTGTTGACACGTGTACGTTGAGACTGACAAACTAGTTCCGGAACTTGAGTTCCAGGCCCGTGCAGGCCCAATGTAGACCCAAACCTTAGAACCCATGAGGCAGCATGAATCCCCGGGGTCCGCCGGACCCGGCGACCCGGCGACACGCCGAAGGAGATTCTAGGCTTTCCGCGTCGCTGCGATGGAAGAACATACTTTGTTGACTGCAACATGGCCTCGCTGACAATCGCTTCAACATCGATTGTCTCATCTAGAACATGGGTATCTACTATTAAAGGGAAATGTTGGTGTTCTCGTCAGCACAGGCTCCTGCCGCGTCCGCCGGAACCCGACGCGTCTCTTGACCACCTTTATACCGCATTGTCCCATCTCATCCCATCGGTGTTCCATCTTGCATATCCTCTGCTACTACCACATCATCCCTCACCAGTCACGTGAACCAGTGGTTGTAGAGACGGTCAGTATATCCGCCAAGCTGGCTTTTGGGTCTTGGTACAAATCTGCTTCAAGGAAGTCTCTCGCAATTTGCTCCTAATTTCACGTCAGACAGTACTCTCAGACGCATGATGTCACATACCGCTTCTTCGAGTTCCGCAGCTTCATCTTCTGGCATCTGACAACAGGCAGCCACAAGATCCTCACCTCGCATAGAAAGCAGTATGAGGTTCTCTGCACGTTGAACGATCTCCGGAGGAACGCCATTCAGAGCCGCACAGCATGTACCGAAACTTGAAGTACTGCGGCCCTCGCGGAAGTTGTAGAGGTACGTTATTTGATCGCTGACTTTCGAAGCTTCGACATCGATGCGTACCTCCATGTGGCCGAAGGCGAGCGCAGGCCTAGGCTTGAGTAGGCTCATCTCGAACATTTCGTGGAAATGCGTAGCACCTATCACTTTTGGCCGCTCAGAGCCTAAGCTCAGTAAGTGTTCCATGACTGCGCATGCTAGACCGGCTCCATCGCTGGACTCAGTCCCCTTGCCAAACTCGTCTATAATGAGCAAGCTTCGGCGGGTAGATAGACTCAGCGCGAGTGACATCTGCTGGAGATCTATCATGAAGGCACTCTGGGCACGAGATACTGTTTCGCGGGTCGTGACTCTAGATAGGATCTTGTCTGTCAGTCCGATCTTTGCGCTGTCTGCAGGAACGAAGCTTCCGATATGCGCCATGTATACGATGAGGGCGACTTGTTTGAGGTAGACGCTTTTGCCCGAGTAGTTAGGTCCAGTCAGAACGAGCATACTTGGGCTGTCCTTGTGGTCGTATGTGTGGCAAGCTGCAGAGCTGGTGAGTGTTTGAGTTATAGTGCCGCAGCTCTCATCGGCTTCTTCAAAGCTTCCATCACCCTCGCCGCCTCTCAAGTATGTATCATTCGCGACAAAAGATGGTACAGTAAGCTCTTGCAGTATGTGCCTGCACCAAAGTCAGCGGCTATGCCTCAAGTGTGGATAAGAAGACTCACCGCCCCCCTTCGATGCGTACGACATTCTCGCGTGTCATACGAGGGCGACAGAGCTTGTAGATCTTCGCGCCTTGCGCCAAGGCTAGCAGACTATCCAGCTCTCCGCAGATGTCCGAACAAAATGTCAATAGTTCTTCATATTGCAGCAAGAACTGAGCGAGTTCATGGCTGATCTCAATTTCGCGATCTGAGATGATACCGTATACGTCACCGAAGTGATCATCCATTTCTCGCGTTTCGCTGTTCTTGAAGTAGACTTGCTCTTCGGTAGAGAACATCCTCTCCCAAGGACTGTCGAAAGTACCGTCATAGACTGCATTCCCGGTCACTTGATCGACGGGGGTAGTGCAGAGAAAGCCGATCTGCGGGAAGTAGATGACATTCAGCGTAGCTCTTATGTTAGAAGGCATCTTTTCGGACAGCTTCCGCGCAACCCGATTGAGGAAGTCGTCGAGACTGTCCAAAGTGTGCTTCATCTGGTCCAGCTCCTCGTCAACCCCTGGTATGATGATGGTGCGACCTTCTTCTGTCGAACGTTCCAAGTCAATGGTCTCGCTGATCCTCCTTCCGATCTGAGCCAGATGGTACCCTTCAAATTGCTCAATCACCTTGTTCCTAATTGCCAAAGTCTCTCCACGGATAACATCCAGCAGCGTGTCCTTGATCTTGAGTGCATAGAATACGAACGCTCGGATTGATGTCCATATGCTTTTGGAGAAGCCTCTGGCCCCTTTTGTCGAACCACCCACACCTTTTCTCAGGTTTACCATCATGACACGCATGTTGCCAACACTCCTCAAACTTTGTACGAGACTTTGTAGCGGAGGATCGTTGTCTGGGCGAGTGAAGACCCCAAGAGCGCTCAACCTTTCGTTGATCACATCAAGGTTGAGGCTAGGACGAAGGAACTGCTGCCGAAGTAGGAATCTTCCTTGCGGCGTCCGCGCTAGGTGATGGAATAGACCATACACAGACAGGCCCTCTTTTTCACCAGAGCTGGTTTTGGTCGGCCCTTTGTTGTGCGAATGCGGATGGGATTCGGCACCCATGATCTGTAGAGAGTGAAGTGTGTCTGCGTTGATGAACATCGTCTCCCGCAGACTGAACATCTCCAAAGTTGCGATATGGAACATCAAGTATGCTGCACGGTCACCTGGAAGGTATGCAACAGCGCGTCGACGTTGAAGATACGATACGAGTGCTCCGGCGCAGCCAACCTACTCAGTATCAGTGGCGTGTATTCCTGCGAGGAACGAACATTACTGTCGAACGACTTTCAAGGTCGATCCAACCTGCAAGCCGGAGCAGCTGACCTTGTTGACCAGTCGGTCCCTCTTCATCCAAGTGATCCATAGGCACAATCTCTCCCGGAATTCTGAAGCTGACGCGAGTGCCATGTTCCTGGCCTAGGCGCAGACTGACGAGCTTGTTTTTCCCAACCTCGTAAGTGAACTCGTTTGGTGGTCTCACCTCTAAGATGAATGGAAGGCGAAATTGATCGTTGTCACTATGTGCGTAGTCGGCATTCGCAGCCTCTGGGTCAAAGCGTTCAATCACCTTGTCGTCAATTTTTGTCGATACCAGAATCACCGTCGGCTCGATGAATGTTCTTACTGTGGTTTCGTTAGTAGCCCACCCACGTTTAGTGTCGAAGAACATACGGGCTTCGATGACATCAACATCTCCACACTGAATGTCTTCCATGAAGTACAGCTTCTCTTCTCTTGCGACATAGTAACAACATCCCACCGTACCACGCGGCGTCAGATCAACGGCCATGATAACCTCGATCAATGTGTCATCATTCTCTTCGGCTTCATTACGAGCTTCGGAAGGCGTGTCCGTTGACGTGTCCGGAAAAGGTCCTCTTCGAACCTGTTCGCGAGGCCTGCTCGGTCCAGAGGGCGCATTGGAAGCGGCACGCTTAGAGGAAGCCCGCGAACTGCTGGTGGAAGCGGGCGTGCGACTGATCTGACTACTGTGATTGCTGCGAGAAGAAGCGCTACTGCGACTACCCTGATGCCGACGCGGAGGCCTGATAGTATGATCGCGCGCCATCGCCTTGATCGAGGATGGAATTTTGCTGGTCACAGCACTTTGGTGAGGTAAGAGAACAGTGAATGAAGTGAGTTGAGAGGAAAAGAGGAAGTCGCATGCAAGCGACTACGTGACGCGTGCCTTCCGCAAGAACAAGATACTGAACATGATCAGGGTATCTTATGCATTGTTACAGTCTACAGAGAGGAAATTGTTTACCTACAAACACCGCTAATGCTACATTATTATGTACACGCAATAGTACAGTTTACAGTCTGTTATACAGTCATATCGTCGTTAGTCATACTGGTTCATGCGGCAGCGACGGTGAGACCGGTGCCTTCCTCGTCGATGGCGACCTTGGCCGTGTCCCCGCTGCGAATCTCTCCACGGATTATCCTGTCCGCTAAGCTGTTGCCGATCTCTCTTGCAATGAGCCTGTTCAGTGGCCGAGCACCGAACTTCGGGTCGTATCCCCGATCACACAGCCATTGCTTGGCCTCGTCCGGACATTCTAATACGATTCTGCGATCGTCAAGTCGCTGCTGCAGCTCCTTCAAACGGATGTCAACGATATCTCTGAGCGCTTCGCGTGACAGACGGCGGAAGACAATGAACTCGTCAAGACGGTTGAGGAATTCCGGCGGGTATGTGGTGGAAACGACATCCATAACAGCGCTGCGTACTGCTGGCGAGATCTCGCTGGAGTCCTTGTCTACCGAGTGCAGGACGTCATCGCCAACGATGATATCGGCTCCAAGATTCGATGTCATGACGATGATGGTGTTACGGAAATCAACCTTGTGGCCCTGAGCATCCGTGAGGAACCCTTCGTCAAGCACTTGCAAGAGTAGTGTTGAGATGTCTTTGTGGGCCTTCTCCCATTCATCGAACAGGAGGACTGCATAAGGCTTTCTTCGGACAGCTTCAGTGAGCTGGCCGGCGTCTTCGTACCCAACATAGCCTGCAGGAGAACCGATGAGGCGCGAGACGGTATGCTTCTCGCTAAACTCGCTCATGTCGAATCGAATGACAGCCTGGGGAGTGCTGAAGAGATACTCTGCCAACCTCTTGCAAACTTCAGTCTTTCCTACACCAGTTGGTCCCAACATCATGAAAGAAGCGATGGGCCGGTTCTCGCCAGATAGGCCAGCTCTCTGCAGGCGAATGGCATTTGCAACAGACTTTAGAGCCTCGTCCTGGCCCTTGACGTATTGCCGTAGAGTGTCTTCCATGTGAATGAGCTTCTCACTCTCGCCCGAGTTGAGCTTGGACAGCGGGATGCCAGTTGTACGGGATACGACAGACGCGATGTCGTCTGCAGTAACAGAGTCATGCAGTAAAGAGCCCTGACGATTGGCCCCTGCAGTAACTTCTTCGTCTTTGGGAAGCTTCTGCTCTAGTTCAGGGATCCTGCTGTATTGCAGCTCACCAGCCTTCGCAAAGTTGCCCTCTCGGCGGGCTTGCTCAAGCTCGAGCTTCGCCCTCTCAAGGTTCGTCTGCGCGTTTTTTATCTCATCGAGCTCGGCTCGCTCCTTTTCCCATTTCTCAGTCAACACCTTCACTTCGTCTTGCTTTTGTTTCAGAGTTTGCTCAAGACGCTCACGACGCTCTTTGCTGGCGATATCGGTCTCCTTGCGAAGTGACTCAAGCTCGATTTGAATTGTCATGATCTGGCGGTCGAGCTCTTGGATCGCGTCGGGCTTGCTCTCTTGCTGGAGACGTAGCGCACTGGCAGCCTCGTCTACCAAATCAATAGCCTTGTCCGGAAGGAATCGGTCTGTGATATATCGGTTACTGTACGAAGCAGCGGCGACTAGAGCGTTATCGGTAATGCGCACACCATGATGAACCTCGTATCGTTCCTTGATACCGCGCAGGATCGAGATAGTGTCTTGTACAGTCGGCTCGCCTACTAGAATTGGTTGGAATCGTCTCGCAAGCGCTGCGTCCTTCTCAATCTGTCGGTATTCGTTGAGTGTTGTCGCTCCACAGAGTTGTAGCTCTCCACGGCTAAGCGCAGGCTTCAGAAGGTTGCTAGCATCAATGCTACCCTCCGCTTTACCCAAGCCTAGCAATGTGTGTAGCTCATCCACAAATAGTATGACACCCTTGTTGGCCTCCTCGACTTCCTTCAAGACGCTCTTGAGTCGCTCCTCGAAATCTCCCCGGAACTTCGCGCCGGCAATAAGAGATCCGAGGTCGAGGGAGATGACGCGCTTGTCTTTGATCGATTCGGGTACGTCACCTTTTACGATGCGCTGTGCTAGACCTTCAAGAATCGCCGTCTTTCCTGTTCCTGCAGAGCCTATCAAGACAGGATTGTTCTTTGTTCGTCTCGACAGAATCTGGATAGTACGTTGGATTTCGCCGTCTCGTCCGATGACTGGGTCCAGTTTGCCATCACGCGCTCGCTCCGTAAGATCTACACCATATTGTTCCAAAGCAGGCTTTTCCGGCTCACCACCCAGGTTCATGCGATGCGTTCCACCTGGAGGTTGCGGTCGGCCTCCACTTGCATATGTCCTCGACGAAACAAGCGGTCTCAAGAGCTTTTGTTGCTGAGGCAATCGTGATGCGGATGCGTTGAGACATAGCGGCGATGTACGAATGAGAAGTGATCGTGGGATGGAGGGTGAGGCGATGCGCCTCGCGACTATGCGTGCTCTACTGGTCAGCATGACGATGTCGGAGTCAGAAAACGAGCAAGAGTCAGATTGAGGAAGACGGAAGTGGCATCATTATATTCGTGACTGATGGGGCGAGCACAGGCTTCGGCGAAGATGCGCGGTGGTTCGACAGCTTTCTACGCGTCTATGAGCAAACATTTTAGGCTTCAACATCCACAGCCAATGCAGGCAAAAGCCGAGGAGAACAGGTGGGACCGACTCGTATGCATGCGAGGTCCAGATGCATAAAGGTAAATGACTGTGGCTGGCACTGTGTCTTCGTCGCTGTCATTGTCGCGGGCAGGGAGGGGCACGTGCTAGCGCCAGGGCTAGCGTGTTTTTCTCAGCGCAATTTCCTCCATCAAAAACTGCGGTCGTCCCTCTCTTTCTCGACACAACAACTTCATTCCTCCATTCCATACTCGCAACCACACAACTGCAAATATGGGTTTCACCGATCTCGTCTCCGAAGCAGGCCTGACTCTCCTGAACAACTATGTCAGGACCCGCAGCTACATCGTTGGGTAAGTTCCTACCCCGCCTCGCATTTCGTCCCGCCTTGTATTTTCCCACTGCATCGCGTCGCACTCCCACCCTTTCATGATGAGAACAATTGGTCCGTGTTAATGAGGCGGCTTAAGACCCCGCTATCTGAATACAAAACCACGCGCTTGTCGCAACTCTGATCCATCCCTTGTTTCTGCTGCATCTTATCCAGACACCTTGGAGGAGTCATCAGCTAACATACCTCAGCTACTCCCCATCGCAGGCCGATGTAAAGGTCTACCAGCAGATCAAGCAGATCCCTGCTCCCGAGAAGTACCCATACGCATGGAGGTGGTACAACCACATGCTCACCTTCGAGGCCGAGTTCGACTCCCTCCCCGGTGACCCAACCAAGGACTTCACTGCCTACGGCCCCGAGTCCTCCGAGCTCACCCTCAACCCCGCCAAGGCCCCTGAGAAGGAGGCCGACGACGACGACGACGAGGTCGACCTGTTCGGCTCCGACGACGAGGAGGAGGACGCTGAGGCTGCCCGCATCAAGGAGGAGCGCCTTGCTGAGTACAACAAGAAGAAGGCCGGCAAGGTCAAGCCTGCTGCCAAGTCCATCGTCACCCTTGACGTCAAGCCATGGGGTATGTTTTTTGGCTCTGCTTTATCCTACCTGTGTACTAACAGCTTCCAGATGACGAGACAAACATGGACGAGCTCAAGGCGAATGTTCTTTCCATCGAGAAGGACGGTCTCGTCTGGGGTGCCTCCAAGTTGGTCGCTGTCGGTTTCGGTATCAAGAAGCTCCAGATCAACTTGGTCGTCGAGGACGACAAGGTCTCGCTGGACGAGCTCCAGCAACAGATCGAAGAGTTCGAGGACCACGTCCAGTCCACCGACATTGTCGCCATGCAGAAGTTGTAGACAACTTCCTGTTGGCGTGCGTGATGTTATGACCTTTTGACGAAGACTATGCATGATCATGACGGACGGTTATAACGTCTTTATGAGCAGTTGCTAGACGAATACCAAAATCACGACATGGTAGAGATACCAACTTCCCACTGTGGGATCAACAACACATTTTGCCACTCATGCACTTGTGACTTGATCAATCGCGTAATAGGGATATTGACGTCGTGGGTGGATGACCGATCATGTCACGCTTCACTACACTTTGTGCCTCTGTCGAGTAATGGCTGAGTTCGGTCTTTGACCTTCGCGAACAATGCCAGAGTCTGCCTCTGTGATGTACTTAGGTGCTAGTCGCGCCTCCATACGATCGAAGGCTGGCCCATGCTCGCTGTGGAAGCTCTCGACTGCAAGCGTAGGTCCAACGCTGCAGCACACGTACTCCCGACCTTCTACCACGTGTATGAGAGTAGACAACTAAGAAGTGTCAAGGTTGCGAGGTTGACCATGACGACCATGCGCACTTTGGACTATTGCGCAAGGTAAGTATGTACAGTACAAGCTTATGATATGTGCTATATTGATAAGGTACAATCTTACAAATGAGTGGGCACTATTGCTACTACTACTACTACTACTACTACTACTACTACTACTACTACTACTTCTTTCATTCCGCCGCAAACCGTCCGCTTTTTCTGAACATGCTATCCTTCCCCTATAGCGTCAAACCGTAGGTGCGTCGAGTGAAAGGTCAACCTCAACAACTTCTAATGCAGGTGGTGGCATCTTCTTCCCATTATTCATCAGTAGACACTCGCGCCTTGCTTCTTCTTCTCCTACAAAATCATTGTATTCCGAGGCCGCAAGACCCAATGCTGCGAAGATGACGCGGTCAGTACTGGAAAGCTTGTCAAGCTTTTGGGAGTGCAACACATAATCATCTCTGTGAGCACGCCATAGAGCAACTTTTGTCCCATCTAGAAAGATCTTATAGTATCTCCATGATCCACTTGAAACATCTGAGACTGCGGTAAAACTGTAACGACAGTAGCGAAGCTTCTCAATGTCTCTCTTGATGGTGAAGCCATTTTCTATCAAGTCATTCTTCCCATGAGTATGGCAGAGGATCGCCGTCGTTAGAAGGTAGTCATTGCGTTCCATCTGTTCGTACGCAACAGAAAGAATGTGTGAGTAAGCATGTATGATGTATTTGAAGTCCAAGATGGAAGACATCCCAACATCCTCAAGTAGTACACCGATGATGGATTCAATGAAGCTAGTGCGCCAGATGGTCTCGACCAAGAGTTTGAAGTAGGGGTCCCAGGATGAGACACCATACGCAGCCAACCTTACTGCAATACCTTCTGCTCTAACATCATCAATTTGCTTACAGCCCTGGCGAGCATGTCCTACGTAGATGATTTTGCCGGAATTCTGCCGGAAAAGGCGGATCTCGTTCAGAATCCACGGGCGTAGAACGGTGGATTTCATATGTGTCCAGTCATCTCCAGTCTTATCGTAGGCAGCGAGGACCGTTATCTTCGTGTACAGTGTTGAGAACGCTACAACTTGTTCGATGAGGTCGTCGATAGGCAATGTTTGGTCGATGGAGATGATGTCGATAAACAGATATCGAATACCTCGCCGCTTTGCGACGTTTACAACACTCGCAACGTTCCAGGAACCCTTGGTTCGTAGATCTCCGTCCCAGCGCCACGAGACCACGGCGACCTGATCAGGATTGTCGAAGGGTATCTTCACTATCTGTGTAGGGAGATGCGTTTGCATGCCATCCTTTCCAATGAAGCCTGGCAGTAGCTTCTTCTCGTCAACATCTCTTACATCCAGAGCGAGCCATTCAGATACAGCTTCCGTCATCTCGAGCTACTGGAAATCATCCAAGGTTCGAGGCTGGTAGATAACGTGCATGTATTGACGCGCACTAGGGTAAGAGCGACAAGATGTAACTAAAACTAGATAAGCAACCGAAGAGGGTTTAGAGCATTTTTACGAACCTAGTATCTCTGCTTTCGCACTGGATACTCTTGAAGGATGTCAGTTTGGGAGTTTGGAGATGCTGACGCCTGCGGGGTAACTGCATCCTGTTCAGCCTCAAGAGGTCCATGGATGCCTAGCCAGAGTGAACTCAGCCTCCACCGACGACAGTGCTGCGTCCACTCATAAGACCCTCTGTATGGCGAAAACATATTTGCTAATTCAGTTACTTCGAATACTCAACGGGAAATCGAAAGATGATTCGGGGATACCGTTCAGCCACTAGTAAGACCCGAAGGCGACAATGCTGCTCTTGCCGACAGTGTGAACCCCGACTCACCGCGTCGTGCAGATGAGCCTCGGCATATGCAGCCCTGCTGCCTGTCATCACTAGTGTACATTCCTCTAGTTCTGGCGTCATCGCTATGTTGTACGAAAGACAGGGCCGAACGTGGCAGTTTATTGCCGAAAGAAGTTGGTGGCTACTTATGGTCGACGCGGCTTCGCTCCTTCGGCATCCCAAAACGCCCGACGGCTCGACACTGTACACTGGACACCGAACACCGAACAACATCAAACATTGGAGACAGCTTGAATGCCACACGTAGCATCGCTAGTTTCTTGGAATCATGATGTAGAAGAGAAAAAAGCTGTTATAAACAATATACACTATAGAAGTCGCTCCCGTTGTCTCAAGCAAAACTCGCGCTTTCCTTCTCGCGAGTATACCTCACCGGCTGTTCGGTGTCTTGTAAAGTATCCGATCCGTTAAAAGCGAACTTCCGCTTCAGTGAGATAACGGTGCGGAGGATCGGACGTTCGTGCGTCTGTGATCCAAATGCTTCAGCATATGAATCAAGCATAATGTATACCATACGCTTAGAATGTTTGGATCACATACTATCGCATCATACTCAAAGCTACTACTACCATGGATGACCAAGACCGTTATGCGGAGAAGAGTGAACGATATGCTGGCCAAGATCACTTCCTACAGGCACATACGCCCATACCAGAGCTAGACGAAGAAAAAGAGGGTAATATTACACGTACTGGTACCTCTTCAAGTACAGCAACCGACTCAAACACAACACCGGATACCTCAGAAGCGAAACCCAGACCACCTCCCGAACAGCCCTCCAACACCGATAACCTCCACCACCACACGTCAACCTTGAGTCGCATCCACACACAACGAAGCCAACACTCCCACACCGTGGGTTCCATCTTCCGCAGCAGATCCTCTCGCTCCCGCCCTTTACCCGCCTTCGGAGCCGGAAAGCCCTACCCACCCCCCTTGGGCTCACAAGAAGACTACGTCGTAGAATTCGATGGACCCGACGACCCCTTGCACGCCCAGAACTGGGCTGTTAGGAAGAAGATCTTCACAGCTGCCATGTTGGGCTTCACGACCATGACGGCTGCATTTGCTAGCTCGATATTCAGTACAGCGACGAGGGAAATCTCGGAAAAGTTCGCTGTGGGATCTGTGGTTGCGACGCTGGGGACGTCGTTGTATGTGTTGGGGTTCGCGACGGGACCGATTCTATGGGCGCCGTTTTCAGAGTTGAAAGGGAGGAGGCTGCCGCTTGTTATAGCGAGTTTTGGGTTTTCTGTGTTTGAGGTTGCGTGTGCGACGGGAAAAGACTTGCAGACTGTGTTGATTTGTCGGTTCTTCTCGGGGTTCTTTGGGGCTTGTCCGATTACTGTGAGTAGCATTCGGCTTCCCTTTACGATTGAGTATAGGCGCTGACATGAGATTTAGTGTGTTGCTGCAGTGTTTTCCGACATGTTTGGAAACAGGACAAGAGGAATGGCGACTGCTGTGTTTGCTGTCATGGTCTTTAGTGGTCCTTTCCTTGCGCCTTTCATCGGTGGTTTCATAGTCATGGACCCTGATCTTGGTTGGCGGTGGACTCAATACCTCGTGTAAGCACTTCCGCTGTCCCTGCAAGCTATACACCACACATGTACTAATATACAATCCAGCTCCTTCATGGGCTTCGCAGCCTTTACCCTCAACCTCCTCTTCCTATCCGAATCCTACCCACCAATGATCCTCGTCGCCAAAGCCGAAGAACTCCGCCGACGCACCAAGAACTGGGGTATCCACGCCAAGCAGGAAGAGATAGAAATCGACTTCCGCGAGCTGCTTGAGAAGAACTTTTCTAGACCCCTCAGGATGCTGGTCACGGAGCGTATTGTGCTGCTGCTGAGCGTATACATGGCATTCATCTACGGACTACTATATCTCTTCCTCACAGCATACCCATTAGTCTTCCAGGGCGTCCACAGAATGAACCCCGGTGTGGGTGGTCTACCATTCTTCGGCGCGATTATAGGAGAGCTGTTGGCAGGCACTCTTGTCTTTGTTCGACAACCGGGGTACCAGAAGAAACTTGCTGCAAATAATAACGTTCCCATTCCGGAATGGCGGTTACCAGAGGCTATTGCCGGCGGGGGTTGTTTCGCGGGGGGAATATTCTGGTTCGGATGGACAGGGTATAAGGCGGGTATCCATTGGATTGTGCCTACGCTTTCTGGGCTATTGATCGGGTTTGGTATCATGAGTATTTTCCTGCAAGCGTTCAACTACCTCATCGATGCCTACCTCATGGTAAGAAAAGACCGTCCTTCACATGTTTTTGCGCATGCTAATGCACGGTCTAGTTTGCCGCCTCGGCAATTGCTGCGAACACGTTCCTTCGTAGTCTTTGTGGAGCTGCGTTCCCTCTCTTCGCTCGACAGATGTTCGAGGGCATGGGTATTGAATGGGCTGCTACGTTGCTTGGGTGTATTGCTGCTGCAATGGTTCCTGTGCCGATTTGGTTTTACTTACAAGGTGCGAAGATCAGGGAGAAGAGTGCCTATGCACCGACGAACAAGCCAGCTCCCATACCCTCAGACAATGAGATGGGAGAAGCATAAGGTGGTACTACAGGTACTGCTAGACCTTTGAGAGAATTACTTGCTGGTACTCGTGGCAAATAGAGATTTTGGACTGCTGTACTATGAGACTTGACGGATTGTTATAGGTGAAGTGATGGACTGACAACAAATGAAGATTGCCCTTAAGCCCGGCGGCCGCTACCATCCGGCTGCGCGCTAAGAGACAAGCCGTCGAGGACCCTTCCTGCACGCCCGCCCATTCCCCTGCGCAAGCGCCCTCACCTCAAGTACCCCACTTCTCCTTCACCACCGCTCCAAATCCTCTTCTACGCATAACACAACATCATCGTCTATCCATGAAGATTGCCTACCCCGCATCTCTAACTGGCCCAGCATCTGTCGCAGATTAAGCGCTGCGCCACAGATGTCAACGGGCAAAGATCGTCCATTGGCCAGCATTGCCGCCTTGTTTCACGCGTCGATCTTTACCCCTGGGCTGCGAATGCCGTTGAGCGCTCGCCAACATGCCTTAAATTAGATGCGAGGGATGCGAGACCCTGGCGGTTGATGATGACATCGGCTTGAGGCTGTGCAAGCCGTCTTGACTCTACTTTGACATTCACTCTCACAATTCTACTTGTAGCTGTCTAGCGCCACTCTTTCTTTTAACATCCCTCTGTTTGCGCGCGTATCTGCGATCCTGCGATTTCACTCTGCGACACTATAGCACAGTTCCGACGATTCCGCGCATGCTGGCCTGACGCGACCACGCTCCTTGTAGACACGATACCGAAGAAGAAGTAAGAGGCAAGAACCGGAACCATGACGTTCAATTGTTCTACCGTCCCCGAGACGACAAACACAGATGCTGGAGTAGCAGGCGCAGGCGTACGTCTCGACTTTGAACCCATGCGCGCAACCTGCAAAGGTCCTCCTACTGACCCCAAACCTCACAGACGCTTCTATCCTTTATAATAACAAACATGCTCTCCATCCTCCTCTCAGCCGCCATAATCCTCCTCGGCCTCCGCAAATCCACTTCCGCGCCCATATCCCGCAAACTCCTCCAATCCTTCTCCGACCAGCAAATCCTAACCGGAATCGGCATCCAATCCGTCGGCCTCGCAAAGATGAAAACCATGGTGCCATACCACTTCTTCATCATCTGGCTCCTCTCGCTGCTATCCACCGCTACGAACCTCGCCACTTTACTCGCTCTGGTAAACGACTTCAAGAGAGACTGGGTGCTCCGATGGATCAGGCAGCTCCTGATGCTCATCAATATGTTCCTGGGGATATTATCTGGCATCTTCATCCTGCAAACTGTAATGAAGAACATGGAACCCAGACTGCCGATTGCCTGCGTATGGCAGGTGGAAAGCAAAGGCACAAGCTCCAACGCCGCCCTCTCAATCGCAGGCACCATTGCCGTAATCGCCGGCCAAGTCCTCACCTTTGGCTTCGCAACTTGGTACTTGCACAACCGCTCAAACCCAAAGTGGCTCAAGACTGTCCAAGTCATCGGCCTCTTTGCCTGTCTCGCCATGGGCGTCGGCGCTACGATTCGCGTCGTCTTGGAATCTCAGGCTTTTGGTACACCGCCGGAATCTGTGCGTTTGGTTGGTCCGTCAGAAGGCAACTGGAGTTTTGGTCAACTGCTGCCATTGTTGCTGTTGGCGCTGCCGGTGATTAGTACGATTGAGATTGCGAGGGGGGAGGAGCTGAAGCCGAAGAGTAGGGTCGATGATGATACTGTACCGCTGTTTGCGGGTGGGAACGACATGGAGTTTCAGCCTAATCCGCTGATGGGGAGTGCGACGAATTTGTTCAGGAAGTAAGGGGATAGTGGTAGAAATGGGACGAAATGAAGGGCGTTTTGGGGTGGTGGAGATTTCCGTATAGATACCCTGTAAACTGAGTTTTACGTTTCGAAAGCTTTCCTATACCTGCCAAGTTGGATTTGCGTTTTTGAAATCAGATTTGACTCGCTTCATTGTTTCACGAAGCAAGTGCTCCAATGATTTGTCGTAACAATCTAATATGCCTTCTCTACGTTCCTTCAATTCATGAAGTCATCGTCATCATGCATCACTCTGTTACTTCATGCATTTCCCATCTTGGCTTCCCTAGTGCCTGCACGTACTCCACAACTTGCCACCTATCCCCCGTTTGCTCTACTGCCACCGTCTTCATCCTCTTTGCACCCTCGCCCCTCCCCACAATACCACCATTGTCTTTCTGGTTCGACACAACCAATTTATCCGTGACATGGTCCCTGAACGCACAACTATAATGCGTATGTCCAAAAGTCCACACCTTGACCGCCGGGCTCGTCCAACATAGTTCCATTGACAAATCGGAGCAGAAACCAGAACTCATGGAGCTGGAAGTGTGCTTTGGGTCAGTCGCGCGAGGATCAGTTGTAGGACAGTGGTGTGTCGCAACGATTATGCTCCTATGCTGTTCAGTCGCTTGGATGTGGCTGACTTGCTCGTTCAGCCACTCTACATCGCGGGTATGTTCTGTGCAACTTCTTTCAGGCGTCCAGTCTTGTATGCCGCGTTCTTGATTGTAGTCTTTCATTCTAGAACGAACCTCTGCAGCTTGACCGGGCTGAATGCTACTCCAGAGTGTGCAGCCCAGTACTGTCACTTGCTCGTTGAGATCACACCGGTCGCGATAGAGAAAGCTGAAGCGACCAGCGTATTCTTGTCTTGCCATGTCCTCGAATTCTCGCATCTTCTCGACGGCATCTTCGAGGGTCGTCTGGTAAGCTTCGTGGTTGCCTAGGACGTAGAAGATGCGACAGCTGCGGTTCACGTCGAGGAGATTTCGCAGGAACACGAAGAGATCATGGTGTTTGACTAGGCCAATGTCCCCAAGTAAGAACAATACATTGCCGGTGACGCTGAGCTTGGTGTGTAAGTACTGCGGATTGGTGATGGGATTTTCTAGGTGAATGTCGGAGACGATCTGGAGTTGCGGGGCGCGAAAAGTCATGGTGGGGCTGGGTGTATTAAAAGAGTTGTTTGTACGCGATGGCATTCTCATGATCGCTCTGCTTGGTCCATGACCTTGGTTACTTCGTCTTCCTTGAAACGATGCATAAGCTTCAGTGAAGATGTGCTCGTCTCCTTAGCTTCGGCCTTGTCGATGTGGATCTAGTTGAACACTCAGGTACTCTGCGCATGGCAATATTATATCGTTGGTGTCCGGGTCTCCTTACCACCGGAGTGTCAAACTCGTACAGACTTTTCCACTTTTCGTGGCCGGAGTCCATGACATTTATCTCCTCGAACTCGAAGGGTCTTTTCGCCCTGACATTCTGGACGACGGCTTTTGCCGTGTCGCACAGGCCGCATGGGGTTCGGGTGAAGAAGGTGATGCGGCAAGCGAGCAGACGGGAAGTGGCGCGGAACATGTTGGCGACTGGTTGACAACCACACACGCGGTAACGACTGCTCTGGGCGTACAAGACAGACGGGCAAGACCAAGTGGACGCGACGTGACGCCAAAGATGCAAAGCTCAAGGCCCAGGATTAAGCTCGCGCTTGGACCCCAATGACATCGGTGACCGCTCTGGCTGATTTCCAGAATATTCCGAAACAGCGGAACAAAATCTGGGGCATCGCAACACTCACCCCTCGTTAGGCGCGTTTCTGTACAAACCGATACCATGGCGAAGAAGTGTGTTCACAAGGGCTGCGGCAAGACGTACGACGACGACAACGAGGAGTGTGTTTACCACCCCGGCCCACCGAAATTCCATGAGGGGCAGAAAGGTAGGTCAGCACAGCCCAGGACACGCCGAGTAAGACGGGAACATGTTGACATGACGATGCAGGCTGGGAATGCTGCAAACCTCGCGTCCTGACGTTTGACGAGTTCCTCGCAATCGAGCCCTGCACAAAGGGAAAGCACTCTGACGTCGACGACACCCCCAAGCCAGAACCCGTCCAGGCCCCAGACGTACCCAATGGCACCCAAGTCAACCTCGGATCGCTAGAGGAATCGCTGCCTGCGCCTGCACCGAGACTACCTACCGCACAAGCTACGCCCAAGCCATCGGCTTCGCCCGCACCGCCGCCAGAGTCCGAAGACGATGACCCGAGCCTGGAGATCAAGGAGGGCATGACGTGCAGGCGGAAAGGATGCGGCGCCGTGCACAAAGGAGGCAACCGGGATGGAGAGAGCTGTGTGCATCACCCTGGCGCGCCCATCTTTCACGAGGGCAGCAAGGGGTGGAGTTGCTGTAAGAGGAGGGTCATGGAGTTTGACCAGTTTATGAAGATCGAGGGGTGCAAGACAAAAGACAGACATCTCTTCGTCGGTAGTGGGAAGAAGAAGGAGGGCGAGGAGAAGCTGGAGACGGTTCGGTACGTTCCCTATGCCCCTCCCTCTTCCTGACATCCGACTCCAAAACTAGCTACTAACTATGCACACACAGACACGACTACTACCAGACCGCAACCTCAGTCGTCGCCTCCCTCTACCTCAAGAAAATCGACAAGGCAACCGCCGTCATCGACTTTCAACCACAGCATGTCAAACTCGATTTGCCCACTACAGATAGCAAGCGCTACCAGACCGAGTTTCCCCTCTTCTCGACTATCAAACCTGAAGAGAGCAAGTTCAGAATACTAGGCACCAAGCTCGAGATGACCCTGGTCAAGGCGGATGGAGCTAGTTGGCCCGTTCTTAGGAGCGACGATAAACCTACTGGGGAGATGATACAGGTAGGTAGGGCGGGCAGGGCGTAGATGAGGTTGTCATGAGACAGGGCAGCTGCATAGATCAAAGATCATAGTAATGCATCAACGAAGTTACGTCCAAAATATGTATGCACCGCAAGTACGCACCTAAGAATAGTGAGCAAGTAGAAGAGGGGTGCTTATTAATCATGACGCACCTCGCGCTCTAGTAACTCCGCAGTTATGCAATCAGGAACCGACATGACACCATTTGGTAGTTTACCAGTTGACTAAACATTGACTTTACCAGTTTACTAAACATTACTTCCAAGGTACTGAGGCGTGTAAGAACGAGAAGCGCGGAAAGTGCACAAGTATAATAAGATCGATTCGCCAAGGTCACTGGTAGTCACATATTAGATACCAAGTCGACTCCATCTTCTCAGTGTCAAACATCAACACCGACAACAACAACAACAACAACAACAACAACAACAACAACAATACCGCCAAATAATTCTATACCAGAAATGCCACTCTCCAAGTTCATCGCCATCGTCGCCGGTGTTGGCCCTGGAACTGGCGCCTCCGTCGCCCGCAAGTTCTCATCTCACTACCCCGTCGTCCTGCTCGCCCGTAAACCAGAGAACTACGAGGGCCTTGCCAAGGAAATCAACAGCGCTGGCGGCAAAGCAATCGGTATCAGCACCGACGTCTCGTCCAAGGATAGTCTAGCCAAGGCGGTGGAAGGCATCAAGCAAGAATTCGGCCAAGACGTCGCCGCTGCAGCAGCAATTTTCAACGCCAGCGGGCCCTTTATGCGGAAGCCATTTTTGGAGATTCCAGCCGAGACATTCTCCTCTAGTCTCGATGTTTCTGCCATGGGCGGCATCTTGTTCTCGCAATCTTTCCTCCCGCTCCTCCTCAAAGGGGTGGGGAGCTCGGAACACCCGCCTAGTCTCATCTTCACGGGCGCAACGGCGAGCGTGAAGAGCAATGCGCAGATGGCGAGCTTTTCAACCGGCAAGTGGGCGTTGAGAGCGCTGAGTCAGAGTTTGGCGAGGGAGTTTGGTCCTCAGGGCGTGCATGTTGCGCATGCGATTATCGATGGGGTTATTGACATTCCGAGGACGAGGGAGTGGTTGAAGGATATGCCTGCCGAGGCTAAACTGAGTGCCGATGCGGTGAGTATACTTGTTTCGATGGGTAGAAAAGGGGAAAGGCTAATCAAGTGTAGATTGCGAATGATTACTGGTGGTTGCATGTGAGTCGACTTTCTACGTGTATAAGTACTTCCATACTAACTACGCTTCAGACACAGCCCAAGACGAACTTTACATGGGAGATCGATCTCAGGCCTGCAATTGAGAAGTGGTAGGATATGAGTCGATTACGAGACCTTTTTGGAGCGAATGTGGGTGTGAATGCTTGGAAGGATGTCATTTAATGAGTGACGGCTAAGAAAGGACGTGTTATGAGCTGTAACAGAAAAATTTCCCGTCATCGGTAATAAACAAATCTACTTCGCCGCGTTGACAAGAGCTTTTTCGCCGAGGCATAGATATCTTCGATCCGTCTTAGTACTGTGGTTCAGCTAGTTGTAGTAAAGCAAAAGCATCGCCATCCAGTTTGCCGGTTTGACGATACACGCTTTCACAATAAGCATGCTCCAGTCACGCGTTCTTCTGTCATCCTTTTTCTATCGGAACCCCAGTTGAACGAGGCGAAGGCGCCCACTGTGAAGTTCCTTGGTGTTCCCAGTCATGTTTTTACCAACATCCATACGAAGGGCTCATTTTCGAAAAGCGACGCTGCCATCGGACGACTCAAGACCACATGACTAAACCCACGTCATCAAGATCGCCCTTCCCCTGTGGACCAGACGGCTGGACGCGGTCCGAGCGCTTTCTATGGAGTTTACTCGAAGAGGAAGTTGACCGGCGTGGTAGTTTCCGGACCTAAGATTCAGGGATTAGAGGCATACCAGATGCACAAGGCTGAAGATAGTCGGTAAATCTTCAAAGTTTGTGTAACCAAGGAAAGTACGTTATCACTCCCTGGCATAGACATGGTATAGAAAAATCACGTGTTCAAACACACCTGTGAGGCTCCATGTATTGCGGTTTTAAAGGCGCAACGGGCGCGAGCTTAATCCCCCGATGGCAGATAACGCAAGATTCTTCACCGATCAAGCAGAGTCCAGATTAGGTAGCTTGCAGATCATCTCACTCATCAATGTCAGGCTGAACTTGGTCGCATGCGCATGCGCAACATAGTTCGCTAACCGCGGCGAGGAGCATAACGTCCCATCTGGCCTGACAGACAAGTGCGGCGTACCATGGGTAGTCGTGAATCCCTGACCCTCTTTCATCTACAACGTCGTTAAGATGCATAGTCGCCCGAGCGCATGTGGATGATCCTTCCGGCAACGAGGCAAATGTTAAGGCCGAGTGATCGAGATTGATGCCGCTTCCAGACCGCGGAAATAGGACGAGGCTACATCTACCGGCCAACACGGTCAGATCACATCATAGGAAGCGATATGCGTAGTCAACTCGATGGGGCAATAGAAAGACGAAGAGCTCGCATCATGTGAAGATGTAGCACCGCTCGGAGCCTTGCATACCACCATGGGGGACATGCGCTGGCGACGATGGGCATGGTTCTGGAAGACTAGAGTAAGGTGACGGCGAGGCGGCTGGCTTACAGCCAAACGCGATCGACTGGGCGTATTTGTGCGTGCGCTTCAAGGCTCTGCGACACCTTACTACTGCATGCAAGCCCGCCCACGTGTCAGCGCCTGTTCTGTGTGCGACAGCTCACATGCTGGAGCAAGCAGGAGATGAGGGCATTTGCGAGATTCGGACCAGACGAGATGTGGAGATGTAGCAGTGGTTCTGCCTGGGCCGCCGATAGACTGTAAACTCCTTGCTACAATCGCGCGGCGGCCGATGGCTGGGGAGTCGTCGCGAGTGGCCTACATTAGAAGGGTAAGCATAAGCTCATGACGGCAGACCAGCAGAGAGATCGCGGTGACTGGCAGTCTGCCGGATGAAGCGATCGCTTAAGTAACTAGGTATGCTATGGCAGTGCTGCAAGGACCAACGCCAAGTTGCTTTCGTCCCGTCGGAAGGGAAAGTCCAACGTTAATACCCGTGTGCCCGCAGCGTCGTTCATCAGAGGCCAGACAGCACCGACGCTGGAACACCACGATCCGAGCGACCGCAGATTGTGCTGCTCCGGACCTTGGAGTACGAAACGATTGCGCAACACTGCCTGCCTGCATCTGCATCTGCATCTACACAAGTCTTCTGGTAATCATCGGCCCCAGCCCTGGACTGGCGTTTCCGGCTACTATAGCCATCTCTCCGGCCCGCACATCGCAGCAACATCACCCGAAGAGACTCGACCACACGCGCAGCCTCAAACCATCGTCATCTTTTGTCGCCAACCTTTTTTTGAACTCCCCGTGGAATCATCGCCAAAATTCGCGCACCGCCTGAGCTGGGCGCCGTCGCGCATCCTCCCATGACCGGAGAGAATGCACCGCGGCTAACTGCAGTGCCTGCTTACCCACAACAACCACCGCCAGGGCCCCAACGGCCACCATCTCCTCCCAGCCAGCACCAGCAGCTTCAATCTCCACTAACCCAACTTTCACCATCGACCGTCAAGGCGTCTCCGCAGCAGACTCCTGGACCTCTTGATGCCGCCGGCGGCATTGCTGAACCCTCAGCAAAACGAGGCATGCGCTCGCAGATTGCATGCACCAGATGTCGCCGAAGCAAGACCAAGTGCGAAAACACCGGTCAAGGTACCACGTGCAAGGCTTGCGCCAACACCAACCGAGACTGCACCTGGGACCACGCAGCTGTCGCAAGCACTACCGGATCGGTGCGCCGTGAAAGCACTGCCGATTTCGATGTAAGCCGTCCCTCTGAATGCTCCAAAAGCTGTTGTGCTTGCATATATATCCATCGCCGAATACATGTGCTGGTCCAAGTCACGTGAGCTAGTGCTGACACTCCTAGGCCCCTCCCAAGAAGCGGCGCAAGCTGCTAGCACCCTCATCAACTACAGCACAGCGCTCAGTAGAAGGGCTGGGTACATATGAGGATGCTCTCCAGTCGCCTTTACTTACGCCTCAAGTCTGGGAGGAGTTGTTCGATATCTACGACAAGCACTTCTCTACTGACTTTCCCTTTTTACACAAGAGAACTTTTTTGAGCTCAGTTCAGCAACCGCAATCAACCGACAGCCCGTCTGATGCCAAAACCCCAACCAAGATCCAATCGCCTCAACTATATCCCCCTTTATTACTAGCCTTCCTTACTCAGACTGCTCGCTTCCACGAAAAGCTCGTACAACAGACCGGAAATGACCCTACCAAGACCGCTGAGTTCTATGCCCAGGCTACGCGTACGCAAATGGGTACGGAAGCCTTCGGCTTCCCAACTCTCGAGAAGATCCAGACACTGCTCATGCTGGGCTACTACGAGTGGACCAACCTGCAAGGTACCGAAGGCTGGATTAAGATCGGTCTTGCTATCAGATGCGCCATAGTCCTGGGCTATCCACATTTAGACGTCGATGACAAGGGGCTACCTGCACCATTGAAAGACAGTGAGAAGGGCCTTTCCGAGAAGGATCAATTCATCCTGCGCGAAACTCAGCGACGGACATTTTGGAGTTGTTGTCTTATGGATTGCTATCTGAGTTGGGGAGAGGATCGGCCAAGGATGCTCACGCCTGACCAACTTCAAAGAACGCAACTTGTCTGTAGCGATGGCGCGTTCAACTTCGGAAGGAAAGCACGGACAAGACTTTTGGGCGAAGATGATGCTGCATATGAAGAACGGAGGAAGCGGTGGAATGAGCATACTGAGTGCCGTCGCAGCGAGCAGAATGGTGCTGATCAAGCTGATCCGCTAAACGGGGGCAAATGGGAGATAGGTGAACACGAGGCAGAACTCACCTGGTACATCAAAGCTGTCGTGATCTTCGGCGAAGTGTCGCAATGGTCCTGCAAACGGGGCCGAAGGTATGCGCCATGTAAGAAACTTCCCTGAGACGTCTCGCTGACAGTGCATAGACAAGAAGGCAAAACTCCGCCATGGCGTTCAACGACAGGTTTCAAGAAGTTGGAGGATAAACTCAAGCAGCTGAAGCGCGACCTACCTGACCATCTCCAGCTAACCCAAGACAACACTGAGGACCGTATATACAACAAACCTGGAAAGTACGTATCGATACACGCCATGTACACCTTGTGTTTCGTTTGGCTTTACAGAGAGTATATGCCTACGTCACCATGGACGTTGGCGTATCCTCGCGGCCCATTGGATGAGCCACTGATCGACGAGAAACCTCCAGATCCGGAGTATTGGATAAAGCAAGCCAAAGATTGTTGGAAAGCCTGCTTGGACTTTACGCATCTGCTCCATACCATTGAAACTTCGAGAGTTCATAGTAATCTCATTCAAACTCCTACGGTGGCCTTTTCTTGTTTTGCAGTAGGAATAGGCAGTAAGTACATTCTACGCTCTTTTGTTAGTTATCGCTGACAAGTCCAGCTATCTACTGCCACTATTTTCCTCACATGGATCCCGACAGCGTTCTGTCATCTCGTTTGAGTCCTAGAGCTCATGACATTGCGAATGGCTTCCTACTCCGTATTCTGAGGCGCTTCAAGATGGCTCGCTCGTGGCTTGTTCAACTCGCTGAATGGCAACGATATTACCGTCGTGAAAAGAAGAAGTATAGAGAGCTTACTGGGCAAATCGACGATTCTCCGAGAAGCAACTCTAGCGATGGTATCGCTAGTGGTGGACTAAAAGACTACGCACAATTCTTCGAAAAGTCTCACAAGCAGTTCGGCGACATCTCAAACGACAACAACAGCCAATGGTCCAACAAAGATAAAGATCTTGCAGATCTTAGATTGACGCATGATGAGGATTCTGCAGAACGTATCTTGCCCACCAGTACTGCTCTAGTCAAGCATGAAAAGCACGGAATGCCTGATGAGAGATCTAGCCAGCTTCCTGTATTACAAAATTCCTTCACCGCCGTCAATCGAAATGGGGTCCAGACATCTCCACCTACTCATGCACCTACATACACGCGTCAGACGAATACGCCGTCTTATGATTCAAACACCACTTTACGTTCCGGAGCACACACTTCACCACCAAACTACCCATCATATCAGTACGGTAACCCACCTCAGCACACCATACCTACAGCACGAGCCAGTTTCGAGACCGGCCCCAATCAAGATCACTTGTCAGGCACTGCATCCGTTCCAATACATGCTGTTTACTCGGATTGGCAGACAGCAAGACCACATGAACTACATGCGGCTAGGATGGCGATGGA